AACTCTCCCTAAAGGGGACTAAAATGAAACTTTAGGCACATCATGAGAAGGACATGACTCACTAGAAAAGACAAAGATGCTTGATAAGGTAGAAGGCAGAAGGAAAAGGTGGAGGATTTGATTATTGGCAGATATATTAAATCAAGGCCCAGGGCCTGTGCAGGGTTGTCTAGGATAGGATAAGTGGAGGTCTCTCATTCATAGGGTCACCAAAACTCAAACTCAGCTTAACAGCATGGAGCATTGAGATTGTTATAAATTGAAAAGTCAGTGGGCCAGATTTTAATAACACTTAATGGCTTGTTAATTGCGTTAGTAGCTTCGAGCCCTTGTTAATCTTTGATTCTATTTAAAGAATGCACAGACGTGTCTCCGAACAGTCCCAAACTAAGACGTATGCTGATAAGCAATTTCGAAACTGAATGCTTGAAGTAAGCTGATTAACAGAGTGATGTGTCGGACAGCTTTTTAATACATTTTGCATTTTTCCTGAACTCTTTTAGTCAGCCTTGTGCTTATAATCTTTCACTTTTCGAATAATATGTATATAATCCCTGGGGGGAAATTGATTTAAGTAATGGGTAAACAAACTAAAGTCGTAACAGTATATTTTAAAAGTATCTGAAGTGAAATTGATAAATTGAACCAATCCTCTATGGGAATTGTTTCCATTTCCCCTTTCAAGTAGATAGCAGGCCTTGACCTGGCCCTTTGGCTGCAAACTCAAATGTACTTATGCTTTTCTTTATTCCATATTTCTGGGTTGTATACTTTCTAGATATTGGAAGTGTTCTCATTATTTTAGTTGTGTTTTCTTCTATTGGTGCATACTGCTTAGTACTGTTTTATGAAAATGTGTTATATAAGTTTGGGTATGGAGAGAATAGCAGTTATGATAATGGAAGGGCTTTGGAGGGTAATTGTGGGTTTAGCTTAGGCATCTGGCATTGCTTGTTCAAAGTGACTTTCTAGTTGCAGACTGGGCTCCTAAATAAGGCACAACCTGATTTATTTATAGAAAAATTAGCAAGACAGTCTTTGTGCTAAACTATAAGCAGAGATGTTTATGGCAGCAAAGCCTATCATCTAACCCTTAGTATTATCTATACCCATCTTCTATTAGATATCCTGAGCCTTGTAATTTATGAAATCGAAGTATTCTGAAATGGGCCTTCAACAGAGCTGACATGTAAATAAACACACATTGGGAGAAATAAAGCACAAAATAAGTTTTTTAATGCTTCAACCATCTATCAAAAATCATAGAAATGTGGAATCATAGAGGAAGAAAGGGTTTTATGCACCACTTTTCAATGCAGGATCTAAGCAGTTACCTGTTTAGCATAATGAATATGTCCAGAGAAGGAGGCCCCATCACATTTTACAGCAATGTGTTTGACAAGGAAGTCCTTCTAAAAGTCAATCGAAATCTGCCCCACTGTAACCTCAGACCAGTAGACCAGGGAGAGAGACAGAGACTGTCCTACAGTCATTATTTTTGGTTGGCAGCAGCCATGACTTCCTTTTGTTGTTTCAGAAAAATTATATGTGGCTTCTTTTTTGGAGAAACTCTCAGCCAGTGATCTGTGTGGAATCCTTCATTTATCATGGTAAATTTGATGAACGTGGATTCCAGCTTCAGAGTGGAATGCTCCCATCCCATGACCATTTCACTATGCATCCCAGATGACTAAAAAGGGATGAAAATATTAAAAGATTTGGAACAGGTTAAAAGGAAGCCAAATGAACAGATGTAAGTGTTCAGTCTCAGTTCAGGAACTGTCTCATTTTCATGTTTGATTGAGGTCACGACTCTCCAAAAGAAGTTGGCTTTTACTTAGTGAGACAGCTGGTCCATCTAGTGCAGTGGTTCCCAACCTTTAAGAGACTACAGACCACTGAGGCAAAAATTAGACGCATTATGGGCCGTCAAGATCAGTCAACCGTCTCCCAGTCAGCCACACACAAAGAAATAAAATTGGTTTTCAAATAACTAATTCATTAATCATTGACCTAATATTTACATATACATTTTTTATTTTGTGATATGAAGACAAAACACCATCATGAGACCTAATTTAAAAAATGTGATTTTTGAGTTTGCATTTCTTTCACTAGGTGGGGAATCCTTGGATTGATACTATTGCTCAAAGCCACATGCATGTTGAATCATGGTAGACTGGCATTTAATTGTAGTAGACTCAAGAATTGGAAGAGACCACATTAGCCATCTAGTCCAACTCCCTGCCATGCGGGAAAAGCACGATCAAAGCACCCCTGACAGATGACCATCTAGCCTCTGTTTAAAAGTCTCTGAAGAAGGAGCTTCCACCACAGGCTCCTGTTAATACTTGGGCTTTAAGAGCCAGTCTGGGAGAATGGGGTCAGAGAGCTTCTTTTATGCTGGCCCAGACAAAGAGAGATGAGGGTACCCACATTCTCACCTTCCCTCCCCTCCCCTTCCCTCCATATGAGGAGCCAGTGATGGAGCTTCCTTCGGTATCAACCTTCACTGACCTCCTGGCTTTAGATGGATCTACACTACCCTATATCCCAGGATCTAATCACAGATTATTTTTTATCCCAGATTATGTAGCATTGTAGACTCATATAGTCCACTTCAAAACAGATAATCTGGAATCAGATCCTGGGATACAAGGCAGTGTAGTTCTAGTCTTTGGCTTCTTCCTCCTTGCACTCTAGCCTGCAAATGGGGCTTCCATCCTTGCCTCAAAAGCATATAAGGAATGAAGGAACCAATGCCACCTCCCTTTCCCCAGCATTTCTTACTTGCTCTTGAGGAGGCTTCTGTTGCCAGAGCCCCGCTTGCAATCTCCTCCTGGCAACCAGGCTTCCTGCCTCCTGGGCCTTCTGCTAGTAGCAGCCTCTTCAAGATATTTCCATTCTCACTGGCTACTTGTGAGAAAGCAAGGGGAGAGCAGGAAGCACATGAGTGCTCCTGTCTCTGTGGCGGGGCTAGTGGAAATGAGCTCTCTCGGCCCAATTTCTAACAGGAGCCAGGACTCTGTTTGGGACAAAGAAGGGGGGGGGGATGTCCAGCAGGAGAAGTGTTTGTGTGTATGTGTGTGTATTTTGAATCTGGGCCCCCTTCCTCAATGGCCATGCTGCATTGACTAAGCTTGTAAAACAACAACAACAACAAAACTTTATTTATATACCGCTCTATCTCCCCAAGGGGACTCAGAATGGTTTCCAAGTAGCATAAACAATACATACAAGAAAAATGGCATAAACATAAAATTAACAAGACAATATAAGTATTAAAACCACAGTAGCACATACATTTTGCATACATACATGCTTTTGAACTGTGGTGTTGGAGGAAAGTTCTGAGAGTGCCTTGGACTGCGAGAAGATCCAGCCAGTCCATCCTCCAGGAAATAAAGCCCAACTGCTCATTGGAGGGAAGGATACTAGAGACAAAGTTGAAGTACTTTGGCCACATCATGAGGAGACATCAAAGCCTAGAGAAGACAATTATGCTGGGGAAAGTGGAAGGTAAAAGGAAGAGGGGCCGACCAAGGACAAGATGGATGGATGGCATCCTTGAAGTGACTGGACTGACCTTGAAGGAGCTGGGGGTGGTGACGGCCGACAGGGAGCTCTGGCGTGGGCTGGTCCATGAGGTCACGAAGAGTCGGAGACGACTGAACGAATGAACAACAACAAAGCACATACATTGACAATAACCATGCCTGATCAAGGCAGTTTAAAAGGCCGGGCTGGTCTACTGCAATTTTAGAGGGCCCGGGAAATTAGGTAGAGTCTATGTCTGTACATTTCCAGGGCCTAACAGAAGAGATTGACTTGGGTAATTGGTAGAAAAAGATATGGCCAATTTAAACAGTATCTGGGGCAGAGCTAGAACTAGTCATTCTCAAAGGTTTGTTTAAACCACCAGGTCTTCAGGCTCTTATGAAAGGAGGGGAGAGATGGGGCCTGTCTTATTACTCTAGGAAGGGCGTTCCAGAGGCGAGAGCCACCACCGAGAAGGCCCTCTCTCTCGTCTCCACCAACCGTGGTTGTGACGGTGGTGGGAGCGAAAGGAGGGCCTCCCTGGAAGATCTTAAAGTTCACGCTGGTTCATAGAGGGAGATGCGATCGCAAAGTTAGGCGGGGCCCGAACCATGAAAGACCCCACGGAACACTTTTCTGTACATGGGAGTCACTGAACTAGTTGAATATTGACTGCATCAATTAGAATTCACTTCTCAAGATTTCAGGCAAAGGTCCTTTGTACTCTTATATGGAGATATTAGGAAATGTATTTCCTTTCTCAGTGAATGTGAATGGACAAGTCCTGAACCCCAAGTTCCTTTGAAACAATGACAAAAGTGAATGAATAAATGAACATGGGAAGAAATCCTGGTTTGTCAAAATTACTGGAAGCTTCCAGTGGCCTCAGTGGGACCTTGAGCTCTCCTGTACTTACAATTGTGTTAAAAACTTGCCTTTCTAAAATGCAAATGCTAAAATGGATTGCACAATACAGCAAATCTTCATAAAAACTGATGTAATCCTTATTTTAAATACTTTGCTACGGTTTCCCAGAAATGAAATCTGAGACAATTATGGGGTGACAAAGTAGGAGGTTTCAGTGACTCAACCTTTGCTAGGTCCTGGAACCGTGACCCTTGAATTTGGAAATCCCACTTTGCAAGATGCTGTGACATTCCGTCGAGGAGGAACCAAACACATTTTACAACTGCGTAATTGCCAAAATTAGGCAGAATGAGAATCTTGCAAAATAAACCAGATATTTTTACTCATTGCATATTTAAGCCACCTTAAGCCAATATAAGAGATAATTAGGTTGCTTTAAAGGGGAAACTTAATTATAAGGACTGCAGTTCATTGAAATCTTGTGAATTAACTGTTTCGAAGGAGAATTAGCTTGCTTTACAGAAAGAGGATGGAGAGGACTCCACTGTGTGGCTCAGGCATGAGTCATCTCTGTTTTCTTTTCTCTGTTCTGCCAGAGTGACTGGTTGGCTTTAGATCAATCGACAGCCTTCATCCATGGGAGTGGGAGACTGCTTTTCAACAGGGTGATTCTATTTTGAAAAAGTAGGTTGAAATCTTGCATAACCCATTTCTGTTTTTTAAAAAAAATCTTTTTACCTTTTGCTTATACGTTTTAAGCTGACATCAACCTTCTAGGATTTTTTATGTTGATGGAGGAAGATTCAAGTGCCTTTTCAGTACAACCACGTTTACCTTTTGTTTATCTCTGTGTTGATTGTGTTTCGAAGGCTTTCATGGCCAGAATCACTGGGTTGCTGTGAGTTTTCCAATCTGTATGGACATGTTCCAGAAGCATTCTCTACTGACATTTTGCCCACATCTATGACAGGCATCCTCAGAGGTTGAGAGGTCCCCTCAACCTCAGAGGATGCCTGCCATAGATGTGGGCAAAACTGTGGGAGAAAATACTTCTGGAACATGCCAGACAGCCTGGAAAACACACAGCAACTCTGTGTTTATTGTTTGGAACATCTCTAAACGAATCTCTTATCAGCATTGATTGATATAGTGTGTGCTGTTCTTTGGATAAGCCAGAGCTTATGTCTTTTTTTGTGGGGGTGTGTGTCAGATTTTAGCCTACCTTTGGACTTTCTTGTGATCATAAAGAGCATTATGGGGCTTTTATCATACATACACTACAGATTTAATTTAATTAAGAAATTAACTAAAGCTTCCAGTAGTCATGAAACTTCACCCATACAAATGGAAGCCCCAATAAAACCATACTATATCTATCTAGTTACACGACCCTTGGGACTTTCAAATTTTAACCTACATTTTAATGGTGTGGTCTTGTGTGCATTTTGTTATATGAATTTTATTAGTGTTGTGTTTTATTGCTCTGTTATACCTTGCTTTGAGCCACAAGGAAAAGCAAGTAATAAGTTGCTGCTGCTGCTGCTATTTTTCTGTATGCTATAAATCTGTCTTTATGTTCATACTTTAAAAGAAAGAAACTGAAGTTGCTGAATTACAATCCCGACATTATATTCTATATAGCTTTAGTATACTTGCCTAGAGTTTGTATCAAAATAATGACTACGGTTTGTTAACATCTTTATTCTGCCATTAGCAGTGCAAATGGGTTAAACCCATGTGCCAGCAGGACTGCTGACCGAAAGGTCCAGTTCCAATCCGGGGAGCGGGATGAGCTCCCGTCTGTCAGCTCGTTTCCCTTGCAGGGACATGAGAGAAGCCTCCCATGGAATGGTAAAACATCTGGGCATCCCCTGGGCAACATCTTGCAGATGACCAATTATCTCACACCAGAAGCGACTTGCAGTTTCTCAAATAGCTCCTGACACAGAAAAAAAAAGTGCAGATGGGTTTTTTTCTACCTAAAATATTTATTAGTTCATTGCTACAAGCCAAATATCTATTAGCTGTGCTGGAACTGGCCAGTGATCAACAATTGAGGGAAATTATCTAAAATGCTATGACCGAGCAAAAGAGGATGCTTTTCTTTGTGGTTTGTGACGTTTGGGAAGTCCAAAAAGGGAAGGAAAGAGGACAGGATGGATATGAGAGGCCCTTTGATGTTGCTCAACTTACCCAAGGAATGGAATGTTTTTAGATTTTAAAAAAAAAAAATAGTAGCTTTGTGTCTTCTATCAGAAATTGCCTCATTCAAGCTAACGTCACGTTGTGTGTGAGATATTCAACAGGGCAGGACATTTAGGTCCCTCCCCCTGACTTCTATGCCTTTTCAAAAGGATGATAAACTTTAGAAGGCAACTATTTGGGACTTTTATTGACTAAGTTCCTGGACCTGGATAGGGAGACCACCATTCCATCATGGATTCTTTTGTGCTGAGTTTTTGACTGAAATTCCTAGACTTATCTATGTATATATAGGGTAGGTTCTTTAAAGTGGAGAGAATTAGATTCCATTGGATTCAAGAAGAAGAGAGAATCCCATGTTCTTTTCCGAAGGCCAACCGGTGTTCCGCCTTGAGAGGAACAATCCAGCTGATAAGCAAGTGACTGGTATTAACTACCCCCTTTCTCTCTTTAGATTTATGAGCACAAGGCAGTTAGTTTTAGGCAATCTTCTTATGGGAGAGGAAGCAGTCTAACTAACCCAGTTCTGTCTCTGCCAGGCTGTTCGTAACCTCTTGACTACAGCAATCATTGCTTATATTTCCTCTGTATTTTATACTCTGATGGTTTTCACAATGCATGCATTTCTTTTCTACAGTATTCTTTTATCGATTTATTAAAAGCCGAGGGGGGCAGAAAAAAGAAGGGATGGTGAGCAAGTGACTAAGCTCCGTTGCATCATTTAAGCTGTTGGGAACAGATGCTTATATAATGCACTGCCGCTTTAGAAAAGGGTCTCTGTCTCGATGCGTTGGCTCAGGCGGTTTGTGATGGTTGAGGTTTTTCTTTGACGTAATGTTTTATATACCGGCTGCATGCTTCAAAAGATTCTGGTGCTGTTGATTTTTTATATGTATTGAATATAGCGTGGCATTTATTACAAAGACAGATCCTTTTTATAATAAGTGTGCAAGCTTGTGGACCTCATATCCCATTAAGCTCAACAAGCTGCATTTTTATTTCTGAAGTGGTAAGATAGATATGTAAATAAACAGTAGCATCCATCTTTATTTTTGTTCTAAATCTAAAGGGTGAAAAAAGTTTGTTTTACATAGACTAGGCTCTGGAAAGTGGCCATGGAATTATGTAGTGCTTTGTTGCATACTCCTGATGTTTTTGATTTTCACAGACACTCCCCCATGCGTTCAGGTTTCCTGTATCTCACTTTCCTTTGCTCCTTGTCAGCTAGAACCTCTCTGTGATGGAAAATGGAAGACAGAGGAACCCGGGTTGCTGACTACTTCGTTGTGGCAGGATTGACAGATATTTCAAAACCACTTGAGGAGGAAATCCACTTCAACGATGCCTGTCACAAACTTGCTAAGCCAAAGGAGCCGATCACCGATGTTGCTGTCATAATTAAATCTCTGGGGGAAGAGGTCCCTCATGGTTACAGATGCATCGATGTGACTCCCTCAGGATTATCGGCAGATCTCAACAATGGCAGCCTTGTGGGACCACAGATATATTTGTGCTACAGGAGAGGAAGGGACAAACCTCCACTAACTGATCTGGGGTGAGTCGATTTTTCCTAACTATGCTATTGGGCTCATTGTAATGAGTAGAAATTTCAAATTCAATTTCAAAAATACTAGCCTATTAGCTATAGCTTGAGCAAGAAATAAGGGCCTGAAACCTGGAATATCTGATCATATCAGGAGTACCTTATTGACTCATATCTAATGCACTTTCAAATCTAATGTGCACCACAAATTTCAAAACCCTGAAACAAAAAGTATATGCTGACAAATGTAATGCACAGTGGGGAAAAGTGCACTCTTTGTAATTTGTCAAAAAAAGTGTGCATTGCATTAGCTGCCTGCTTAGGATTCCTTCTTTAAAAACAAACGTGTTAGAGCACGAAAGCTTCCAGCAATGGAAAAGAAAACCTTGGGTGCATCTGTGCTCTAGAATAGGCATCTTCAAGCTGCAGCCATCCAACTGTTTAGGCCTCCGGCTGCCAAAATTCCTGACAATTGAACAAGTTGGATAGGGCTTCTGGGTGTTGAAGGCCCAAATAGCCAGAGGGCCACAGTTTGAGAATGCCAGCTATTGAATGAGTCCATTTTAACTGCCCTGGTTCAGTGTTATGAAATCATTTAGTTCACAAGGTCTTGAGCCTTCTCTGCCAAAGAATGCTGATGCTTCACCAAACTACAAATTCCATGATTGCATAGCATTGAGCCATGGCAATTAAATTTGAAGTGCCATCCCTAAAAGAGGAGCTCCATGTGCAGCTCCTGAAGCAGCTTCCCTTTTGATTACTGTATGATGCAGATTGAATGAGCACCCTAATTTTGGCAAGATAATTTAGCCCCCCAAAAAGGTGAGCATTAGATTTGAGTAAATATGGTAGTTCCGAGGCATAATCTGCAGGGTTATACGTGGGTCTTGGAGAATCCTAGCATTTTAGACTCCAATATTAGTATTTTAGTTCTGCTTCAGATTGAATATAATACTTCTAAAGTCTGACTTTGTGTTTTGGGGCTTGTCTCTTTATAGGGTTTTATATGATGGGAAAGAGAGACTCAAACAGGGTTGTGAAATTATTCAAGTAACTCCCTATGGCCGCCCTGCAAATATCAGCGGGGGAAGCTCCTCACAGAAAGTATACATCACTTACCGAAGAGCCATGGAGAACATGACACAGAATACTTTGGCTGTGACAGATATATGCTTAATTGTACCTAGCAAAGGAGAAACTCCGCCACATACCTTTTGCAAAGTTGACAAGAATCTGAACAACAGTATGGTAAGCTTATTTCTGGATTTGTACAAAAAAGTGTTTTGTTGTTTTATAATGTTAATATGTTTATTTATAATAACAATATTTCTCATTAATACAAATTTTTGAAAAGTCCATGGGGCCTATGTGAGCTTGTACTTCATGGCTTGGCATGTATATCATAATCAGAGAACTACCAGTATTCTGTTGCAAGTTTCTTGCTGTGTCTTCTCTTCAGTGCCCTTGGACAAAGGAATAAATATAATTCAAGAGTCTTCTCAGGAGGTTATTTGTTTGAGCCCTAATGTAGTTAAAAAAGAACTATTTTTATGAGTCCCTCTAGTCAAACAATCATAAGCTGCCACAGTATGATATTGGCTGCTCCTATTATTTGTCACATCCATCTCATAGAAAGATGTATTCTGCTGAAGCTCCAAGCCATATTGTAAATAGCTTTTTCTGGATTGTTGTTGTGTGCATTCAAGTTGACGCATAAGGTTTTCTTGACAAATATTTATTCAGAGGAAGTTTGCCATTGCCTTTCCAGGGTTTTCTTCTGGGGAGATCTTCTGGGGAGGCCCTGCTCTTGGTCCTGCCTGCATCGCAAGTGCGGTTGGTGGGGACGAGAGACAGGGCCTTCTCAGTGGTGGCTCCTCAACTTTGATTAGACCAGCACCCTTCCTCCTGGCCTTCAGAAAGAAAACAAAGATGTGGTTGTGGGACCAGGCTTTTGGCCAGTAATACAATGCAAAGAATAATCAGGAAATATGGCCACAGTGGACAATTTTTGGATTATGTGATTTTAATATTTATATTAGGATGTTTTTAATGTGTTGCCTTAGTGTTTAAATGTTGTATATGCCTATGTTTAATTGTTTTAATGATTTTAATTTATAGTTATATGTCACTGTTTAGTTATTGTGACTTTATTTTTATTATATGTGTGTTGGCATTGAATTCTTGCCATTCATATGTTGTAAACCACCGTGAGTCCCCCCAGGGGTGAGAAAAACAGTATATAAATATACTAAATAATAATAATAATAATAATAATAATAATAATAATAATAATAATAATATAATGTTTCTATGGCTTAGTAATGATTTGAACATTGTTTTTCCAGAATCCTAGTCTAGAATTCTCATCATTGCACTATGGCCCCATCTAAATTGCCATATAATTCAGTTTCTGCATCCATTTTACCTGCTTTGAACTGGATAATATGGCAGTGTAATCTGAGTGTAAACAAATAATCTAGATTCAGAAACCTGATTATATGGAAGTGTAGATCTAGTTTCCAATACCTCTTGTCCACATTGTAAAAATATTGATTGTTCTCATACTTTAGAAGCTGGCTCTTATAAATGATCACTGCTTTGATGAAAAAGAATATCAAACCATCCTGCCAAGAGCTCACTGCATCCAAATATTGTAGAATGAACAGAGAACTGTAAAAAACCAAACTATCCTATTTGATCAGCCAGTTGCTCGGTTTTGGGTTTATTATATGCCTTCGACTTGGCTCCAGTCTTTGGTGGCCCTATTGCGGGCTTTTCTTGGCGTGATTTATTCAGAGAAAGTTTTGAATCGCCTTCCTATATGTTCCAAAGAGTGTGTTAGGTTGCATATTTCAATTCCAAGCTAAATATTATAGAATGGATTTCTGAGCATAATGTGGGTTAAGTGGAAACTCTCCCATCAGATTCACTGAGGGCTGCTTTATGTGATGGGAAAGAGAGATTGAGCCAGGGTTATGTGTCTCCTGTAATTTTGGCTTTTGTGGGATCATATTATTGTTCAGTTGTTTGGAATTTTTTAAAACTTTCCCACGAACTTGACATCTGATTTAACATGAGTGAAGAACTAAAGAACTAAAGAGTTTCTCTTATCTCCCTGGTTTAATGTACTGTTTCTGAATGATAAAGTGTGGTTTAAGTTATTTCCTAGAAGAACAGAACAAAGGAACAGGCCCAGTTCTAGAGAATTTTTAAAAAGAGCTACGAATCATCTGCAAACACACCCAAACTGTATAGCTTAGGGAGCCAGCACGTTAATGAATGAACTAAATGAATCCTCTGCATTTGACTTTAATATTAAACCAGTGTTTCTCAACCTGGAGATTGGGACCCTTGAGGGGGTCATGAGGGAGTTTCAGAAGGGTCACCAAAGACCATCAGAAAACCAATTTCCAATGGTCTTAGGAACCCTTTTGGCAGAGAAGGCTGAAGATCTCTCTGGCTGTCCTCTTTGTTTTTGGAAACAGACAGCAAATCCTCCCATTCAAATTTGGGCATATCGGGTATTTGTGCCAAATTTCATCCAGTGAATGAAAATACATCCTGCATATCAGATATTTACATTACGATTCATAACAGTAGCAAAATTACAGTTATGAAGTAGAAACAGTATTAAGGGGTCACAGCATTAGGAAGGTTGAGAACCACTGTTTTAAAACAAGTATTATAAATGTCTGTTTACCTCATCGTTTTGCCAGCCTCATAAGGAAGTTGGCACTGTGTAGAAATTATGAAATTGTACGACATTTATGTTAAAAGGGGTCACTGAGTGAAAAATTACAGGCTCAGAGATTCAAGCTGGTTATAAAAGACTTAAACATCAGCATGAATCAAGTGAAACAAGTCCAGGAAAAACGAGCAATTTCACTTTATGAGTCAAGTTCTTTGATCTGACACATGAGGGCTTCCATTATTTGTTCCAAGGTGTATATTAATTTTTAAAAAGCAGAATTTGACCTTGTACAAGTTGGCTTTGCCTTTTCTTCCTGCTTTATGAGATTAGACTCCTAGTTTTGGCATTGTCTATTAAACCAATGTTTTTCCACCCTTGCTTTTCAGTGGGGCACAGCAGTCTACCTGTGTTATAAAAAGTCAGTGGCGAAAACAAACACCATATCATATAAAGCTGGTAAGTCATTGTTTGAAAACAATGTTTATTGGTCGCATGATGCAGAAATTACTTGAATTAACACTCGGATTTCATATTGTGTTTAAGACTTAAAGATGAATTTCCCAATTTCCAAAAGACTTAAGAATGTTACGGCACAGAAGGAATCCAATTATTATCCCCCAAATCCAAAAGATAATGTTTATAATTCTGTCTTCCAACCCAGTTTTAAATTCCAGTGTGCCTCACAATGGGGATTCTGTCATATCTGTTCTTATATATATATATTTTAAAAAAACACAAAACGATTCACTTAATTGGGCTCCTCAGAAGCCACTTCTGTACAATTTGCCATGTACAGAAGAGCTAGTTGAAATGAAAGCAGCATTACTTTGCAATAATAAATAGGCAGAGGATGAAGCCAGGTTGCTTTGTCTGATTTTCTGACTGGGAAAATGGGGTTGCATCAATTGGATAATGTATGAAAGCAGCACGAAGTAGCAACCCCATCTGTATTAGAACCAATATGGTACAACGAATGGGGGGTTAGCTGTTGCTTAAGAGGAGATCTGGGCTAAAATTGCTGCTGAAGCATCTGGGGTGGCCTCAGGCAAAGAAAGGGCTGCCTGTCAGCTTCTCAGGAAGCATGGCTGAGTGCAAAGAGATAACTGGCTATGCTGAGATAAGGAACAGGGAGGAGGACGAATTTTCCCTTATAGCACGCTACACAAGTAACCAGAAATTGTTAATATCATACCACCATTATGCAGATACCCTCTTTCCTGAAATATTTCCAAATTGTGCAAGAAAAGAGGCATTGAACCCATTTGCTTGACCCTAATATCTCCTGCCTCTGGTATAATTTCAGTTCTTTGAGGCTCAAGCAGGCCCTTTTCCCCCTTTGAGCGCTCTTCTTCTCCCCTCCTCCAACTGATTTATAATATTTTGTGCCTTAATTGCTCTTAATATGCCATTAGTATATTCACAGATTAACAGAGATATCTTTGATAGCATATTTTGTTTGTAATGCTCTTTTATGTCAAAGTTCACCATTATGTACATCCACGGACACATACAAAACCAATATTTAATTTTGGGGCAATCCTTTTTTATATAGCTAGCTATAGTATCACCATTTTGGGAAATCGCCATAACCGTTGGGAAATGGGATTCATATGCTTATATCCCTCCACCATCTCCCCGAAAGGACTCACTGTGGCTTTATTTTTATTTTATTGCATTTTATCTTGTGTTCACGTTTATGCTTGTTTTTAGATACTTTGTGCTGTGTAAGCCGCCCGAGTCCCTTCGGGGAGATGGTGGCGAGATATAAGAATGAAGTTATTATTAAAGTTATTATAACCTTTTGAGAAAACCACTGGTCAGAGGAAAGGCATGACCTTGATAGAAGTCACAACCTTTTTGGAAAAATGACATTAACCAGCATTCGTGTACAGCAACTAGGTCTCTCAGCTGTTAAACTGATGTACCTAGATATGTCTTTGAACTGCTAGGACCAAAGGCATGCCAATGCACAAAAAGATATGTATTCAGTAGAGTTTCAGAAGTGTTCCTTTAGTTGCCCAAAATAGTATTCCTTTAGTTGCCTTTAAAATATATTTGCCTTTAAATCATGCTCTCAAGAGACAAAATAGTCTTCTTTAAAAGTAACAGAGTTGATTTACTCACAAAACTTCATGTATATAGCATACAGGTACTTTGCTTATGAATCCTGTTACAATAGGATTTTGTGTAGTTTCTCTGTGTAGGTAACACAGGGCATCTTCCTTAGAAACAATAGGCCATAGTCCAAGGCATATCTCTGTTCAGAGAGTCGAATAAGTCTCTAAGCATACTGTTCCTGCACTGAAGTCTAAACTGAACTATGTCTGCAGTCTTTAAAACATACAGATGGCTTCTACTCTCTAAGAGTCTAATGGCATTTAAAATGGGAGTCAGAATCCTGAACATACTCAATTCAGATCACATGGTCTACAGCACCTCTCACAACAAAAAGGTTAGGTAAAATTGCAAACCAATACACATATATAATACAGTAAGCAATTATATACATAACAAATAACTAGTGGAGGCTTGAGAAGGTTGCTATTTCCAACACATCCATGTCAGAAGAAGTGCTTAAAAAGAGGAGAGGGGGGAAGAAAGAAGGAATATAATATATAATAGTACCTTTAAAAACTAGCTGGCTTTTATTTTAGAATGAGCTTTTGTGTCTATAAATCTACTTTACTCAGATGCAGTATAGAATGATATCCAGGCCTCAGGATAGAAAGCATGTTTACTCACTTCTGAGAGTGGGATGGAATGTAATAGGATCCATAAAGAGGCAAATATGACCCTTGCCTTGCATTTTCAAAGGGGATAGGTAAGGCGATACAGCTGAACATCTCCAAAAGAATGCCTTAATTCTTTGGTTTTATTTTGAACCATGCCAACATGACCTTATTTTCTGTTTTGATAGTTTTGCTAGTTTGTAGAGCATGGAAATATGATCACAGTCTCTCTTGCTTTTAGCAAAGCATTTGATCAAAATCTCCTGTTGATAAAATATGAACAGGATGATACTGCCGTCTGCATTTGGCTGAACAGGATAACCAGCAAGTTTTCATTTAGTAGTTCTATCAACATTTAGTTATAAATTATGTGCATATTATCCCATCTCCTACTACTAGTCATTATGCTAATTTAGACATTTGATATTAATACATTTTAGGTTTTATGTTACTAATGTATTACAGGTTCAGATGAGGTTATTGTAACTGTTCATGAACCGCTTTGAGCCAAATGTATTGTGGAAAATAACCAGACTATAACTAAGACTATGAAGGCAGAGAGAAGATGCTTATGAAATATTCCAGTTATACAGATATGGGAAGGATAGCTAAAACAGTTAAATGGAAAAGAAAGATTCAAAATTATCCCGATGTGTTTCAACATTGGGCATTTGGAGTGTTACCATTTATGATCTTACTCTTTCTCTGTTTGCATGTTAACCAATGCAATATGAAGCATAGTGGAGTTCATGCCTTTATAAATAACATGAACAATGACTTTCTCTAGGTCTAATATGCAGATATCCAGAAGATGACTACGATTCATTTCCCTTACCCGTATCAGTCCCCCTCTTCTGCCTCCCAATGGGCGCCACAATTGAATGCTGGCCATCAAATAGTAAATATCCCCTCCCAGTTTTTTCTACATTTGTGCTTACCGGAGCTTCTGCGGAAAAGGTATGTCCCACTGATTATTATTTTCAAGTGCGACTTATTTCTTCATTTATCTGAATTTGATGAAGCTTGGAAACCTTTCTTTTGGTGATGACACAACTATTAATATTAGTCATAAATTGATACAATAATAATTAAAGTCATCTGTATATTTTGTGCAATTTCCTTTCTCACAGAAAATGATTTCGAATGGAAGAAGCGACGTCTCTCAGATATGTTTTAAACTTCCTACCTCTTTTGTACCATGTTTCTCTATGTACTCTTCTATGAAAAACTATTATAACCTGAATTATTATTATTATTATTATTATTATTATTATTATTATTATATTTTTATTTATTTTTATCCCGCTTTATCTCTTCTGAAAGAGACTCAAAGTGGCTTAAAAGCCTGTCCAAATAAAAAGGTTTTAGGCTGCCTGAATGTAAACAAGATTTTGTTAGATCTGTAGAATAGTTACTTCTTGAAGGCTTGATATTTATTTATCATGTCAGGAGCAACCAGACATTTGTATTACATTTTTAACAAAACAAACAAACAAACAGACAAAACACAAAGTTTGCAAGCTTGGTAGTTGATTAAATGTCCTTTGACCAGTATCTGGCCACTTGGAGTGCCTCTGGTGTTACTATAAGAAGGTCCCCCATTGTACATGTGGCAGGGCTCAGGTTGCATTGCAGCAGATGGCCTGTGGTTTGCTCTTCTCCACACTTGCATGTCGTGGATTCAACTTTGTAGCCCCATTTCTTAAGATTGGCTCTGTATCTCGTGGCGCCAGAGCACAGTCTGTTCAGCGCCTTCCAAGTCGCCCAGTTTTCTGTGTGCCCAGGGGGGAGTTTCTCATTTGTTATCAGCCATTGATTGAGGTTCTGGGTTTGAGCCTACCACTTTTGGACTCTCGCTTGTTGGCTTGATTATGTGGTCAGTATATAATGCGGTTCAATGTGGTGTAGAGCCAGTGTGAATTGTATTATTATTATTATTATTATTATTATTATTATTATTATTATTATTATTATTATTATTAGATACACAACAGATTAGTACACAGCAGACAAGACCACTCTGTTGGCTTTTGTATATGATCACACGTCGGACACTTTCCAAGTGTCTGGGACTGTGTGATGTATCAGCAAATAATGCATGCAGATCCCAGTAGGGTGACCTTTTCCAGCTGCCAGATGGTAATTTTGTTAGTGCCAATTGTTTTTAAGTGCAGGCCAAGGTCTTTCGGCCCTGCACCCAGTGTGCTGATCACCACTAGGACCACCTTGACTGGCTTGTGCCAGAGTCGTTGCAGTTCTGTCTTTAAATTCTCATATCGTGTCAGCTTTTCCATTTGCTTCTCGGCAATTCTGCTGCCACCTGGGATTGCAATCCCAGGTGAATTATTATTATTATTATTATTATTGTTGTTGTTATTATTATTATTAAATAATTTATTCATAATATTGCATGTATTGAAGTTGATCTATATGTGAACTGAATGCCTTTTTGGAGTTCCCTTTTAAAATAGTGCATTATTGCCTCCAGGTCTATGGTGCTGCTATTCAGTTCTACGAAACATATTCCGAGGACAAACTCACAGAAAAGCAGAAGTCTCAACTAGGCCTCATGGATACAGCAGATGGGAAATCTGCTGCTTCTAAAACGGTCCAGACTAATAAATGCATCTGTCTTCTTTCTCACTGGCCATTCTTTGATGCTTTCAAGAAATTCCTTACCTTTCTGTATCGTTACTCCATATCCGGTCCACATGTCCTGCCTATTGAAAAGTAAGTTCAATGGAATATTTCTGCATTCCATATCCAGTATTGTAGTAAGCACAATGTTGTTCATTAGAGGTTTCCTAATTAAGGCCTCATCTACACTGATGTAGAATGCACTTCCTAAAAGTGCCTTCAGTTTGACCTCGTGTCACATCCAAAGGTTCTTTCCATCAGTTAATATCTGAGTTTCCTGATGTCTGCCATTGCATGAATTAAATGTCGCCTCATCAGGGGCTAAGTAAGGCTGGATCTACACTGCCCTATATCCCAGGTTGATCCCAGATTATCTGCTTTGAACTGGATTATGTAAGGATATAGAATAATCAGGTTTCAGAGCAAGTGAATGTGGATCAAAACCGCTTTAAGGCTTGGGTCTTCTATAGTTTTTAAAAAAAATGAAAAATAGGGTGTGAGAGCTGGTGAAGCAGGTGGCAAAGACATGGAGAGGAGACTATTGCTGTTGTTTTTACACAGATGTCTAATGTAATAACCTCTTCATATGTTCGAGTGCTGCTTTACCTGTTTATGTTAAGTTGAAATACGTTGTTTCCTCTTTCACAGACATATTTCCCACTTTATGCACAAGGTTCCTTTTCCATCCCCACAGAGGCCGAGAATTTTAGTCCAAGTAAGTATAACCTCAACGTTTCTCTGTTCATATGTTTAGAAACCATGACCAGGCAACAGACAAATATATGCTTAATTAATTCAAAGGTAAATCTGTGAAATAGCTGCACTGAAAAGTGCTACAATAGTTCTATGTTATTCAATCCACGATGGTTCGACAGAGCATAGAAAAGTTAACTTGGGGGACTGCAACTCCCAGAATCCTATAATTGCCAATTATTGGAGGCTCTAGTCCAGAAAAAAACCTTTTCTAACTTCTTCTTTCTAACACTGCAGAGATATGGTAAGCCATGTAAATTATTTGATGCCTTTTGAGCTTACTTCAGCAAAGAAACATGAATTCAAATAAATACCAATAGATAACCACCCCCCTCCCCTTGTCTGTGGCAATTTTGGTATATTTTATGCAAAGCTAAAGAACAGTTTCCAGCATCTAAATCTTCCGTTCCCTTATCAACAAAGGATAAATAGTAGGGATACTTATGCATTGTTTCAGTGAAACAATAGCTGTTTCTTGGGTATTGCTACATAATCGTTCTGTCTTGTGTAGCTCTATGATTCTAGAAAGTGGTTTTTATTCCCGCCCCCCCCCCCCCCAAGACTTTTCTTTGGTTATGTGTTGCTTGAAGCATAAAACATAATATAAAGCTGTTTTTATTTTATTTTTTAACAGTTATCACCTCATGATAGCCTGATCCTTAGTCAACCCATTTCATCACCTCTGCCACTGAGGCAAGTATTGATTTGTGTGATGTGGAGACAGATGGATGAGAAGGGAACTGAGAAATTAGTGATGTGAAGTCAATATTCAAAATAACATTTCTGTTTGATTATTGTTTTGTTCCAGATTTGCTCTTTCCTTCACTGGGTGAAACAACTCAGAGATGGACACCATTGTATCATAACAAGCCTGGATTAAACCAGGATTAAACTAGGATTAATCGAAACCAGGATTAAACAGAGTTTATCTGTTTAATTATACATTATTGATAATGTATAATTCATGGATTATTTGGGAGTAATGAAGCAGTTTCCCCCAATTATTTTACTTTCTTTCTTGAAGGATGGAGCAAAGCAGGCATGAAGCAAACTGTATTGCAGCAGTGTGTTGTTTGCTCACCATAAATCAGGAAAAGCCATTATTTGTGAATACACATATTCATTGTTGGAATGCAGAATTGAAGTAGAGGTCCCAAATACACTTGCTATGTTCTTTGGGCAGGACCCAATACTGCCTTTCTAGAAATGGAAGCTTTAAATAATAATAATAATAATAATAATAATAATAATAATAATGTTATTCTAGAAATTGAATTTAATAATGATAATTATAGTAATTTTTATTACCCGCCTCTTATTACAGCTTGAGGAGGGGCAACTAGCCATTAAGTCTAGTTGTGTCCGACTCTGGGGGTGGTGCTCATCTCTATTTCTAAGCTGAAGAGCCGACGTTGTCCCTAGACGCCTAGACGCCTAGGTCATGTGGTCGGTATGACTGCATGGAGCGCCATTACCTTCTTGCCGAAGCAGCACCTATTGATCTACCCATATTTGCATGTTTTTGACCTGCCAGGTTGGCAGAAGCTAGGGCTAATAGTGGGAGCTCACCCCATCCCACAGATTCAAACCGCCGACCTTCCGGTCAGCAAGTTCTGTAACTTAGCGGTTTAACCTGCTGTACCACCACAGCCCAACATAGTTAAAATACATCCATAAAAGCACATCTTAAAATATACACATATTTTAGTACATGAAATGAAAGTTAAAATTCAATAAACATGGAATATGGTTTTAAAATTCATAGTGACTAGACCTGGGATCTTATCTCACAAAATTTTTGTGGAGATGAAGGAAAGGTGATTAATTAATATGAATATTAATATGTAATATGTAAATAGTTTTCATCTTGATTCTTTACTCCTCCTCTTTCCTTATATGCTAGTGGAGGCAAATTTTCTGCCCTTCTGCAGAACCTTGGGCCTGAGAATGCCGTAACTCTCCTTGTTTTTGCGGTGACAGAACATAAGATCCTTATCCATTCTTTGCGGCCTTCGGTCCTTACTAGTGTGACAGAAGCACTTGTCTCAGTAAGTACCATTTGTTTTTATTTATTTTCAAAATGCTATACTGTTAAAAAGCAGGAGAGAAAAACAACAAATTGTAACCTAAGTACTAAAAATTCTATTAGTGCAGTCCTTTATTTATTCAGGTGTGCAATGGCTTGCTATGGATTTGTTTACTTGATTCTACAGCTGCATGAAAAATGGTTTTGGGTACCCAGTGGTTTTAGACTGTTTTGTTTTGAACGCCAGCTGCATGTCAAACTGAGGGAGCATTTCGGACACATTCGAGGCCAATTCTTCAAAGGAATAAAGTCAGAAATCCTACTGAGCTTGCACATGCCCCTGGCATGAGGAGCTCTTTGGAGTTGTGGCTTCTCGTTCATGCAAAGGGTCAAGTGTTAAATATTTGGTGCGTGGTGTTGCCTTTACTTTCGGAGGATGTTTGTGCAGGTGGACTGTTGGTGGCGTTTGCTCTCTTCACCTCTCTGTTCTCTCCCCTCCTTTTCGTCAACAGCACTTTGGTACAATCCAAGAATGCATTTTACACAATATAAACTTTCATGTTTATATTGTGTAAAATGTCTTTAGATGGGTGAAGCTGACCAGCTGTTCCTTCCACTATATCCATCCTATAGCCTTGTTTTGGACTCTTGTCTCTTTTGACATCTGCATGAAGCCACAGGAAGGCCATCCAGTGTTTGTAGACTGGATTATGATATTAATTGTTATTCTGATAATACTATGTAACAGAATTTGAAAAATGTTCAGTTCCTGGTTTGAAATACTTATTTCCTGTTCAAGTGTGTGGTACTTACTTCGAAAGTAGTTGTTCTACTCCAGAAAATTTGTTTTTGTAGCTGCCACAGACTATGTTGAATTGTTTGAGCCTCGATGAGATATTCATTGAAAAACTAGAGAAAAATGTTTTGCAGGATGTCCTTTTTGCAGTTGAATAAACCTTTTCCATCCCTTTATGATAGAATCAATTAGGAAATGACATTAATAACCCAGGAACAAAAATTGTGTTACATAGTGTAACGTTTTTGTACATCATGTACAATCATCTGGATGCACTGGGAAAATGAATGAATAAAAGAATATTCTGTTCAGACCAGTGGACAGCCTATTGGTTAGTAGACGCCTCAGCTGGAGATAGAGTACAACCTTCTTTAGACAGGATCACACACTTTCTGAGGATCCATTGATGGCAATGTTATATCCAGTTCTGGGTACCACAATTGAAGGGAGATGTTGACCAGCTGGAATGTGTTCAGAGGAGGGTGACTAAAATGATCAAGGGTCTGGTGAACAAGGCCTATGAGGAGTGGCTTAAAGAGCTGGGCATGTTTAGCCTGAAGAAGAGAAGGCTGAGAGGAGACATGATGAGGGCGATGTATAAAGAGGTGAGGGGAAGTCATAGGGAGGATGGAGCAGGCTTATTTTCTGCTGCCCTGGAGACCAGGACATGGAATAATGGCTTCAAACTACAGGAAATAAGATTCCACCTGAACATTAGGAAAAACTTCCTAATAGTTAGAGCTGTTCAGAAGTGGAACTCTCTGCCCCGAAGTGTGGTGGAAGCCCTTTCCTTGGAGACTTCAAATTAGAGGCTGGATTCCCATCTGTTGGGGATGCTTTGTATGTGATTTTCCTGCTTTTTGGCTGAATGGGGTTGGACTGGAAGGCCCACAAGGTCTCCTTCAACTCTAGGATTCTGTGTTCAACAGCATCTATAGCTTCAACTATAGAGCCTCCTGCCTCTCTTCTTGGGTAAAGTAAATCTGCCCCATTTGTTAACCACTTTACATATAAATTACTGCAATACACTTGCAGTGATCTGTACTGTTGTGTTTGTCGTAACTACAGTGCAACCCCCGTATCTTTGGGAAATGTGTTTCTGAGCTTAATTAACTCTGGATAATAGCAAACTCTTGAAATAGACTTCTGCTTTAAGTTACTGTAAAGCCGCCTAGGAGGACTTAATTCCTAGAGAGGTATCCCCTGAAGGAATTTGCTACATCCTCTGGCATGACTTTATGACAACTTCTGCCAGAAGAACACCATAGAATCATCTGGAGGACTTAGAAAATTCCTGGAGAGGACGTATTTTGTAAGATGTGGATAGGTGAAACCCAGAAATATGTTCTTCCATTTTAGAAAGTTTCTCATTTTTATTCATGTTTGGATTTTAAAAATAGTTGTTGTTATTGTGACTTTACTGTAAAGGACCATGGGCACTTGTAGACTAGAAGGATGATTAGAACATGCACTAAATAAATAATCTTCCAGGCAGGTCTTCAGTACACATTTAATTTAATGTAAGTGTTGGAACAGGAGGACTTCCCAGATGACTGTGTCCTGGTCTGTTATCAAAGCAAAGCCTCCAACGGGATGAAAGATAGGAATGATCATTTTCCCCACAAGGTTCAGCTTATAGTTGCATTGATGGGACAGAAAGGGATGCCTCACTTCATGCTGAAGATGGAGGAAATGGTCTGGGTTGGTCCCCTCTGTTTGTATACACTCCACGTTTTCTTCTTCTCTTTTCCAGATGATCTTTCCCTTCCACTGGCCCTGCCCCTACATTCCCCTCTGCCCCCTCGCCCTGGCAGATGTGCTGAGCGCCCCGTGTCCATTCATCGTAGGAATTGATTCCAGATACTTTGACCTCTATGACCCTCCACCAGATGTTAGCTGCGTTGACCTAGATACAAACACCATCTCGCAGTAAGCATGGAGGCACTTTTCTGTACTGTTTCATTTGCTTGGTGGAGTGAAATCTGGTTTTCTCAATCTTGTAGTATCTCATACCAAAAGAAAGGTATTCTGTCCCAGTGACATCTCATATGCTTTCATGGACTTCATCACTTGATTCTTTAGCATTGGTCAAGTAGCAGAAAATTTGTGAATGTTATTCCCTGATAAGATTTGTATTTGAACCCATTAGTAATTCATCTGTGATACTTAGACCCTTTCTGTTGGAAATAGTAACCTTTTTCAAGCCTCCACTAGTTATTTGTTATGTATATAATTCAGATTGCTTACTGTATTGTATGTGTGTGTATTGGTATGCCATTATACCTTAACTCTTTGTTGTGAGAGGGGCTGCAGACCATATGGGCAGATCTGGGCTTGTTCAAGACTCCATTTTAAGAACTGTATGCTTAGAGACTTCAGTGGGAATTGTATGCTTTAGATTCAGTAGAAACAGTACAGTTTAGAAGTTAGTTGAAACAGAGTACAGAGACTCTATTAGACTCTCAGAACAGAGAGATGCTTTGGACTATGGACTGTTGATTATAAGAATGATGCCCTGTGTTACCTACGTAGAGAAACTACTTCAAATATATTTGTAACTGGATTGATAACTGACTGTGAGAGCCATTCAGCAGTGGAACTCTCTGCCCTGGAGTGTGGTGGAGGCTCCTTCTTTGGAATAATAATAATAATAATAATAATAATAATAATAATAATAATAATTTATTTATACCCTGTTACCATCTCCCCAAGGGACTCGGTGCGGCTTACATGAGGCCAAGCCCACAATACAAACAATATAAGCAGTAACAGGTACAATACAAAGCAGTTAAAAATAAATCACATACACAAATAGCATAAACATTAAACAAGGTACAGTGCACATTTAAAACTATGGCTGGGCCAAATGTAATTGAAGATTAAAAAATAATGCTAGGCATGGACAAGATGCAGGAGGTGGGGCGTTGATGGAGAAGTACAAGCAGTCCTAAATCAATATAAAGTGCTTTTGGGGGACATAGTGCTAAGGGTTCATTATTCTGGGAAGGCACACTGGAACAACCACGTTTTCAAGCTCCTCCTGAAGACTGCCAAAGATGGGGCATTCCTGATGTCCTTAGGGAGTGAGTTCCAGAGTCGAGGGGCCACCACTGAGAAGGCCCTCTCTCTCGTCTCCACCAAATGCGCTTGTGATGCAGGTGGGAGCGTGAGTAGGGCCTCTCCAGATGATCGAAGTGATCATGTGGGTTTGTATACAGAAATGCGGCACACGGGTAGGCAGGTCCCAAACCGTTCAGGGCTTTGTAGGTAAGAACCTGCACCTTGAATTGGGACCAGAAAATGAATGGCAGCCAGTGGAGCTCCTTAAACAGGAGGATTGACCACTCTCTGTAAGCAGCACCAGTTAACAACCTGGCCGCCGCCCGTTGGACCAACTGAAATTTCCAAGCTGTTTTCAAGGGCAGCCCCACGTAGAGCGCATTAAAGTAGTCCAATCTGGAGGTAACTAAGGCATGGAACCACCCTGGCCAGATCCGCCTTCACGAGGTATGGTCGCAGTTGGCGCACGAGTCTTAATTATGCAAAGGCCCTCCCGGCCACCGCCGACGCCTGAACCTCAAGCGTAAGTGATGAGTCCAGGAGGACACCCAAACTGCGGACCTGTGACTTCAGGGGGAATGCAACCCCATCCAACACAGGTTGCCACCCTATACCCCGGTCCGGTTTACGATCGACCAGGAGGACCTCTGTCTTGTCGGGATTAATCTTCAGCTTGTTCCTCCGTTTAAACAGAGGCTGGATGGGCATCCGTTGGGGGTGCTTTGAATGCAATTTTCCTGCTTCTTGGCAGAGGGTTGGACTGGATGGCCCATGAGGTCTCTTCCAACTCTATGATTCTATGATTCTATAATATGCAAAGTACCTGTATGCTGAGTACATGAAGTTTGTGAGTACACTAACAATGTTATTTTTGAAGAAGTTTACTCATTATTGTCTCTCGAGAATATGATTTAAAGGCAAATATTTTTAAGGGAGAGCAGATGTTTTTCGGCAACTAAAAAAAAAAACACTTCTGAAACTTTGCTGAATATATATGTTTGTGCATTGGCATATCTTTGTCCTAAATGTTCAAAGACATTTCTAGGTACATCAGCTGAGAAACCTAATTGCCTAGCATGAGTGCTATTTTCCCAAAAGGTTATGACTCTAACAGGTCATGCTTTTATCAAGAGATTATGGCATCATTTTTCAAAAAGATTATGATTTCTAACAAGGTCATCCCTTTCTAAAGATCATAAAATCCCCAAAAGGTGATGGAAATTTCCATTTTCCAAAATGCCATATAAAATACAGATTATCTGCTTTGAACTGGATTAAATGGCAGTGTAGACTCACATAATCCAGTTCAAAGCAGATGATGTGGATTATCTGCTTTGATAACCTGGATTATATGGCAGTGTAGAAGGGGCCTTAGTCTATCCCATAAGATGCACAAGGACTAGTACTCCTCACAGCTTGAGACAACACAATTAAAACACCCAGATACAAAATATCATAAAATGCATATACTGAAATACTTATAGTCTGAGACTGAGAAAACAGTAGTTAACTCTATGTATTAATTCTCAATCTTCTCACTCTGTTTAGTCTCTACTTAACTTTAGTTACATTAACTCTAGTCTCCAGATAAATATACATTAAGTATTTGGTGGAGTCATGCCTTCATAGGACATATACGTATGTGTATATTGTTTGCCACAACCATTTGCCTTTGCCAAGACATGAATGCATGAATCTCCCAAATAAATTACAGATTAGTCTCCCACTAATCTCCTTGAGTTTTGCGAAAAGCATGCGGCTTTCCTCAAAAGAAGAGTTGGCGCTTGTGAAGATAGAGTGGTTTTCAAGACCGCACACTTTGCAGGTAGAGCTGAAATGTTTTTTCCTGCAGCCCTTGGTGGTCTAGATTCCATGATTTGCAGTTGTCGGGGAGCTTCAGCAGAAACCTCTCTGTAAAATAAGCAGACTTAACAGACAAGCTCCCATTTGGGTGCTACTTTTACTTCTCTTACCTTGTCATTTTGTCATACTGTATAATCAAAGACCCCTAGTATTTGATGGTGAAACTTTTGTTTCTTTGATTCAGGAAGATAGAAGAAAGCTAGCACTTTCTTGGTATCTCTGAAAAGAAGGGTGAGGCACTGAACCAGTTATTTTAAAGTATTGATATTCTGTTGTTTTCACAAATGGCTAAATTCCACTCAGATGTACCACCTAGTCTCATATTTGGGTTCAATTTATAGCTAGAGCAGGCTTCTGGAGGGGAAATTTTGGAACCTTTTGGAGATTTTATGATCTTTGGAAAGGGATGACTGTGTTAGAAGCTATAACCTTTTTGGAAAATGATGATATAACCTCTTGGTAAAAAGCATGACTTGTTATAGTCATAACCTTTTGCGTAAATGGCATTCACCAGCATTCATGCAAGGCAACTAGGTTCCTCAGCTGTTAAATTGATGTACCTAGGTATGTCTTTAAATGGTTAGGGACAAAGATATGCCAATGCACAAAAAACATATATCTATTCAGCAGAGTTTCTGAAGTGTTCTTTTAGTTGCCCAAAAAACATCTACTCTTTCTTAATATATATTTGCCTTTAAATCATGCTGTCAAGAGACAAAATAAGCAGACTTCTTTAAAAGTAACATAGTTGGTTTACTCACAAACTTCATGTATTCAGCATACAGGTACATTGCTTATCAGTCCAGTTACAAGTAGATCTGAAGTAGTGTCTCTCTGTAAGTAACACAGGGCATCTTTCTTAGAATCAACAGCCTATAGTCCAAAGCATCTTTCTGTTCTGAGAATCTAATAGAGTCTCTGTCTAGTCTGAAAGTCCAATGGAGACTAACGGCTTCTGTTCAGTATACTGTTCCTACTGAAGTCTAACGTAAACTGTTCTAAAATGGAGTCTGAGCCCTGAACAGGCCCAGTTCTGGTCACATGGTCTACAGCCCCTCCCACAACAAAGAGTTATGGTCAAATTGCATATCAATACAAACATATGCAATACAGTAAGCAATTATATACATAACAAATAACTAATGGAGGCTTGAGAAAGTTTCTATTTCCAACAGGAAAGGGAACACCTTTCTAGAAGCACGTTTAACAATATATTAAAGCTATAAATACGTTTTATACTAGTTCTTGGTTTTGGCTATGCAGTCACTTTAGTTGTTTTTCCTCTATATTTTGTTAAGACCATGTTTTCCATCGTGCTTGTTTTCTCATTCCAGACCTGGAGACAAACGAAACCTTGCCTGGAAGATCTTGCCAAAGAAACCGTGCAAAAACCTGATGAACACTTTAAATAACTTATATCAACAGCTAGCAGAATGTAAGTGAGGGTAAAGCCCAGAATGGTGCCTTTGTCCATGTTTTCCATTGTTTACACAGTTTGTGCTATTTAGAAGGCACAGTTGCTTTAGGGGATGTGATGAAAAAGTTAACTTCAGTCTCCAGGGGGAAAAACATATGGTGTATCTTCTTCTGGGCAGATGGTACAGACAGTTATTTTGGGAAGGATGTTGCTCAGCATAGAGAACATGCTCTGCATGCTAAAGGACCCATATTCCAATCACTAGCATCTCTCAGTAGATGCCCTAGATAGGTTTTGAAGGTCCAGAGAAGCAATGCCCTTTGCCAAGGCTGAGCTTACAATGTCCCTGTTCCCTTTCTCTTATTTTGGATACTTGCAACTGTTGAGAATGTGATAAGAAAGTTAAAGACAACAGTTTGGCAAAGGAGAAAATTTGAAATTCAGAGTTACCTCTGTCTGGAGTCAGGAAACAGCTGTGTAGGATATTTTAAAATCCTTGCAATGAGGAACGAATAAAAAGTTCACTTAGATGGAGACAAATTTATTTATTTATTTTGAGTACTTCTACCCCGCCCTTCTCAACCCCTGAGGGGGGACTCAGGGCGGCTTACAAAAAGGCACAATTTGATGCCTACACAAAATACACATACGTACAAAACAACAGTTAAAACAATTATCACAGTTAAAACAGTCGGTATATAACACAATCAATAAAACTAATCTCATGCTCAGTGTTCGTCTTTCAGAGTTCCATAATTCCATTCCACTTAGTCAATTCCTGTCCATTGTCAAAGTCCTTTCTTTATCTGCCAGATTGTCCGAATGCCTGGTCCCAAATCCATGTTTTCAGTTTTTTCCTAAAGGAAAGAAGGGATGTCCCTGATCTAATTTCCCCAGGGAGTGAATTCCACAGGTGGGGGGCCACCACCGAGAAGGCCCTGCTCCTCGTCCCCTCCAATCTCACTTGTGATAGAGGCGGGGTCGAGAGCAGGGCCTCCCCAGAAGATCTTAGACTCCGAGGTAGGACGTAGAGAGAGATCCGTTCGGACAGATACACTGGGCCGGAACCGTATAGGGTTTTGTAGGTCAAAACCAGCACTTTGAATAATGCAGAGAAATCTGCATTATTTGATGAATGAGAATGTATCTGGGGATTTCGCAGTGATGTTTTCCATTTTTTGAAAGCATGAGAAGGTTGCAAATGTCACAACTTAGGCAACATTTTATTGTCTCAGATATATGGTGAAAAACATTATTTTTACAAATATTGATTTATATTCTTCCCTTTCTGTCCTGATGATACTCTTTAAGTGCTAAAAAAGGTACCAGATGCAGTTAAAAGCTAAAGGGTATGAACACTAAAACAGAAATAAATCTGGAGAGATCTAAACATGAATACCCTATAAACTCAAGTATAAGCTGGCCCGAATATAAGCTGATTTTGCCACAAAAACTGGGAAAACATATTGCCTGACAGAAGGGGGTTGGATTAGGTGACCTCTTGGGAGTCTTTGATTCTATAGTCCTGTTTCTTCATGAACACTCTAATGTTTTGGGAAAAAATGGCATTCATAACATTTTTGAAAAGGAGAAATGTCATATCCTTTTGGCAAATGTGAATCTACACAAACATCTGGAGTCCACCTTTTGAAAACCACTAGTCAACGAAAGATGTGACCTTGTTAGAAGTCAACCCTTTGAAAAAGTACTGTTCACAAGCATTCATGTAATAGCACACAGGTAACTCAGCTGTTAAACTGATAAATCTTTGAACTGCCAGGGACAAAGACATGCCACTGCATAAAAAAACATGTATTTGGCTAGCAGAGTTTTAAAATGCTTCTTTGAAGTTGAAGTTGCAGTTGCAGTTGCCCAAAACATATACTCTCCCTTGAAACCTCTTAGTGCTTTGATTGAGCTTTTTATGTCTGGCAAAAGGAGGTTGGACTACATGACCCCTGGAGTCCCTTCCAACTCTAGGATTCTATACAGAATAAAATTATGCAAATGTTTTGTCTTGTTGACAGTCTTTATCCTAGTGAATTAAAGGGAACATTTCCCAAAACAAGTTGCTTCAGGATTTTCTTAAGAGGTTCTAAAATATTAACAGTGAGAGTCTCATTTTTAACTAATTGCTTAGATGTGAAGAGATGCCTGTTGGACGTTCAATGTTGTAGCTGCCTTTTTGTATTATCAGAAGCCTAAATCTTGGTGAATGTGGCCGTTAATGCATGGATTCATGAATATATTCAGCACGAAACATTATGATGCAGCAGTAAAACACCATACTGCCTCTGGGAGACCCAGATTTAAATCCCCACTCAGCCATGAAGTTCAGTTGTGACCTTGGGACAATTGTTGTCTCACGGCACAATCCATTATGTGGGGAAAAGTATCTGGGGAAAGCCATTCCTATTGCCTTGAACTCATTAAAGCAGCGTTTCTCGACCTGGGGCTTGGGACCCCTGGGGGGGGGTTCACGAGGGGGGATGTCAGAGGGGTCACCAAAGACCATCAGAAAACACAGTATTTTCTGTTGGTCTTGGGGGTTCTTGTGCCAAAATTGGTTCAATTCCATCGTTTGTGGAGTTCAGAATGCTCTTTGATTCTAGGTGAACTATAAACCTCAACAACTACAACTCCCAAATGTCAAGGTCAATTTTCCCCAAACTCTACCACTTTCAAATTTGTGCACATTGAGTATTTGTTCCAAGTTTGGTCCAGATCTATCATTGTTTGAGTCCACAGTGCTCTCTGGATGTAGGTGAACTACAACTCCAAAACGCAAGGTCAATGCTCACCAAACCCTTCCAGTATTTTCCGTTGGTCATGGGAGTTCTGGGTGCCAAGATTGGTTAAATTCCATCACTGGTGGAGTTCAGAATGCTCTTTGATTGTAGGTGAACTATAAATCCCAGCAACTACAACTCCCAAATGACAAGATCAATGTCCCAACCTCATCAGTATTAAAATTTGGGTGTATCAGGTATTTGTTCCAATTTTGGTCTAGTCAAAATCCATCCTGCATATCAAATATTTGCATTACAATTCATAACAGAAGTAAAATTACAGTTGTGAAGTATCAACAAAGATAATGTTATGGTTGCAGGTCACCACAACATGAGGAACTGTATTAAGGGGTCGCAGCATTAGGAAGGTTGAGGACCACTGCATTAAAGAAAAGGTGGAGTACAGATGTCATGAATAGATTAAAAGGATTGAGGTGGGGAGACTCTAGCTCAGAGGAGCAGGGCCAGTACTTGTGTGACCTTCGTGACAATGCTCTTCCTGATCCACCTTTTAAAAAGACCCAGGAGAGCTCTGGAACCATGCGCAGACCATCCAGATACAATACAGCAGTGTAGCTGCTGTGCCTTGTGAGCATTTTGTTCCCCAGCGTACATCATTGCATGAACTCACGCTTGCGTTTCCAAACCTTGTGTGAAACGTCCTTGTATGGATGTCACCGAGGTGTCCCCCCCCCCACTCAGACCAGTACTGTCATTGTTCCCATAGCAACCACTGCGCTTGTCTGGGTCTTTTTTTGTGCAGCTTAGAGACTCGCGATTTGCATGCTCCCATGTCATGCAGTAGTTAGGCATTTCTTATTTGAGCCGCCGCATCCGGAGAATTAGCAACACAGCTATATCCATGAGATGGGTCCTAAGTATTATTGAATCTCCTCCGGTGGCTCGTCGTTCCCGCCTCATTTTTTTGGGCTTTCTCTTATTATTCTCCTTTCTTTCCTTCTTTTTTGTCTCTCAAAACATTTTATTTGTTGAAAAATGTTGAATGTATACAACAAGAAAAATAAGGGAAAACAGGAAAAAGAAAGGGGGAGGGTTCAATTATTGTTAGTAGATTAAACCATTACAAATATTAAATACGTCACAAAAGAAGAGGAAAGGAGTTAAAGAAAAAGAGGAAAGACAATCATCAATGTGCAAAGTTGTCTTAATGTTCTCATTACATTAAAAAAGTCATTATTACATTCACCATTTCTTTCTTTTTAATACATGTATTTCTGCATATCAGTTATAAAGATTATATAAAATACCCCAAATTTCCATTATCTCCTATAGTAATGAGAGGAGTGTTGCTGTCACCAAACAATAAGTCCAGTACCATATCTTTTTATTATATATTTTTTTTATTTAGGGTAAGGGAAGGAGGAGGAAAAAGAGTAGTATTTTGTTTTTACATGTAAAGTGGTGGAACAATAATATGAGGAGAAAGTAGGAAATGATAGAAGGGAGAGAATAATTAAAAAGAAGAAGAAAGAGAGAAAAAGTCTTTTCTTACAGTTTCTCTTTATTAAGAGATTATTATTATTAATAATAATAATAAACACAGCTTTATATTAGTTTAAGTAGATTTCAATAGCTATCTATTAAATTTATCTCTAATATTGTATTTTATATTGTTAAATTATTTATTTTGAATATTTTATCTAATTTTAACAAGTACATAGTAAATATAAAAATTTAATTTAATCTGTTAGTAAATTATTTTTGAGTAAGGAAAAATTTTGTCACTCCAGCCATAGATATAGATAGATAGTGCCTCTGGTGGTGCAGCGGGTTAAACCACTGAGCTGCGGAATTTGCTGACCAAAAGGTCAGTGGTTCAAATCTGGGGAGCGAGATGAGCACCCGCTGTTAGTCCCAGCTCCTGCCAACCTAGCTGTTTGAAAACATGCAAATGTGGGCAGGTCAATAGGTACCGCTTTGGCGGGAAGGTAACAGTGCTCCATGCAGTCATGCTGGTCACATGACCTTGGAGGTGTCTATGGACAATGCTGCCTCTTCGGCTAAGAAATGGAGATGAGCACTACGCCCCAGACACGACTAGACTTAATGTCAAGGGAAACCTTTTCCTTTACTAAGGAAAAATTGAATAGATTTCACTTTCACTCACCTTTCCAATGTGCTTCAGTGGCATATGAAACATGCAACACTTTCCAGAAAAGTTAACCCCACTGATTTCAATAGTACTAGATCTATATATGTTTAGAATTTCATCCCTTGTGAAATTTACATGTAAATGAACTGGTGTATGTATGTTGGTTGTTTGGTTTGTCCCTCCTCCATGTCTTGATGGATCTGGACCAAACTTGGCACACAGACCCTTCATGATCCAACTTAAAATAATTGAGAGTTTTGAATTTAAAATCCCACATTTCTTTAAGACCCAGAGCAGAGGGAAAGAAAAGGAACCAAGTTAATTGGCTGCTTCTAGATGAAAGATTGGCTATTGCTAGGTGAAGTGGCCTTCTAACATGTGACTGGGAAAGAGAGGGAGCAAAGCAGATTGACTGCTGGGTAACATGTGCATGAAAGAGGGAGGGAGGGAGGGAGGGAGGGAGGGAGGGAGGGAGGGATGGATGGAAGGAAGGAAGGAAGGAAGGAAGGAAGGAAGGAAGGAAGGAAGGAAGGAAGGAAGGGAATAAAGGAAGGAGGGAAGAGAAAGGAAAAGGAGGGAAGGAAAGAAAGGGGGAAAATATATGATGGGAGGAAAAAGAGAAGAGAAAGGAAGGGAAGAAAGAAGAAAGAAAGAAAGAAAGAAAGAAAGAAAGAAAGAAAGAAAGAAAGAGGTGAGAAGGTGTAGTAGTCAGTCTCCTTGGGAAGATAGGGCAGACTACAAATAAAGTGATGTTGTTGCAAGGAAAGAAAGAAATAAGAGAGGGAGAAGGTATAGGAGGGTAATAAGAAAGGAAAGAAAGAGCCACAAAGAAAAGACAAGCCAGGAGATGTCAGATATATACGCTAGTAGTAAATGGAATGGCACATGATGCCATGAAGGTGCAACTCAGTTTCAGAAATCTTTGATGGAAAAAATAGGAAATCTATTCCTTACACATGACAAAATAATAATGTCAGAGGATTAGTTCATGGGCCTGACAGTGTAATAAACCATGTACTTTTGAAAGAAAACTGCTCATTGTAAACCCTGGTGACGTTATTTATTTATGCCACTGAATGTTTGCCATTTGTATGTTTTGCTCCTCCCTGAGTACTCTCTGGGGTGAAAAGGGCAGAATATAAATGTTATAAATAAATAAATAAATAAATGTTCTCATATTTAAGTCTTGCTTTTATTCACAGTGCAACAAAGACCCAGAGATGATGCGCTGATGGAGCTGGCCATGAACGACTATGATTTCTATTCGGGCTCAAAACTGCATCTATTGGATTTGGAAATCCAGGAGGCGTTTCTCTATTTCATGGCCTCGATCCTGAAAGGTTACCGGTCCTACCTAAGGCCTATTACCCAAGCGCCATCTGAAACGGCGACAGATGCAAGCTCCCTCTTTGAACTTCAAGGTAAACAAACAGTCTCCCTAAGTTTTTTTTAACATTATGCAGGTTTCCCTGCAATTAATTTATCTTGAATTTCTTATCTTAAAATTTCTATTGTTGTTTCGTTGAGGGTAAATTCAGCGTCAACCCTGTGTTGTTGCTTTTTTAATACCTATAATATGCAAAGTTGCACTGGTGGAGACAAGATTTTATTTGACCGCAAATTGGATTTATTTATTTACAGTATTTACCGTATATTCCGGCATATAAGGCGACTGGGCGTGTAAGACGACCCCCAACTTTTCCAGTTAAAATATAGAGTTAAGACGACTCCCATGCATAAGAGTACGCCCATGTATAAGACGACCCCTGACTTTTGAGGAGATTTTCTTGGGTTAAAAAGTAGTCTTATACGCCAGAATATACTGTATATTCCGCCCTTCTCACCCCGCAGGGGACTCAGGGGGGATTACAATGTACGCATATATGGCAAACATTCAATGCCAAAGACACACAACAGATATAGACAAACAGTCAGGGGCTATTTAACTTTTTTCTGGCTGCCAGGGGAGCTGTTGCTTTCATTGTCCATCTGCGACACTGATGAAGTACTTGCGCATTCCCCGCATGCTTTTGCTGGAGTGCTTTGCTGGAGTCTTTTTTATGGGCTCGTAAATTTTTGTTAAATTAGCCTCCCCACACATAGGTTGTACCTAATTTTCCTATTTGACAGATGCAACTGTCTTTCGGATTGCAAAGGTCGACAACAAGCTACACAATTGGTCGGAAGCTCACTCTGACCTGGGCTGGCTTCGAACTCATGACCTTGTGGTCAGAAGTGATCTTAAAGCAGCTGACACTCAGACAGCTGCGCCACAGTCCCGGATTGAGTTGGATGATGGTTTTAACTTGGTGAACTGTTTTTAATGTATATTTATAACTATTTTATTATGTATCTGATGGTTTTTATTATGTGTTTACATTGTATTTGAATGTTCTATGTTGCAGTTGGCATTGAATTGTTGCCTTGTTAACCGCCCTGAGTCGCCTGCAGGCTGAGAGGGGCGGAATACAGATCGAGTAAATAAATAAATATTGGCATTGAATTGTTGCCTTCTGAAAGCCGTTCTGAGTCCATCCTTGGAGGTTGAGAAGGATGGGGTATAAATATTCTAAAGAAATAAAGAAATAAGTTCTGGTGTTTCATAAAATGATGAAAAGCTCTAGCCAGTGTAAATGTGCATGTATGTTTGGAAATGATTGGAAACAAGTTGATTTAAGCATCATATGGGAAGTTTTTCTTTATTTGTTAATAGCCTATAGCTTGGTTTGATTGGTCTTCCTGGCTTGTTAAACTATAATTTCCGAAACCGGGACCCATATTCGCCTCCTCCCTTTCTGTCTTTATTGGTGGCCTGTGTGTGGTTAGAGCACATTGCATTTAGAGCACAATGCGAATGTGAGTTTAGAGCACATTGCTCCTCAAAAGCCACGTTCTCCCATTTCAAAGGACAGAAAGGTTGGCTTTGCAGAGCCAGCATTTAATCCCAATGTGCTGAACTGCTATTTAACCAGCTGACACCAAAGAGGCCACTATCAAGCCCTTTTAGCACTATTTGAACAGCATCCAAACAACAATACAGTAGGATTTAGTATCCAAACAACAGTTCGGACTCCAAGAAATCACACATGTGAAGGTCTCCGTTCTCAATTCCCAGCTTGTGCAGATGTAAACCACTTTCCCCTTTTCTGCACAACTTGTTTTATTTCATTCCAGTTTTCAGTAGAACAAATGCTCTTTCCTCCCGCCTGCCCAACCATGATTATTATATGCTTGTTTCACGCAGGGTTCTTAAAAAGCCGCGATCGTTCGCATCAGAAGTTTTACACCATGATGACCAAGACGCAAATGTTTATCCGCTTCATCGAGGAATGTTCCTTTGTGAGCGATAAAGATGCAAGCCTTGCGTTTTTTGATGACTGTGTCGACAAAGTAAGTGTGGGCCTGATTATCTCTCTCTGTTGCGGAAGAAGCGAGTCGACAGCCGGCAAGGTTTTTGCAAACATTAAGCCATTTAAAGAGGGTTACTCAACTGTATCAGACATTCATGGGAATGTGCAGTGAGGAGTTCAGTGAAACAACAGCTTTTTCCTGAAGGCTGTTAAATCAGATCTAAGTTAATTCTTCTCTCACCACACTACCTCTTCCAATACAATGCAGAGCAGGTAGTTAAGCTCTTCTATTACTTCTGTTGTTTTCAGCGAGGAGCCTAAAAGAGAGGCATTTATTCAAATTAAATCCAGAATACCCTATGTATTTCAAGTAATGGTCTAATGCTCACCTTTTGGGGCTAAATTCCCTTGCCAAAATCCTGGGGATTTTGATAACTTTCTGATGGTTTTCTCTCCATTTTGGAATGTGGAAGAACTTTACAACATGAATTAGGTTGCAAAAGAAACATGTCAGGACTTTGGGTTGTTTTGTGAGGCAACATTCTATCAATTGACTTCTTTCACATAGACATCATGGAGAAGGATGTTCTTTCCAACTGTGGTCCATTCTTCTCTGCTCAAGAAGATGTGGAGTTTCCTCATTGTCAGAAGAATTAGTAGATTCTTCTCTTGTGTTGTTCACATTTTCTTTTTATGTGGGTCTTCTAGTCTTAGTTTGTGTAGATTGAGCAAAATGCTTTTTTTAAAAAAGACTATTGTGTCAAGCAGAGCTGACGACTAGCTGAGAAGAAAAATTCAGGAATGGAGCATATCACCATATTGTGATATTGCTTTTGTACCTTGTAATCTGTCTATCTATCTATCTATCTATCTATCTATCTATCTATCTATCTATCTATCTATCAGCTTGTCTGTTTATACCACAAAGATTGATGCTAGGTGGCGGTCCTCTGTGATGTTACTGGGAAAGAAAGGTGACCTGTGTATATGTGGAAGGGAGGAAGGAAAGACACACAAAGATAACTATGTTGCTATGGAGACATTGGGAAGTAGGACCTCTGAGAGCTGGAGAAGGGAGAAAGGAGAGGAATGAATGAATGAACGAGGAAAGGAAAGAACAAGAAAGGAAAAGAGGGAGAAGGAAGGAAGGAAGGAAGGAAAGAAGGGAATGCGAAGGGAAAGAAGGACTGAAAAGAGGGAGAAAGAAAGGGAGAAAGAAGGAAGGAAGGAAGGAAGGAAGATTGAGGGAGGGAAGGAAGGAAGGAAGGAAGGAAGGAAGGAAGGAAGGAAGGAAGGAAGGAAGAAGGAAGGAAGGAAGGAAGGAAGATGGAGGGAGGGAGGGAGGGAGGGAGGGAGGGAAGGAAGGAAGGAAGGAAGGAAGGAAGGAAGGAAGGAAGGAAGGAAGGAAGGAAGGAAGGAAGGAAGGAAGGGGAAAAAAAGAGATAAGAGCAGGGGAACAGCAATCCCAGTGACATCTGGGCAACACATGGTATATATTCTACTGCATTTATATAATTGCTTTGAACAGAATTGAAGTCCATCAGCCAAGGGATTGACGTCTTTGCAGCTTTTGTTCAATCCAGACCGTTGCCCTTGAAATTTCTGTAAAGCGTAGAAATGTTTCTGAAGGTGGTGACATTTATTCTTAGCAAGTGTGCCCTTGAGGCAATTGTTGCAATCATGAAAGAACAAGTCACACACCTGAGAGGCATACAAAAGCTGTGACATTGGAGCCTATGCCCCATGTCCTAGGAAGGTGGCCAGGTCCCCAAAGGGTTGCTTTATTGATTTCAGTCCATTTTCCCTGTGAGCCGAAGTGCAGGCGGCTTGCATTCATGGAGGAAACGATGAAAAAAATGGGCTGTTAACAAACCTGGTTTATTCATCTGATTGTCATTCCTCATTTGGACAGAGTCTACTCCTTAGAGCAAGGAAATGAGCTTAGCATTCCAAATCAACTATGGTATAAAAATATGTGCACATAATAAATAAATTAATAAATAAGCATGACATGTTTTTGGAATGGCTGAAAAAGATCTTTCATTTGGAAAATAAAAACCCCAATGTTGAATTATTTGCAAGAAAACCCTCTGAAGTCAATATGAGATTTTTAACATTAAAGGAGTCTGCTTTGAAACTGCAGATGTCGTTTGAAAGCAGCGTGTTGAAAAACAACCTATCATCTTGATGCCGAGCTGCTTGAGTTATTTACAAAAGGAAATTGGAGGCCCAGAATTTTCTCCCTTTTTATTTTAAAGAGATGAGAGGGAAAGCCTGGAAAAAGTGACAACTAATGATAGTTAATTAAGAGCGGAAAGCTTTTGTGTTGCTTGCATGTCCCTGCAATGGCGGATTCCACTTTCCCTGGTCCCCAATGAACTTAAATGTCATGATTTGAAGAAAAAATAGGCAGTTTTTTTCGTGTCAGGAGCAACTTGAGAAACTACACGTCGTTTCTGGTGTGAGAGAATTGGCCGTCTGCAAGGACGTTGTCCGGGGGACGCCCAGATGTTTTGATGTTTTACCATCCTTGTGGGAGGTTTCTCTCATATCCCCGCATGGGAGCTGGAGCTAACAGAGGGAGCTCATCCACACTCTCCGTGGATTCGAACCTGTGACCTGTCCTGCTGGCACAAGGGTTTAACTCGCTGTGCCACTGGGGGCAGAAAAAATGAAATGCAAAGATACAGAATGGGGAGTGCCTGGTTCGAGAGCAGTACGTTGAAAAAGATCTTGAAGCTCTTGTGGACAGCAAGTTAAACATGAGACAAAAATGACATGTGGCAGCTAAAAAAGCCAATGGGATTTTGACCTGCATAAAGAGGAGTCTAGTGCCTAGATCCAGGGAAGTCATGCTAACTTTCTGTTCTGCCTTGGTCAGACCTGTGTCCAGCACCTTGTTTTCTGCTGCCCTGGAGACTAGGATGCAGAACAATGGCTTCAAACTACAGGAAAGGAGATTCCACCTGAACATTAGGAGGATCCTCCTAACTGTGAGAAAGAACTGTTCAGCAGTGGAACTCTCTGCCCTGGAGTGTGGTGGAGGCTCCTTCTTTGGAGGCTTTGAAACAGAGGCTGGATGGCCATCTGTCGGGGGATGCTTTGAATGTGATTTTCCTGCTTCTTGGCAAAATGGGGTTGGACAGGATGGTCCACTAGGTCTCTTCCAACTCTAAGATTCTATGATTCTATGCACTAATAATTCTAAATCCCCTTTATACAGGTTGACATGGATAGGACTGGAGAGATGCGGCTCATGGAACTGGACGAATCCTACAGGAGCGAGCACACGGTTTTCATCACTCCCCCTGAGATCCCTCACCTTCCCAATGGAGAAGAACTTCCATCGCAGTACAGGTAATAACCCCTTGGTGCATTGCAAGAACCTAGTGGACTATTATAGGCATTCACAGCCTTTCTTTTGAACTTTAATTTGGTATAGACTAATTATTTAAAAAATAGTCAAGGAATTAAAATATTCTAATTGGGCATTTCAGTTAAGGAACACAGAAGCCAGGAGAACTTTGTTTCTTTGTTGACTTTGAAGGACACATTGGACCAGAGTCATTTCTAATGTAGAATCATAGAGTTGGAAGAGTTAAGCCACTGTATTTAGGATGTGGTGGTTAATGCAATAGGAATAGTATTAAGGTTGTAATTATACTAAGTAAGTTTGAGGAGGGTTGATGAAAGTTGTTGGGGACGGATGGTGTTTTGGAGAGTGTGTTGGAGAATTAAGGCTGTGAGTAGAAGCTGTAAAGTTTGTCTGTTTTGTATATATTTTGCATACTGCTGCAACAAAGGATAAAGAAAAGTCTTCCTGTTTATTTGGGAAAGAACAAAAGTCTCTCTGTGTTTTGTTGTTTAAGTAGAAGAAGATCACTTACTACAACTGTGTTTTTGGATACCTTGTTCCTTAACTGGAACTAATAATGTCACTTCCCCAAGAACAGGACTTGAACTTGAGTACATAGAACTCCTGACAATCCAGTCCAACCCTTTTTTGCCAGGCAGGAAAAACATGATCCAAACACTCCTGGCAGATGGCCATCCAGCCTCTGTTGAAAAGCCACCACACCCTGACACAGAGAGTTCCACTGTTGAACAGTTCTCACGGTCAGGAAATTCTTCCTAATGTTTAGGTGTAGTAAAAGTCTATAGAATGGCCTCCCCCAGGAGAATCCTAGAGTTGGAAGGATGCCCCATCCAGCCTAACCCCTTTCTGCCATGTAGGAACACACAATCAAAGCACTCCCAATAGATGGCCATCCAACCTCTGCTTGAAAACCTCCAGAGAAGGGGACTCCAGTGGACTCCCGAGGCAACCTATTCCACTGCCATACAACTCTTACCAATTACAAGTTCTTCCTAATGTTTAGGTGAAATTTTCTTTCCTGCAATTAGATTGGCTTTGCCTCTCCTAGCCTGTAAGACATCTTTGGGTTTCCAAATGGTTTGGTCAGCAGTCCCCATCCAGCATGATCAGTGATAACGAATTGTGAGAGTCTTCCAAAACATCTGGAAGATCCCTGGCTGCCAATCTGCTACCAAGCAGAATTCAAAGTGCTGGATTTAGCCTAAAACCTTAAACGATTCTAGCCCAACTTACCTGTCCAAATGTATCTCCCTCTATAAACCATATTGGAGGCTAAGATCATCTGGGGAGGCCCTGCTCTCAGTCCTGCCTCCATCACAAGTGCAGTTGGCGTGGGCGAAAGACAGGGCCTTCTCAGTGGTGGCTCCTCGGTTCTGGAACTCCCTCCCCAGCAAGTTTAGATCAGTGCCCCCCCCCGGCTGTAGGATCAAGCCTTTGGCTAATAAATAATGCAGTACAAAGAATTATTAAGGAACATGTGCAATTCGGAATGGCTATGGTATACGATTTCTGAATCATGGGATTTTAATGTTTATACTAGGATGATTTTATGCTTGTCTGAATGTTTGAATTTTATGTATGTCTTATGTTTAATGGTTTTAGTTGGTTTTAAGTTCATAGTTATGTGTAGTAATTAGTTATTATGATGTCCTTGTGTACTGCATGTTGGCATTGAATTTTTGCCATTAGTATGTTGTAAACCGCCTTGAGTCCCCCCAGAGGTGAGAAAGGCAGTAAATAAATAAATAAATCCATCATACAAATAATAATAATAATAATAATAATAATAATAATTCTTACCTGCCTCTTCTCATGGCTCAAGGCAGGTTACAAAACAATTAAGACACATAAACACTGCAAAAACACCACAAATACACATATTAAAACGTACCTCTATAAAAGCTACACACCAAAATGTATCTCTATAAAATAAACATTAAAATACACAAAACGGAGATTAAATGAATCTCACGCATTTAAAATTCATGTTTAAAGACTGTTTGGGTAGGCCTGAAGAGAGGCCAGAAGAGATTGTTTCAACGTCCCTTGTTTTGCAGTTTTGCTTCAAATTGGGAAAAGAATCTAGTAATTACAAGTGTCAGACAAGCTATTTCAGTAGGGTTTGTTTTGTCTTCCTGCGAGTCCATTTTATAAAATCCACCGACTTCATTTTCTCTTTCAAACAAATTTGCGGGTTGACATTGATTTGTAAGGGTTTCCCATCCTGCTTTGTCCGTTAGAAAATAAATCAGCATTGCAGACGTTTCCCGCATAAATACAATCAATACTGACCTTGTCAATCTAGTGGAATAGAGAACACAAACCTGAGTTAAATACTGAGCACATGGATGCTAAGTCAGCATGCAATATACCTAAGAAGATGGTGGCAAGGCTGTATCCCATTCCCAATTGACCTACTGCCATTGCCAGGCCCGTACTCAGTGACATGCCAAGCAAACCTTGTCATCTTCAGGTTGAAAAAAAGGGGTCAATGATGACTGCAAAGGCTTTTGACAAGGGACTATTTGGCCTACTTCTTGGAATGGATTTGTATTAGATCACTTTCCCAAACCTTAGTTTTTTAAGTGTTTTGGACTTCAGGTCCCAGAATCCCAGGTTTTTGCCAAGGCAGCTAAAGCTTCTGAGAGTTGAAGTTCAAAACACCTCGAAGATCAGAGTTTGGGAATTGCTGATTTAGATGAGTTTAAATCTATGGATAGTTTAACTGCATTTAACTATAACTTTTATATGAATTTACATGTTTTTATACATCTTTCAACTGTATCCGCACTAACTTTTACATGGCAATTTGAGTCCCAAAATTGAATGGAAGGTAGGATAGAAATGCCATCATTATCATCTCCACTTCCTCCTTCATGTAATTTCATGCTGTATTATGGGTATGCGTTGTACTTGGAATACCAGAACAGCACGGTAGCTCTTGACGTCTCAAGGTAATGTGGGATGTAAGTACAGTAGAATCTCGCTTATCCGACATTTTGTCTTATCCGACGCTCTTATCCAACATCCCCCTTTTCCTCCAGTATTTCCCCTTCAATTAAAGGAGCGCTCCCCAACTCTCTCTCCATTCCCAAAAAGTTAGAAAGGCAAGACAAAGGGGGGAGGGGGGGAGGAAAAGGAAAGGGAGAAAAGAGGCAGGACTGGAAGCATCTTCTCTCCTTCCCTCTGTAATTTCCATGCTCCTCTTCCGCATCCGGGAACTTCCTCCTGGGCCACTCTAGCCCCGAGGCCTTGCCTTGCCTTAACTCTTTGAGTCCCTGTTGTTAGTATTCTAGGTGTCTAGTGCTGCATTGGACTCCATATTATCCGACATTTTCACTTATCCGAAGTTCTGCCGGCCTGTTTATGTCAAATAAGCGAGACTCTATTGTAAATAATACAGTGTGGAATAGGTTTGTAATTATTTATTTTAGCTTTTTAGCTTTAAATATGTTTTAATGGATTTGAACTGTGATTTTTTAATACAGTTATGTTTAGTTCTGTTTTAATGTTTGCATATTTGTATATTTTAAATTATGTGGTCATACTTTTAACGTAAGCTGCTTTGAGTCTCCTTCGGTAGTGATAAAATGGATGATGATGATGATTATTATTATTATTATTTACAATTCCATTAATAGTCTTAAGTGCGGTTGGTGGGGACAAGAGAGAGGGCCTTCTCTGTGGTGGTTCTCCGGCTTTGGAATGCCCTCCAGAGAGAGATTAGGCTAGCTCCCATTCTCCAAGCCTTCCATTTACAACTGAAGACATGGCTATTTTTACAAGCCTTTGACTATGTTTAGAATCCCTTAATGAACATATTTTAGGAACTAGAGATTATTATCACTGTGCACTTTATGAGACTGATATTGATTATAATTATTTCATACCTGCAGCTATGGTTGCATTTTACTGATCTTAACCATGGGGGTTGTGATGTTTATGTTTGTTTGTTACTTCTTTGGTGGTATTGTCTTTGCACTTTGTATTTTGCTTGTTTGCACCTTGAATGATTTATGAGCTGCCCCAAGTCCCTCGGGAGTTGGTGGTGAGGAATAAAGTTTTATTATTGTTGTTACTATTATTATTATTCGATACACAACAAGATTAGTACACAGCAAACGAGATCACTATGCTTGCTTTTGTGTTGGATCATACATCAGGCACTTCCCAAGTGTCTAGGATTGTGTGATGTATTGGTGAATAATGTGTGCAGATCCAAGTAAGGAGCTGAAAGATGGTAATGTTATCAGTGCTGATTGTTTTTAAGTGCAGACCAAGGTCTTTAGGCACTGCACCCAGTGTGCCAATCACTAGTGGGACCACCTTGACTGGCTTGTGCCAGAATCTTTGCACTTCTGTCTTTAAATCCTCATATTGTGTAAGCTTTTCCAGTTGCTTCTCGTCAATTCTACTGTCACCTGGGATTGCAGGATTGATTATCCATACTTGTTTGTTTCCCCCCACGATCATGAGATCAGGGGGGTTGTGCTCCAAAACTCTGTCATTCTGAATTTGGAGAATAGTTTGACATGTTCTTTTTCCACAACCTTTTCAGGCTTGTGGTCCTACCAGTTCTTTGTCACAGATAGATGGCATTTGGTAACAATAATAATAATAATAATAATAATAATAATAATAATAATAATAATAATTCTAAGATCTACAGAGACACTTGCTGGAACACCTCAGCAAGCGAGAGTCCAAAAGTGGCAGGCTCAAATCCAGAACCTCAACCAATGGCTGATACCAGATGAGAGACTCCCCCCTGGGCACACAGAAGACTGGGCAACTTGGAAGGCGCTGAACAGACTGCGCTCTGGCACCACAAGATGCAGAGCCAATCTTAAGAAATGGGGCTACAAAGTGGAATCCACGACATGGGAGTGTGGAGAAGAGCAAACCACTGACCACCTGCTGCAATGCAACCTGAGTCCTGCCACATGCACAATGGATGACCTCCTTGCAGCCACACCAGAAGCACTCCAAGTGGCCAGCTACTTGTCAAAGGACATTTAATCAACTACCAAGCTTGCAAATTTTGTGTTTTGTTTGTTTGTTTGTTTGTTTTGTTCTGTTAGAAATGTAATACAATTGTCTGGTTGCCCCGACACGATAAATAAATAAATATTATTATTATTAGTGCAATAGTGCAATATGGAACAGACACGAATGCAGCAGCATTAAGGATGACCACGGGGTTAGGGCTTTGTTTTTTACAGTTTTAACAGTTTTATTGTATTTATATGTTTTGTTTGTTTATTGTTTAATAGGATGTATTTATACACCATGTTTTTGCATCGTGGCATTGAAGTGGCCAAACTGTAAGCTGCTCTGAGTCCCATTTAGGGTGAAAAGAGCGGGGTAGAAGTATGGTAAATAAATAAATCCATTTTAGTGTTTGTATATTTTTAGGCTTTAACTTGTACTGTATTGGTTTTATTGTGTGCTGCTTTGAGTTCCTTTCTTAAAGAGGAAAAGTGGGATGCAACAAATAATAATTATAGTAATAATATTTGTTTCCTCCAGTTACAATGGGTTTCCTGTGCTGAGGCAAGATTTGTTTGAGCGGCCGGCGGGACTCCTGACAATACAAAACCACAAATTATCTTCCAAAGCCAGCAGTCCGAACAGCCCTCTGCCCATGTTCAGGAGAACAAAACAGGTACAGTGTAGTAATGCTACACCTTTCGTTTTTTTAGAAAGCCCGTATTTCCCAGGTTTGCTGCGTCTCTCACAGTGTTGTGAAAAACATTTGTCTCTTTCTTGCTTCGCTCCCAGCCCAAATTTCTTGTCATATGCACTAAATACAATTCAGTTGTCAAATCTCACATCCAGTGAGAATTTGGCCTGGAGTACTCCTACAAAAGCAGCCCATCAAAGCATGAAATGAAAAAGCTTTTGAAACTCAGGAGATTTGAATAGCATGATACAGGATGTCAAATTGCAGCTGTTGTTCAAAGGCAGCAAAAATGTCAGAATTCCCAACGGTTGTGCCTAGAATAGCACTTGGCCTCCTAGATGCATTGAAGAAAACTTCCAGACCACACAGACTTTGTGACATAAGTGAGCATAATGTGTAAAACCATGGGATGCATTGTTCTAACAGTGGCCTTTTGAAAAGAAAAAGAAGTGATATCCTTGTTGCAATCCAGATTTACAGATTTGTCTTGCATTGGAGGAATTATTATTCCAGTGTTCACTTTGCCTCTCCATGGCATGCACTTCGGTTTGGTGTCTGCATTGAATTCCGAAGAGGATTTCATCCTCCCTGGAGGCTCTGAACGATCATCTAATCCCACGTTTTCTTTCTTGCTGCTGTTCATCACAGTCGTTGCGCTGCTGCTAGAATTAGGCCTATTGCATCACAAGGTGGGGATGAAAGGAAAGCACTTCCTCATTGTTCTTCTCTACAGAAGAGGAATTGAGAGATGTGCTGCCTCTTAGCCCGGAGGCCATTGAAATTTGCAGCCATTGGACAGACATATTCTCCGCAAAGTAGTCCTTTCATTCCATTTTAAAACCATTTTGTTCTGTGTATTTTAAAGCATGTGTATTTTGTATATGTTTTATGATGATGTGTTATAAAATGTGTTATATGGTGTGTTTTGTATATGTTTTATGATGATGTGTTAAGCCCCTGGTGGCGCAGTGGGTTAAAGCCCTGTGCTGGCAGGACTGAAGACCGACAGGTCGCAGGTTCGAATCCGGGGAGAGGCGGATGAGCTGCCTCTATCATCTCCAGCTCCTCATGCAGGGACATGAGAGAAGCCTCCCACAAGGATGATAAAACATCAAAATCATCCGGGCGTCCCCTGGGCAACGTCCTTGCAGATGGCCAATTCTCTCACAACAGGATTCTCCTGACACGACCAAAAATAAATAAATGATGATGTGTTTTTGGCTATGTGCTGCCCCAAGGAGAGGCGAATAAGAAATACGATCATCATCATCATCATCTAAGGCAGTGGTTCCCAATCTTTTTTCCACCAGGGACCACTTTGACCAGAGACCATTCTCCGGTATTAGTACCAAAAGGGTTACGGATAACTTTAGATTCGATTTGGTTATTTGGGGTGCTGATTCAGAAAATTGCATTGGATAGACCACATCAGTTCTAGTGTCTGATACAGAACATATGCCATCTAGCAGTCGCCATCTGCTCACCCACTGAAAAACTAGAGCTGATGTGGTTGTAGTAATCTTTTGTGGGTAGTCAGCCTCTCCCCTCCCAACATTCCTGTTGCTTCAGCAGTATAAGAAGGTTTCGTGAAACTAGTCACTCTTGTTGCTGCTTGGTTTCGAAGCAAAGTATAGTAATGGTGAGACCGGGTACCATATTTTCATTCTTGCAGACCACTGGTGGTCCACAGACCACAGATTGGGAACAACTGATCTAAGGCGAGAGTTACATATCCAGAGAAGAGCGTCTAAAATGATCAAAGGTCTGGAAGCCATGAATCCCCCCTGAGGAGCAGCTTAAAGAGCTGGCTCTGTTTAGCCTCAGATGAGAAAGTTGAGAGGAGACATGAGAGCCATGTTTCAATATTGGAAAGGGTGTCATAAGTAAGTGGGAGCAAGGCTTGTGTTCTGCTTCTCCGGAAACTAGGACTCAATGGAGCTATGGGTTTAAATCCCAGGAAAGAAGATTCCACCTGAACGTTAGGAAGAACTTCCTGACCATTAGAAGGGCTGTTAAGTAATGGAACTCTCTACATTGGAGTCTGGTGGAGGCTCCTTATTTGAGGCTTTTAAACAGAGACTGAATGGCAATCTATCAGGGTGGATTGATTGTTCTTGGAGTCTCGTCCAACTCTATGATTCTTCCCTAACCTTGGTCAAGAATTAGAAAGGCATGTGGAAGGGATTTTCTTCCCGATTGGAGGCATCTTTCTGGCAGTGGTAGTTGCAGGCAGCTAGAAGCAGAGTTCACATCTGATTTTGGATAGTTAAAACACTCAACCTTATTTGTTTCTTCTGAGCCAAAAACCTGGCCTGTAGGAATGATGCGATACACCACCCAGTGCTTTAATTAATGAAATCCTTTCCAGGGCCTGCTGGTCGCACAGCGAGTGCAAATGAGCTAGCAGCTCATCATTATTTTCTACAGATCTGCTCTTGTTCATCATTCGCATACCATCACCTTGACTTTTCTCTGATCCGTTTTGCGGTTTGGGCAACCGTTTCAGAAACCCATTCTCCTTGCTAATGGACTTTATATTCTGCTGCCTTTGAGATGACTATTTATGTTCCATATTAAGCAATGCTTCTGTGCCATTGCCCTGGAATGATTTCATCGGATAACAGTTTGCATTTCAATTCTTTTTAACGTGCCATTAGCTTAATGAATCATCCTTGTGTCTTCTCACTTATGAACAATGAGAAAACCCAGCTGAATTTATGTTCGGAGTGATGCAATATTATCATTAACATGAACATCAGAGCTGACTGTCCAGGCATGGCTCTATTTTGCGAGGCGGGCAAAGTTGCGTATCAGTGAAAAAGAGGGCTTTCAGAAGCAAAGCATAGAAGCTTCTCAGTCAGCAGACAGTCAACTGATGGATTAGGGAGCTAGAAAGCCAAGGCAGAGGCTGAAGGCAGCCTTTGCTTCATACTTAATAAAACATTCATTCAGGACTGTCTGAGTGCAAAGACTTGTCTAATATAGGCTTTTCTGGCTTCTTTCTCAGCATTAAAAAGTCGTTTCCGTAAATCATAAATGTGATATTTGTGCTGGGGAGGAGTATTTTGTATTTTCTTGAAGGGGCATGGGGTTAACAGCAGGTATTGGGGGGGGGGGGGGAATGGGAAATCAAACTCTCACATATTGCAGCCATGATTCTAACATTATCAAATTTCAAGAAAATACAAAGAGATGCCATGACAACTCTCTTTCATCTTGTGTTTATTTGGCCCCAAAGCTTTTAAAGACCATATCAAAAGCTTTTGGCTGCTTCGGCCTACCTGATAAGTTTCTCCTCAGCAGCTCTAATATTTCTGGCATGAATGTTCTCAAAATTTCTACAGAAACAATTAATGGGAGAATCCTACTGGTTGTCGTGTTCTGGGCTCTCTAAGTACCAAGGCTGGAGTCTTTTTAAACAAAAGCAAGGAAGTCAAAACCATATGTTCTTATAAGAGACTAAAGTCTTGAGTCTTTCAAGGTTTGGCCAAAATGAGAGAAGTGTAGCACACAGCCATAGTAATGATGAATACTGCCAGGGTCAAGAGTCCCAATTCATGCAGACAAGCTGAATGCTACAGAACTAGGTCAGGAGTGAAGATTACAATCCAATAGTCCGATGCTAGGAGCTCACTTATGAGACTTCGTAAAACATAGACCAAGAATCTGAAAAGTACAAACCAAAGTCAGAGTTCTGAAGTAAAGCAAAATAGTCAAGGATACAAATTAAAGTCAAGTCTATAACCAGAGCCAGGAAGTTAGTCCATAATTCAGAGCCAATTCTAACCTGAGGACAACCGAGCCAAGATCTAGAACAAGAGGACAAAGACAACGTTCTCTGCTATCAAAGATCTATCCTTTTCCAGGCTGTTTTATCAAGAGATCTCATCTACTGCTTGATTCAGCAAGCCTTCACAGATAAAACCAGAAGGCTGTGATGTTTTCTTTGAGGAGGTCAGTTTAACCCTTTCCAAGCTTGCTCAAAATGTGCTGTGTGGATGGATAAACGAAATTGTATGATGTGTGGAATGAATGAAAACTGGCAAAGACTGAAGATGCCATCCCAAGAAGATTGAGGCCTACAATGACATTATGGAGGTGATGAAAAGGCTGATGAAGGAAAACTACTAGAACTGTTGACCTGATGAAATATGGTTGAAAACAACATGTTTACATGACCCAGATTCTTTAAGTTAAGTCAAACAATGGTTCCTTACATTAAGGAGGAAAACCAACATTTGTTGGTTCTGTCGAAAATTGATGGAGTGTCAGCATGTTTTAGCTGGATAACAGGTTGATCAATTTGCAACTTCAACAGCAGCAGAAATGCTATATATAAGAAGCCCAGCATGGAAGCAAAGAACGAAGTACAAAAAGCTTTGTTTGTGTTATGGAAACCTTGTTCTTGTAAATATTTCAACCATATTATTTTGCTATAAAGAAAAGCCTCCTATGGAAGAGATAGCATTGGTCTGTGTGTTTTTTGTTCTTTTTATCACTTTTGGCTACTGGTGCTGGGTCATGCTGCTGCTGATAAGTTACTCTGTGCATTTGTGAGGAGCGTCTTTTGTTAATAAGCCTACTTGCCCAACAATAACCCCTTTGTTTGTGTAACCAATGTAGCTATATAATCTGTGTGTCTATCTTCTTTCTTCGTAAAGTGCCTGATATACTCTGTCCCAATGAAAGTGGGATAAAATAACATTTTTAAGGTTTAAAAAGTATTCATGACACAAATCTTCCTCTGTTGGAGACCTGCCCCCAGAAACAGCCCAGCCAGGCCAGAGAAATGGCTGGCCACAACATCCTCTCCTTTTCTTCCTTTTATGAAGCCATGCATTGTTTCAAAGTTGTAACGTTCTCTAAGCATCTTTTCTCAATGTGTCTTTGCAGGAAATCAGGTCGGCCCATAAGATCGCTAAGAGGTACTCCTCCATCCCTCAGATGTGGTCCCGGTGTTTGCTGCGCCACTGTTACGGCCTATGGTTTATCTGCCTCCCAGCCTATGTCAAAGTCTGCCACTCCAAAGTGAGAGCGCTGAGGACAGCCTACGATGTGCTGCGGAAGATGCACACTAAAAAGATTGACCCACCCGATGAGGTAAGGGTCAATTATTACCTCATGCAGTTACCTTTTCAGAGGCATGCGATCCTTATGTTATATGTCAACATCTTGACGTTGAAATCATAAACGGAGATACCCTTCCTTTTCAGGTGTGCTACCGAGTGTTGATGCAGCTATGTGGACAATATGGCCAACCTGTGTTAGCTGTGAGGGTCCTTTTTGAAATGAAAAAAGCTGGAGTTGACCCTAATGCCATTACATATGGTTATTATAATAAGGTAAACAATGTATTCAAGATGCAGTTGTTGCAATTGGAAGAATGGTATAGGGAGATTTGGGGTATTGCAATAGATAAATTGACATGAAATATTAAGATTAAAAGAGGGCTACTGAAAAAGGATGATTTTGGGGAGTTATGGGGGAATTTATATAGTTTGTATATATAGAAGGTAAGGGGAACAAGGTAAGGGGAAATTTGGAAATAAATATTGTAACTGGCTGGGCTGGGGTGAAAGATAAGCAGTAGGTGAAGGGTTAACAAGGGGAAGGCAGATAGAGGTAAATAACAAGTATGTAATAGAGCTAGAGGATGAATATATTATAGGAGTCAAGACATACATATTTCTGTATTACAAATCTGTTATGGGGAAGTGGTATCTATAAGAATTTTTAAGCACTGGATATGTAAAATTCACAATTATGTAAATAAAATTAATAATCATAATAATAATAACTCAAAAACTCTGGCACAAACCAATAAACGTAGTCCCAGTGGAGTTCGGCACACTGGGTGCAGTGCCTAAAGACCTTGGCTTGCACTTAAACACAATCAGCACTGATAAGATTACCATCTGCCAGCTGCAAAAGGCCGCCTTACTCAGATGTGCACGCATTATTCACCGATAAATCACACAGTCCTAGACACTTGGGAAGTGTCCGACATGTGATTCAATAGAATAGCCAGCAGAGTGTCTGCTGTGGACTCATCTTGTGGTGTTTCCAATAATAATAATAATAATAACAACAACAACAACAACATGTGATTATTGTAAATTATGTGAAAGCATTTTATTCCATGCTTCATTATGGTAGAATTTTATTCACTATCTCAGCACTATCAGCCCCAGCAATCCAAAGCCCGCACTTTCTTATCAAATGGCTACCAGCATATAGCTTGAAATACTCTTGGTATAACCTGTGGAAATAATAGATGTAACATGAAAGAAGCCAGATGGTTGGACCTATGTTTTTGGAAAAAATACCGATTTTGAGCAGTAGAGAGGGGATGTTTCACCTTTTTATTATCATATTCCCAACCCAAAATACCTTCTCCAAACTTCTGTGAGCTCTGTATAACCATATAGTGTATTATAGATTGTATTAATGGTTTCATGTGCTGAGGTGAGGCACAAGTCCTTTCAGAAAACAGACAAATGCATTAGGAAATCAATACACCACATTTGTAATGTAGCAGGGCTTATCTGCTGCTTCAGTTGTCATTGGCCAGGCATATCTCCAAATACTTGGTCTAAAAAGCTGTTGTTACCACAACTGTTATTTTAATGAGAAGCAGGCCAGAATGTTGAATATAATTAGGGAAACAGATTCAAATCCTAATCCATTCATTGTAATAAATTTCTTGAAATAGTGTCTTACATCTTGATCTGACTCAGTGGATGATTTCAATTCAGAAAGGAATAATCAAAATGATGCCTCCCTCCAATAGATATGCATAAATATCCATGTGATGTTGTTACAGGCTGTTTTGGAAAGCACCTGGCCATCCAGCAACCGAAGTGGCTATTTTCTGTGGACAAAGATAAGAAACGTCGTCTTAGGTATAGCACAGTTCAAAAGAGTCCTGAGGAAGCAGCCTGCAAACGGCATCCACAAAAGTCTTTCTGGTAAAGCATTCATACATATCTTTTAGTTTGAAACACTCAGTATAAAGGACTGTGACGACTCCTCTCAAATTATACAGTCAACATTTAAGGTGAAATAAGGATACCTTTTATCTGAAGAAGCACAGAGAAAGAAGCAGCCATTGGCCCCTTCAAATGCTGGCTTATATTTGAATGTGGATATTTGTAGTGAGGCAAATAGTTCTAGCAAATAATATACTATTCAAATAGAAGTGCCAGTGTTGATTTCTTGCACTTGATTATTAATTTAGCTATTGGAAATGTATTCATCCATAATCATCTATATGAAAAATTATGAGAAATCCTGAAACCTGAACTACTGTAGTAAAATCAACGTCTCTCTGAAGTATTGTTTCACATAATAAAAGGTAAAGGTTTCCCCTTGACATTAAGTCTAGTCATGTCCGACTCTGATGGGGTGGTGCTCATCTCCATTTCTAAGCTGAGGAGCCGGAGTTGTGCATAGACACCTCCAAGGTCATGTGGCCGGATGACTGCATAGAGCACTGTTACCTTCCCAGCAAAGTGGTACCTATTGATCTACTCACATTTGCATGTTTTTGAACTGCTAGGTTGGCAGAAGCTGGGGCTAACAGCGGGAGCTCACCCCGTTCCCCAGATTCAAACTGCTAACCTTTTGGTCAGCAAGGTCAGCACCTCAGTGGTTTAACCCACTACGCCAACCGGGGGCTCCGTTTCACATGATATGCACCTGTTAATCCTGAAAAGTACTTACTTGAAGGAGTGCCTTCATAAAGTACCATATGTAATAATCTAATGATTGCATCTTTAAGGCATCATCTTCCAACTCTCTGATTCTGTCTTGAAGCAGCCTTAGGTTCTGATCCACCTCCGTGTTCTTCTCCTGCTTTGTATTTTATTTTATTAATAAAAACAGATTGTTAACTTTTGCACCTATTGCTTTTGTATCATGATAGAAGCAGAGCATTCGGATCTCTTCTACAAACTCTCCAAAGAAGCTGTGACGCAAGGGAAAGCAACCACTCAGAAGAACGGAGAGCAAAAAGAAGAGAAAAAGGAGAGCGACTCCCGCTCCTGTATGTATCAAATATCAAAGCCTCTGTTCTGTTTCTTGATATGATTCCCTTCAGGGAGAGAGGGTGGTTTATAAATAAAGTATTGTTATTATTATTATTATTATCATCATTATATCAAACCTGGGTTTATATTAGCAGCAGTTTAATGACTAATTCTTCAGTAGTGCATATGTTGTATTTTGTTGTTGTACCATTCCAGTTGTCCTGGAAGCATTAACCTCAAGCTCTAAAAGGTTTTGGCTTTTGGATGCTTAATACCAAGCAGAAACGGTCTACTGTTAATGGGTGTTTTCAGTGGTTATTATGAGCAAGTCAGCTCCTGATGAATTCTCCCTGTGTTTTGTCTGAATGCAGTATCTGAGATAGAGAATGGGAAAGGTAGTGGCGACTGCCTCCATGCATTAAATTATCGGAATTCCAACAGCACTAAGACTGCTTCAAGGATTGTTCGTATCAGTGATACCATTGGCAAAATAACAGATGCAGCAGGAAATATTGGGACAGGTGAGGTGATATCCTCAAAGTTTCATTCTTACCATTTAACTTTTTTTAAGTGTTTATTTTTTCTCAGAAAATGCCCCCATTGTGTACGTTCATTCATACAGCGACTGTATTTTTCTAATCCCTGTGACTATGATACAAAATACTGCTATCTTGCCCTTTATATGTAAGGACAATTATACTGCTACGGCCAACCTTCCCTCCCTCTTTCTCTCCTTTCTTTCTCTCCTTTCTTCCTTCTCTGCCTCCTTCCTTCCTCCCTCCCTCCCTCCCTCCCTTCCCTCCTTCCTTTTTTTTGTTTCCTTCTCTCCTTCCTTCCTTCTCTACCTCTTTCCTTCCTTCTCCCATTTTCTTTCCCTTTTCTGTCTTTTCTTTCTTCCCTCCTCTACCTCTTTCTTTCTGTCCTTCTTTTGCTCTTTCCTTCCATCCTTACTTCTCTCCCTCTTTCTCTCCTTCTTTCCTTTTCTCCCTCCTCCCCTACCTCTTTCCTTCCTTCCCTGGCGGTGGATGAGACCCCCCCCCCCCACTGGACCCACCATTGCACTGTCCGTTCCTAGTTCCTGCTCTGGCCAGAAGAGGGAGGAATTTTTTGGTGGTTTTTTTTGAGTGATGATCACTCCTTGGGTTAGTAGGTGTCTTATGGCCAAATATTGTGTCATTTTGTCCAGAGGTTTTTGAGTTATGAGGTCCCCACAAATAAACATTACACACACACACACACACATATATATATATATGAGAGAGCGTATGTATAGCTCATTGGAATGTAAGGCAATTTTTTAACTTTACGCATTGTCAGGAAGGTTATCCATTCAGGTTTTTTGTTTGATTTTCCTTCCCAGAAAGCTCTGCTGGGTTACTGTTCTCTTCCTTTGAAAACACCAAGAAAACAAGAGTTACTAAAGTTTCGCACTTAAGAAGCAAGCATTTAAATGCAGCTGACTTAGAACATAAGCAGACGGTTTGGAGGAACAGGAACCGCAACCTGAGTGGAGATGCCCTGATCGAACTCATGAAAAATCAGATTAACCAGGAAATAAATCCGGAAGAGATTGTTGAGAAACTCGGAGTAGATGCCAAAATTCTTTCCAAAGTATTTGAGAAGCGCATCAGACCCACGACTCTCCATATCAAGCCGTCTTCTTTGGAAAGCATTAAGAGAGGAAACCTGGAGAAAGAATCCAGTGACGAGGACACGCCTTACGAGAACTGTTTTGTGGACAAAATGGAGTCTCCGGTTATATTTGACTTGGAAGATTTGGACCACGAACCCATCTTAGTTAAAACCATGAAGCCATCGCATAAAAAACCACAAAGGATCCAGCGCGCTATCAGCTTTCCCTTAAAGACCATTGAGAAAATGGGTGTTGAAAGAGGATTCGATCCATTGTCTTTGCTGGCCGCTGAGGTCGAGACGCAGGAAGAGGAGGAAGAGGAGGATAGGAGTGCCTCGACTCCGTCCACAAGGCGAGATTTGGCTGAGGAAATAGAGATGTATATGAACAATATGAACAGCCCCTTAACAAGCCGGGCGCCAAGTGTCGATCTGCAAAAAGCCTGCAGTGACAAGAACTCTCTGAAAAGGAGCCCGACATTTGCTCAGCCACGCCGGCGGTCCAGCCTCCCTCCAAACTCCCCCAGGCCGACCAGCCTCATCAAATCCAAAAGCTACCAGGCCAAAAATGAAGACAGGGTCAGGGACAGGCTTTGGTCCTCCCCGGTGTTTTCGCCACACGATTTCTCAAGGGGACAGTCTCAGGATGTGGCGGGCACCGTAATGCTGGCTTCTCCCACTGCCTTCAATTTGGACACTCTCCTGACGCCAACCTTCGACGTCCTGAAGAACAGTATGTTTACTGCAGGGAAAGGCGTGGCGGAGAAGGCCAGCAAGTGGTACTCAAAGTTTACTACGTATGCATCGTCATCCAAGGTACGTCTCGTAGGCCATGTTCATAAAATGCTTATACCATCTTCCTCGCATGACATCAGTGCCATTATAAGAGCAGAATGGTCTTTACTTTTTCTAACTTGTGAAATTTGAACTTCTGTCTTGCGTTGGCTGTATTTTGATTTTTGTTCTGTATATTTAATATAGGCAGTCCCCGAGTTACAAACATCCAACTTACAAATGACTCCTAGTTAAAGAGTGAGACAACAGGAAGTGAGAGAAATCTATCTCCTGGAAGGGGAATTAACTCCTGAAAGAATTATCATGGGGAAAAGAGCTCTCCACTGAGGCTTTCTCACCAATCCTTGTTTCCACAACAACCCATTTTTTTCAAAATCCAAAATCCAGAAAGTGATGTGAAATGTTCTGAACAGGGGCACAGGCATTAAAGGAAACACCGCAGGGGTGTTAATCCTTCCCTATGCGATCTATAGCTAAGAAATATATATATTTGGTTGGAATTACACTGTAAAAATGTACCTGTTCCAACTTACATACAGATTCAACTCAAGAATAAACCTACAGAACCTATCTTGTTCATAACTTGGGGACTGCCTATATATGTGTTTTACATAACTGTTTACATAACTGTTTAAACTGTGTTGTGACCCACCTCAAGTTTGAGGAGAGGCAGGAAAGAAACAAAAATTATCATCGTCATCATCTCTTGCAGAAGATTCCTAACTACTATTTGAAGTCTTTAGCCTGGCATATTAGTAGCCTACTGGGTCTGTTGTTGTTGTTGTTGTTACTTTTATTTATATAACACATTTCTCATTTTGAGGACTCAAGGCAGTTAATAACCACTCAATCTAATCATAATTTAAAACAAAGCAAATGCAAAAAATTTTTTAAAAAACAAATAGTAGTGTGTAGATATAAAATGCAAACACAATAAATACAAATAAAATTCCATTTAAAACTCACAATTGTCTCCACACACACTCACTCCGTGCCAGCTGGATTATGATAAAGGTGAGCTATTTTGGGAAAAGCGTTGAAGTCTTATTTACTTTGGCGCTATGGGCAGCTGTTATAAATTATTTTAAAGCAAAGGTTCTTTTTATTGCAATGTCAGTGTTAGAGGGTATAGCAGAACTTTTACACTTTTACAAAAAAGATTGTCATTGGACATACAGATTCTATGTAACTACATTGAATGCACAAACAACCTACAGTTACATTGGCTAACAAACAAACAAAGGAGGGGTTCCATTTTTACTCAGCATTCACACACATAAACATTCACTCTTCCTCATGCATACATCACTATTTCTCCCTCTGTCTCCAGGAGAAGATCATCTCTTAGGCCAGACTGCTTCCTTGCAAATCTGCCAACACATGAAAATTTCTAAAACACCAAAATGTATCCTCTTACCCTAAGAATATTACTCCAAAACACACTCCTTTCTCTTCCCTTGAGAAAAGGAGGCCAAGTGTCCAGACTCCTGCTTTCCATTGCAGATCTGACACTCTCCAAGTACACAATCTCTCTTGATAAAGCATGGCAGGTGAACAGCATTGCTGTCTGTCACAATTTCTGGATTGTAATAAGCTCTCTTATACAGCAATATTTCTGCTGACGTTGTTCTAAAGTTGTAAAGGAATGATAGATGTTTTTCCAGCCTGAAACATCCAGGCTTTATCTCAGTTTCCCGACAGATGTTGACTCTTCTTAATTGGTATTGGTAAACGACGCAAGCAGTTCTGTGTTGATTTCTTAACATAAAGTATATTGTAAACATTTCTTTAACTTAAAGAGCCATTGTATCTGACTAATATAAACATGTTGTTTTCCCCCAAAGGTTCATCAGGTCAACAATGTCAACAGTTAATCATTGTCACAGTTTTCATCAGCAACTTTTAATTACAGTCCATGAGTCTAGTTGTTTTCCAGGCCCCATTTTTTTAAAATGATGTCTCCAAAATTATTTGCTTTCATTCATTCATCTTTCATTCAATTCTATTCAAACCATACACACATTTAATCATGGCACAGCTCCCTTTATGTAATGAGGATGTATGTACAGACGTATCCCTATTACTGCAGAAACTGTATGTCTGTAGGAATCCTATGGTTTGAGAACCATTGAAAAACAAAGAAACACAAAAACCAGTGTGTCTTTTTTCCTGGGATATTCTAAATGGAAATAGGAACACATGCGTTTTCACAGAGAGATAGCTGAGATATTGATTTGAATATTTGTCTTGCATTTTAGAGGAAGCATGCTGCTTTAGACAAATTATTCAACTTGTAGAAGGGAAGTAGCTTTGCATTTGTTTCAATATATGTTTATATATAATATGAGATTTTGGAAGTGGAATCTCGTCATCTGTGTTATTCAGAAGACTGGGGTGGGCACCTAGCTTTCCCTTATGATTAAGGAAAGTAAACTTTGACATTTAAAGCTAGTTCTTGGATTAGGCTTATACCAACAGAGCCATGGAACAGGCTCTCACTGAACTTCATGAGTGTTGCTGTTTCTTCCCAATATCTTTTGTTAACAAAGGAGTTCCCTTGGTTTTTGTCCTCAGGACCAAAATTCGGACCGGGCAAGCATTTCCTCTCTGGGAGCCCTGGATTCGGAATCTACCTCTCTGACTGATGAAGACGTCTGCAATGATTTCGACAGTAACTCTTCCTTTCAAGAGAATACATCCTCTGTTTTGAAAGGGATGGGTTTGAGCAGGACGAGCCTGGAGAGCTCCGCTTCCAACAACGGCTCCTCAAAGCGCAGTGAGTTTCTGAGATTCCTCCCATTTTCTTTCCTCAGCCAGATATCTTAATCTTTTTTTCTTTCTTTCCTTCTTTCCTTCCTATCTCTTTCCTATCCTCTTTCCATCTCTCCTTCTTTCTTCTTTTTCGTTCTTTCGTTCTTTCTTTATGTTCTCATCTTCCTTTTTTCTTTTCCTCTCTCATCCTTTTCTTTCTTTGTCTTTTCTTCCTTTCTTCTTTTTCTTCCTTCCCTCTTTTCTTCTTCCGTCCTTTTCTTTCATCCCAGCCATATTAATGGAACCATAAAAATAAAAAGAAAGAGATGAATAATTTCTTTCCCAAAAACCATCAGAACGTGTACTCTTTCCATTTTTACCTGCTATTTATTGTCAGATATCACAACCATATCTAGTTTGGCCTTAACAATAATTCCTTCTTGATCTTTCTCTATGAATTTACTGTATTACTGTTTTGGGTGTTTTGCTATTTCTCTTCCTTGGGTTAACAACAATGTAATGGCCTCTAAAACTGAGAACTGCATTTCCTAGGTGAGATTCCAGAGATCATAAAGTCCAGAGTAGGAAATACTGCTTTCCTTGACTAGAAAGAATTATCATTGTTAAACAGAACATTTCCTATTGCAATTATAAGTCTCTGTTTGCTTTTTAGGCTCCCTTTCAAAGTTTCCTTTGCCTGACAAGTCGGAGCTGGTGTCATCTTGCAGTACGAGCAGTACGAGCGTGTTTCAGAATTATGCATTGGAGGTACAGCATTTTTAATGTTTTAAAGAGCATATTTATTATAATTGCAAAAAAGGCAAGCAGCATCTTTCCAGTTTGTTGTTGCTGTTGCTGTTGCTACTTCTGCTGCTTCTGCTGCTGCTGTTGTTGTTGTTAGATGTCACTATTTCGCTCTTAAAGAGACTCAGGAGTACCTTGGAATCATTTTAGTACAGTCTAGTACTAAAATACTTTGACTCAGATATGTATTATAATTCCAAAATCTCCAGCCATCGTAACCATTAGGCTTGTGCATAATTTCAAATCAAAATTGGAAGTTGTATCAAATTCATTAAATTTGTGCATACGGAGTGATTTCCGAGACATGCAGGAAAGGCGGGGGAGGGGGGAATTTAGGAATTGAATCACTTACCCATTTTTTTCATAAATGTTCTGAAACGTTCAGGTTTCTCCCATGGTCAGTTTAATTTTCACTATAACCATGAAGCAACTTTGGTAAAGCCAAGATAACATAAAGACTAGGACAGTTTTAAATTGTGTATTTTAATATTTTGATAAATGCTTTTTAATGTTTATATATTGTATGTGAACCTGTGTCCTCGCATTGAATGTTTGCCATGTATATGCTGTGCTCCGCCCTGAGTCCCCTTCGGGGTGAGAAGGGCGGAATATAAATGTTTTAAATAAATAAATAAATACATAAATAATAAAGTGCTTTTAAAATCTCATTCCTATGGCCCCATCTTCCCCAGCACCGCCATAAGGAAGGCACTGTGGGCGTGACTAATCACAGCCATCTTAAGTGTAGTTTGGGAAGTCCAGGCCCCCAGTGTAGAGATTGCAAAGTGCACTGCTGTAAACTACATTTCCCAGAATATAATGCTGCTTAGGATCCAAATGAGGCTGAGGGACCCAAGTGAGGGCTGGTCTCAGCAGTTGCTGTTTAGGGTTTGTCTAAATAAATAAATAAAATTATAGAATCTGCAAAGAGGACTAAAGTAAGCAAGCATTAAGCAACTTTTGCAAAGTCAAGAGAATGTAAAGTGCTTTTAAAAACCAATAATTTTACTTTGGCCCGATTACCATAAGGAAGGCACTGTGGGGGGCAGCCAGCCAGCCAGGCAGCCAGCCGTTTAGAGTCAGAAATGACAATAAATAAAATGATTGAATCTGCAAAGAGGACTAAAGGTAAGTAAGTAATAGTACAGATCTGTGCAAAATTGAAGTTATGTGGTTGTGTTAAAAAAGACAGATGGACACTCAAGGGGATTGCTGTTGTCACTTTTTGGTGGGATAAATTGATTTGCTCTAAGCCAATCTCTGTTCTGGGCTGTAAAAAAAGTAATGACCTATATGAATGCATCTTGAGGATGCCCTCCAACTCAATAGTGGAAGCAAATGGATATCAGGAGAGTTTGGATGGTGCCTTTCTGCCCAGAAGAAGGGGGTCAGTCTGGATGCTCCTTGATGGTGTCTGTACTATGATTTCCATTCCTGGATTATAAATGTCATAAAAACATGGTGAAAGTCTATTACACTGCAAACTTTCGCACTATAGCACATTTTGGCATATTTCATCTCCACCAATTTAACACAGTGTCTGCCACAAATACAAAGTTTCTGGAGTAGAACAACTACTTTGAAAGTAATGACCACACAGTGAAACAGGAAATAACACTTTCAAACCAGGAACAGATTTTCTTTAGTATTAAAAAAATGTTTTTGTATAAACATTTTGAAAATTCACCAAAAATCTGTGGATAAGTCAAATGTTCAGAAATTTGGTGAGCTAACAGTGGTAAATGTGCTCTACAACTTATTTATTTTATTTATTTATTAATCAATTTTATATATTGCCACTCCCCGAAGGCTCGGAGCGATTTACAATATACATATGCAATACATTACATTTAAAATCAAAGAAACAGTTCAATCAGCAAGATTCAAATGCCAGCCTAAATAAATAAGCTTAATAAGCTCTACGAAAAGATAGTAAGTCTTGGAGAGCTCGTGTTTCCGCTGGCAAGGCATTCCACAGGTAACTGTAGCAAGTTTCATCAGGATAGCTGAAAAATGAGGGAGAAAAAAGAACCTGAAGTTTCCCCATTGACAGGGACGTTTTTCGCAATCGCCATTAACGAAATAATTACAAAATTTTGTAAGTTTCATTAGAATTCTTTACAATCACTTTAAAAACAAAGCCCCAGTCCCCTTCCCAGTTTTGTATGTACTTTTGAACCATTTTTTAATGGATCATGCATGCCTAGTATCCATCTGAAGGGCATCAGGTTGGGGTTAACCACTTTAGGATACAGTATAAGACCTGATGATATTTTTCTTAATAAATTCAAATTCCAATGTGAATGGAAGCACTTCATGCAGTTGCTTCTATTACTGAACCTCCAAAGTCTATTAATGTTAGCAAATGAGCAATCATGGCTGCCCAGGGATAGTCTGCTGAGAGGAGGAACTGGGAAATCAATCTGAAATGCCGCTGTCAGCTCTATAACACATTAATTCAGTATCTAATTTGTTGACATTAGACTGCCTCCAAATCCTCACAGCTGCCTTTGGTTTTTTTTTTCTGTTGAGGAAACTAATTAATTTCTAGTGTCAAGGAAGTGTCCTTGACACAATCCACTAAAGAAGGCAGAACTGTGAAGCAATATACGAAAATACGAAAAGGTCGGGAAAATAGAATTAAATCTCAGGGTTTGAAAATTAGGTCACAAAGAGGGAGGGAGGGAGAGGTGGTACTAAATATGGATTTGACTGCGGATTTTGAAGCACCTTGTAACGAAGATCATTTTGTTTTAACCTGCAGGGCAAATTTTAATCTGTATTTGTGTATATTTGGTATATGTATTTGAATAGTGTTTTGTTTTATCTCACTGTTTTAATCATGTTGTACCTTGCCTTGAGCCTCAAGGAGGGGCGGGCAATAAACAAATAAATAATAAGATGATGATGCTTTGTTGGATTCATTCATTGAAATCAAATCCTCCCCCTCCCCCAGGTCTGTAAGCTTTAATTGGCTTTATTGTTAATTAGTTAATTAATTAATTTCTATCCCACTTTTCCCACGGAATGGGACTCAAAGCAGTGAACAACATAGAAAAAACAAAGACATGACATACAATAAGAATAAACAGCATAATCATATCTAATAAAATTATTTAAAAACCCACATCAAACATAATTAGCATCTAACCAAAAAACACAATTAAACATCCAATAGATTACCAGAATCGTCAGCTATAGCTTTAATTGCTTTAATTGACATGAAGCAATTTGTATTAGAGTGAATACTTCTTTGTTTTCTGATGCTTTAAAAAAATTGATAGCAAATGCAGTAAATGCATTTGCAGAGATTTCTAATAAGAAATTACACTATGTAACATCATTTTTGTTCCTAGATTCTAAATGTCACTTCCTAATTGCTTCTATCATAAAAACATGGAGAAAATGTATTAAACTGAAAAATGTTATTTTGCAGGAGGGGCATCTGGTATAGCACATTTTGCTATATGTTTTCAATGATGATAATGATAATAATTTTTTGTCATGTCAGGAGTGACTTCAGAAACTGCAAGTCGCTTCTGATGTGAGAGAATTGGCTGTCTGCAAGGACATTGGCCAGGGGACGCCCAGATGTTTTTGATGTTTTACTATCCTTGTGGGAGGCTTCTCTCATGTCCCCACATGAGGAGCTGGAGCTGATAGAGGGAGCTAATCCGCACTCTCCCCAGATTCAAACCTGCGACTTGTTGGTCTTCAGTCCTGCCGGCACAAGAGTTTAACTCACTGTGCCACCGGGGGCTCCAATAATAATAATAATAATAATAATAATAATAACTATTTTATATCCCGCCACCATTTCCCCGAAGAGACTCGGGGCGCCTTACAGAGGGCACACTTGGATGGTCCTGAGATCCCTGCCATTTATATTACTGTCCTTATCAGTGAGGCAAAACTCAGTGCCCTATTCTTAAACTCAGTGCTTCTTGCAGGTCCTCATCTCAAGTTGTTCACGGTGCCGGACCTGCGATTGCCTCGTCCATGATGAAGAGATCATGGCCGGATGGACCGCCGACGATTCCAACCTGAACACCACTTGCCCTTTCTGTGGGAACTTGTTCTTACCTTTCTTGAACATCGAAATCAGGGACCTCCGGGGGCCTGGAAGGTAACTGATTGCTGTTCATTGGGCTGTTTCTTTCTTTCCTTTTATGGTTCAAATTTTTAAATTTTATTGTATACAAGTGACAAACAAAAACAAAAAAATACACTAATTAGCAAAACAGATACATTACAACACACTAACAAACCTTTGGCCACATCATGAGAAGAAAGGAAAGCTTAGAGAAGACAATTATGCTGGGGAAAATGGAAGGAAAAAGGAAGAGGGGCCGAGCAAGGGCAAGATGGATGGATGGTATCCTTGAAGTGACTGGCTTGACCTTGAAGGAGCTGGGGGTGGGGACGGCCGACAGGGAACTCTGGCGTGGGCTGGTCCATTAGGTCACGAAGAGTCGGAAACGACTGAACAAACGAACAACAACAACAAACCTTTTCCCTGGAGCTAGAACCCCCGGTTTCATTCTCTTTACTAATTATCTCCCAAAATAGTTCTAAAAGACACATTTCTGGTTTTTTTCTTAACCTTATTAGTAATGATCTTGTTTGTTTCTTTAACCACATTCATCCAAAAATCTTGTACCATCCTACAAGTCCATCAAACGTGGAAAAAAGGTGCCTTCCTGCATCTCACAGCTCCAGCCTCCCCCTGGATAAGATTTATCCATTCACTGGACTGTTTCTTGTCACAGTTCTTTAACAAGCCCTTTGTCACATTAATTTTTCTGCTTCTTGTAGGTATTTTCTGAAGTCCAGTCCCTCGTCAGAGAACATGCAGCTTCCTTCCTCTGTTTCGAACCATACAGGAAAGCCTTGTGCCTCTGATTCCACTTCAGGACTGACAATATCCCTAGTCCCTGCTCATGACAGCTTACACTCAGATAGGTAAATTCAACCTGTATCATCTGAAATAAAAACCTTTGGCCTCAATTTTTTTGCCAGTCTCAACTTGCAACTCACCTGAACCATTTTAACAATTAATATATTATACTTCAGGGCCCTTCTGGTGGCACAGCAGGTTAAACCACTGAGCTGCTGAACTTGCTTACTGAAAGGTTGGCTGTTCTAATCAGGGGAGCAGGGTGAGCTCCCGCTGTTAGTCCAAGCTTCTACCAGCCTAGCAGTTTGAAAACATACAAATGTGAGTAGATCAATAGGTAACACCAGCGGGAAGGTAAAAGGCCCCATGCAGTCATGCCGGCCACCGTGAAATGGTGTCATAAGGAAGAGGGAGCAGGGCTCTTCGAAATGAAGATGAGGAGGTGTCTATGGACAATGCCGGCTCTTCGAAATGAAGATGAGCACCACCCCCCAGAGTCGGACTCAACTAGACTTAATGTCAAGGGGAAACCTTTATCTTTACCTGTATTATACATCATCTGATCAATTTGAGACTTGCAGTTGGATTGAGGTTGCTGGTTTGCTTATGGGCATTTATTTATGGATTCCTTAGATGGGAAAGCTTACAGAGGGTGAGAGTAGTAGTGTCACGTCATTATGAGCTTCTTTGGCCACATCCAGAGAACTATGTTTAGTTCTGGGCCCCTCATTTTGAGGAGGCAAGTGGAAGGGGGTTCAGAGAAGTATAAAAAGAGGGGTGGAAAACAAAACATATGAGGAGGGGTTCATCTTGGTGAAGAAATTATAGAGGAGTCATGTGAATGCGTTCCTAAAGTACATCAGGGCTTGTCACACATTGCCTGGAAAGGTTGTCTACTTTGGTTGTCTTCACAAAGAGGCAGGACAGCTCCCTGTTGGTAACGCATTTGCTGGAGATCCTGCACTAAGCAAAGAGCTGGACTATATAACCTATAAGGTCCCTTTATGATTCTCTGGTTAGGTATGGCATTAGAAAGACTTCATCCTGATCCATCCAGGCCAATCTGCGGTAGCATAGGAAGTAGGTTAGAATCTTTAAAAATTCCCTTCATTGTCAGAAAGGCAGCCAACAGAATTCAAAACCAGATGTTCTTGAATAAAAACTTTTTATGACTTTTTATGACTGGGGGCCATTTGAATTGTAATCCAATAGCACTGGTGTTCTGAAGTTGGGGAAAGGTTAAAGGACATTTTAAAGTCAGGCATCCGATCCTATCTAAATTGAAACCCCACTCTCCTGGCTGAACAGAACAAATGGCAGCCTTGCAGATGTTCCTGTATCCCAACTCCCATCAACTCTAGTCAGGATGTGTAATGATGAGCAATAGAGTTGTAGTCCAGCATCTGGAGGAGAGCCACATAAAAGGACATGGAGGGCCAGATTTGATCCTTGCGTTTGACACATGTAATGTAGGGCAAATGGGGAAGAGCTTTTCAGGAAATGTCTTGGGAATATAATTGTTAGATGGAAATAAAGTGTTTTTTTTTTTTTTTTTTTGCCAGCAGCAAGTCCAAACAGTCACCTACCAGCTGCACCAGGGGCATTCAGATCCCTTCCAGAAGGAAACAGAACTCTGTCCGCACTGAACACATCAGCCACCCCTTGTCCAGGAGCATCAGTGCCTCCATTCCCCTGGAAGCAGAGGAGACCGAGGGCCACAAGCACGGCCATGTGATCCCCACAGGGAGCCTGCCCACCTCCTTACAAGGGACAGCAGTGAGTTGATGGACCTTCGTTTACTCGCTTTGAATATTCTAAGCAAGAACATAACCTGTCCAGGGTGATTCTCTTTGTCAGGCTGGCACAAAAGAGTCAAGGAAAAATCTCTCAATATGATAGCACTTTGGAGAATGTTGTGGTGCTGGAGTTTGATTCTGTTACTCATGCACTATTGCCACTTTTTAATTAAACATGTTCAATTTTATGAAATCATAAAAGGGGAATTCAAGCGTAACAATAGAACTGAAATAGATAATCAATAGTTTATCACAACAGAAAGGAGGAGCATCTTAAAGAACTGGGTATGTTTAGCCTGTAGAAGAGAAAGTTAAGATGAGACATGAGAGCTGAGCAGGGGCGGTTCAACCCATTACGCAAAGTAAGCATTTGCAGTATAGTTGATTTTGCCCAGGGGCGCTCTTGAGGGAAAATAGACCTTGACATATGCGAGTTGTAGTTACTGGGATGTATAGTTCACCTACAATCAAAGAGCATTCTGAACTAAATCAATGATGGAATTGAATCAAATATGGCACACAGAACAGAAAATATATATCAGTGATTGGTTGGGGGAGGGCACCAAAATACTGTTTGCTTACCTTTGAAAATTACCTAGGGCTGCCTCTGGAGCCAAGTATAAAGATAGGAGTGTCATAAGGAAGAGGGAGCAGGGCTTGTTTTCTGCTGCCCTGGAAACTAGGACTCAGTGGAGCAATGAGTTCAAATTACAGGAAAGGAGATTCCACCTGAACATGATGCAGAACTTCTTGATCACGTGAGCTGTTCAACAGTGGAACTCTTTGCCTTGGAGTCTGGAGGAAGCTCCTTCCTTGGAAATTGTAAACAGAGCTGGATGGGCATCTATCAGGGATACTTTGATTGTGCTTTCTTGCATGGTATGGGGTTGGACTAGATGGCCCATGTTGTCTCTTCCAACTTTGTTATACTATGATACTATGATTCCAAAGTCTATCCAATGGGAAAAGGAATGCAGGTGTAAATATCTTTGCGTGTTACCTGAGAACATCAAGAAATGCACTGAAAGAGTCTCAAGTGAGAGAATGATAGACACGGGATCAAGATGTTCCTCTCTTTGCGGCTTAAAGAGCTGGGTCTGTTTAGCTTCCAAGGGAGAAGGTTGAGAGGAGACATAGTAGCCATGTTTTAAGTATCAGGCAGGACACCATAAGGAAGAGGGAGGAGGTTTGTTTTCTGCTGTCCTGGAGACTAGGACTCAATGGGACCATGGGTTCAAATCACAGGAAAGGAGATCCCACCTGAACATTATTAGGAAGAACCTCCTGATCATAAGAAGACTTGTTTCTCAGTGGAACTCTCTGCCTCAGAGCGTAATAGAGTCTCCTTCTTTGAAGGGTTTTATATAGAGGCTGGATGGGGGGCTTTGATTGTGCATTTCCTGCCTGGCAGAAGCAGGTTGAACTGAACAGCTCTTGGAGCATCTCCCAACTCTATGATTCCTCTTGCTGTTGTCTTTATCTTCAGATGGCAAAGACTCTTGAGGGAATCATACAATAATGGAGTTGAAAGAGACCACATGGGCCATCTAGTCCAACCCCTTGCCATGCAGGAAAAGCACAATCAAACTTAAATCTTACAGGACAGAGATGAATAATGCTCCTGCTTCTTTCTTGTCTTTCCCACTCCCCCTTTCTTTCTTTCTTTCTTTCTTTCTTTCTTTCTTTCTTTCTTTCTTTCTTTCTTTCTTCCTTTCTTTCTTTCTTTCTGTCCACCAGGACCCTCTGGGGATAGAGTGGCATTTCCCCAGCCCAGAGCCTATCACTGTCCCTTACCTGAGTCCTCTGGTTGTGTGGAAAGAGCTTGAAAGTTTACTAGAAAACGAAGGGGACCATGCAATTGCGGTGGCGGCCTTTGTGGACCACCATCCCATTGTCTTCTGGAACTTAGTGTGGTACTTCCGTCGCCTGGACCTGCCCAGTAACCTTCCAGGGTTAATCCTGTCCTCTGAGCACTGCAATAAGAACTCAAAGGTAAGGGGAAATTGATTTTCTTGAGAGTATCCTGTTTGATTTAATGCCTACATATATCCCATTCTCTTCCTCCAACGCTTTCTCAGTGAAGCCCCCTTTTGCATGATTGATGGCTTGTCTAGTTAGGCCTTGGACACTATGCCCAGTTTACCCAGCTCACATATTCCTGTTCTTTTTTTGCTCACTTTTCTTTCTGTTCCCCCCCCCCCCCCACCACCACCACCACCCTTTTAATGGCTGAGCAGGCACTGAAAAGGCTCTCTCCTGCATTATCTCCCTTTCTACTAAGATAATGGCTTCAGACTGGTTTATATATGATTTTATACATCTACAAGCTGTCAGTCCCCTGCCACGCATTGCTGTGGCCCAGTCTGTGTATATGTGTTTTCTGTGTGTATATGTGTGTGTGTATATGTGTTTGCCTCTGTGTGTTTGTGTGTGTGTGTATATATATATATATATGCAATGTATAAAAAATACATTACAACGCATGCACTATATATATATATATATATATATATATATATATATATATATGGTTTTGTGCATGCATTGTAATGTATTTTTTTTTTTGCTTTTTAAGTCTCTTATGCTGTGTTTTTTTAGTGTTTTTATGCGTAATGGTCACTTGTTGGCTTGATACATGCATTGTGTCCAAATTTGGTGTCAATTTGTCCAGTGGTTTTTGAGTTATGTTAATCCCACAAAAAAACATTACATTTTTATTTATACTAGCCGTTCCCTGCCGCGTGTTGCTGTGGCCCACATGAGGGTTCTGTGTGGGAGGTTTGGCCCAATTCTATCATTGGTGGGGTTCAAAATGCTCTGTGATTGTAGGTGAACTATAAATCCCAGCAACTACCCAAACTCCACCAGTGTTCACATTTGGGCATATTGAGTATTCGTGTAGAGTTTGGTCCAGATCCATCATTGTTTGAGTCCACAGTGATCTCTGGATGTAGGTGAACTACAACTCCAAAACCAAAGGACACTGCCCACCAAACCCTTCCAGTTTTTTCTGTTGGTCATGGGAGAACTGTGTGCCAAGTTTGGTTCAATTCCATCGTTGGTGGGGTTCAGAATGCTCTTTGTTTGTAGGTGAACTATAAATCCCAGCAACTACACCTCCCAAATGACAAAATCAATTTTTTTGAGTGAAGGACATACATTGGGTTGTTAGGTGTCTTGTGTCCAAATTTGGTGTCAATTCGTCCAGTGGTTTTTGAGTTCTGTTAATCCCGCAAATGAACATGACATTTTTATTTATATAGATTATTATTATTATTATTATCATTTTGCAAATTGCTCTGAGTGCTTTTGTGGCTGAAGATTGGGGTAAAAATTCTCTGAAGTAACAAATTTAAAAAGGACAGAAATCAGAGAACATCAGTCACTGTTAAAATGGGGGCCCCTTTTTTAAAAAAAAAAACAACCCAACCTCATGAAGCTGTAGTAGAATTGTTCCCACTCCTTTATGCATATGTTAGATCAAGCAAGTTTCCTGATATGCTGCAGTTTCTTGTACATATATTTATAGACTTGTTTGGTTCTGTTTTTCCTCTTCAGATTCCAAGAAACTGCATCTTGGAGGACAGCAAGTATGTCCTCATCCAGATGTTATGGGATAACATGAAGTTACACAAAGATCCAGGGCAACCTCTGTACATTTTGTGGAATGCCCATAGTAAGTTATATATATTCAGTTTGGAAGATATTTTACATATTTAGTTTATTTATCATACCAGAAGTAAACCAAGGGTACAGTTGTAATGTATTAAAAAAAAAAACAAAGTTTAAAAACTATACATTATTCTGGTTCTTTGACCAGAAGCTGGCCACTTGGAGTGCTACTGGTGTTGCTGTAAGAAGGTCCTCCATGGTGCCTGTGGCAGGCCTCAGACTGCATTGTAGTAGGTGGTCTGTAGTTTGCTCTTCTCCACACTCGCATGTTGTTGATTCCACTTTGTGACCCCAATTCTTAAGGTTAGCTCTGCATCTCATGGTGCCAGTGCGCAGTCTGTTCAACACCTTCCAAATTGCATACTTCGTATACTATTACCTACTCTCTCTATATAAAGTCTATGTATGTATGCTTATAACACAAAAGCTGTTGCTAGGTGAAGTGGCCCTCTGTGATTGGATTGGCTACAACTTGGTAATGCATTGGCTGTTGCTAGGTGATGTAACTGGGGAAAAAGTGACAGGAGGGGGGCAGGGAAGAAAGAGAAAAAAGTGGGAAAGAAAGGAAAAGAGAAAGAAGTGAGGGGGGAAGAAAGAGAGAAAAGGGAAGGAGTAAAAGAGAGGAAGGATGGAAAGGGGGAAAGGTATGGAGGGATGGAGGGAGGGAGGGAGGGAGGGAGGGAGGGAAGGAAGGAAGGAAGGAAGGAAGGAAGGAAGGAAGGAAGGAAGGAAGGAAGGAAGGAAGGAAGGAAAGAGAGAGAAAAGGGAAGGAAAAAGGAAAAGAAAGAAGGGCTAAAGGAAGGGAGGGAGGCAAGAAAAAGAAGGGAAAGGAGAAGAGAGGGAGCATGGAAAAGGGGAAAAGGTATGAAAGGAAGGCAGGAAAGAGAAAAAAGGAAGGGAAGAAAGAGGGGATGAAGGAAGGAAGGAAAGAGAAAAAGAAGGGAAGAGGAAGGAAAGGAAAGAAAGAAGAGAGGAAAGCAAAGGAAGAAGAAAGGAAGCAAAGAGAGTGGGAGAAGGTGTATGAGGAAAACAGAGGAAGGAAAGAAGGAGCCTTAAAGAGAACCTGCTCTGTGTTGCCAGAGTTCTGTCGTGGAGACATTGAGAGGTAGGCGTTCTCAGAGCTGGAGAAAGGAGGAAGCAGGTGGGCAGCAGTCCCAGCAACCTCTAGGTTTTGTACCTTTGGTTATTTATTTATTTTGGTGTGTTCATACTTGCAACATACAAATTTAGCCTTTTGTCTGCAGGCTGCTGCACTCTTTAGGTTACAGCTTTCCTTTTACACCTTACCTTTTTGTCTTCTATCATAAAATACTGATTTTTTAAGAAGCACACTCAAATCTGTTTCTTTTTTACATTTGTTTTCCCCTTGCTCTTGTTTTCCATCTTGAATATGTCCTGTTTCCTTTTCCCAGCTCAAAAGTACCCCATCGTTCATCTCCTGCAGAAGGATGACTCTTCTTTTAACCAGGAGCTTTTAAGAAACATGGTGAAGAGCATTAAGATGAACGACGTCTACGGACCGATGAGTCAAATCCTGGAAAGACTTAATAGAGTCCCACAAATGAAGAGGCAAAGGTAAATCAGTCAAAGAAGGCTGCGGTTTTGTGTTTTAAAGACGGGAAGATATTTGCTCCACAGGGTCTACAAGGCTGGATCTACATTGCCATATCATTCTGTTTGAACTGCATTGTATGGCTTTACGACTGTTAGTAGAAACATCCTTCAGATAGAAGCTTTACTTCTTGAGAGCTTCTCGCTTGAATATCTAAATCTAAAACTCCCATGCTGAGTAAGGCGTGTACCCCCTCCCTCCCCATTAAATTGAATTTAATATCAATGCTTTGTATTTGTGCTGGAAAAGATCTTCCAGATTACCTGGAATTCCAAGTCTAATGTCAATGTCTAATCTCAGTAACACTTTCCAATTATATCTTTTTAGGAGCCTTTACAGAGAGATTTTATTCCTCTCCCTTGTTGCCCTTGGAAGAGAGAACATTGATATAGGTGAGTTACGGGGTAATAGAGACCTTCACTGCTAGTGGTTTCTTTGGAAATTGTAAATATAGGTTGAGTATGTTGAGTATCCCTTATCTGGTATTAATGAAGTTTCCTAAAGTTTTGGGAGATTCCAAAATATACTGGTATGTACTGTTTGTGAGGCTGGAGAGTCCAAGATCATTCAGGGAGGCCCTGCTCTCGGTCTCGCCCTCTTCGCAAACGCGACTGGTGGGGACGAGAAACAGGGCCTTCTTGGTGGTAGCCCCCCATCTGTAGAACACACTCCTCAGGGAAATCAGATTAGCTCCATCCTTCCTTTCCTTCAGGAAAAAGCTCAAAACATGGTTTTGGAACCAGGCATTTGGACAGAAGGCTTAACAGCAGTTGCAATGTTATATTTGAATTGATAATGCACAGGCTTTGGACTGGGTTGCTCAATTGAACTTGGATGCAATTATATTGTTATTAACAATGTTTTAAATGACTATTTTATTATTTAATGTTTTAATTAATGTTGAATCTCTGTTATATTGTTATGATGTATGTGTTGGTGTAAAATTGCTGCTGATTGTAAGCCGCCTGAGCCCCCCCTCGGGCATTGAGAAAGACGGAGTACAAATGTTTGAAATAAATAAATAAATGCAGCTGGATAGAGAGATGTGTGGAGCTATGAAATAGCCCAGATCCATGCCTTCTCACAGATGCAACAATTTTATAAAGCACTGGGCTACACTGGGCACTGTAAAATGCTTAAGCAGCTTAGGGGGAAAAGGAAAGAGTCTGAGGCCAGGAATTGTGGGAGTTGAAGTCCAAAACACCTGGGGGGGGGGGGCGAAGTTTGTCCATGCCTAATCTAAAGCATCTCTCTATTCTGAGACTCTTTGTAATATGTTTCAACTAACTTCTAAAAGCATACATCTGTTTCTTCCTGAAGTCTCTAAACATACTGTTCCTACTGAAGTCTAAAACATACTTTATCTAAAATGGATGTGGCTCTTAATGAGACATGCCGCATTATCACGGGGTGTCTGCGTCCTACACCACTGGAGAAATTACACTGCTTAGCCGGTATTGCACCACCTGACATCCGCCGGGAAGTAGCAGCCAATAGTGAAAGGACCAAGGCAGAGACATCTCCAGCTCATCCCTTGTTTGGGTATCAGCCAGCACGTCAACAACTTAAATCAAGAAATAGTTTTCTTAGATCTACAGAGACACTCGCTGGAACACCTCAGCAAGCGAGAGTCCAAAAGTGGCAGGCTCAAACCCAGCACCTCAATCCGTGGGTGATACCAGATGAGAGACTCCCCCTGGGCACACAGAAGACGGGCGACTTGGAAGGCGCTGAACAGACTGCGCTCTGGCACCACGAGATGCAGAGCCAACCTAAGAAATGGGGCTACAAAGTGGAATCCACAACATGCGAGTGTGGAGAAGAGCAAACCACTGACCACCTGCTGCAATGCACCCTGAGCCCTGCCACATGCACAATGGAGGACCTTCTTGCGGCAACACCAGAGGCACTCCAAGTGGCCAGATACTGGTCAAAGGACATTTAATCAACTACCAAGTTTGCAAAATTTGTGTTTTTTTTTATCTGTTTGTTTGTTTTGTTCTGTTAGAAATGTAATACAATGTTCTGGTTGCGGATGACACGATAAATAAATAAATCTAAAATGGAGTCTGAGTCCTGAACAAGCCCAGATCGGTTCACATGATCTGCAGCCCCTCCCACAACATAAAAGTTAAGGAAAACTGCATACCAATGTACACATATACAATACAGTAAACAATCTGAATTATATACATAACAAATAACTAGCGGAGGCTTGAAGAAGGTTGCTATTTCCAAATATTTTTCAAATATTCCTTATGCCTCTGGTCTAGCGATTCCATTGATTTCAATTTGTTGTTACAGATGCTTTCGACAGAGAATACAAAATGGCTTACGACCGCCTGACAGCAAACCAGGTCAAGAGCACCCACAATTGCGACAGGCCTCCCAGTACCGGAGTGATGGAGTGTCGGAAAATATTTGGGGAACCGTACCTTTAAGGGATAAAAAAGAAGATTCGCTATGTAAGGAATTCTTTGCAGTGTTCATGTGTGTAAAAAAGAACTAGAGAGACTTCAGAAAGACTTTCGCCCTCCTCCATTCACATTCAGATTGCTTTTTCATCCAAATTTCCCAGAATGGAATTTGTCTCACTCGTAAACAATGGGCCAAGGAAGGCTCTGTTTACTGGGATCGTCTCTACAAACCACTACATGGTTTCTATTATCCAATAGAAGATGAAGCAAAGATATGGACCAAAACCATGCACTAAAAGTTTGCGTGAACAAAATAAGCTTTTTTTCAAAACTGTTTACAGAGAATGTTTAGGTGAGGAAGAAATGTTACAGAGTGCATACCAGAGTTGTATAATATTTTAAATTATTTATAGTAAGTTCCTATTTTTTTAACTTTTTGAATAGCGAATTAAATGAGCCTGTTGCATAAGCAATACCTTTTGCCCTCCTTCAGAATAAGGTTTATAGCAAATTGTCTTTTTTCCCCTCCCAAGAAAAAAATCCCCCCTTTTCTAAAAAAAACTAAAATTAAAACAGAAAGATGACTTTTACTAGATCAGAATAAGAATTGTCAATATATTTTCCAAAAAGGGGGAAAAAAGGAAAAGAGGAATCTACAATGCAAACTAGCTGAAAAGAATTACAGCCTTATGTGAAGATGTCAGAATAAAAGATGCATTTGGTCACTTTTAAGAAATCTGAGGTGACAAGTCCTTTGGGGTCTCCTTTGCTGGATCTTCTCAGAAAGGAATGTGTGAGAAGGATGGCTTTTGGGAGCAAATACTGGAAATATTCTCTTAGAAATGAATTTATGACCTCTCCTTTGTCCAAAAAAAATCAAGAATTTAAAAACATTTTAAATTATATAAAGTGTCAATAATATTTTTGTATCGATTCATAATGTTTCCCCCTTTACATGTGTCGCTTTTTGTGGAGTATTGGAGAGGATGTATTGTCGAAGGCTTTCATGGTCGGAATCACTGGTTGTTGTGAGTTTTCTGGGCTGTATGTCCATGTTCCAGAAGTTTTCTGTCCTGACATTTCGCCATAGATGCAGGTGAAACATCAGGACAGAATGCATCTAGAACATGGCCATACAGCCCAGAAAACTCACAACCTATTTGAGAGGAGATTGGTCATCATTTTGGGAGCCGTGGTGGTGCAATGAGTAAACCCTTGTACTGGCTGGACTACCTGAAAGTTGGGTTGCTGACCTGAAGGTTGCCAGTTCAAATGTGCGGAAGGGGGTGAGCTCCCATCTGTTAGCTCTAGCTTGTGGGGACATGAGAGAAGCCTCCCAGAAGGATGATTTACACATCTGGGCGTCCCCTTGGCAAAGTCTCTGTAGACATCCCATTCTCTCACACCACAAGCAACTTGTAGTATGTTCTCAAGTCACAGTTTAAAAAATTGGGTCATTTAAATGAAACAGTTGTGGAATTATCTCTTTTTTATTAATGAATGTTACGAGTTTAGTTATGAACATGGCCATTCAGTATTTTGACTCAAGGGAATTAATTTTCTCCAATTATTCCAATTCTAATGTGTTGGTATTAACATTTCCAAGCTCTGGCCAGAAGCCACTGCTGTACAGATAATTCCTTCCAAAGGCGATGATCTAAAAAGGGACCTTAGGGCCATCTGTAGGATCTTGGGCCATCTTTCTTCAAACAGCAAGCCCTTTTATTATTATTATTATTATTATTATTATTATTATTATTATTATTATTATTATCCAGACCATAGATCAGGCATGGGCCAACTTGGGCCCTCCAGGTGTTTTGGACTACAACTCCTCAGGCCCTTTCCTTTTCCCCCTCAACCACTTAAGCAGAAAAAAAGGGAAAAGGAAAGGGCCTAAGGCTGTTAGGAATTGTGGGAGTTGAAGTCCAAAACACCTGAGGGGTTGAAGTTTGCCCGTGCCTGCCATAGACTGTTTTTTGAATGCTCTGCATTTTCAAAAGCGCTTTGTCATTTATTTCAAGGGGTTGACTGCTTGCTGTTCCAGAGGGAGGGCCCTAAAGCATCTTATCTTTCTTTAGATCCCGGGAAGTGGGGGAGGGGGATACTTTTTCATAGGAATTTTGAGCGTATGACGGAGGAAGGCCCACGTCCTCTTCCCGAGCTCCATTTCTTGTTTGCTGTGATGTAAAAAAAAACAAAAAACCTACAAATCCATCTTTGACCTTTGCTTAGAAAACTAAACCTCTCCCGAGTTTTGTCAAAATATTTTTGAAAAAACAGTGTGTTTTAAGTGTCAAAGTTGCCTGAGCAGATTTCTTTATCTGGAAGTCAAGGGAGCTGTGGCGGTACAATGGGTTAAGAATAATAATAATAATAATAAATTATTTATACCCCGCCACCATCTTCCCAAGGGACTTGGGGCAGCTTACATGAGGCCAAGCCCGACAACACATCAATAAAACAAAAAAGCAGTAAACAGAAAACAATACATATAAACAATAACACACAAAAACCTATGGCTGGGCATGAACAAAGGTAGGATATATCTGGTAGGAGGGTTTTAAAAGAAGTGAAGGGAGCGCAATCCAACAAATAGTTAAAGTGCTTCTCAGGACATCTGGGAATTATTTCCTTTTTCCGGGAAGGCACACTGGAACAGCCATGTTTTTAGGCTCCTCCTAAAGACTGCCAATGTGGGGGCATGCCTAATATCCTTGGGAAATGAGTTCCAGATTCGGGGGGGCACCACTGAAAAGGCCCTCTCTCTTGTCCCCACCAATCGTGCCTGTGAGGGGGGTGGGAGCGAGAGCAGGGCCTCTCCAGATGATCAAAGAGACCGTGTGGATTCGTACACAAAAATGCGGTCACACAGGTAGGCAGGTCCCAAACCGTTCAGGGCTTTGTAGGTAAGAACCTGCACCTTGAATTGGGACCGGAAAATGAACGGCAGCCTCCTTAAACAGGAGGGTTGACCACTCCCTGTAAGTCGCACCAGTTATGTTAAACCCTTGTGCCGGCTGAACTTCTGACCTGAAGGTCAGCAGTTTGAATCCATGAGGCGGGGTGAGCTCCTTTCTGTCAACTCCAGCTTCCCATGCAGGGACATGAGGGAAGCCTCCCACAGGATGGTAACACATCTGGGCATCCGCTAGGCAACATCCCTGCAGACGGCCAATTATCTCACACCAGAAGCAACTTGCAGTTTCTCAAGTCAATTGTGACACGATTAAAAAAAAAAATCTGAAAGTCATCCTAACATCTGGTCTAGTCATTTCAGTTCAGTTGTGTGTCTCAATAGAGATCAAAGTGGGATGTTAATAATAACAACAAGGATGATGTTGGCTCTCCACATTTTGCAGATTTGATTGACAAGGTCTCTCCAAGTCTTCTAGCACTGTCCTAATATCTTTTAATACGTGTTTTAACAGCTCCGTGTTTTCCTCTGTGTGTTTTAACTATATTGTAAACCACCTTGAGGAGAGGTGGGTAGGAAATGAAACATTACTATTATTATGTTGGAATTTCAAATATCAGTTTATGGGTCTTTTCACCCCCAAATCTTTCCAAGTAACTGCTTCTTAGATGCACCGTTGGTCCATAAACTGTGATATTTCCTTCACAGCTCTCTAAAGTCACAGGCATTCAACTTTTCCTAACTTAATCCAAGGATATATAACTGGAGAAATGAATAATCTTAAATGTTAAGAGTTTCCAGTTCAAAGCAGATACTGCTGGATTCAAAAACTGGATTCTATGGCAATGTCAATCCAGCCACAGTTCTGTGCCTCCATTATATGATGTTTCACCTGTTTTGTAGTATCTGTTCAATACTTTGAAGAGCAAAAAAGCATAATTTCTTACTCAGTTCCATGTTCATCATTCCCTGTAACTTTAGGATTTTTCTTTCTTCGTTTGTACAAATATGGCTTTATTGTGTATATGGCTTCTGGTATTTCGATAGGGAATACTTGACTCCAAAGAGAGAAATGGATCTTCATTCCATGTAAATGTGTATATAAAAGAATTCTAACGCAAGAGGTACAAACTTGTACTTTATTTCTGGAGAGAGAGAAATAAAAATATGAATTCATTGGAATTTCAAAACAGACATTACATTCACTTGCAGAAGAGCACTTTCATAAAGGAACGGCTGTAGATTTGTACATATGTAATGTTGACATTTTATTTACCAACAAAAGGACATCTGTGTCAGTGTTTATTTTTGGTTTTGGATTTGTAGGTCAATTTCAAGGTGTATATTTTAATGTTCACGCCAGGGTGGAAAATGCCCTTTTCCCCTCAAAGTTCATAGAACTTTGGTTCTATTTAATATTTTACAATGGCTCAATAAAGAAAAGAAAAGAAATCATTGTGGTTCTCTTGTCTTAAATATGTATTGAGGCCAAGTCATTGCGATTTTTTATATAGGCTGATCATCCTTGGAATCTGGAATTTCACAACCTGAAATACTATAAAATCCAGCTGTCCCCATAAGATAATGACATTTTTGCTTTCCTCAGTATCCCCAAGCATTGTTTCTCTCTCTAAAAAAACTATTTAAAGGTATTGTATAACCTTACTTTCAGTCTACTTGTATAAGGTCCTAGTGTTATCTGCATATGCATTTTCTTTGTGTCTCTTTCTTTCCTTCCTTCGTTTACTTCACATACTTTCTCACTCTCACTTTTCTTTCTTTCCTTCTTATCTACCTTTCCATCATACACCTTTCGTCCTTTTCTTTCTTTTCCCTTCCTTCTTTTTCTTTATTCTCTCCCTCCCTCCCTCCCTTCCTTCTTCGTTTCTCTTCCCTTCTATTTCTTCCCTACTTTCCCCTTTTCTTTTCTTTTCCCTTCTTTAACTTTCTTTTTTCTCTCTCTCACCCTCCCTTTTCCTTTCTCATCCCTTCTATTTCTTTCCTCTTCTCTTGTATGTTTCCCCCTTTCCTTTCTCTTTCCTTTCTTTCTTCTCTTCCTTTTTTCTCCAATTTTTCTTTCCCTCTCATACCTTTTCTTTCTTTTCTCATCCCTTCTTTAACTTTCTTCCCTCTCTCCCTCCTGTTTTCTTTTCTCTTCCCTTCTGTTTCTTTCTTCTCTCCCTTGCTTTATCCTTTCTTTCTTCCCTTCCTTTCTCTTCCTTTCAATTGCTACTGTCCTCTCATACCTTTTATTTTTTTCTTTTCTCTTCCCTTCTTTTCCTTTCTTCCCTCTATCCCTCCTTTCTCCCTTTCTCTTCCCTTCTGTTTCTTTCCTCCTCTCTCATACATCCCCCCCCCTTTCCTTTCTCCCTCCTTCCTTCCTTCCTTCCTTCCTTCCTTCCTTCCTTCCTTCCTTCCTTCCTTCCTTCCTTCTTTCCTTCCTTTGTCCCTTCTTTCTTCTCTTCCATTCTCTTCTCTTCAATTTCCTTTCCTCCTCATACATTTTCTTTCCTTTCTCATCCCTTCTTTAACTTTATTGTATTGTCGAAGGCTTTCATGGCCGGAATCACTGGGTTGTTGTAGGTTTTTTCGGGCTATATGGCCATGTTCTAGAGGAATGCCTCTAGAACATGGCCATATAGCCCCAAAAAACCTACAACAACCCATTTAACTTTATTTCTTCCCTGTCTCCCTCTTGTCTTCCTTTTTCTTCCCTCTATTTCTTTTCTCTCCTCCACTCCTACCATTTACCATTTTCCTTCCTTCCCTCCTTTTTCTTTCTTCCTCTTCCCTTCATCCTTCCTTTCCTTCTCTTCCCTTCTTTTTCTTTCCTCCCTCCCCCTCATTCACATGTCACATGCCGGTTTCCAAAACCCAAAACACTTCCAGCCCCAAACACGTTAAATAAGGGATCCCGTATTTAGCCCGAACCAAGGAAGAACGTTTGCATTTTTGCATATTTCAAATTGCATGCTAATGCTTTTATGTCAAGGCATTTTGAGTCCTCTTTGAGGAGATAAAGTGGAGTATAATAATAATAATAATGTGCAAAACTGACATACAGTTGAACATTTGGAGGACAAAAATGATGGCCACAGAGAATTTACACACGTACCTAGATGACAGGGCCATCACAATAGTTGTATGCTGACCTCAGAAAGGATGGCTAAGATGTATAACAATAGTTCTAGTGACTGAATAGGACAAACATTAAAGAAAAGAAATGCAAAGATTCAATGCAGATAAGTATAGTGTCTAGATCCAAGGAAGTCATGCTACCCCTCAATTCTGCCTTGGTTAGACCACACCTGGAATATTGTGTCCAATTCTGGGCACCACAATTGAAGGGAGATATTGACAAGCTGGAAAGTGTCCAAAGGAGGGCGACTAAAATGATCAAGTGTTTGGAGAATAAACCCTATGAGGAGTGGCTTAAAGAGCTGGGCATGTTTAATCCGAAGAAGAGAAGGCTGAGAGGAGACATGATAGGCATGTATAATAATAATAATAATAATAAAAATCACACAGTCCTAGACACTTGGGAAGTGTCCTATGTGTGATCCAATTCAACAGCCAGCAGCTCAGCTCAGCTCAGAGCTGAGCTGAGCTAAAACCCCTAAGCTAAACTGAGCTAAGCTAAGCTAAAACCCTTAAACTAAGCTAAGCTAAGCTAAAACCCCTAAACTAAGCTAAGCTAAAACCCCTAAGCTAAGCTAAGCTAAAACCCCTAAACTAAGCTAAGCTAAAACCCCTAAAGTAAACTAAGCTAAGCTAAGCTGAGCTAAGCTAAAACCCCTAAACTAAGCTAAGCTAAGCTAAGCTAAAACCCCTAAGATAAGATAAGCTAAGCTAAAACCCCTAAACTAAACTAAGCTAAGCTAAGCTAAAACCCCTAAGATAAGATAAGCTAAAACCCCTAAACTAAGCTAAGCTAAGCTAAAACCCCTAAACTAAGCTAAGCTAAGCTAAGCTAAGCTAAGCTAAAACCCCTAAGATAAGCTAAGCTAAGCTAAAACCCCTAAGCTAAACTAAGCTAAAACCCCTAAACTAAGCTAAGCTAAGCTAAGCTAAAACCCCTAAGGTAAGCTAAGCTAAACTAAGCTGAGCTAAGCTAAAACCCCTAAACTAAGCTAAGCTAAGCTAAAACCCCTAAGCTAAACTAAGCTAAGCTAAGCTAAAACCCCTAAGATAAGATAAGCTAAAACCCCTAAACTAAGCTAAGCTAAAACCCCTAAGCTAAATTAAGCTAAGCTAAAACCCCTAAGCTAAACTAAGCTAAGCTAAGCTAAAACCCCTAAACTAAGCTAAGCTAAAACCCCTAAGCTAAACTAAGCTAAGCTAAAACCCCTAAGCTAAACTAAGATAAACTAAGCTAAAACCCCTAAGCTAAGCTAAGCTAAAACCCCTAAGCTAGGCTAAAACCCCTAAGCTAAGCTAAGCTAAGCTAAAACCCCTAAGCTAAGCTAAGCTAAGGTAAGATAAAACCCCTAAACTAAGCTAAGCTAAAACCCCTAAGCTAAACTAAGCTAAAACCCCTATGCTAAGATAAGCTAAGCTAAGCTAAAACCCCTAAACTAAGCTAAGATAAGCTAAGCTAAAACCCCTAAGCTAAGCTAAGATAAGCTAAAACCCCTAAACTAAGCTAAGCTAAAACCCCTAAACTAAGCTAAGCTAAAACCCCTAAACTAAGCTAAGCTAAGCTAAAACCCCTAAGCTAAGCTAAGCTAAAACCCCTAAGCTAAGCTAAGCTAAAACCCCTAAGCTAAACTAAGCTAAACTAAGTTAAAACCCCTAAACTAAGCTAAGCTAAGCTAAAACCCCTAAACTAAACTAAGCTAAGCTAAAACCCCTATGCTAAGCTAAACTAAGCTAAAACCCCTAAGCTATGCTAAGATAAGCTAAAACCCCTAAACTAAGCTAAGCTAAAACCCCTAAGCTAAGCTAAAACCCCTAAGCTAAGCTAAGCTAAAACCCCTAAGCTAAACTAAGCTAAAACCCCTAAACTAAGCTAAACTAAGCTAAAACCCCTAAACTAAGCTAAAACCCCTAAACTAAGCTAAGCTAAGATAAACCAAGCTAAACTAAGATAAGCTAAAACCCCTAAACTAAACTAAGCTAAGCTAAGCTAAGACCCCTAAGCTAAGCTAAACTAAGCTAAGCTAAGACCCCTAAGCTAAACTAAGCTAAGACCCCTAAGCTAAGCTAAACTAAGACCCCTAAGCTAAGCTAAACTAAGCTAAGACCCCTAAGCTAAACTAAGCTAAGCTAAGCTAAGACCCCTAAACTAAGCTAAACTAAGACTCCTTAGCAAAGCTAAACTAAGCTAAGACCCCTAAACTAAGCTAAGCTAACGGTTTGGGACCACCCTACCTGCGTGACCGCATCTCCATCTGCGAACCCACACGCTCGCTCCGGTCATCTGGGGAGGCCCTGCTCGTGATCCCACCCACGTCGCAAGTGCGCTTGGTGGGGACACGGGACAGGGCCTTCTGTGGCGGCCCCCCGACTTTGGAATGCCCTTCCAAAAGATCTTCGACAGGCCCCTACTCTAGCAGTTTTCAGAAAGAACCTAAAAACTTGGCTGTTCCGATGTGCCTTCTCAGATTAGGAATCCCCCATCCCAAGTCCTAGAAGCACTTTAGTATAATCAATATTACTGCACACCGCACTATTTAATCCTACGTTCCTCCTGCCATTTCAGCACTTTTAACCCTGTACCCATTGCGCCGGCCGGCCCAGTTTTAAAGTGTCTTGATGCATTGTCACTGTTGCTGTTATTTTGCTTAATTATTTGATTTGCTTTGTTTATTGTTGTGTTATGTTTCTATTGTATTGTGTTCTGAGGCTTCGGCCTGTGTAAGCCGCATCGAGTCCTTCGGGAGATGCTAGCGGGGTACAAATAAAGTTAATAATAATAATAATAATAATAAGCTAAGCAAAGACCCCTAAGCTAAGCTAAGCTAAGCTAAGACCCCTAAACTAAGCTAAGCTAAGACCCCTAAGCTAAGCTAAGACCCCCAGCCCAGCCCAGCCCAGCCCAGCCCAGCTGAGCTGAGCTGAGCTGTTAGGAATTGTGGGAGTTGTAGTCCAAAACACCTGGAGGGCCCAAGTTTGCCCATGCCTGACATAGATCAAATATTGATGTCTGCCAAATATTTTTGAATTATTCTCCCTCCTCCTCCAAGAAAAAAAGTTTTCTATATTCGGTAATATTGGGTCTTGGAGGTACTGTTTTGCAGTGGCTCCGGTCATTCCTGGAGGGTCGATCTCAGAAGGTGTTGTTGGGGGACACCTGTTCAACCCCACAACCATTGTCTTGTGGGGTTCCTCAGGGCTCAATATTGTCTCCCATGTTGTTTAACATCTACATGAAGCCGCTGGGGGAGATCATCCGGAGTTTCGGGGTACGGTGTCATCTGTACGCGGATGATGTCCAACTCTGTCACTCCTTTCCACCTGCTACTAAGGAGGCTGTCCATGTCCTGAACCGGTGCTTGGCCGCTGTGACGGTCTGGATGAGGGCGAACAAATTGAAATTGAATCCAGACAAGACAGAGGTACTCCTGGTCAGTCGCAAGGCCGAACAGGGCATAGGGTTACAGCCTGTTTTGGATGGGGTCGCACTCCCCTTGAAGGCGCAGTTCGCAGCTTGGGTGTGATCCTGGACTCATCGCTGAGCCTGGAACCCCAGGTTTCGGCAGTGACCAGGGGAGCATTTGCACAGCTAAAGCTTGTGCGCCAGCTGCGCCCGTACCTTGGGAAGTCTGACTTGGCCATGGTAGTCCATGCTCTGGTTACATCCCGTTTAGACTACTGCAACGCTCTCTACGTGGGGTTGCCTTTGAAGACAGCTCGGAAGCTCCAACTAGTCCAACGCTCGGCAGCCATGATTTTAACAGGAGCGGAGCGCAGGGAGCATACAACCCCCCTGTTGCGCCAACTCCACTGGCTACCGATCTGCTACCGGGCTGAATTCAAAGTGCTGGCGTTGGCCTTTAAAGCCCTAAACGGTTCCGGCCCAAGCTACCTATCTGACCGCATCTCTGCCTATGAACCCACCAGGACTTTGAGATCTTCCGGGGAGACCCTGCTCTCGATCCCGCCTGCTTCTCAAGCTCGGCTGGCGGGGACGAGAGATAGGGCCTTCTCAGTGGTGGCTCCTCGGCTGTGGAACGCCCTTCCTACGGACATTAGACTAGCACCATCTCTAATGGTATTCCGCAAAAAGGTGAAGACCTGGATGTTTGTGCAGGCGTTTGAGTAATTTAGTGCAATCTGGTAATGGAACATAGGAATGGAACAATGGACGACGAACCTGGACTACGCTTGGATGATAAGATTGGGTACGGTTGTTTTTTGTAATAATTGTGCATTGTAATTGCTTATTGGTAATTTATGGATAATGTGTTAAGTCAATTGTTATATGTTGTATGGAACCACTGCTGTTTCTACTGTTTTTACTGTTTGTGAACCGCTGTGAGTCGCCTTCGGGCTTGAGATACAGCGGTATATAAGCAAAGTAAATAAAATAATAAATAAATAATATTAACTGCTGAGACAATCCTACCAAATTCATTGGGTTCAACAAGTCAGCCTTTGCTTTGAATCAGGAGGATTCCAGGCCCCGCCCCGTATCTGCCTAGTCCCGCCTCTTGCTACTGCTGATTGGCTGCTGACCAGGCGTGGCTCCTCCCACCCGCCGCTCTTCCTCGGGGCCCCTCCCACATACACCGCCTGTTGCTGTTTCCGGCGAGAAGCGGAAGTGGCTTCCTCAGCGGCGACATGGCGTCGGGAGGGTCTCCCGCGGACCGGCTCCCGCCGCCTTTCCCCGCCGCCGAGGCCGAGCGCGCCCCGGAGGAGGACGGCAGCGACTCCGAAGGCGAGGACATCTTCACCGGAGGCGGCGGCAGCAGCAGCAGCGACCACCACAAGGTGAGGGGGGAGCTGAGTACAGGGCGCATCCACACTGTTGAGGTAATGCGCTTTGACAGCGCTTCAGCTGCCATGTGTGGGGTCCTGGGAGTTGTAGTTTGACGTGATCTCCAGCCTTCTCCATCGTCAGTGAGACTTGTGGGGACTTGTGAGGGAGAGGGCCTTCTCTGTGGTGGCCCCTTGGCTCCATTGGCCCCTATTCAACTTGTATGCAGAACACATCATGCAAGGATGTGCGGGGCTTGAGGAATGCAAGGCTGGGGTGAAAATTGCTGGAAGAAACAATAACCTCAGATATGCAGATGATACCACCTTGATGGCTGAAATTGAGGAGGAGCTGAGGAGCCTTCTAACCAAAGTGAAAGAAGAAAGTGCCAAAGCTGGGTTGCAGTTAAACATATATGTATGAAAGTGGGATGATAACAATTATTATTATTATTTTATTATTAACTTTATTTGTACCCCGCTAGCATCTCCCGTAGGACTCGATGCGGCTCACATAGGCCGAAGCCTCAAAACACAATACAACAAAACATAATACAACAACAATACCAGAAGCAAATCAAAACGGTTAAGCACATTAAACAACAACAATAACAATACATCGGGACACTTTAAAACTGGGCCGGCCAGAGCAGTGGGTACAAGGTTAAAAGTGCTGAAGTGGCGGGAGGAATGTAGGATTATAAAGTAAATGCGATGTGCGGTGTGCAGCGATCTTAATTCTACTAAAGTGCTTCTAGGACTTGGTGATGGGGTTCCTAATCTGAGAAGGCACATCGGAACAGCCAAGTTTTTAAATTCTTTCTGAAGACTGCCAATGTAGGGGCCTGTCTAAGATCTTTTGGGAGGGCGTTCCAAAGTCGGGGGCCGCCACAGAAAAGGCCCTGTCTCGCGTCCCCACCAAGCGCGCTTGCGACGCGGGTGGGATCACGAGCAGGGCCTCTCCAGATGACCGAAGTGAGCGTGTGGGTTCGTAGATGGAGATGCGGTCACGCAGGTAGGGTGGTCCCAAACCGTTCAGGGCTTTGTAGGTAAGCACCTGCACCTTAAATTACATATTGTCCGAACGCATCACCCCCTATGAACCAAGTAGGACATTAAGATCGTCCGGGGAGGCCCTGCTCTCGATCCCGCCAGCCTCACAAGCACGGCTGAGGGGCAAAAGGAAAGGGCCTGAGGCTGTTAGGAATGGTGGGAGTTGGGGTCCAAAACACATGGAGGGTCCATGTTTGCCCAGGCCTGGTGTAGATGCAATGTAACCTGTTCAGAATTTCAAATCAGTGGAGTTTCCTGCTTGAATTGGCCTCTCTCTAGCTTCCGCTGTGATAAATCTGAGCTTTCAAGATGTCGCAAGGAGAGATATGGCCTCGCTGCTTTTCAGGAAATTGTGCAAGTCCTGGGATTCTGCAGAAGTGGCGAGGGTGGGATTCTGTGCAAGGGCTCATTAACACTGCCGTATAATCCAGTTTATGGATCCAGATGATATGCTTTGAACTAGATTATATGTCAGTGTAGATCCACCCTCGGCCAGATTCTGAAACCTTAGAGCAGACATGGGCAAACTTTGGCCTTCCAGGTGTTTTGGACTCCAACTCCCACAATTCCTAACAGCTTCAGACCTTTCTTTTTCTCTCTCAGTTGTTTAAGCGGAAAAGAAGAATAAAAGGAAGGGGTCTGAGTGTTAGGAGTGATGGGAGTTGAAGTCCGAAACACTTGGAGGGCTGAAGTTTGCTTGTGCATCTAAAAACATTTTTATTCCTTTTTGATTTGGATTGATTATGTTATATTTAATCTATTTGAATATCTTGTTTTATTGTTATAAGTTCTTATATATGACATAGTTTCTGTTAGCCACTTTTGAGAACCACAAGAAGGAAAGAAAATAATAAATGTCTATATATGTGTGTATGTGTATATACACACACACATACATATAGACATTTATTTTCTTTCCTTATCATGGTTCTCAAAAGTGACTGACAGAAACCACGTCAGAATTAAAACTATCATTGTATTGTTGAAGGCTTTCATGGCTGGAATTACTGGGTTGTTGTAGGTTTTTTTCGGGCTGTATGGCCATGTTCCAGAAGCATTCTCTTCTGACGTTTCACCTGGATCTGTGGCAAGTATCCTCAGAGGTTTTGAGGTTTGTTGGAAACTAGGAAAATGGGGTTTATATATCTGTTGACCATCTAAGGTGGGAGAAAGAACTTTTGTTTGTTGGAGATAGGTGTTCACAACCACTGAGGATACTTGCCACAGATACAGGCAAAACGTCAGGAGAGAATGCTTCTAGAACATGGCCATACAGCTCGAAAGACCCACAACAACCCAAAACTATCATTCACATTGCCTTATTACTATCAGTGAAAGAAAACATAGAAAGCCAGTGAATACATAATAGTAAATGTCCTTAACACCTTGAGTAGTGGCAGAGTTTATTTTATTTACTTATTTATTTAAAACTTTTATACCCCGATCTTTTCTACCTCCGTAGAGGGACTCAGATCAGCTAACAACAGAAAATCAATACACAAATACAACTAAAACATAATAAAATCATAATAAATTAAAATACAAACAAAATAAAATCAAAATATCATAATAAGTTCAAATACAAACAAAATAAAATCAAAATCAAATTTAGAACTTTTGTATCCCGTTCTTCTCTACCTCTGTGCACACTAAATAACATCATAAAAACAACATACACAATAAATAAGTTCTAAAATACATATAAAACAATTCATCAAGTTCAAACATCATCCAACTCAGTCCAAATGTTGTCCATTAACTCTTAGTCTATACCGGATCATCCATCAATCTGCGAATGCCTGATTCTAAAGCCAGGATTTTAGCTGCTTCCTGAAGGACAGGAGGGAGGGGCAGACCTAATATGGCTTGGGAGAGAGTTACATTGCTGGGGGGCCACCACAGAGAAGGCCCTGTCTCTCATCCCCAACAAACGCTACTACGAAGGTGGTGGGACCGAGAGCAGGTCCTCTCCGGAAGATCTTAAAGTCCTTGATGGTTTAGTCTATATTGGATCATCCATCAATCTGTGAATGCCTGATTCCAAAGCCAGGATTTTAGCTGCTTCCTGATGGACAGGAGGGAGGGGCAGACCTAATCTCGCTGGGGAGAGAGTTCCATAGCCGGGGGGCCACCACAGAGAATGCCCTGTCTCTCATCCCTACCAAACGCAACTGCGAAGGTGGTGGAACCAGGAGCAGGGCCTCTCCGGAAGATCTTACAAGTCCTTGATGGTTTAGTCTATACCAGATCATCCATCAATCTGCGAATGCCTGATTCCAAAGCCAGGATTTTAGCTGCTTCCTGATGGACAGGAGGGAGGGGCAGACCTAATCTCGCTGGGGAGAGAGTTCCATAGCCAGGGGGCCACCACAGAGAAGGCCCTGTCTCTCATCCCCTCCAAACGCAACTGCGAAGGTGGTGGAACCAGGAGCAGGGCCTCTCCGGAAGATCTTACAAGCCCTTGATGGTTTAGTCTATACCAGATCATCCATCAATCTGCGAATGCCTGATTCCAAAGCCAGGATTTTAGCTTCTTCCTGAAGGACAGGAGGGAGGGGCAGACCTAATCTCGCTGGGGAGAGAGTTCCATAGCCGAGGGGCCACCACAGAGAATGCCCTGTCTCTCATCCCTACCAAACGCAACTGCAAAGGTGGTGGAACCGAGAACAGGGCCTCTCCGGAAGATCTTAAAGTCCTTGATGGTTTATAGTTTTTTTTTAAATATCATTTTTATTGTAGTTTTCCTTGTCAGTACATCAATTGGCTGTTGATCATTGGATGGTTTATAGTTTAAACTTTGATTCCTAAGAATGCTGCATCCATAATGTTTTTAACTGATCCATAATCTCTAATTTTAAATATTGTAGCTGCAGAAATACATTACAGAATGTAGAGTCCGAAAGAGGCTCACAAACCAGGTCTACTAGGCAGTGTGTTGTCCTGTTTTGCTGCAGGTTTTTGCCATGCGCAACAGAGCTTGTTTAGAACAAAAAGGCTTTCGTATAGCTTCGAAATGACAATACAGTTTCTTCAACTTGATAGCAGAGAAAACCTAAAAACGTCTTTTGAAAGCGCTTTGCTTTATCAGAGCTGCTGGGGAACGTTCTCAGCTATGTTTGCTTCTGCTTTCTTTGCCTGGTAACAGGGAACCTGACTTCTGGCGTAGGCAGCTCTGCTTGTGGTGCCTTTTGGGCCCGTGACCCTGTTTGTGCTTGTTTTGTTTTTAAACTGCCAACTCAGCCATGCAGACAATGTCAACGCTGTCTCCAGATACCCAAGCATTGTTTCTTTGGAAAGCTGTTGGGGAGACAGTTGGCCTTTATAAGCTGAGCACAACAATGGTGGAACAGTGTGTAAATTGTACCAAAGCCCGCATTGTTTACGGACTCAAAGAAGTATGTTGAAAAAGCAGTTGGAAAAAATCCATACAGTAAAAAAAAGTTGTTAATGGGGCTTTTAAAAAAGCTTTCACACACTAGTATACTTAAGCTAATGGCATCTTTGTGGTTAAAGAATAATTGGGAGCACAGGGGGCTATTTTGTGAGGCATTTTTGCGTATTCTTCCACAATGGATGTAATTCTGCAGCTTACATAATGTCCACTGTATTTCTAGACTAAGCCGATGTCTCCTGAGAGGGAATCCCCTGCACAAGAAAGAAGCGACTCCAAAACGAACGGGGTTCAGGAGGAAGAAGACGAGCAGGACCTCTTTGCAGGTGTGTTGGCTGAGAGTTAAAGAAACCTTATGGGGGAAATATTGATTCTGGTTGAGTCTTACTCCTGACATGACTTCACTAAGTGTTCCGTTGGCTGTATTTCTGCACCTTGGGAAATGAGAAGACTGACCTTTCAAAAAGTATTACAACAACAAGATGTGTGGGAAACGTTTGTCTCAAACATTTGAAGCACTTTGCAGAGATTAAGCAAGAAGACAAATATTGGGTTGGGTTGCTGTGAGTTTACCGGGCTGTCTGGCCATGTCCCAGAAGCATTCTCTCCTGACATTTCACCCACATCTATGGCAGGCATCCTCAGATGTTGGGAGGTCTGTTGGAAACTAGGCAAGTGAGGTGTATAGGTCTGTGGAATGTCCAGGGTGGGAGAAAGAACTCTTGTGTGTTTGAGTGTGAATTGCACCGAGACTGTGGTGCAGATGGCTGGGAGTCAGCTGCATTAAGATCACTACTGACCAAAAGGTCGTGAGTTTATGAAGCAGTACCTAAATTTCCTACTTGACAGATGCAACTGTCTTTCGAGCTGCAAAGGTTGACAGCAAGCTAGACAAAAGGCCAGAAGCTCACTCCGACCTGGGCTGGCTTTGAACTCATGACCTCTCGGTCAGTAGTTATTTGAATAAAGCTGACTAATAATTAATATTAGACATGTAAAGTTTCTATGCGAAAGACTGCTCAAACTTCCGTACAGTGGCCCTTATTTCTCATGCCAGTAAGGTAATGCTCAAGATCCTGCAAGGAAGACTCCAGCAATACATGGAGCGAGAGTTGCCAGATGTTCAAGCTGGGTTTAGAAAAGGCAGAGGAACGAGAGACCAGATTGCCAATATCCGCTGGATAATGGAGAAAGACAGGGAGTTTCAGAAAAACATCTATTTCTGCTTCATTGACTATTCTAAAGCCTTTGACTGTGTGGATCATAATAAATTGTGGCAAGTTCTTAGTGGGATGGGCATCCCAAGCCACCTTGTCTCTCTCCTGAGGAATCTGTACAAGGACCAAGTAGCAACAGTAAGAACTGACCACGGAACAACAGACTGGTTCAAGATTGGGAAAGGCGTACGGCAAGGCTGCATCCTCTCACCCAACCTTTTTAACTTGTATGCGGAACACATCATGCGATGTGCGGGGCTGGATGAATGCAAAGCTGGGGTGAAAATTGCTGGAAGAAACATTAACAACCTCAGATATGCAGATGACACCACTCTGCTGGCCGAAAGCGAGGAGGAGCTGAGGAGCCTTCTAATCAAGGTGAAAGGAGTAAGTGCCAAAGCTGGGTTGCAGTTAAACATCGAAAACACCAAGATTATGGCAACCAGACTGATTGATAACTGGCAAATAGAGGGAGAAAACGTGGAGGCAGTGACAGACTAGTTCTGGATGCAAATATTACTGCAAATGTGCATTTGGCAGGAAATCAGAAGATGCTTACTTCTTGGGAGGAGAGCAATGTCCAATCTCGATAAAATAGTAAAGAGTAGAGACATCACACTGGCAACAAAGATCAGCCTAGTCAAAGCCATGGTATTCCCTGTAGTCACCTACGGATGTGAGAGCTGGACCTTAGGGAAGGCTGAGCGAAGGAAGATCGATGCTTTTGAGCTGTGGTGTTGGAGGAAAGTTCTGAGAGTGCCTTGGACTGCGAGAAGATCCAACCAGTCCATCCTCCAGGAAATAAAGCCCGACTGCTCACTGGGGGGAAAGATACTAGAGACAAAGTTGAAGTACTTTGGCCACATCATGAGGAGACAGGAAAGCCTAGAGAAGACAATTATGCTGGGGAAAGTGGAAGGCAAAAGGAAGAGGGGCCGACCAAGGGCAAGATGGGTGGATGGCATCCTTGAAGTGACTGGACTGACCTTGAGGGAGCTGGGGGTGGTAACGGCCGACAGGGAGCTCTGGCGTGGGCTGGTCCATGAGGTCACGAAGAGTCGGAGACGACTGAACGAATGAACAACAACAAAAGTTTCTATGATCCAAAACAAGTTTTTAGAAAAGCCAAAACTTTCTGTGTAGGAGGATTGCACTGCATTCAATATGGCTGACTTCCTAAAGTTGTCAAATTTGTTATGTTCTTAATTCTGGCAGGAAGACTTTACAAACAGGGCCAATATTCTGAATAATTATGTTGTAACTTTGGCTTTTGTAGAGTGCTTGTGCCCAGTTTTGTAGCTGTTTTGTCCTTACGTTGGTTTGGAGAAGTAAAATCAATAGACCTCTAGATTTCGGTAAAGTGTGACAACTCCCAAACAGGAAACGCAGCCACCTGGCCTGCAGTATGCTGTATGTGGGCTTAAATTAGTTTGTGGATTCATGCTTTCTTCATGTTTGTTTGGCAGTTAACAACTGGCTTGGAAACTGGTGGGCCCAACTTGCTAGAAAGATGATTTATGAGTGAGATTAGTGGCAAATTGTTAGCCACTACTCAGAGCATAATATTATATTTTTAAGACATCGCTTAGATCAGTAGTTCTCAACCTTTCTAATGCTGCGACCCCCTCAGTACAGTTCCTCATGTTGTGGTGAACCCCCAACCATAAAATTATTTTTGTTGCTACTTCACAACTGTAATTTTGCGACCGTTATGAATCGTAATGTAAATATTTATATGCAGGATGTATTTTAATTCACTGCACAAATACCTGGTACGGCCAAATTTGAATACTGATGGGTTTTGGGAGGGATTGATTTTGTCATTTGGGAGTTGTAGTTGCTGGGATTTGTAGTTCACCTACAATCAAAGAGCATTCCACTAATAAAGGAATTGAACCAAACTTGGCACGCAGAACTCCCATGACCAACAGAAAATACTGGGTTAGATGGGCATTGACCTTGAGTTTTGGCGTTGTAGTTCACCGACATCCAGAGAGCACTGTGGACTCAAACAGTGAATGGATCAGGACCAAACTTGGCACAAATACTCAATATTCCCAAATGTGAACACTGGTAGAGTTTGGGGAAAATAGGCCTTGACATTTGGGAGTTGTAGTTGCAGGGATTTATAGTTCACCTACAATCAAAGAGCATTCTGAACTCCAGCAATGGTGGAATTGAACCGAACTTGGTGCACTGAACTCCCATTACCAATAGAAAATACTGTGTTTTCTGGTGGTCTTTGGTGACCCCTCTGATACTCCCTCGCAACTCCCCTAAGGATTACACCCCTCTGATTGAGAAATACTGACTTAGATAATATTCTATCACTACCTGTACCCAGCCACGCATTGCTGTGGCCCTCAGAAAACAGAAGATTTCCAGACATGAAAGAATCTGGAGTAGGGAACTCCTCCCACTAAAGGTTTCCCGCTGGCTGGTAAAAGCCAGGCTTTTAACGTGCAGGGCTATTCAAAGGTAATCCAGGTGGACAATTGCAACATTCACACTTGGCTCAAGTAGAAATGGAGGGGGCGGGTCAGAGAGTTGTTTTCACGTATGCGCTGTAATGTCTTTTTGGGGTTATTTGGATTTTAGGTCCTTTCCACTGTGTGTGTTTTTTTTGTTTTGTTTTTAAGAGTGATGGTCTCTCATTGACCTGATAGGTGTGTTGTATTTTTTGTTTTTTGGCTTTTAAAGTCTCTTCCGCTATGTTTTTCAGTGTTTTTATGAGGGATGGTCACTTGTTGACCTGACAGGTGTCTTGTGTCCAAATTTGGTGTCAGTTCATCCAGTGGTTTTTGAGTTATGTTAATCCCACAAACAAACATTACATTTTTATTTGTATATACTAGTTGTCCCCTGCCAGGCGTTGCTGTGGCCCAGTCTGGTGATCTGGAAAGTAAAGTAATGAGAAAGTGTTGGTTTCTAATATATGTAATTTCTTTATGCTTGTGGGAAAACAGTATTTCTTGTTGTTTCTTTGTCAGTGTTGATGTGGAGAGTGTCTGGTTTGCCTCCTCTGGAATATGCAACATATAATTGTCCTTCTTTAGGAGTCCCTTTCAAATCCATGACACTATATCTGTGTGTGAATCATATCTATCTATCTATATCTATGGCTGGATGGCTCTTTGTCAGGAGGGCTTTGATTAGTTTTCTTGCCCTGATGAAGGGAGTTGGACTGGATGGCCTTAAGTATTTTCTGTTGGTCATGGGGGTTCTGTGTAGGAAGTTTGCCGCGATTCTGTCGTTCATGGGGTTCAGAATCCTGTTTGATTGTAGGTGAACTAAATCCCAACAACTACAACTCCCAAATGCCAAGGTCTATTTCCCCCAAACGCCATCTGTGTTCATATTTGGGCATAGGGAATATTTTTGCCAAGTTTGGTCCAGATCCAATGATGTGGAGATCATTGTTTGAGTCCACAGTGCTCTCTGGATGTAGGTGAACTACAACTCCCAAACTCAAGGTCAGTACCCACCAAACCCTTCTGGTGTTTTCTGTTGGTCATGGGAGTCCTGTGTGCCACATTGGTGGAGTTCAGAATGCTCTTTGATTGTAGGTGTACTATAAATCCCAGCAGCTACAACTCCGAAATGACAAAAGTAATTTTTTGAGTGATGGTCACTCCTTGAGTTAGTAGGTGTCTTGTGACCAAATTTGGCAGCAATTCGTCCAGTGGTTTTTGAGTTCTGTTAATCCCACAAACGGACATTACATTTTTATTTATATAGATTGGAACTCCAACCAAAGAGCAGGAATTGGTATAGTGCCCTAATATAAAGAAGATGAGTTGAACGAGATTTGCATGTTGTGTCCCTGAGGCGCTTTCAGCCATGACAGTTGATGCCACATTGCATTGACTCGACAATGTATATGCATGCTCATTGTGACCTGATTTTAAATGCCAGCGATGCAGGGAATGTTATATTCACGTTGCTGAAATGCATCTCTTTACCTGAAACAACCTCCATGCTTGGTTGTCAGGGGAGATGCTCGTCCTGTTACAGATCTTGTGGCCGAAAAGAAACTGAGCCTGAATGGCTGAAGATTTTGACCTCCACCTGGTTACACAAATCTTGTCCTTTTGCAGATGCTACTGTGGAATTATCCCTGGACAATACACAAAACAACCAGAAGAAGGAGAACGCGAATGTTTTCAGTCCTGCCCCTTCTCTTGAAAGAGAAGCAAATTCCTCTTCCAAGCATCAGTCAAAAACATACGAGGAGGTATGTGCTTCTGCCTTTGGTTGTGTATTGTGGAATATTTTCGCAGATCAAGAACATTTTTCCACGGTGTCAGAGACTGGGGAATGTATAACCCATTCAATCTAAGTACATCATGTAATGTGTTTAATTCAAGCATGGAGTGTTCTCACAAAGTGGTTCCGGTGCCCGAGAACTTGCATTGTGCACTGAGGCTTGGCTAGAGCTGCCAAATAATTTGGATACACAATCTGATATGTGTAACCTGGCCTAATTTGAGGGTTTGCAGCACTCATGGTAAACTCAGTCTTTCTTTTTGTGTAGGTTGAAGGATACATGTTTGTACATTCAAAATATGCACACAACCCTGCCTCTCTGCCTCCAACTTTCTTACACTCACAAATCTATATCCATAATAATAAAAGTGAAAATCTCTCTATCTCTCTCTCTCTCTGTGTGTGTGTGTGTGTATGCATGTGGTTGGGGTGCCCACTTCCACAGACAGCTTTTACCCATAGTTCTGAGGAGCCACCAAAAGCACTCACTCGCATGTCGTGGATTCCACTTTGTAGCCCCATTTCTGAAGGTTGGCTCTGCATCTCGTGGTGCCAGAGCGCAGTCTGTTCAGCGCCTTCCAAGTCGCCCAGTTTTCTGTGTGCCCAGGGGGGAGTCTCTCATTTGGTATCAGCCATTGATTGAGGTTCTGGGTTTGAGCCTGCCACTTTTGGACTCTCGCTTGCTGAGGTGTTCCAGTGAGTGTCTCTGTAGATCTTAGAAAACTATTTCTTGATTGTTTAGCTGGTATTGCACCACCTGACATCCGCCGGGAAGTAGCAGCCAATAATGAAAGGACCAAGGCAGAGACATCTCCAGCTCATCCCTTGTTTGGGTATCAGCCAGCACGTCAACGACTTAAATCAAGAAATAGTTTCCTAAGATCTACAGAGACACTCGCTGGAACACCTCAGCAAGCGAGAGTCCAAAAGTGGCAGGCTCAAACCCAGAACCTCAATCAATGGCTGATACCAAATGAGAGACTCCCCCCTGGGCACACAGAAAACTGGGCGACTTGGAAGACGCTGAACAGACTGCTCTCTGGCACCACGAGATGCAGAGTCAACCTTCAGAAATGGGGCTACAAAGTAGAATCCACGACATGCGAGTATGGAGAAGAGCAAACTACAGACCACCTGCTGCAATGCAACCTGAGCCCTGCCACATGCACAAAGGCACTCCAAGTGGCCAGATACTGGTCAAAGGACATTTAATCAACTACCAAGCTTGCAAATTTGTGTTTTGTTTGTTTGTTGTTTGTTCTGTTCTGTTAGAAATGTAATACAATTGTCTGTTTGCCCCTGACACAATAAATAAATAGCTATGATGGTGTTGTCCTCCTCTGTTTCTCTTACAGCTAGAAGAAGAAGAAGAAGAAGACAAATTTGAACTTTCCGTGGGAGTGAGTGATCCTGAGAAGATTGGTGAGTAATTCATTAAATGGAAATAACGTAATTATAGGGAAAGGCTGTGTGGATCTGAGCTTTAAGCTTCCAGACCAAGCAAAGTGCTGTTTTTCCTTATGGTCTGCACTTGTGTTGCATGAGAAAATTAAGACCTGGGCCATCACTGCCAACAATGGAATGCATCAGAGATTATTAGCTCTAAACATTTCTCTTATCTTTCTTGCTGAGGAAAAAGGTATCTAATAAAAGCTATCCATTCGAAACCCATTGTAAATTTGCTTTAAATTTGCACCGGGACTGTGGCGCAGCTCTCTGAGTGTCAGCTGCATTAAGATCACTTCTGACCAAAAGGACATGAGTTCGAAGCCAGCCCGGGTCACAGTGAGCTTCCGACCAATTGTGTAGCTTGTTGTCGACCTTTGCATCAACCCGAAAGACAGTTGCATCTGTCAAGTAGGAAAATTAGGTACCAGCTATGTGTGGGGAGGCTAATTTAACTAATTTACGAGGCCATTAAAAAAGACTCCAGCAAAGCATGCGGGGAATGCGGAAGTACTTCATCAGTGTCGCAGATGGATGATTAAAGCGACCGCTCCCCTGGCGGCCAGAAAAGTTAAATAGCCTCTGACTGTCTGTCTATATCTGTTGTGTGTCTTTGGCATTGAATGTTTGCCATATATGTATACATGAGTCCCCTGCGGGGTGAGAAGGGCGGAATATAAATACTGCAAATAAATAAATAAATGAAGGGCAGTGTTTCTCCACCTTCCCAATGCCACGGCCACTTAATGCAGTTCCTCATGTTGTGGTGACCCCCAACCATAAAGTTATTTTCCTTGCTACTTCATAATTTTGCTACTAGTAGGAATGATAATGTAAATATCCGATATGCAGGATGGATTTTCATTCACTGGACCAAATTTGGCACAAATACGTGATACACCCAAATTTGTATGCTGGTGGTGCTGCGGGGGGATTGATTTTGTCACTTGGGAGTTGTAGTTGCAGGAATTCAACCAGACTTGGCACACAGAACCTTGACCAACAGAAAATCCTGGAAGGGTTTGGTGGGCATTGACCTTGAGTTTTGGAGTTGTAGTTCACCTACATCCAGAAAGCATTGTGAAAAACAATAGATCTGGACCAAATTTGGCACAAATTCCTGAGAGGCCCAAATTTGAATGCTGATGGGGTTGGGGGGGGGGGTGTTGGATTTCATCATTTGGGATCCGTCGTTGCTGGGATTTAAAGTTCACATACAATCAATGAGCACTCTGAACACCACCAACAATGGAATTGAACCAATCTTGGCACACAGAATTCCCATGACCAACAGAAAATACTGGAAGGGTTTGTTGGACATTGACCTTGAGTTTTGTAGTTGTAGTTCACCTCCATCCAGAGAGCACTGTGGACTCCCAACAATAATGGCTCTGGTCCAAATTTGGCACAAATTCCTGATAGGCCCAAATCCGAATGCTGGTGAGGTTGAGGGAGATTGATTTCATCATATGGGAGTTGTAGTTGCTGGGATTTGTATTCTCCTACAATCAATGAGCATTCTGAACACTACCAACAATGGAATTGAACCAATCTTTGCACACAGAATTCCCATGGCCAACAGAAAATACTGGAAGGGTTTGTTGGACATTGACCTTGAGTTTTGAAGTTGTAGTTCACCTCCATCCAGAGTGCACTGTGGACTCCAACAATGATGGCTCTGGTTCGAATTTGGCACAAATTCCTGATAGGCCCAAATCCAAATGCTGGTGAGGTTGAGGGAGATTGATTTCATCATTTGGGAGTTGTAGTTGCTGGGATTTGTAGTTCACCTACAATCAATGAGCATGCCGTACTCCACTAACAATGGAACTGAACCAGTCTTGGCACACAGAACTCCCATGACAAACAGAAAATCCTGGAAGAATTTGGTGGACATTGTCCTTGAGCATTGGAGTTGTAATTCACCTACATCCAGAGAGCACTGTGGACCCAAACAATGATGGATTTGGACCAAACTTGGCACAAATACGCAATATTCCCAAATGTGAACACTGGTGGAGTTCGGGGAAAATAGACATTGACATTTTGGGAGTTATAGTTGCTGGAATTTGTAGTTCACCAACAATCAAAGAGCATCCTGTACTCCAGCAATGATAGAATTGGGCTAAGCTTCCCACACAGAAGCCCCATAACCGAGAGAAAATATTGCTTTCTGATAGTCTGACCCCCTGCCCAGTAGTCCCGACCCCCAGGTTGAGAAACGCTGCTTTAGGGTCACCATACATTGGAAATGGCTTGCGGACAAACAACAGACAAGCTGGTGGCCTACCAGAGTTTGACTCAAATTCCTGATAGGCCCAAATTTCAATGCTGGTGAGATTGAGGGTGATGGATTTCATCATTTGGGAGTTGTAGTTGCTGAGATTTATAGTTCACCTACAATCAAAGAGCATTCTGAACACCACCAACAGCCTTGAAGGATGAGTAGTTCAAGGCCTGCTGCGTAATGGCTTACTCTGTAATCTGATTTATTCTTGACCTTGAAGGAGGGATATTGCAAGGTTGCCTAAGAAAAGCCTGTGAGATTCATGCATACAGGGGTGACTGAAAGGAGCGCGCGGGCGCACAAACTATAATTACATTTCAGCATTCGCAATGCTGCCGGTTCCCCTTGGAATTGGAACAGCTGCAAAAACATTCTCTGGCTCAGACTACTCCAAGTCCTGGAACTGCTGCAAATCCATTCTTGTGCCTGATTCTGCTCCAGAGGTTTTGATGCACAGTTATTAATACAGGAAGAGGAGGATTGTGGAAATTTCTCTCTGTCCCTGTGGAGTGTTATGCTCTTTGCTTTAATACTTTCTGAACTCCAGAATGAAAGCCCCGTGCACTGAAGGGATGGCTGGGCCAGAGTACAACCCTCCTCCCCTCTTCCTTCCCCTTCCAGCTGCCTTTCAGGGCCATCACAGCCACTTCCTTGTTCGGTTTGAGGCAGATGTGCCCAGCTCTCCCAGGTTCTACAAGCAGAACAAGTCGCTAATTATGATGTCAGGCTCCTCTCTGTAGGAAGCACGGGCAGGCCTTGGCACTGCTGGGGAGCCACTCGGGGGGGGGGGGCATCCGGTTGCTTGGACAGTAAGGAGAGCTGAAGAAGACCTGGAAAGTCCGCTCAGTTTGCTCATGCGCCCATATTTATTAGATTGTTAGTATACATGGCCGGCATTGCCTGGGTGTCGGATGGGCTGATGCCCCCTGCCTTCATTTATTCATTTACTAGCAGTCCCTGCCATGCGTTGCTGTGGCCCAGTCTGTTGATCTGGAAAATAAAGTAATGAGAAAGTGTTGGTTTCTAATATATTTAATGTCTTTCTGCTTGTGAATAAACAGTATTTCTTGCTGTTTCTTTGCCAGTGTTGATGTGGACATTGCCTACTCTGGAACATGCAACATATCATTGTCCTTCTTTAGGGGTCCCTTTCCAATCTAAGATACTGCATCTGTCATATACATATATGTGTGTGTGAATGGCTGGATGGCCCTTTGTCAGGAGGGCTTTGATTATGTTTTCTTGCTCTGGTGAAGGAAGTTGTACTGAATGGCCTTAAGGCAGCATTTCTCAACCTGGGAAGTCAAGACCCCGGGGGAGGGTTACCAGGGGGGTGTTAGAAAGGTCACCAAAGACCACCAGAAAACACAGAATTTTCTGTTGGTCATGGGGGTTCTGTGTGGGATGTTTGGCCCTATTCCATTGTTGGTGGGGTTCAGAATGCTCCTTGATTGTAGGTGAACTATAAATCCCAGTAACTACGACTCCCAAATGTCAAGGTCTATTTCCCCCAAACTCCATCTGTGTTTATATTTGGGCATATTGAGTATCCGTGCCAAGTTTGGTCCAGATCCATAATTGTTTGAGTCCACAGTGCTCTCTAGATGTAGGTGAACTACAACTCCAAATCCCAAGATCAATGCCCACCAAACCCTTCTAGTGTTTTCTGTTGGTCATGGGTGTCCTATGTGCCAAGTTTGGTTTAATTCCATTGTTGGTGAGGTTCAGAATGCTCTTTGATTGTAGGTGAACTATAAATCCCAGCAACTACAACTCCCAAATGACAAAATCATAATTTTTGAGTGATGGTCACTCCTTGTGTTGTGAGACGTTTTGTTGCCAAATTTGGTGTGATTTCGTTCATTGGGTCTTTTGTTTTTAAGGTACTCACTATGCACAGAGCATTTTTATATATATAGATGTATTTACAGTATTTCTCACCCCTGGGGGGACTCAAAGCGGTTTACACATATATAATGGCAAGATTCAATACCTTACATTGGGCACCAATATGATGCCGATACAAACAATTACAATAGTAAAACCACAATTAAACATAAATCATAATTAAAACAATACATCAACAGGCATTAAAACAATAAAGCAGTCTCATCAGTCAAAGCGCCGTTCCAGTCAATGTCCCTCTAAAATGCTACATATATTTACTGTTTGAAGGCCTGGTCCCAGAACCATGATTTTAATTTTAAAAAAATCATCCCTTCTTTCTCTTTCCCTCTTCTCATACCTTTCCTCCTTTCCTTTCTCTTCCTTCCTTCCCTCCTTTTTCTTTCTTTCCCACTCTCTCCCTTCATTCCTTTTTTTCCTTTCTTTTTTTTCCTCCGTCCCTCTCTCATACACGTCACCTTTCTTTCCCAGCGACAACACAGAGAGGGCCATTTCACCTAGCAACAGTCTTTATGTAGCAGCACCTAATCCTTCACCTAGCAACAGCCAACTCAATGACAACACAGAGGGCCACTTCACCTAGCAACAGCTTTCACCAAGCAGCATCTAATTCTTCACATAGGAACACCTAATCCTTCACCTAGCAACAGCCAACTCAATGACAACACAGAGGGCCACTTCACCTAGCAACAGCCGTCCCCTGCCACGCGTTGCTGTTGCCCAGTCTGTGTATATGTGTTTTGTGTGTGTGTGTGTGTGTGTGTATTATTTGTGTATATGTGTATTTCTGTGGTTATGTGCATACTTTGTAATGTAATGTATTTTTATTTTATTTTATTAGCTTTATAAGTCTCTTTTGCTGTGTTTTGCAGTTCTTTTATGAATGATGGTCACTTGTTGGCCTGAGAGGTGTCTTGTGTCCAAATTTGGTGTCACTTCGTCCAGTGCCTTTTGAGTTCTGTTAATCCCACAAACGAACATTACATTTTTATTTATATAGATGCAGTGATTAAGGGGAATGTAATCCATGTAAAAGGCAAAATATCACTCCTCAACGCTTCCAAGACAAGCAGTTCATCCTTTTTATGGCCCTAAAAATGGAGGGCCAGAAACACGGCTGCAAAACCATTGGACTTTGCCCAATATTTTGAACATCATAGTATGGAATGCATTTCAGGTTAACAATTAACATTTCAACAGTTTTTGTGTATTAAGTCCCCACTAGATGGAGGCATTCACCGCAGCATGCGATAGACCTCTTGGTTTCTTCTTTCCTCAGGGGATGGTATGAACGCCTACGTCGCCTACAAGGTCTCCACCCAGGTAGGTTTGCTTTTGCCTTTCCATTTCTTTCCATTTCGTTTAAAACCCTCCTACTAGATACACCCTCTGTTCATGTCCAGCACTTATTTTAAAGTTTTAACTATTACATCTGGCCATAGGTTTTTAAATCCTTGTGTGTTACTGTCTATGTGTGAGTGATATTAATTGTATTGTTTATTTGGCTTATTCCCTGTTGTTTTGTATTGATGTGTTGTTCTTGGGCTTGGCCTCATGTAAGCCGCTCCAAGTCCTTTGGGGAGATGGTGACGGGGTATAAATAAAGTTTTATTATTATTATTACTAGCTGTACCCACCATACGTTGCTGTGGCCAAACTTTCCTCCTTCTTTCTCTCCTTTCTTCCCTCTTTCCTTCCCTCCCTCCCTCCCTCCCTCCCTCTCTTCACACCTACCTTCCTTACCATCTTCCTTCTTTCCCATCTTTTTTCCTTCCTTCCTTCCTTCCTTCCTTCCTTCCTTCCTTCCTTCCTTCCTTCCTTCCTTCCTTCCTCTTCCTTCTTTCCTTTCTTCCTTCTCTCCTTCCTGCCTTCTTTCATTCCTTCCTTTCTTTGCTTCTCTAACTTTCTTTCTTTACTTCTTTCCCTCCCTCCTTCTCTCCTTCCTTCCTTCCCCCTTTCCCTCCTTCATTCCTTCCCTCTTTCCCTCCTTCTCTCATTACTTCTTGGCTGTCCCATTTAATATTGTATTTATATCTTACACAGAAAGAAGGAAAGGAAGAAGGAAGGAAGGAGGGACAGGAAGGAAGGAAAAAGAAAGGAAGGGAGGGAGGGAAGGAGGGAAAGAAGGGAAGGAAGGAATTGGGTTGTTAGTTGTATCGTGTACAAATCTGGTGTCAAATCCCCCAGTGGTTTTTGAGTTCTGTGAATACCACAAACGAACATTACATTTTTATTTATATAGATTGGAACTCTAACCAAAAAACAGGAATTATTATTATTATTATTATTATTATTATTATACAATCTAGTGCAGAGTGCACCATGTTTATCTCATGTTCATTGTCTCTTCAGACCACTTTGTCGCTCTTCAGGAGTAAACAGTTCTCAGTCAAGCGAAGGTTCAGCGACTTCTTGGGCTTGTATGAGAAACTGTCCGAGAAACACGCACAGAACGGGTTCATTGTCCCTCCACCCCCCGAGAAGAGCTTAATCGGTGAGTGTGAATGGTAAACCTGACTAGCAATATCATGTGACACACATGCACTCTTTGCCGTGTTGCCTTGCGATCTTTTATTTACAAACAGTACCCTCTCCCACTACTTTTTTTTCATCTTCTGTATGAGCTTTTCTACCAAAGCTAAAGCAATCCCCCATGTATGTAGGACTTGCATAGATTTTTTTTTCCGTGTCTGAAGTGACTTAATTTTTTTTTAAAAAAAAAAAAAACAGTGACAGCAGATGCTGGAAATGCAAAGCACACGCACGGTGGTCCACGTTCTGGTTACATCCCATATAGATTACTGCAATGCTCTCTACGAGAGGTTGCCTCTGAAGACTGCTCGGGAGCTGCAATTAGTTGCAGTAGAATTTCCGGGATGTAACCAGAGCGTGGAATACCGTGGCCAAGTCAGACTTCCCAAGGTACGGGCGCAGCTGGCGCACAAGTTTCAATTGTGCAAATGCTGTCCCGGTCACTGCAGAGACCTGGGATTCCAGGCTCAGCGATGAATCCAGAATCACACCCAAACTGCGAACCTGCAGCTTATTTATTTATTTATTTATTTATTTATTTATTTATTTATTTATTTACTGCGCTTCTATACCGCAATTCTCAGCCCTAGGGCGACTCATTGCGGTGTACAACATGAAAAAACAGGTGCAAATTACAAACCATAGTGCAAAATAATCAACAATTCATCATTATCATAAAAACATCTTATCAAAAAATCAACATTACTACCAAATTTCTACTACATTCCGAATCGTCTCATCGTCAAACCCATAATCCGATATCATTTCTGTTATTCCATTCCTATGGTCACATTACCAGTCATTGCACTTCTTGATCAAATGCCTTCTTAAAGAGCCAGGTCTTTAACTTCCTGCGGAATATCAACAGCTTCCTACTTTTCTGTACCCACACAATGTTCCCCCTCTTTTATTGTATCACTACAAATCTTTTCTGATTAAAAATCAATTGAAAAAAAAAAGAGAAACTGCAATTTGCTTCTGGTGTGAGAGAATTGGCCGTCTGCAAAGACGTCACCCAGGGGATGCCTGGATGTTTTGATGTTTTACCATCCTTGTGGGAGGCTTCTCTCATGTCCCCGCCTGGGGAGCTGGAGCTGACAGAAGGAGCTCACCCGCGCTCTCCCTGGATTCGAACCTCCAACCTGTCGGTCTTCAGTCCTGCTGGTACAAGAGTTTAACCCATTGTGTCACCGACGGCTTGCTGAGATGCAGTTGGTGGTATTTCTTCCCTCTCTTATTCCAGGAATGACCAAAGTAAAAGTTGGAAAAGAAGATTCCTCTTCCACAGAATTCCTAGAAAAACGCCGAGCTGCCTTAGAAAGGTAATTTCAAATGCTGGTTTCTGTTATGGCTGTAATTGCAAAAGGCCCACAGGTTGAGAACCACTGGGATATTGCTATATGGTGTCTTGGAAGTGTGATTGACCATTTGGAGCTGGGATTCTCAACCTCAGGGTTGGGACCCCTGGGGGTCACGAGGGGGTGTCAGAGGGGTCGCCAAAGACCATCAGAAAACACAGTATTTTCTGTTGGTTGTGGGTGTTCTGTCTGGAAAGTTTGGCCCAATTCTCTCAGTGGGGTTCAGAATGCTATTTGGTTGTAGGTGAACTATAAATCCCTGCAACTACAACTCCCAAAGGTCAAGGTCTATTTCCCCTGAACTCCACCAGTATTCACATTTGAGCATGTTGAGTATTCGTTTGGTCCAGATCTATCATTGTTTGAGTGTATGGAGGTGAACTACAACTCCAAAACTCAAGGTCAATGCCCACCAAACCCTTCCAGTGTTTTCTCTTGGTCATGGGAGTTCTGTGTGCCAAGATTGGTTGAATTCCATTATTAGTGTAGTTCAGAATGCTCTTGTAGGTGAACTATAAATCCCAGCAACTACAACTCCCAATTGACAAATTCAAACCCCTACAATCCCACCAGTATTCCAGTTTGGACGTATTGGTTATTTGTGCCAAATTTGGTCCAGTGAATGAAAATATATCCTGCATACCAGATATTTACGTTACAGTTCCTAAGAGTAGCAACATTATAATTATGAAGTAGCAACGAAAATAATGTTATGGTTGGGGAACTGTATTGAGGGGTGGCGGCATTAGGAAAGTTGAGAAACACTGATTTAGAGTAAAGTCAGCCACAGTTTGGTAGGTTGAACGTGTTTGAATGGCAACTGTAATGCAATATCATACTACTACTAATAATAATAATAATATGATATTATAATTATATATTTTATATTACACGTATTATTACTAATAATATTACAATATAATAGTATAGTACAATATAGTAATATATAATACTGACATTGTACTATGCTAATAATATTGTATATTGTATGTATATATATCTTGTAAGCCACTCTCTGAGTCCCCTTTGGGATGAGAAGGGCAATATATATAATACTAATAATATATATATTTTTTGTCGTGTCAGGAGTGACTTGAGAAACTGCAAGTCGCTTCTCGTGTGAGAGAATTGGTCATCTGCAAGGACGTTGCCCAGGGGATGCCTGGATGATTTTGATGTTTTTTATCATCCTTGTGGGAGGCTTCTCTCATGTCCTCGCATGAGGAGCTGGAGCTGATAGAGGGAGCTCATCCGCCTCTCCCCAGATTCGAACCTGTGACCTGTCGGTCTTCAGTCTTGCCGGCACAGGGGTTTAACCCACGGCGCCACCGGGGCTCCAATAATAATAATAATAATAATAATAATAATAATAATAATAATAATAATAATAATATATTATAATAATAATTATATATATTACATGTAATATTACTAATAGTATTACAATATAATGGTATAGTACAATAAAGTAATATATAATACTGATATTGTACTATGCTAATAATATAATATATTGTATGTATATATATATATCTTGTGAGCCAGTCTGAGTCCTCTTCGGGGTGAGAAGGACGATATATATAATACTAATACTAATAATAATATATAATAATAATTATATATATTACATGTAATATTACTAATAGTATTACAATATAATGGTATAGTACAATATAGTAATATTTAATACTGATCTTGTACTATGCTAATAATATAATATATTGTATGTATATATATCTTGTAAGCCAGTCTGAGTCCCCTTCGGGGTGAGAAGGGCAGCATTTAAATGTCGTAAATAAATAAATAAACAAACGATGAAGCATGCAGCTCTCTTGCCCACTCCTGAGATAGGAAATAACCCTGTCCCTGTTTGTACCAATCCTCAAATTGCAACCTACGAAGTATCTGCTCATTTTAAATCTGCCGTCAATGAATTCATGAAGGAGGCTCCCCCCCCCCCCCCGCCACAAGTTTTTTAAGGGTTTGAACACAAGCCTGTTCTTTTGTCTAGTAATGATTGATATGAACCGTTTTTGACTGGTTCACCTAAATCTCTTCCCATTTTCTATTGACTGGAATAAACTGGGCAACAAGTGTGGCGGGTGGGAGTTGTTCAAACTGGAACCGCCATCAAAGATCCCACAGTGAATGGGGAAGTAAGAAGGGAAGCAGTGATGTCCCAGTTCTTGTTCTTCGAGTTTCACTTTAAGTGAGACACACAAACTCAAAAATAATTGCTTTTCTTTGGGATATTACTGTTAAACTTGTTTCAGCTGAATAAAGCCTCACATTACTTACTTTACTTAGGCGATCCCTTGTTGTCCGAGTAGGATAGTCTTCCAGGATCAGTGTTCTGGTGGGTGCGTAGGTGGCTGTGGAGGCCTATTCTTGACCTGCATGTTCTCCCGCAGTGAGGGCATCAGTTTCCAGGTGGAAGGCGGTCTCAGTCGGGGTTGACTTGACATGCCTTCCTCTTGGCATGTTTCTCTCTTTCGCCCTCCATTCGTGCCTCTTCAGATTCTGCAGCACTTCTGGTCACAGCTGATCTCCAGCTGGAGCGCTCAAGGGCCAGGGCTTCCCAGTTCTCAGTGTCTATGCCAGAGTTTTTAAGGTTGTCTTTGAGCCCATCTTTAAATCTCTTTTCCTGCCCACCAACATTTCGTTTTCCATGCTTGAGTTCAGAGTAGAGCAACTGCTTTGGGAGACAGTGGTCGGGCATCCGGACAACATGGCCAGTCCAGCGGAGTTGATGGCGAAGGACCATCACTTTAATGCTGGTGGCCTTTGCTTCTTTCAGCACGCTGACATTTGTCTTCCCAAGAGATTTGCAGGATTTGCAGCGGAGACAGCGCTGATGGAATCGTTCCAGTCCACGTTTTGCAGGCATATAGCAGGGTTGGGAGGACAATAGCTTTATAAACAAACACTTTGTTATCCCTACGGATGTCCCGGTCCTCAAACACTCTCTGCTTCATTCAAAAAAATGCTGCACTCACAGAGCTCAGGCAATGTTGTATTTCAGTGCCAATTCTGATGTCTGTAGATAGTCGACATTTTGCAGGCGTATAGCAGGGTTGGGAGGACAATAGCTTTATAAACAAGCCTCTTGGTCTCCCTATGGATGTCCTGGTCCTCAAACACTCTCTGCTTCATTCGGAAAAGTGCTGCACTTGCAGAGCTCAGGTGGTGTTGTATTTCAGTGCCAATGTTGACGTCTGTAGATAGTCCATGTTTCGCAGACGTAAAGCAGCGTTGYGAGGACAATAGCTTTATAAACAAGCCCCTTGGTCTCCCTATGGATGTCCCGGTCCTCAAACACTCTCTGCTTCATTCGGGAAAATGCTGCCCTCGCAGAGCTCAGGTGGTGTTGAATTTCAGTGTCAATGTTGACTTTTGTGGAGAGGTGACTCCCAAGGGAGCGTAAATGGTCCACATTTTCTAATGTTACACCATTAAGCTGAATTTATGGCATTGGAGAGGATTATAAACATGTATCAAGAATATGAAAGTGCAGGATGCAGGCCCCTCACTCTTTCCTCTTCAACAGGTATCTTCAGAGGACCGTAAGCCACCCGACCATGTTGCAGGACCCAGATGTCAGGGAGTTCCTGGAAAAAGAGGAGGTTGGTTTCCCGCTGTTCCCAAGAGTTGTGCTCTCTTTCCTGCAAAATGTTACTGCGCTTGTGACCTAAGCATCCTTAACATGGTTCATTGGGAATTCATGCATATCTGTTGAGATGTTCTTGAGCTCAAGGGGTGTGTATCAGGGATGGGTGAACTTTCAAGAATGGGGACAGGGAAAGCATCACTCTTGTATTGCAACTGGACTGGAAACAAGTCTAAACTCTGGATCCAGGAGAGACGCCACTTAAGGAAAAGGAATGCGCGCCTGGGTCAAGTTATCACGCATCACAGTGCATGGTCATGGATACTTTCTCCTTTTACCGGCTGTGATAGTCTCTCCGTTTTTAACAAAGAGGCCGATCTTTCCGTCGTCTTGGTTTCAAACTGAGGTATCATGGCTTGCTTCTCCTTTTTTGCTGACTAAATCACATGCTCTTTCGGTTATGAAACGTTCCTGGTTTGGTTGTGACTTCTGTATCACAGCTTCTCTCTTTTGGAAAATCCTGCCTGATGGTGTGGCATTTGTATTTTTTAAAAAGACACAAATATGACTCCACAAAGAAAGTTTGGAAGTCTTCACCAATAATATGGAAGGAGTTGTTTGAAAGCTTTTTCACCCTACCTTTTAACAACAACAACTACTACTGCCAAGGAAGCATAACAAACTGTGTGTTATGAGAACGGTGTACTGCCTTTATTCTAATAGCAAAGCTGTAATATCTCTCCAAAATTGCCTAATGATTGAGAACTAATGATTGGCTCTTAAACTATACCAAGAATCTTCAGATTATAGTACAGAAAACAGGGGAAAATTCCAGACAGGAAACAGTCAGGGCCAGCTAACACCTCCAAACAAAAGATCTCCCCCAGGCAGAGAGCAACCAGGCTTTGAAGCTGCAAAGCTATTCAGTCCTAATCAAGCCGGCCAATTGCAACATTCACACTTGCCTCAACCAGACAAGAATTCTGGCAGGACTGAAGGCCGACAGGTCACAGGTTCGAATCTAGAGACAGTGTGGATGAGCTCCCTCTGTCAGCTCTAGCTCCTCATGCAGAGACATGAGAGAAGCCTCCCACAAGGATGATAAAACATCAAAACATCCGGGCAATGTTCCCTGGGCAACGTCCTTGCAGACAGCCAATTCTCTCACACCAGAAGCGACTTGCAAGGTGCTTTATGTGCGAGTAGGCTGCGCGGGGCTGCTCCTCCCTTGGCAGGCTCACGCTATCCGTCAGGCCTGATGGGCAGCTGCTCCGCATGGCCTACTCGCGCGTAAAGCACCTCGCGAGGTGCTTTATGCGCGAGTAGGCCGCACGGGGCTGCTCCTCCCTTGGCAGGCTCACGCTGCTCACGCTGAGCCAGCCAAGGGAGGCTGCCCCGATGCTCCATGCAGTCATACCGGCCACATGACCTTGGAGGTGTCTACGGACAACGCCAGCTCTTCGACTTAGAAAGGCAGATGAGCACCATACCTCAGAGTCAGACATGACTGGACTTCATGTCAGAGGAAAACCTTTAACTAGGAAAATTGTGGAAGATCCAGGGTGGGAGAAAGAACTCTTGTCTGTTGGAGGTAGGTATGAATGTTTCAATTGGCCACCTTGATTACCATTTCATAGCCTGACAGTTTTTAGGGAGAATCCTTTGTTGAGAGGTGATTAGCTGGCCCTGATTGTTTCTTGTCTGGAGTTCCCTGTGTTTGAATTTTGTTCTTTATTTACAGTTACAATTTTAGAGTTTTTTTAAATACTGGTAGCCAGATTTTGTTCAGACTAGAAATAGGAAGATTTCCCATTCTCTGCTCCTAGAATTACTGCCTAAAGAGGGTGAGAAAGAACCCCCTCTAAGGGCCCTTCCACACAGCAAAATAAGATATGTGCAATATGAATAGGAATTTTTTAATTGATTTTTTAAAAAAAAACCCATATTCCGGCCCTCCAATGGTCTGAGGGACAGTGAACTGGCCCCCGGTTTAAAAAGTTTGAGGACCCCTGGTCTAGCCAGTATTGCACCACCTGACATCCGCCGGGAAGTAGCAGCCAATAGTGAAAAGACCAAGGCAGAGACATCTCCAACTCATCCCAGCCAGCATGTCAACGACTTGAATCAAGAAATAGTTTTCTAATATCTACAGAGACACTCGGCGGAACACCCCAGCAAGTGAGAGTCCAAAAGTGGCAGGCTCAAACCCAGAACCTCAACCAATGGCTGGTACCAAATGAGAGGCTCACCCCTGGGCACACAGAAGACTGGGCGACTTGGAAGGCACTGAACAGACTGCGCTCTGGCACCACGAGATGCAGAGCCAACCGTCAGAAATGGGGCTACAAAGCGGAATCCATGACATGCGAGTGCGGAGAAGAGCAAACCACAGACCACCTGCTGCAATGCAACCTGAGCCCTGCCACATGCACAATGGAGGACCTTCTTGCAGCAACACCAGAAGCACTCCAAGTGGCCAGATACTGGTCAAAGGACATTTAATGGAATACCAAGTCTGCAAATTTTGTGTTTTGTTTGTTTGTTTGTCTGGTTTTTTTAATGCAATACAACTGTTTTGGTTCGTTCTTGACACGATAAATAAATACTTTTTGCCAAAAATAAGCCACTGCCCTTTGGTTAGAATCCTGACTAGTACCTGCACTTGCTTTGTTCATGCTAATTATTCATGACATCATAAAATAGACATTGAGTTGGCTCCATTCACCTATCCTGTACTATTCTAATAATATAATGTAATATAGCATAATATATTATATATACATATAATATTTATAATATTATAATGTGATGCAATATAATACTAATAATAATATGATATTATAGTTATATATTTATATTACATGTAATATTACTAATAGTATTACAATATAATGGTATAGTGCAATATATTAATATTTAATACTGATGTTGTACTATGCTAATAATATATTATATGGATATATATATCTTGTAAGCCGCTCTGAGTCCTCTTCGGGGTGAGAAGGAGAGCATATAAATGTCGTAAATAAATAAATAAACAAATACTAATGTAGATAATGGGTTTCGCAATCTTTTCTCAGTTGCCACGAGCGGTTAGTACCCAAACATTAAGCGGTGCTGGCCTCCTGAAGATGTTCAACAGAGCTACCGATGCCGTCAGCAAAATGACCATTAAGATGAATGAATCTGACATCGTAAGTATACAACATGCTTGTGCTTCTGTTGCTGCATATTTCATCTTTGTACATAAAGGAATTGCGCCAATTTATCTGAAGCGTTAGGGATCTGAGTGCTGTCAAAAAGTGGAATTGGTTGAAAAGTGGAACCCAAGTTGTTTTGGCTACTGAAACATGTAAACAACACAATATATATCATTTTTGAATGCACGATAAAGCTAAAAGGTTATTTAAGGAGGGGTCCACTATTTCTGTAGGCAAGAAGAATTAATACGAGGGTTGAATGAAAAGTAATGCCTCCACCTTTGTAACTCCTCAACAGATGGCAGTACTGGTATGTGGCAGGTACTGGCTTGTTCAGTAGAATCTCCTCTACAGTTTCATTTTGGCGGGAAGCCTTAGTAGAAAAAATAATGCCTCCACCTTTGTAACTCCTCAACAGATGGCAGTACTGGTATGCAGCAGATACTGGCTTGTTCAGTAGACTCTCCTCTACAGTTCCATTTTGGCGGGAAGCCTTAGCATTGAATAGTTGTGTTGTTAAAGTGTGAAGTATGGAACCCTGTGCAGACGGTCAGTCAGTACGACTTAAACAACATTCAGTCATTCAATTCTTGACAGCGAAAGGTGTCACCTCAACATTTTTAAACTTACGTGCCCACATCAACACAATCACCATAAACAGCTTGTATTCTCTGATAAATCTCCTTTGGGGTGACACCTTCTGCTGTCAAGAATTCAATGACTGCATGTTGCTTACGTCGCATTGACCAGCCGTCTGTGCAGGGTTCCATACTTCACATTTTAACAACACAACCGTTCAATGCTAAGGCTTCCCACCAAAATGGAACTATAGAGGGGTGTCTACTGAACATGCCAGTACCTGCCACATACGTTGCTTAAGTCGCATTGACCGACCGTCTGTGCAGGGTTCCATACTTTGCGCTTTAACAAACCAACCGTTCAATACTAAGGCTTCCCACCAAAATGGAACTGTAGAGGAGTGTCTACTGAACAAGCCAGTACCTGCCGCATACGTTGCTTAAGTCGCATTGACCGACTGTCTGTGCAGGGTTCCATATTTCTCACTTTAACGACACAACCGTTCAATGCTAAGGCTTCCCACCAAACGGAACTGTAGAGGAGAGTCTACTGAACAAGCCAGTACCTGCCGCATACCAGTACTGCCATGTGTTGAGGAGTTGCGAAGGTGGAGGCAGTACTTTTCATTCAACCCTCGTAAAAGAGCACAGCCCTCATCAAGTTAATAGAATGTATCTGTAATTTGGCAGCATCGAGATAGCAAATTATCAGAAAGTGAAGTATCAAAAGATAGTGAAGATCTGTATTGCCTTTCATGGTTTCAACGGGTTCATCTGTTCTCTCCCGCTTCCAGTGGTTTGAAGAGAAGCTTCAGGAGGTGGAATGCGAGGAGCAGCGCCTGCGGAAGCTTCATGCTGTTGTCGAAATGCTTGTAAATCACCGGAAAGGTAACTTCCCAGCTGAACTAATTCTGTGCAGCTAAAAAACAATTGGATGGACTTTTTGTCAGACAGGCCCAATCCAAGCTTGCATTTGGGATTTTTGGAGACTTTGTTATTTGTCTTTTTATATATTATAGTATAGTATTATATATTATCTTTCCCCAACAAGATGTAACTGTTATGTCTCTGAGCATGAGGGGGAGATATAGCAAAAGAGGTTGCCACATAGAGTATAAGCACTTATTGGACACATCTGGAAAATTGCTTCCTATAGCATTTCCTGCCTCTATGCATCATATTTCAGTGCTGTATCCAGTGATTGGGTTGCCCTTATCATTCCCAAATGGCATTGGAAATTAGAGGATACTTGGAGAATGCTATTGGAAAAGCCTAGACAGGATAGAGCAAGCCTGGGCAAATCCTGGTCCTCCAGGTGTTTTGGACTTCCAACTGTCTTGGGAGTTGAAGTCCAAAACATCTGGAGGGCTGAAGTTTGTCCATGCCCAGGATAGAGATACCATATATACTCGAGTATAAGACGAGTTTTATAGCCCCTTTTTAAAGGCTGAAAAAGCCCCCCTCGGCTTACACTTAAGATTATTTATTATTTTACTCTGTTATTTTTTAAAATTTAATTACATGTAGTATTTTATTATTTATTATTTATTTATTATTTACTTTGCTTATATACCGCTGTATCTCAAGCCCGAAGGCGACTCACGGCGGTTCACAAACAGTAAAAACAGTAGAAACAGCAGTGGTTCCATACAACATATAACAATTGACTTAACACATTATCCATAAATTACCAATAAGCAATTACAATGCACAATTATTACAAAAAACAACCGTACCCAATCTTCTCATCATCCAAGCGTAGTCCAGGTTCGTCGTCCATTGTTCCATTCCTATGTTCCATTACCAGATTGCACTAAATTACTCAAACGCCTGCACAAACATCCAGGTCTTCACCTTTTTGCGGAATACCATTAGAGATGGTGCTAGTCTAATGTCCGTAGGAAGGGAGTTCCACAGCCGAGGAGCCACCACCGAGAAGGCCCTATCTCTCGTCCCCGCCAGCCGAGCTTGAGAAGCAGGCGGGATCGAGAGCAGGGCCTCCCCGGAAGATCTCAAAGTCCTGGTGGGTTCATAGGCAGAGATGCGGTTAGATAGGTAGCTTGGGCCGGAACCGTTTAGGGCTTTAAAGGCCAACGCCAGCACTTTTACTCTATTATTATTACTACTATTATTATTATTATTATTATTACTATTACTATTATTATTTTTTACTCTATTATTATTACATTTATTATTTTTCTCTGTTAATTTTATTACATTTATTATTTTACTCTATTATTATTATTACACTTATTATTTTACTCTATTATTACTGTTATTATTGCATTTCCATTATTTTACTCATTTATTGTATTTATTTATTATACTCATTTATTATTATTATTACATTTATTATTTTACTCTATTATTATTATTACACTTATTATTTTACTCTATTATTACTGTTATTATTGCATTTCCATTATTTTACTCTATGTATTAAAAATTACATTTATTATTTTACTCATTTATTATATTTATTGTTTTACTCATTTATTATTATTATTACATTTATTATTTTACTCTATTATTATTACACTTATTATTTTAGTCTATTATTACTGCTATTATTCCATTTCCATTATTTTACTATAAGTATTATTGTTTTTATTACATTTATTATTTTACTCTATTATTTTTGGAAGGATGCGTAAGCACATTTACATTGAAGAAGGCTAGAATAATGGTTCACTCAGAGTTGGGCAGTCTTATCTTAAATTGCAGTTTTATATAAATATTCATAAACATATAACTTACTGATGCCTCAACTAATATAATTACTGTATATACTTGAGTATATGCCTAGTTGTTCAGCCCTTTTTAGGCTGCAAAAGTCTCGGCTTACACTCGAGTCAAGGTTATTTATTATTTTACTCTGTATTTATTTTACTCTGTTGTTATTATTATTACATTTATTATTTTACTCTATTATTATTATTATTATTATTAGTGTATTATCTTATGTTATTATTGTTGTTATTATTTCATTTATTAGTTTATTATTACTATTATTACATTTCCATTCTTTTGCTCTATACTTCTTCTTATTATTACACTTATTTTTATTATACTTATTATTATTACACTTACACTTACATTTATTATTATTACACTTATTATTTTACTCTATTATTACTGTTATTATTGTATTTCCATTATTTTACTCTATGTGTTATTGTTTATATTACATTTATTACTTTATTCTATTATTATTATTATTATTATTACAATTATTATTTTACTACATTATTATTAATGTATTATCTTATTTTATTATTGTTATTATTTCATTTATTAGTTTACTCTATTATTACTATTATTACATTTCCATTCTTTTGCTCTATTCTTCTTATTATTATTACATTTATTATTTTATTCTATTATTATTATTATTATTATTACATTTATTATTTTACTCTATTGTTATTGGAAGGAGACGTAAGCACATTTACATTGAAGAAGGTCAGAATAATGGTTTAATCATAGTTGGGCAGTCTTATCTTAAATTATATTTTTATGTAAATATTCAAAAACATTTAACCTCCTGATGCCTCAATTAATGTAACTATATTGGCATCTATTCTTATTTTGAAATTCACCCATAGTGGATGCATTTCCCACCCTCGGCTTATACTCCAGTCAATACGTTTTCCCAGTTTTTTGTGATAAAATTAGGTGCCTCGGCTTATATTGGGTCGGCCTATACTCGAGTATATACGGTACATTATATAAAACACAGTTTTCCTTTTCCATTCCCCCCGGGATCTTTTCCTGCTGGTCATAACATTGTGCCTCACACCCCAGAGCTCTCCCTGAACCCTCTCTGCTTGGCCCCCCAGAGCTCTCCCTGAACACGGGCCAGTTTGCCAAGAGTTTGGCCATGCTGGGGAGTTCGGAGGACAACACGGCCCTCTCCCGCGCGCTCTCCCAACTGGCCGAGGTGGAAGAGAAGATTGAACAGCTGCACCAGGAACAAGCCAACAGCGACTTCTTTCTCTTGGCTGAGCTCCTGAGCGATTACATTCGCCTTCTTTCCGTCGTAAGGGTAAGAATGCCTTTTGCTTTCTTTGCAAGCGGGCAGCCCTTGGCAGTGAAAAACACGAGCCAAATGAAGACTTGTATTGCTTTTCAAAAAGAAAAGAAAAATGACATTATTTGCATCACGCAGTCATAGACTTGCAGAATTTACCATATATATATATATATATATATATACTAGCTGTCCCCTGCCACGTGTTGCTGTGGCCCAGTCTGGTGATCTGGAAAATAAAGTAATGGTTTCTAATCTATGTAACTTTTTTATGCTTGAGGGTAAACAGTATTTCTTGTTGTTTCTTTGTCAGTGTTGATGTGGAGAGTGTCTGGTTTGCCTCCTCTGGAATATGCAACATATCATTGTCCTTCTTTAGGGGTCCCTTTCAAATCTATGATATTATATCTCTCTGTGTGTGTGAATCATATATATCTATCTATGATTGGGTGGCTCTTTGTCAGGAGGGCTTTGATTAGGTTTTCTTGCCCTGGTGAAGTGAGTTGGACTAGATGGCCTTAAATATTTTCTGTTAGTCATGGGGGTTCAGTGTGGGAAATTTGCCCCAATTCTGTTGTTTATGGGGTTCAGAATGCTCTTTGATTGTAAGTGAACTATAAATCCCAGGAACTACCACTCCCAAATGTCAAGGTCTATTTCTCCCAAACTCCACCATTGTTCACATTTGGGCATATTGAGTATTCATTCCAAGTTTGGTCCAGATCCATCACTGTTTGAGTCCACAGTGATCTCTGGATGTAGGTGAACTACAACTCCAAAACCAAAGGACACTGCCCATCAAACCCTTCCAGTAATTTCTGTTGGTCATGGGAGAACTGTGTACCAAGTTTGGTTCAATGCCATGGTTGGTGGGGTTCAGAGTGCTCTTTGATTGTAGGTGAACTATACATCCTAGAAACTACAATTCCCAAAAGACAAAATCAATTTTTTGAGTGAAGGACATAAATTGGGTTGTTAGGTGTATCGTGTCCAAATTTGGTGTCAATTCTCCCAGTGGTTTTTGAGTTCTGTGAATACCACAAATGAACATTACATTTTTATTTATATAGGTATATATATATATACACACACGCACACAAAATTTGAAATAAGAAATCTGTTCCTGCTTTGAAAGTGTTATTTACTTTGACACCTTCTTTGAAGGTAGGTGTCATACTCTAGAACAGTGGTTCTCAACCTGGGGGTCGCAATCCCTGGAGGGGTCGATTGCCAATTTCTGAGGGGTCGTGGCAGGGCCTCCTTAGGCTACGCCTCCTCCGCCTTCCTGGAATGGGTGCCAGGCTAAAAGGCAGGCCCCAAGCACCACCCACAGGGCGCCAAAAAGGCCTTGAGTGGCCTAGGCCTATGGAGAAGGCAGAATTGGAGCCCCCAGGCTGCCCCTTGAGGTTTTGGCTCCTGGGCGTGCGCTCCCAAATGCTGCAGCATTGCCAGGAGAGGGATGCGCTCCAGCTTGGGCTCTCTCCCACTTCCTGGAGGTCCAGGTGCTGTGGAGCCAATGAAGCAGCTCAGTACATCCCTCTGCCTCAGTTGGGAGCAAGGCCATGGTATGAAGTCCTGCTAACCGCCGCTGTGTGACCAGGTCTGGGAGGGCCCTCTATTGCCCTCCTGGACGATGCTCATGGCATGAAGGCCTGGATCTGCTCACACTGTGGTGGTTTGCAGATCTTCACGCCATGGCCTAGTTCCTGAGGGAGGCAGAGACATGAAATGGAAGCACGGAGGAGGGGAGGGGACGTAGCGGAGGTACCTTTGCTCACCCAATGCGTTGCTTTTTGTCCCTCTCTTGGCACTTTTCTGGCCCCACAGCCCGCAGGGAAGGGGAGGGAGGCAGCCTGCGGGGAACATGGGGGGGGGGGGTGGCAGCAGGCCACTCATTCCCTCCCCTGCTGCCTATTTTGCACCACTTTTGGTGCTCCATCAGCCCTGTGGCCAGTGGGGAGGGTGGGAGGTGGATTCGAGCCCTTTGCTCTCCCCCCCTCCGCCTCCCTTCTGGCCGCAGGGCCGATGGAGCACTGAAAGAGGTACAAAAAAGGCAGTGACCCTCCGATGCCTTTTTTGTGCCGCTTTCATTGCTCCATCGGCCCCGTGGCCAGTGGGGAGGCGGGGGGGGGGGGGAGGGAGAGCAAAGGGCTCGTCTTCACCTCTCACCCTCCCCACTGGCCACAGGGACGATGTAGCACCAAAAGTGGTGCAAAAAAAGGCAGCGGAGGAAGGAATGAGTGGCCCACTGCCACCCCACATGTTGCCTACTGAACATATAACCTACTGATGCCTCAATTAATATAATTACTCTATATACTCAAGTATAAGCCTAGTTTTTCAGCCCTTTTTTAGGCTGCAAAATCTCCCTCGGCTTATACTCTAGTCAAGGTTATTTATTATTTTACTCTGTTATTATTATTATTATTACATTTATTATTTTACTCTATTATTATTATTACATTTATTATCTTATTTTATTGTTGTTATTATTTCATTTATTATTTTATTCTATTATTATTACATTTATTATCTTATTATTGTTATTATTACATTTATTATTTTACTCTATTATTATTATTACATTTATTATCTTATTTTATTGTTGTTGATATCATTTCATTTATTTTACTCTATTATTATTATTACATTTATTACCTTATTTTATTGTTGTTATTATTACATTTATTAATTTACTCTATTATTACTATTACATTTATTATCTTATTATTGTTGTTATTTCATTTATTATTTTACTCTATTATTACTATTACATTTCCATTACTTTGCTCTGTTTTTCTTATTATTATTACAGTTTTATGTAAATATTCAAAAACCTTGAAATTTACCATTAGCTGCTGCATTTCCCACCCTCGGCTTATGGAATGTGGCCATACAGGCCGGAAAGCTCACAGCAACCCAGTGGTTCCGGTCATGAAAGCCTACGACAACACATGATTTTAATTGCCTCTGCATTGTGTGTTATATGTTTATAACTAAAGCTGCTCTGGGAGAAAGGTCACACACACACACACACACATATATATATATGGTAAATCATTAAAATGGGATGCCCTTCTATGCCAACAGGGTGCCTTTGACCAACGAATGAAGACTTGGCAGCGTTGGCAAGACGCCCAGGTCATGCTGCAAAAGAAGCGAGAGACAGAGGCTCGGTTGCTGTGGGCCAATAAGCCTGAGAAGCTCCAGCAAGCCAAAGAGGAGATCTCAGAGGTGAGAGGGCCATCCAAAGACGATTCCTTTCTCCCTTGCCCTTCTGGATGAGTTGTCCAAATTATGTGCCTTACTCAATAACATAGTGAAGTTTGCACAGTCCTGTGGGATGCATTGTGACCTTGCCAACGCCAGAGAATTGGATCAACTCCTTTGTTTACTTTGTTTGGCCAGCTCTGGCAACTTGATAAGTTCCACAAAAGTCATAATTAGTCTGCTGATTGGATAACCCATCTTCTATGTGAGTCAAAAGGATGTGTTGCTTTTTAATCCTTTGCTTCTGTGTTTCCAGTGGGAATCTCGAGTGACACAATATGAACGGGACTTTGAGCGGATATCTACGGTGCTCCGCAAGGAAGTGTTGCGGTTTGAGGTAGGGTTGAGCTTCCACGCCAAACATTTTCATGTCATCCTGATATATGGGTCTGTACCATTGGCAACCAGTGGGATGATTTTAGTATAGTATGAGGGTTGAATGAAAAGTAATGCCTCCACCTTCGTAACTCCTCAACAGATGGCAGTACTGGTATGCGGCAGGCACTGGCTTGTTCAGTAGATTCTTCTCTACAGTTCCATTTTGTCAGGAAAGCCTTAGCAGAAAAAGTAATGCCTCCACCTTCGTAACTCCTCAACAGATGGCAGTACTGCTATGCGGCAGGTACTGGCTTGTTCAGTAGACTCTTCTCTACAGTTCCATTTTGGCAGGAAAGCCTTCGCAGAAAAAGTAATGCCTCCACCTTCGTAACTCCTCAACAGATGGCAGTACTGGTATGTGGCAGGTACTGGCTTGTTCAGTAGACTCTTCTCTACAGTTCCATTTTGGCAGGAAAGCCTTCGCAGAAAAAGTAATGCCTCCACCTTCGTAACTCCTCAACAGATGGCAGTACTGGTATGCGGCAGGTACTGGCTTGTTCAGTAGACTCTCCTCTACAGTTCCATTTTGGCAGGAAAGCCTTAGCAGAAAAAGTAATGGCACCACCTTCGTAACTCCTCAACAGATGGCAGTACTGGTATGCGGCAAGTACTGGCTTGTTCAGTAGATGCTCCTCTACAGTTCCATTTTGGCAGGAAAGCCTTAGCGGAAAAAGTAATGCCTCCACCTTCGTAACTCCTCAACTGATGGCAGTACTGGTATGCGGCAGGTACTGGCTTGTTCAGTAGACTCTCCTCTACAGTTCCATTTTGGCAGGAAGCCTTAGCAGAAAAAGTAATGCCTCCACCTTCGTAACTCCTCAACAGATGGCAGTACTGGTATGCGGCAGGTACTGGCTTGTTCAGTAGACTCTCCTCTACAGTTCCATTTTGGCAGGAAGCCTTAGCATTGAACGGTTGTGTTGTTAAAGTGCGAAGTATGGAACCCTGCGCAGACGGGTCAATGCGACTTAAGCAACGTGCAGTCATTGAATTCTTGACAGCAGAAGGTGTCACCAAAGGAGATTCATCAGAGAATGCAAGCTGTTTATGGTGATTGTGTTGTGCCTAAAATAAGGGCCTAAGCTAAGCTAAGGGCCTAAGCTAAGGGCCGAAGGTAAGCTAAGGGCCTAAGCTGAGCTTACATATTTTGTGTTTAAATCTTGAAACTCTCCCAATTTCCTATTCTCAAGTAGACGGATTTAATAAGACTGACCTTGGTTGAGATAGGTCAGGGTGTCTTCATGAAGTTTCACAGCAGGTGATGTAGCTGCAAAAAAGCACATATTGAAATGGAGGGAGCATTGTGTCATTCTCAGGGGAAAGCTGAGGCTCTTCTTGTTTAAAGATCAGCAGTGTGAGGACATCACGCAAGTAGCTGCCTGTGGAGTGCTGGTTGTAATGCTCCGGCTAAGCTAAGCTAAGGACCTAAGCTAGTATAAGAAACAGTATAAACACATCAGTATAAACACATCAGAACAATATACAATCACAGTATTTGAACACAGAAAGTTGATCACAGTGAGTATCGACTTCCAAATAAAGGAACCAAGTTGAGTCTTCATTCTAAAACCCTGAACTGAGCTTGTTTAATATATACTTGTTTTCCGTAGCGAAATTAAAAATGGTTCACACATGTGGGCCTTCTGCAAAATGGGAACACCCAATGCAGTTCTTCCACTGCTTTCGCCTGCGTTTTGTTCTTGCCTCTTGTTTGGTGGATTTTGTTTAATGAGTGAGAAAGGAAGTGTGGGAAGCCTGACGTTCTGCACACCACTGATGTGCAGAAGGAACATTTGCTGACCTGCTGCACAGAGATAAGGGCTCAGGCCTCTTGGAGGCTGCCTTCACCGACCACAGCCTTCTCCTCCAGCCTTATCAAGAGCGAGGCTGCTTTGTCGCACCCTCTTTTCCCTCGGCCTCTTTCCCTCTACCTACCTGAAATATTTTACTTGATGGAAAGTCTGGAATTTTCTGCACATCCTTGTGCCTTTTTTGGCTGACCTAATGTTAATGTTAAACTGCTGAGATGCTGAACTTGCTGATCAAAAGGTCAGCAGTTCGAATCCAGGGAGCGGGGTGAGCATCCGCTGTTAGCCCCAGCTTCTGCCAACCTAGCAGTTCAAAAACATCAAAATGTCAGTAGATCAATAGATACCACTTCTGTGGGAAGGTAACGGAGCTCCATGCAGTCATGCTGGCCACATGATTTGGAGGCGTCTACGAACAACGCCAGCTCCTTGGCTTAGAAATGGAGATGAACACCACCCCTGCTGATCTGAAGGTCGGCAGTTCGAATCTGTGGGACAGGGTCAGCTCCCACTGTTAGCCCTAGCTCCCGTCAACCTAGCAGTTCGAAAGCATGCAAATGCAAGAAGATCAATAGGTAATGCTTTAGCGGGAAAAGGCAAAAAGACGCTCCATGTATTCCTTCCTGTCGAAGCCTTTCCTGCTGATCTACTCATATTTGCATGTTTTCAAACTGCTAGGTTGGCAGAAACTGGGGTTAACAGCAGGAACTCACCCCGCTCCCCTTTTGGTCAGCAAGTTTATCAGCTCAGCGGTTTAACCCGCTGCGCCACTGGGGACTCCATTATTATTATTATTATTATCATCATCATCATCATTCCCTGCTGTCATTTTTTAATTACAGAAGGAAAAAACAAAAGATTTCAAGACCAATGTGACCAAATACCTGGAAACGCTGTTACATTCACAGCAACAGGTAAGCGAGTGATCGGAAGAGTTAATGTTTTCAGCAGGATATTTTTTTTGTTCATCAAGGTGGTGTTTACAATAAAATTGTACAAGAGGTGGTCCTCCAATTTGACCTTAGAGCACGCATGGGCAAACTTGGGCCTTCCAGGTGTTTTGGACTCCAATTCCCACCATTCCTAACAGCCTCAGGCCCCTTCCTTTCCCCCCTCTGCCGCTCAAGCAAGGCACTTAAGTAGCTGAGGGGGGAAAGGAAAGGGCCTGAGGCTGTTAGGAATGGTGGGAATTGGAGTCCAAAACACCTGGAAGGCCCAAGTTGATCTATTTCTTCCTTAGAGAGAATTTCATCTATGCTGACGATCGTGCCATCACCGCTAAAGCAAGGCGCTTAAGCAGCTGAGGGGGAAAAGGAAAGGGCCTGTGGCTGTTAGGAATGGTGGGAGTTGGAGTCCAAAACACCTGGAGGGCCCAAGTTGATCTATTTCTTCCTTAGGGAAAATTTCATCTATGCTGACGATTTTGCCATCACCACTCAAACAGGGAGGTTAAGCGGCTGAGAGGGAAAAAGAAAGGGCCTGAGGCTGTTAGGAATGGTGGGAGTTGAAGTCCAAAACGACTGGAGGGCCCAAGTTATAGGAGTTGGAGTCCAAAACGCCTGGAGGGCCCAAGTTGATCTATGTTTTCCTTAGGGAGAATTTCATCTATGCTGACGATCGTGCCATCACTGCTTAAGCGGCTGAGGGGGGAAAGGAAAGTGCCTGAGGCTCTTAGGAATGGTGGGAGTTGGAGTCCAAAATGCCTGGAGGGCCCAAATTGTGGGAGTTGGAGTCCAAAACACCTGGAGCGCCCAAGTTGATCTATTTCTTCCTTAAGGAGAATGTCATCAATGCTGACGATCGTGTCATCACCGCTCAAGCAGGGAGCTCAAGCGGCTGAGGGGGAAAAGGAAAGGGCCTGAGGCTGTTAGGAATGGTGGGAGTTGGAGTCCAAAACACCTGGAGGGCCCAAGTGATGAGAGCTGGAGTCCAAAACACCTGGAAGGCCCAAGTTGAGTTATTTCTTCCGTAGGAAAAATTTCATCTGTGCTGACGATCATGCCATCACCGCTTAAAAGGAAACGGCCTGAGGCTGTTAGGAATTGTGGGAGTTGGAGTCCAAAACACCTGGAGGGCCCAAGTTTGCTCATAGCTGCCTTAGAGTCAAGCTGGAGGTCCTAAATTTTCCAAGAGAGAGCATGCTAATCGTGAATCATCAACTCCACCAAGATGTGAGTCCACAGTATGCGAGTTATGCCGTGCACTGACCCTTCTTTCTCTCTTTTCTCGATGTCCCCGCAGCTTGTGAAGTACTGGGAAGCCTTCCTGCCAGAGGCCAAGGCCATCTCCTAACGCGGCTGAGCAAGGGCCCGTCCCGGACTGACTTTGCCTTTACTACACAATACCTCTTGGCCTTTCAGATGGAATTTGCCGAGCTGATCGACTCCTCCCCGGAGGAGAAGCTGCTTCCCCAGCTAGTAACTCTTCTAACTGTATATTTTTTTCCATTTAGGTTCATATGCACAATATTATATATTTTCCTACTGAAGAGAGACTAGTTTCCTGCTTATGTCGCCCCCCCCTTCCCGCGGTAGATAGCGGAGAGTGGGCAGGGGCGGGTCCCTTTCTGGGGCTTTTGGTATCAGACCCAGGGAGGCTTCTTGTGGCCCCTGCCGTGCAATGATGACAACTATGTAATAAAATGCAAAAATCAGGGTCCCGTGGCTCCTTTCTCTTCTTTCTACATAGAACAGTGGTTCTCAACCTTCCTAATGCCGTGACTTAGCAGCAGCAGTAGCCTAAAGTGATTTTTTTTTCCATGTCAGGAGCGACTTGAGAAACTGCAAATCGCTTCTGGTGTGCAAGAATTGGCCGTCTGCAAGGACGTTTATCTTCTTCTATATATATAAAAATTCTCTGTGCATAATGAGTTCCTTAAGAACAAAAGAACCAAAGAACGAAATCACACCAAATTTGGCAACAAAACGTCTCACTACACAAGGAGTGACCATCACTCAAAAAATTATGATTTTGTTATTTGGGAGTTGTAGTTGCTGGGATTTATAGTCCACCTACAATCAAAAAGCATTCTGAACTCCATCAACAATGGAATTGAACCAAACTTGGCACACAGAACTCCCATGACCAACAGAAAATACTGGAAGGGTATGGTGGGCACTGACCTTGAGTTTGGGACTTGTAGTTCACCTACATCCAGAGAGTACTGTGGACTCAAACAATGATGGATCTGGACCAAACTTGGCACAAATCCTCAATATGCCCAAATATGAACACAGATGGAGTCTGGGGGAAATAGCCTTGATATTTGGGAGTTGTAGTTATTGGGATTTATAGTTCACCTACAATCAAAGAGCATTCTGAACCCCACGAATGACAGAATCAGGGCAAACTTCCCACACAGAACCCCCATGACTAACAGAAAATACTTAGGGCCATCCAATCCAACTCCCTTCATCAAAGCAAGAAAACGTAATCAAAGTCCTCTGGACAAAGAGCCACCCAGCCATAGATATAGATAGATGGATGGATGGATGGATGGATGGATGGATGGATGGATGGATATGATTCACACAGAGAGAGATATAGTATACATTTGAAAGGGACCCTTAAAGGAGGACAATGATATGTAGGCAAACCTGACACTCTCCACATCAACACTGACAAAAGAAACAGCAACTATTTACCCACAAGCATAAAGAAATTACATATATTAGAAACCAACACTTTCTCATTCCTCTATTTTTGAGATCAACAGACTAGGCCACAGCAACGCGTGGCAGGGGACAGCTAGTATATATATATATATAAATGCTCTGTGCGTAATGAGTACCTGAAAAACAAAACAAAAACTATGGGTCCAAATGACGACAAAACTCCTCACAATCCAAGCAGTGACCATCACTGGAAAAAAACCCCACAAAAACACCTTTAAATTCAAAAAAGGAAGAAGACAACACACTTCCTTTGCGCCCCCCCCCCCCCCCCCCCCCCAACGCTGAGGACACAGTAAGGCCACTTTACTTCACCTTCCCCTTTGCCTTCGAAGCCCTTAGGTGAGGCAGGAGAAGGAGAAGGGACGGATATACGCACACACACACAAACATACACACACTATATATATAAAAATGCTCTGTGCATAATGTGTACCTTAAAAACAAAAGAACCAATGAACGAAATCACACCAAATTTGGCAACAAAACATCTCACAACACAAGGAGTGACCATCACTCAAAACGTTATGATTTTCTCATTTGGGAGTTGTAGTTGCTGGGATTTATAGTTCACCTACACTCAAAGTGCATTCTGAACTCCACCAACGATGGAATCGAACCAAACTTGGCACACAGGACTCCCCTGACCAACAGAAAATACTGGAAGGGTTTAGTGGGCATTGACCTTGAGTTTTGGAGTTGTAGTTCACCTACATCCAGAGAGCACTGTGGACTCAAACAATGATGGACTTGGACCAAACTCTACACGAATACTCAATATGCCCAAATGTGAACACTGGGGAAAATAGAATCTTGACATTTGGGAGTTGTAGTTGCTGGGATTTGTAGTTCACCTACAATCACAGAGCATTCTGAACCCCATCAACGATAGAATTGGGCCAAACCTCCCACACAAGAACCCCCATGTGGGCTTGGGGACGGCTAATACTTTATATATTACTTTTATATATATTGCTATATAATACATATATATATTATTTTATATATAAAACTATATATAAAATAATATATAGTTTTATATATATATATATATATAGTTTATATATATATATATATATATATATATATATATATATATATATATTAAATAGACTCATAGAATAGAGTTAGAAGAGATTCCACCATGGTATTGGGGAGAACAGACTGGATGGAAGGAGAAAAGAAAGGAGGGAGGAAAAAAGGGAAGGAATGGAGGGAAAGGGAGAAGGAAGGACGGATGAAGGAAGGAAGGAAGGAAGGAAGGAAGGAAGGAAGGAAAGAACGAGGCACTGAAGGAAGGAAGAAGAGAAAGTAGAAAGAAAAGAAAAGGAAGGAAAGGCAGGAAAGAGGTAAAGAAGGAAGGAAGGAGAAAAGGAAATTAAAAGTGAAAGAAGGAAACAGGGAGGGAAGAAAGGAGATGAAGAAGTAGAGAAAGGGGGAGTGAAGGAAGGAAAGAGAGAAGGAAGGATGAAACTGAAGAGATGGAGAAGGAAGAAAGGAAGGGAAGGGGAAGAAAAAGAGGGGAAGGAATAGGTAGGTATCTCTCTTTCGTAATAGTCCGGATATCTACCTCTACTTCGAAAAGTCTTACTATAGGCCGCAGCAAGGCGTGGCAGGGCACAGCTAGTTTATTTTGTATTTATTTACTATATTTGTTTAACGCCTTTCTCAGCACACGGACGACTCAAGGCGGTTTACAGAGGCAAAATTCAATGCCCACAAACATCATAAAACATTTAAAACAATTAAAAACCTTAGCATAAATATACAATCATAACAAGGTCAATAAAACATAAAGTCTCCTGGTTAAAATCAAGATCCAATCTCATCATCTATCACGTTGCTCATTGGACGCCCAGATGTTTGATGTTTTACCATCCTGTGGGAGGATTCTCTCGCATCCCCACATGGAGAGCTGGAGCTGACAGAGGGAACTCAACCCAATCTCCCCAGATTCAAACCGCTGACCTTTCGGTCAGCAGTCCTGCCAGCACAAGGGTTTAACCAAAAGTGATAAAAAGAACAAAAACACACAGACCAATGTTATCTCTTCCATAGGAGGCTTTTCTTCGTAGCAAAATAATATGGTTACACTATTTACAGTAACAAGGTTTCCACAAAACAAGTCTTTTATACTTCCTTCTTTGTTTCCATGCTGGGCTGCTTCTTCCTGCAGATAAACAGGTTTACACTTACAGAGCCTCCTCTCACACCGAAATTACACAGGAGCTTCACAGAGTAGCTTTACACACAGCTTTATGCATGAGAGCTTTAACTTAGGGCTTCTTTCACCGAAGCTTCTCACACACTGAGGTTTGCCTCACACTCCCGAGAAGGACACTGGCTTTGGCCCACGGACTCTAACAGGCTTCAGCAAACTCCTCTGGGGCTTCCGAATTCAGACTGGTAGAGTTTTGGAGCACAAGACTCCTGACCTCATGATCGTGTTAAAGAATCAAGTATGGATTGTCGATGTTGCAATCCCAGGTGACAGCAGGATTGCAGAGAAACAACTGGAAAAGATGACACAACGTGAGGATTTAAAGATTGAACTGCAAAAACTTTGGCACGAGCCACTCAAGGGGGTCCCAGTGGTGATCGGTACACTAGGCGCAGAGCCTAAAGACCTTGGCCTGCACTTAAACACAATCGGCGCTGACATAATTACCATCTGCCAGCTGCAGAAGACCACCTTACTGGGATCTGCACACATTATTCCCTGATACATCACACAGTCCTAGACACTTGGGAAGGGTCCAATGTGTGATTCAATACAACAGCCAGCAGAGTGACCTTGTTTGCTGTGGATTCATTTTGTTGTGTTTCTAAGAATAAGAATAACAATAATAAGGAGAAGAGGGAGAAGGAGAAGGAGGAAGGAAAAGAAGAAGGAGAAGAGGAGGAGGAGGAGATGGAGAAGGAGAAGGAGGAGAAGAAGGAGGAGGAGAAGGGGAAGGAGGAGGAGAAGGAGGAGAAGGGGAAGGAAGAGGAGGAGGAGGAGGAGGGGAAGGAAGAGGAGGAGGAGGAGGAGAACGAGGAGAAGGAGGGGAAGGGGAAGGAAGAGGAGGAGAAGGAGGAGAAGGAAGAGGAGAAGGAGAAGGGGAAGGAGGAGGAGAAGGAGGAGGGGAAGGAGGAGGAGAAGGAGGAGGGGAAGGAAGAGGAGGAGACGGAGAAGGAGAAGGAGGAGGAGAAGAAGGGGGAGGAGGAGAAGGGGAAGGAGAGGAGGAGAGAAGGAGGAGGAGAAGGAGGAGAAGGGAAGAGAGGGGGAGAGAAGGGGAAGGAGGAGAAGGAGGAAGGAGAGGGAAAGGAAGGGGAAGGAGGAGGAAGGAAAGAAAGGAGGAGGAGGAGGAGGAAGAGAGGGGGGAGGAGGAGGAGAAGAAGGGGAAGGAAGAGGAGGAGGAGGAGAAGGATAAGAAGGAGGAGAAGGAGAAGGAGAAGGAAGAGGAGGAGGAGAAGGATAAGAAGGAGGAGAAGGAAGAGGAGGAGGAGGAGGAGAACGAGGAGAAGGGGAAGGAAGAGGAGGAGGAGGAGAACGAGGAGAACGAGGAGAAGAAGGAAAAAGGAGGAGAAGGGGAAGGAAGAGGAGGAGGAGGAGAAGTAATAGTAGTAGTGGTAGTACTAGTAGTAGTAGTAGTAGTAGTCAAGACCACGAGTGGCTTTATGCCGGAAAGAAGCAGAAGTCATAAAGGACCTCTCCTGGGTGGCCCGTAAAAAAGTCGGGAGGGAAAGGGTTGCAAGAAGGGAACCTTAAGGGAGAGAGGCCATGAGTCAGAGGGGGCGGCCCAAGGCGGGTCCATCGCGGCTTAAAGCCATCCCAGGGAAGGAGGGAAGGAAGGAAGGAAGGCAGGAAGGAGGGAAGGAGGAAGGATGCGGCTGGAGGTGCGGGTGCCCTCGGCGGGGCTGCGGGAAGCCGGCCAGGAGGACAAAGCACGCACGGTGGGTCCGGGAAAGACACCCAGGGGGTGGCAGGACCTTCTAGGGACCCCCCACCCCACAAGGAGGAGGAGGAGGAGGAGGAGGAGGAGGTCAGGAGGGGGGTGGGAAGGCAGCCCCGAAATAGCATCTCCAAGTAGGACAGAAGGACCCAGTTCAGACCAGACCCGGCTTTTTAAAGCCGGTGCCATCAGAGGCTTGGAATGATCTCCCAAGGACAGATAAATAGACTTCTATATACAACACAACACTGTAGACTAGGCTCCTAAAGAGAGCTAGAATAGGCATGGGCCAACTTGGGCCCTCCAGGTGTTTTGGAGTTCAACTTCCACAATTCACAACAGTCTTGGGCCCCTTCCTTTTCCCCATCAGCCACTTAAGTGAGGGGGAAAAGGAAGGGGCCTGAGGCTGTTAGGAATGGTGGGAGTTGGAGTCCAAAACACCTGGAGGGCCCAAGTTGGCCCATACCTGCTGTAGACTTAATTGCAAGACCCTGTTCCTCCTTTTCTGGGTGTGAGTTCCACTCACAACCCATCACAAACTTTTGAAAACTTGCTTTGTTGGGATTTTTTCTTTGTAATCTTCCAAGACAGCATATTTCACACACACACATTTATAATAAAATATGTGGGGGGAAATGTGCCCAAGATACCATCTGCATTGTAGACCAGGCATTGGCAAACTTCCATCTTTCAGGTGTTTTGGACTTCGACTTCAACCATCTCTAACAGCCTCAGGCCCTTTCCTTTTCGCCCTCAGCCACTTAAGGAATTGGGGAGGCTGGCTGGCCATCTGTCGGGGGTGCTTTGAATGTAATTTTCCTGCTTCTTGGCAGAATGGGGTTGGACTGGATGGCCCATGAGGTCTCTTCCAACTCTAGGATCCCATGTCAATGTCCTGGAGGGCCGAAGTTTGTTTACGAAACTCTTTCAGGAAAGGGAAAAGGAAGGGGCCTGTTAGGAATTGTGGGAGTTGAAGTCCAAAATACTTGGAGGGCCAAATTTTGGCCAGGCCTGGGTTAAATCAGTAGTTATAGTTTCAGGTGGGGAAGGTATCTGGGGATCATGAATCCTATAATTCTAGAGTTGGAAGAGACCTCATGGGCCATCCGGTCCAGCCCCATTCTGCCAAGAAGTAGGAAAATTGCATTCAAAGCACCCCTGACAGATGGCCATCCAGCCTCTTTTTTACTTACTTAGGCGATCCCTCGTTGTCCAAGTAGGATAGACTTCCAAGATGAGTGTACTGGTGGGTCCATAGGTGACTGTGGAGCCCTATTCTTGATCGGCATCTTCTCCTGCAGTGAGGACATTGTTTTTCGGTGGAAGGCGGTCCCAGTCGGGACTTGATGCACCTTCCTCTTAGCACATTTCTCTCTTTCGACCTCCATTCGTGCTGCTTCAAATTCCACAGCACTGCTGGTCACAGCTGACCTCCAGCTGGAGCGCTCACAGGCCAGGGCTTCCCAGTTTTCAGTGTCTATGCCAGAGTTTTTAAGGTTGGCTTTGAGCCCCTCTTTAAATCTCTTCTCCTGCCCACTGACATTCTGTTTTCCATTCTTGAGTTCGGAGTAGAGCAACTGCTTTGAGAGACGGTGGTCAGGCATCCAGACATCGTGGCCAGTCCAGTGGAGTTGATGGCGAAGGACCATCGCTTCCATGCTGGTGATCTTTGCTTCTTCCCGCACGCTGACATTTGTCCGCTTGTCTTCCCAAGAGATTTGCAGGATTTTTCAGAGGCAGTGCTGATGTAACCGTTCTAGGAGTTGCATTTCTTTTGTCATGTCAGGAGTGACTTGAGAAACTGCGAGTCGCTTCTAGTGTGAGAGAATTGGCTGTCTGCAAGGACGTTGCCCAGGGGACGCCCGGATGTTTTGATGTTTTACCATAGTTGTGGGAGGCTTCTCTCATGTCCCCGCAATGGGGAGCTGGAGCTGATAGAGGGAGTTCATCCATGCTCTCCCCGGATTCGAACCTGTGACCTGTTGGTCTTCAGTCCTGCCGGCACAGGGGTTTAACCCACTGCACCACCGGGGGCTCCTAGGAGTTGCATGTGACGCCTGTAGACAGTCCACGTCTCACAGGCGTATAGCAGGGTTGGGAGGACAATAGCTTTATAAACAAGTCTCTTGGTCTCCCTACGGATGTTCAAACACTCTCTGCTTCATTTGGAAAAATGCTGCACTCGCAGAGCTCAGGTGGTGTTGCATTTCAGTGTCAATGTTGACTTTGGTGGATAGGAGCCTCTTTTTAAAAGCTTCCAAAGAAGGACCCTTTACCACACTCCGAAGCAGAGAGTTCCACTACTGAACAGCTCTCACATACAGGAAGTCCTTCCTCATGTTCAGGTGGAATCTCCTTTCTTGTAGTGTGAAGCCATTGTTCCATTGCATCCTAGTCTCCAGGGCAGCAGAAAACAAGCTTGCTTCCTCCTCCCTATGACTCCCTCTCACATACTTATACTTGGCTATCATGTCTCCTCTCAGCCTTGTCTTCTTCAGGCTAAACATGCCCAGCTCTTTCAGCCGCTCCTCATAGGGCTTGTTCTCCAGACCCTTGATCATTTTAGTCACCCTCTTCTGGACACATTCCAGCATAGAGTCAACATCTCTCTTCAATTGTGGTGCCCAGAATTGGACACGATATTCCAGGTGTGGTCTAACCAAGGCAGAATAGAGCATGGGGAGCATGAGTTTGTTTTGGCCAAGAGATGGGTCTCTTTGGGGAGGTTTTACATCGTGGCCCAACTAGGTCTTGTAAGCTGTGTGTGGGCTTTTTAAGACATTGCTGTTGACTCCACCACCGGCTATTTGATCTCTAAAGGAGGCTGCAGAGAATTGGCTTGCAAACCCCTCTCTGTCCCGAAATGAATTGGCTCCATTTGGCTGAGCTTTCCATGCAGAGCAAAGTTTATTTTTGCCTCCTTCCCTCCCCGCCCTGCTTTGTGGGTGGAAGCCCAGCCTTGCCTTGGCTCCTCAAAGAAGCTTTTGTCGAGTGGCTTTTCATTTTGGTTTTTCCCCCCAATGGCTTCAAAGAGCGACCCGGCTGCGGTTGGGAGCTCAGGGCTGGATTTTTCAGCCCAGAGCTACTCAAAAGCAACACAGGCCTCCTCTGTCTAGAAGCCAATGATAGCTTCTCTAATCTGGGGACCTCCAGGTGTGTCGGATTGCGACCCCCATAATCCCCTGACAATATAAACCAGGTATGGGCAACACAAAACACACAATAACAGCACACAAATCTATATAAATAAAAATGTAATGTTCGTTTGTGGGATTAACAGAACTCAATTGGATGAATTGACACCAAATTTGGGCGCAAGACACCCAACAACCCAATGTATGTCCTTCACTAAAAAAATAAATAGATTTTGTCATTTGGGAGTTGTAGTTGCTGGGATTTATAGTTCACTTACAATCAAAAAGCATTCTGAATCCCACCAATGTTGGAATTGAACCAAACGTGGCACACAGTTCTCCCATGACCAACAGAAAATACTGGAAGGGTTTGGTGAGCAGTGTCCTTTGGTTTTGGAGTTGTAGTTCACCTACATCCAGAGATCACAGTGGACTCAAACATTGATGGATCTGGACCAAACTCTACATGAAGACTCAATATGTCCAAATGTGAACACTGGTAGAGTTTGGGGAAAATAGAATCTTGACATTTGGGAGTTGTAGTTGCTAGGATTTATAGTTCACCTACAATCACAGAGCATTCTGAACTCCACCAACTATAGAATTGGGCCAAACCTCCCACACAGAACCCCCATGTGGGCCACAGCAACGCGTGGCAGGGGACAGCTAGCCTATATAAAAATGTAATGTTCGTTTGTGGGATTGACGTAACTCAAAAACCACTGGACGAATTGACACCAAATTTGGACACAAGACCTGAAAACTCTGGTCACTGAAACTCTGCAAAACACAGTGGAAGGGACTTAAAAAGCCAAAAAAGCAAAAAGACGCTACTGTGCATGCGCAAAAATGACTCCGTCGGCAAATGACTCTTTCTCTCCCTCCTTCTTTCACTCCTTCTTTCCTTCCTTTTCTTTCTTTCTTTCTTTCTTTCTTTCTTTCTTTCTTTCTTTCTTTCTTTCTTTCTTTCTCTCTCTCTCTCTCTCTCCTTGCTTCTCTTTCCTTCTCTCTTTCCTTCTTTCCACCTCCCTCTTTCTCTCCTCCCTTCCTCCCTCCCTCCCTCCCTCCCTCCCTTCCTTCCTTCCTTCCTTCCTTCCTTCCTTCCTTCCTTCCTTCCTTCCTTCCTTTCTCCTCTTCCTTCTCTCCCTTTCCCTTCCCTTTTTTCCTGTATTGTCATTTAGCTTTTTGCCATTTAGCTTTTTGGATTTTTAAGTCCTTTCCACTGTTTTTTTTTTGGGTGGGGGGTTATGAGTGATGGCCATTTGTTGGTCTGTTAGAGGTATAGTGTCCAAATTTAGTGTTAGTTCATCCAGTGGTTTTTGAGTTTTGTTAATTCCACAAACAATCATTACATTTTTATTTATATAGATAATAATATGGCAGGTGCTGGGATGGGGAAGCATGGTTGAATAATATCAGAGCTTGGAAAAGTTACCATTCTGAACAACAGCTTCCAGAAACCCTTCACTGGGGGATTCTGGGACTTTTTTTTTTTTTTGCGTTAACAAAGAAAATAAAATTATTGCGCAGTGGAAGTGTTAATTGGCTGGGCATGGGATATAAGGCTGGGTGAATTGATATGATGCTTCCCATCTTTGCAGGTATTTAAGGTGGAGATTCTGTGCAACGGAAGGAAGCATTCCATCGAGAAACGCTACAGCGAGTTCTATGCTCTTCATAAAAGGGTAAGGCTTGTGTATGTCAGGCAAAGGGTGCGTCCAGACTGTGGAATGAATGCAGTTTGGCATCACTTGAGCAGCCTTGGCTCAGTGCTATGACTTAGGTGATCCCTCATTGTCCAAGTTGGATTATCTTCCCAAGTTTGGTGTCCTGGCAGTGGGTCCATAGGTGACTGTGGAGCCCTATTCTCGATCTGCATCTTCTCCCGCAGTGAGGACATTGGTTTCCAGGTGGAAGGCGGTCTCGGTCGGGGCTGGCTTGACACACCTTCCTCTTGGCATGTTTCTCTCTTTTGCCCTCCATTCGTGCCTCTTAAAATTCTACAGCACAGCTGGTCACAGCTGACCTCCAGCTGGAGCGCTCAAGGGCCAGGCTTTCCAGTTCTCAGTGTCTATGCCAGAGTTTTTAAGGTTGGCTTTGAGCCCATCTTTAAATCTCTTTTCCTGTTCTCCAATGTTCCATTTACTGTTCTTGAGTTTGGAGTAGAGCAGCTGCTTTGGGAGATGGTGGTCAGGCATCCGGACAGCATGGCCAGTCTAGTGGAGTTGATGGCAGAGGACAATCGCTTCAGTGCTGGTGGTCTTTGCTTCTTCCAGCACGCTGACATTTGACCACTTGTCTTCCCAAGAGATTTGCAGGATTTTCTGGAGGCAGCCCTGATGGAATCATTCCAGGAGTTGCATGTGACATCTGTAGACAGTCCACGTTTCGCAGGCATATAACAGGGTTGGGAGGACAATAGATTTATAAGCAAGCACCTTGGTCTCCCTACAGATGTCCCGGTCCTCAAACACTCTATGCTTCATTCGGAAAAATGCTGCACTCGCAGAGCTTAGGCGGTGTTGTATTTTAGTGCCAATGTTGACGTCTGTAGACAGTCCACATTTTGCAGGTGTATTGCAGAGTTGGGATTGTGCCATCACCGCTTAAGCAGGGAGCCTAAGTGGCTGAGGGAGAAAAGGAAAGGGCCTGAGGCCAGGAATTGTGGGAGTTGAAGTCCAGAAAATCTCGAGGGCCAAAGTTTGTCCTGATTGCAAAACTCTTTCAGGAGTGAATTTCCCTCCCGAGGGATAGATTTCTCTCACTTCCTGTTGTCTCACCCTTGTTCTTATTATTTATTTATTAATTTATTATTTATTTCTTTAATTAGAACTTTTATATACCGGTCTTCTCACCTCCAACGAGGGACTCAGGCCGGTTTACAACAAGGGAGTTCATACACAATAGTTTAAAAACATCACATCAATAATACACTAATATAAACACATTAAAGTACTATCATATAATTATATAAAGCCAAGTCGTTAGCATAAAAATCACTATTCATCCCCATCCGTCTGTGTGGTCAAAAGCCATTGCCTCACTCATCAAATGCCAGATTCCAAAGCCAGGTTTTCACCAACTTTCTAAAGGTCAGAAGGGAAGGTGCAGTTCTAATCTCCAATGGGAGAGAGTTCCAGAGCCGAGGGGCCACCACCGAGAAGGCCCTGTCCCTCGTCCCCACCAGACGCAATTGCGAAGATGGTGGGACCGAGAGCAGGGCCCCTCCAGAAGATCGTAAACTGGGCCGGAGTCCCTTTAGGGATTTATAGGTCAACACCAGCACTTTGAATTGTGCTCGGAAGCTGATTGGAAGCCAGTGGAGCTGGCGCAACAAATGAGTAGTATGCTCCCTGTACCCCACTCCTGTTAGTAATCCGGCTGCCGCTCGTTGGACTAATTGCAGCTTCCGGGCAGTCTTCAGAGGCAACCCCACGTAACTATGAATCATTTGTAAGTCAGATATTTGTAACCTGAGATGTGAAGTAAATGCAAATTTATATGCAAATTGAGTTCATTGGGCCTCAATATAGTGACGAGCTTCTTTTACATTCCAGATCAAGAAGAGATGCCAGGTTCCGGACTTCCCTCCAAAGCATGTGCCCAACTGGATGACCAAGGTTCTGGAGCAGCGGCGTCAAGGTCTGGAAGCCTATCTTCAGGTAGGTTGTTTGAACACGAAAACTAAAAACACCTTGACTCTCAGCTGCAGTCCATGAAAAGCTTGTAAAGATACACCTCGGTCCAGGAAGTCGAAGTGTTCCTGAGCCTCACATCTTTAATAGGCACCAGAACACAAAAGAAGAAAATTTAAATCGGACTTCCTGCCTTCCAACGCAAAATTAGCTGCCATGGCTCTATCTCATTATATTTCTGTTATTTAGTAACATTTTACTGCAAACCCTGCATATTATTTTTAATCTACAGGGGATCCTTTTGTATAACAGACGGTTTCCCAAGGAGTTCCTAGACTTCCTGAAGCTCTGGCACTTCCAGCAGGACCCCAAGGACAACCTTTTGGGGTGAGTGTCACCTGAACTGGGAAGGAGAATGGAAAGCCAAGCCATAGCTTGGGAAAGACTTGCTGCCATGGCTTGTATTGTTGTTGTTTGGGATGCGCTCCGACCGGCAAGAGTCTCAGGCCACTTGAAATCCTTTGAGGGCCACATGCGGCCCGCGGGCTGAATGCCGTGTAGGTCTGCTCTTAGGGGAGACCAATGCTTTCAAGCTTCGGAGCAAACAGGTCTCAGTTTTTGCCCAGATGGGCTGCCTCTGTTAACAATTATTATTATTATTATTATTATTATTATTATTATTATTATGTCCAATTCTGGGTACCACAATTCAAGAGAGATATTGACAAGCTGGAATGTGTCCAGAGGAGGGCGACTAAAATGATCAAGGGTCTGGAGAACAAGCCCTATGAGGAGCGGCTTAAGGAGCTGGGCATGTTTAGCCTGAAGAAGAGAAGGCTGAGAGGAGATATGATGAGGGCCATGTATAAATATGTGAGAGGAAGCCACAGGGAGGAGGGAGCAAGCTTGTTTTCTGCTTCCTTGGAGACTAGGACGCAGAACAATGGCTTCAAACGACAAGAGAGGAAATTCCATCTGAAAATGAGGAAGAACTTCCTGACTGTGAGAGCCATTCAGCAGTGGAACTCTCTGCCCCGGAGTGTAGTGGAGGCTCCTTCTTTGGAAACTTTTAAACAGAGGCTGGATGGCCATCTGTCAGGGGTGATTTGAATGCAATATTCCTGCTTCTTGGCAGGGGGTAGGACTGGATGGCCCAAGAAGTCTCTTCCAACTCTTTGATTCTATGATTCTATTATTATTATTATTATTATTATTATTATTATTATTATTATTATTTTATTTACAGTATTTGTATACCGCTTTTCTCACCCCGAGCGGGACTCAAATTTTTGCTGTTACACATAAGTAATGGCAAAAATTCAATGCCAGTACAAACAATTACAATTATACACTACAATTAGACTTAAATCAAATTAAAAAATACATCCATGAGCAATAAAACAATCATTAAAACAATAAAACCATCTCGTCTGTCGAATCGCCGCTCCAGTCATTGTCTTTCTGAAATGCTGCATACATTTACTTCTACTGCCCGAAGGCAGTAGAAGTAAATGATTTTAATATTTTAATATTTTTAATATTTTTTAATATTTTAATATTTTTTTTTCTAAAAGCCAGGAGGGAGGGAGCGGATCTTACCTCCTTTGGGAGTGTGTTTCATAGGCGGGGGGGAGGGGGGCACAGCCGAGAAGGCCCTGTCTCTCGTCCCCGCCAGACGCATCTGTGCAGTTTACGGGAGCGAGAGTAGGGCCTCCCCGGATGATCTTAGATTACGAAGTGGGACGTAGGGGTGGATGCGTTTGGACAAGTAAGCTGGGCCAGAACTGTATAGAGTTTTATAGGTCAAAACCAGCACTTTGAGTTGGCTTTGGAGATGGACCGGCAGCCAGTGGAGCTGGCATAGCAGTGGGTGGTATGCCTCAGTTAGTGATCTGGCTGAGATTAAAAGAGCAGAGAGTACCATGTTTAAGAGTTGTTGACTCACTTAGTCTTCTTCATAGGGACCTTGTGGACCATGACATTTCCCTGGAGGACAACAGGCAAGTGGCTATTTCATACCAATGTTTTGTTTCCACTAGCAAGAGGGAATCAAATAGCAAGGCACCAGAGTGGTCCCAATCCCATAACCTTTGGCTGTGTTAGGAGGGACAATCTGATGTCCTCTAATTGTCTTTCCAATTGTTCCAAAGTGTATTAGGTTTCCCACCTTGGGGTCTGGGCCAAGAGGAAAAGGTGGGACACTTTCCAGATGTTTGTTGGTCTGCACTTCCTGTAATCTCTGTCCAGTGTAGCCAGTGGGAAGAGAACATCTGGAGGACTTCAAATCGACATATCCTTTCCACATAGGATAGAGATGGGATTGGCATAAGTCAGGCATAGGCAAACTTCAGCCCTTCAGGTGTTTTGGACTTCAACTCCCACAATTCCTAGCAGCCCAATTCCTAGCAGCCTAATGCTGATGACAACAACGTCTGTACGAATTCAGAACAAGACCTACAAGCCACTCTAAACACCTTTGCAGAAGCATACGAGAAGCTCGGCCTGTCGTTGAACATCGAGAAAACCAAAGTGCTCTTCCAGCAGTCACCGGCCAATCCCTCTCCAATGCCAGAGATACAGCTTAATGGTGTAACATTAGAAAATGTGGACCATTTCCATTCCCTTGGCAGCCACCTCTCCACAAAAGTCAACATTGACACTGAAATACAATACCGCCTGAGCTCTGTGAGTGCAGCATTTTTCTGAATGTTTGAGGATCGGGACATCCGTAGGGAGACCAAGGGGCTTGTTTATAAAGCTATTGTCCTCCCAACCCTGCTGTACACCTGCAAGACGTGGACTGTCCACAGACATCACATGCAACTCCTAGAATGATTCCATCAGCATTGCCTCTGAAAAATCCTGCAAATCTTTTGGGAAAATAGGCAGACAAATGTCAGCGTGTTGGAAGAAACAAAGACCACCAGCGTTGAAGCGATGGCACTCCACCATCAACTTCATTGGACTGGCCACGTTGTCTGAATGCCCGACCACCGTCTCTCAAAGCAGTTGCTCTACTCCAAACTTGAGAAAGGAAAATGGAACGTTGGAGGACAGAAAAAGAGATTTAAAGATGAGCTCAAAGCCAACCTTAAAAACTCTGGCATAAACACCAAGAACTGGGAAGCCCTGGCCCTTGAGCGCTCCAGCTAGAGGTCAGCTGTGACCAGCAGTGCTGCAGAATTTGAAGAGGCACAAGTGGAGGGCGAAAGAGAGAAATGTGCTAAGAGGAAGGCACATCAAACCAACCCCAACTGGGACCGCCTTTCAGGTGGAAACCAATGCCCTCACTGTGGGAGAACATGCAGGTCAAGAATAGGGCTCCACAGTCACGTAAATACCCACCACAAGGATACCAAACTTGGAGGATTATCTTACTTGGACAACGAGCCATCGTCTAAGTAAGTCAAGTAAGGAACTATGAGAGTTAAAGTCCAAAAAACCTGGAGGACTGAACTTTACCTATGTTCTGTGACTTTTATGTGAGGAACACAAAAACACCGATCTAGCAATCCAAAAAAATGGGGGTGCGACTATTATGTGATGAAATACAGTTAACCTGTCAGTTAACTTGCATTGTGACTGGCTGTTAGGTACTGTGGGAGTTGAAGTTCAAAACACCTGAAGGGCCTAAGTTTGCCCATGCCTGTCATAAGTCAAACAGCAAAGCTATCTAAACATTGGTGGGAGGTGATAAGCCCTAGCTCCCCATGCCCATCCTGCCTGTTTAAATAAGGATTCCTCCTTCTCCTTCCAGCCCCAGTTCTCTACCCTTCCACCGACCTGTTGTGAACTTCAATAAAGACCCATACATCCACTCTTCCTCTTCCACTGGTAAGTCCAGCAGTTGTGATGGGGAGTATGGTTTTCCTAGGAAAGGTTCAGGTTGTTGAGTGGGAATTTTGGGATGCCAATTGTTGGGACAAAACTCCCGTGGCATCAGTATTTCTCACTGTGGCCAAAATAATAGTTATCAGCTGTTTATTTGTTCTAAAAATATATGTTCACATCAGGGATGGGGAATGTGTGACTTTACAGATGTTTAAGACTGCAGCATTGCAATCTATTTTGGTGCCTCAACTGTTAAGACATGTTTCTGGGTTCCAAAAGTGGTTCCAGTGGTTCCAGTTTCCCCCCATCAGCTCTAGCTTTTGAGATATGGAACACACAACATCTACTAGTCAACATCTGTTCACACATAGAAAACCATAACAATCATATCTGAGAAGCTAGAGCTGATGCGGTCTGTCCTATGGAGTCTGCGCCCTAAAGAGCCCCAAGAACAGGCCTAAAAACTCAGATTTTTTCTGGTTGGACTGTGTGTAATGCGCTATGGATAGAACTATAACACTATGTAACAAAATGTGAAACATTTTCTGTTCCTGGTTTGAAAGTGTTATTTCTTGTTTAACTGTGCAGTATTTACTTTGAAAGTAGTTGTTACACTAGTTGTTACACTACTTTGAAAGTAGTTGTTACACTCCAGAAACGTTGTTTTTGTGGCTGCTGTAAACTAGGTTAAATTGACTGAGATTCTATGAGATATTCATTGAAAAACTAGACCAAAATGTGCTGTGATGAAATATAGTTAACCTGGGAGTTAACCCTAACCTTGGCAGCCACCTCTCCACAACATTGACAGTGAAATACAACACTGCCTGAGCTCTGCGAGTGCAGCATTTTGCTAAGTGTTTGAGGATTGGGACATCCGTAAGGATACTAAGGTGTTTTTTTTAAATAAAGCTATTGTCCTCCCAACCCTGTTATATGTCTGTGAAACGTGGACTGTCTACAGATGTCGCACTCAACTCCTGGAACGATTCCATCAGCGTTGCCTCTGAAAAATCCTGCAAATCTCTTGGGAAGACAGGCAGACAAATGTCAGCATGATGGAAGAAGCAAAGACCACCAGCACTGAAGCAATGGTCCTCCACCATCAACCTCTCTGGACGGGCCATGTTGTCCAGATGCCCAATCACTGTCCCCCAAAGCAGTTGCTATACTCACAACTTAAGAACAGAAAATGGAATGTTGGTGGACAAGAAAAGAGATTTAAAGATAGACTTAAAGCCAGTCTTAAAAAACTGTGGCATTGACAAGATAACTGGGAAATCCTGGCCCTTGAGCACTCTAATGGAGGTCAGCTGTGACCAGCAATGCTTCAGAACTTGAAGAGGCTCAAATGGAGGGTGACAGGGAGAAACATGCCAAGAGGAAGGTGCATCAAGCCTACCCTGACCAGGGCCACCTTCCACCTGGAAACTGATGCCCTCACTGCAAGTGAACATGTGAATCAAGAACAGGGCTCCACAGCCACCTATGTATCCACCGCCAAGACACTACACTTGGAGGACCATCATCCTCAGGCTACCAGGGATTGAAGAAGGAGAAGGAGAAGGAGAAAGAGAAGGAGAAGGAGGAGAGCACCAGCAGCAGGAGGAGACACATGCCAAGAGGAAGGCATGTCAAGCCAACCCTGACCAGGACCGCCTTCCACCTGGAAACTGATGCCCTCACTGCAGGAGAACGTGGATCAAGAATAGGGCTCCACAGCCACATACGTATCCACCACCAAGACACTACACTTGGAGGACTATCATCCTCGGGCTACCAGGGATAGAAGAGGAGGAGGAGGAGGAGGAGGATGCCCAAGCAAAAACATATCCATCGCTAAGACTCTACACTTGAAGGATCGTCATCCTTGGACTACCAGGGATCCAAGAAGAAGAAGAAAAAGAAGAGGAGAAGGAGGAGGAGCAGCAGGAGGAGGAGTCACATGCCAAGAGGAAGGCGCGTAAAGCCAACCCTGACCAGGACCGACTTCCTCCTGGAAACTGATGCCCTCACTGCAGGAGAACATGTGGATCAAGAATAGAGCTCCACAGCCACCTATGTATCCACCACCAAGACACTACACTTGGAGGACCATCATCCTGGTAGGAATTGTGGGAGTTGAAGTCCAAAACACCGGGAGGGCCCAAGTTTGCCCATGCTCTGTGACCCTTATGCGAAGAACACTAAAATACCAATCTTGCCACCCCAAAAATGTCGGTGCGACTATTATGTGATGAAATACAATTAATCTATCAGTTAACTTTCTTTGTGTCCAACTGTTGGGAATTGTGGGATTTGAAGCAAGTTTACAGGCAGATTAGGATAGGAGATAGGAGGGATAGGAGGTAGGAGATACCAGGGATAGGAGATACCAGGGATAGGAGGAGGAGGAGGAGGAGGAGGAGGAGCAGCAGCAGCAGGAGGAGAAGGAGAAGCAGGAGGAGGAGCAGGAGCAGGATGCCCAAGCAAAAACATATTCACTGCCAAGACACTACACTTGGAGGACCCATCATCCTCGGGCTAACAGGTATCGAAGAAGAAGAAGAGCAGGAGGAGGAGGATGCCCAAGCAAAAACATATCCACCGCCAAAACACTACAATTGGAGGACCATCATCCTTGGGCTACCAGGTATCGAAGAAGAGCAGAAGGAGGAGGAGGAGGAGAAGCAGGAGCAGGAGCAGGCTGCCCAAGCAAAAACAAAGTTTTGGCAGTTTAATAAACTTTCCCCATGTTTTTTTTAATGATAGAACCAATTAGGAAATGACATTTATAACACAGGAACAAAAATCATATTTACATAGTGTAATAAGTTCTAACGATACACCTACTTCTTTGTTAAATATGGAGACAGGAGTCACACGTGTAAACAGACTCTGGACTCCAATAAAAACCTGGACTTTGATCCAATCTGTTCATCTCGAGGGAAGGTGGGCACAACCCTTTTTGTTACCGTTATATCAACTTCCTTGTCTGCAAAGCACATGAGCAAGGCCTGCGTTGCTCTCGTCCCACTGACCTTCTCCTTTTCTCTTCTAGATCCGCTGCCCAACACGGTCCTGGCCGGCGTGCTGCAGAGCCTTTATTCCCCCGAGACGCTCTTCTGCCTGGAATCCAAGCTCTTCATGAGATCGGGCTTGAGGCCGCAGTGGGCTTTGCCTCCTTTGGAGATGGATTCCACTCTTGTGTTTCTGAGCCACTGAAGTGGACACAGCTGACTTATAAGATGTCCCTGAACACAGAGAGATGGGGAACGTCACTCACTTGCAGTGGGAACTTTGCTTAGCTTCACCCAGGAAAAATGTCTACTCCTTGTTTGAGTTTCCAATACATTACACCAGGTGTGCACCCCTTAAGAAAGGCACGGGCAAACTTGGGCCCTCCCGGTGTTTTGGACTTTAACTCCCACAATTCCTAACAGCTGGTAGGAATTGTGGGAGTTGAAGTCCAAAACACCGGGAGGGCCCAAGTTTGCCCATGCTCTGTGACCCTTATGCAAAGAACACTAAAATACCAATCTTGCCACCCCAAAAATGTCGGTGCGACTATTATGTGATGAATACAATTAATCTATCAGTTAACTTTCTTTGTGTCCAACTGTTGGGAATTGTGGGATTTGAAGTCCAAAACACCTGGAAGGCCAAAGTTTGCCCATGCTTTGCGACACAAAAATAGCAATTTCGCCATCCCCCCAAAATGCTGGTGCGACTTGCTTTGTGTTCTACTGTTAGGAATTGTGGGAATTGAAATCCAAAACACCTGGAAGGCCAAAGTTTGCCCGTGCTCTGCGGCACAAAAATACCAATCTTGCCACCCCAAAAAATGCCAGTGCGATTATTATGCGATGAAATACACTTAATCTGCCAGTTAACTTGCTTTGTGTCTGACTGTTAGGAATTGTGGGAGTTGAAGTCCAAAACACCTGGAGGGCCCAAGTTTGCCTGTGCTCTGCGACTCTTAGGTGAAGAACACTAAAATACCACTATTATGCGATGAAATACACTTAATCTGCCTGTAAACTTGCTTCGTGTCCGGCTGTTGGGAATTGTGGGATTTGAAGTCCAAAACACCTGGAAGGCCAAAGTTTGCCCGTGCTCTGTGACACAAAAATACCAATCTTGCCACCCCCCAAAAATACGAGTGCAACTATTATGTGATGAAATACAGTAAAGTTGTCAGTTAACTCGCTTTGTGTTCGACTGTTAGGAATTGTGGGAGTTGAAATCCAAAAACCTGGAAGGCCAGTTTGTCCGTGCTCTGTGACCTTATGAGAAGAATACAAGAATACCAATCTCGCCACCCAAAAAATTGTCGGTGCAACTATTATGTGATGAAATACAGTTAACTTGTCCATTAACATGCTTCGCGATAGACTGTTAGGATATGTGGGAGTTGGAGTCCAAAACATCTGGAAGGCCCAAGTTTGTCAACACCTAATCTACATATATGGTAATGCAGGCATTCCAAAGCCCAATAGACTCCTAATCCTCCCATTCTTTCCACTTTTCTATTTATTTTTCCAGGGTTTGTTGCACTGATTTGCCCTCACTCCATATTTTCAGGTTGATCCCAGCATTTCTGGGGTGTTTTTATTCCTCTGCCCTACAGACTTTGTGTTGAGTCATTTCTGGGAAGCTTCCATCCTTTTCCCAGAAAGTGAAAGCAAAAGTAGGAATCCTCCAGCCGCCAGAGTGCGCATGCGCTGGAAAGCCCCAGTCGCTCTTTCTCCTCGCTTGCGGAGGAACCTCATCCCGGATACTAGTGACGCGGAAGGAGGAATTATTCCCATTGGCTGAGACCGCAGAGTTATAGGCGTGGGTTTGGTTTGTCCAGGTTCAGTTGCAATCGGATTAATCTGAATTGCAGACGGGTTTTGAGCGAGAAGGAGACAACATTTGGGTCTTTTTCGAGGCCAAAGCCATGGCCAGAGCCGTCTTCCTTCCCTGCGTGGCCTTCCTCCTCTGCATTGCCTGCCTTGAAGCCATCCAAAGTAAGACTTGCCTCAAACTTCTCAAACTTTAGTTCTCGACTTCCTGTTTCTCAACCTATCCAATTTTATTTATTTGTTGGGGAGGTTAAATTATCACAATGCCTTGGGTTTGACCATCTCCTTAAAGCTCCAGTTCTTTTTCTCCAGCAGGCCAATCATGGGGGCATCCACACCATAGAGTTAACACAGTTTGATACCGCTTTAACTGTTGTGGCTCAGTGCTACAGAATAAAAGAGGGTTTTTTTTAACAAGGCGTCCAGTCTTCTCTGTCCCAAACAGATTACAGTTCTCAGGAATCCATAACATTGAGCCACAAGAAGCTAAAGCGGTTTCAAACTGCGTTAACTCCACAGTGTGGACGCATCCTAAGATTTTCTATGAGCAAACTCATGGAGAATATTTTCCTGGTGACTTGTGTTTGAGGCCCCTAATGCACTGCCATATGAAATCCAGGTTATCTGCTTTGAACTGGATTATCTGGCAGTGGAGACCCATATAATCCGGTTCAAAGCATATAATCTGGATTACATGGCAGTCAGGATCCACCCTGAGAGCCTAAAGCCTCTTCTACACTGCCATATGAAATCCACAGATTATCTGCTTTGAAGTGGATTATCTGGCAGTGTAGACTCATATAATCCGGTTCAAAGAAGATAATCTGGATTCAGAAACTGGATTACATGGCAGTGGAGATCCATCCTGAAAGCCTTAGGCCCCTTCTACACTGCCATATGAAATCCAAATTATCTGCTTTGAACTGGATTACATGGCAATATAGACTCATAATCCTGTTCAAAGCAGATAATCTGGATTCAGAAACTGGATTGCATGGCAGTGGAGATCCATCCTGAGAGCCTAAGGCTCCTTCTACACTGCGATATAAAATCCAGATTATCTGCTTTGAACTGGATTACATAGCAGCATAGACTCATATAATCCGGTTCAAATCAGATAATCTGGATTACATGGCAGTCAAGAAACATCCTGAGAGCCTAAGGCCCCTTCTACACTGCCATATAAAATCCAGATTATCTGCTTTGAACTGGATTACATGGCAGTGGAGACTCATATAATCCGGTTCAAAGCAGATAATCTGGATTCAGAAACTGGATTATATTGCAGTGAAGATCCATCCTGAGAGCCTAAGGCCCCTTCTACTCTGTCATATAAAATCCAGATTATCTGCTTTGAACTGGATTATTTGGCAGTGTAGACTCATATAATCCGGTTCAAAGAAGATAATCTGGATTCAGAAACTGGATTACATGGCAGCGAAGATCCATCCTGAGAGTCTAAGGCCCCTTCTACACTGCCATATGAAATCCAGATTATCTGCTTTGAACTGGATTACATGGCAGTGTAGACTCTGGTTAGAATCCGGTTCAAAGCAGAGAATCTGGATTCAGAAACTGGATTACATGGCAGTGGAGATCCATCCTGAGAGCCTAAGGATAATCAATGTGGCCAATTGGGACATTCCCACTTTCCTCCAGCAGACAAGAGTTCTTTCTCCCAACCTGGACATCATTCCACAGATACATAAACCCCACTTGCCTAGTTTCCAACAGATCTCACAACCTCTGAGGCTGCCTGCCATAGATGTGGGCAAAATGTCAGGAGAGAATGCTTCTGGAACATGGCTGTACAGCCCGGAAAACTCAAGAGTAACACATTTGAGAGCCTTTAGCTTTGAGATATGTAGGACTTTCTGTAAACAATGAGAAGAGAAAAGCTGTTGGTAGTCCGCAGTTTGAAAACATGCAGATGTGAGTAGATGAATAGGTACAGCTCCGGCAGGAAGGTAACGGCGCACCATGCAGCCATGTCAATGACCACATGACCTTGGAGGTGTCTACGGACAACGCCGGCTCTTTGGCTTAGAAATGGAGATGAGCACCAACCCTCAGAGTCAGACATGACTAGACTTAATGTCAGGGGAAAACCTTTACCTTTTAGTCAGATGTAGAGCAAAACCGGGACTGTTGGGGTTTTCTGATAGGAATTTTTGAAAAAGAGAATATATTTTGGCTTATTTCCAGGGGCTTCCCAAGGATTGCCACGGGCCTCTGCTTAGTTTTAGCTTCACAGAAATTGTAAACTGCTGTAGAGGGAATGAAATGGAGTCACAATGCTGCGTATACTTTCTCTTTCTCTTTCTCCCGGTGACTACGCAGTAGACAAAAGTCACCGCTTCGTTGGCCTCTTCCAAACTGCCATATAATCCAGATTATCAAACCCACATTTTCTGATGTGTTGTCAAAGGCTTTCATGCCCAGAATCACTGGGTTGTGGTAGGTTTTTCAGGTTGTATGGCCGTGTTCTAGAACAGTGGTTCTCAACCTTTCCAACACCGTGACCCCTAAATATGCTTCCTCGTGTTGTGGTGACCCCAACCATAAAATTATTTTCGTTGCTCCTTTATAACTGTGATATTGCTACTGTTACGAATCGTAATGTAAATATGTGATATGCAGGATGTGTTTTCATTACACCGCAATGAGTCGCCCTTGGGCTGAGAATTGCGGTATATAAGAGCAGTAAATAAATAAATAAATAAATAAATTTTCATTGTTACAAATTCAACATAATTAAAGCATCGTGATTAATCAGAAAAAATATGTTTGGGGGAGTATGGAAAACAGATGATGGGATTTGCAATACCTTCAACCAATTCAGCTCCGACTTCCACAGACCACTGAGACCTCCACACAGAACTCCCATGTCAAACAAAAAATACAGGAGAGGTTTGGGAGGAATTGACAGTGATTTAGGGGAGATGTAGTTCACCTATATCTGGAGAGCATTGTGAACCCAAACAACTATGGATCTGGACCAAATGTGGCACAAATATTCAAAATATGGCCAAATTTGTACACTAGTGGAGTTTAGGTGAAATAGACCCTGACATTTGGGAGTTGCAGTTGCTTGAATGTATAGTTAACATGCCATCAAAGAGCATTCAGAACTAAACTTGGCATGCAAGACTCCCATGACCAACAGAAAATACTGGAGATATTTGGGGAAAATAGACCCTGACATTTGGGAGTTGCAGTTGCTTGGGAATATAGTTCCCCTGTCATTAAATAGCATTCTGAACTCCAACAGTCATGGAATTGATCCAAACCTGACATACAGAACTCCCATGACCAACATAAAATACTGGAGAAGTTTGTGGAAAATATACATACCTTGACAATTGCTGTTGCTTGGTGCAGTCTGGAGTCTGGGCCCAAATCCGGCAGGGAGCCTCGTGCTGGGCACAGGAGGATCCCCCACGAGGCCTGGCCTTACATGGGGCTGGCGGGAGTGCGATCTAGGCAAGGGAGGCTTTGTGCAAGGCAGCCATATCGAGGAGGCAGACGGGGTGGGGCCAACCGAGGCGCCTTCGCGACCCCCAGATTTGATAAATGTGAATTTAATATGAATGAACGGAAGATGAATGTATGGATGGAGTTGATAATTTTGGAGACACCAGTACAATATTAAGGCCTGCGATGACTAATTACCTGTTTGCTGGACTGTAATTAAAAGTTGCTAATTGGAACCGAAGAGTAAACTCTGATAGGAATTGGAGCAGTGATAACAAATGTTTACAATGTTAAGAAGGAAGTCAACATAAGATCAACACCAGTCAAGGAGATCAACATCGGGCAAAGAAACTGAGATGGAGCCAGGATGGAAGATGTCTATCATTAAACTGACTACCAACTGCTTTTCTCTTCTCATTGTTTACAGAAAGTCCTACATATCTCAAAGCCAAAGGCTCTCAGATCTATTACTCTTTTGAGTTTTCCGGGCTGTACAGCCATGTCCCAGAAGCATTCTCTCCTACCATTTCACCCACATCTATGGCTGGCATCCTCAGGGGTTGTGAGGTCTGTTGGAAACTTAAACACAGGGGAACTCCAGACAAGAAACAGACAGGAACAGCTAATCACCTATCAACAAAGAATTCCCCCCAGGCAGGAACAGGGCACACCTAAAAACTGCCAGGCCATTAAATGCTAATCAAGGTGGCCAATTGAAACATTCACACCTCCGGGTTGTTGTAGGTTTTTTTGGGCTATATGGCCATGTTCTAGAGGCATTCTCTCCTGACATTTCGCCTGCATCTATGGCAAGCATCCTCAGGTAGTGAGGATGCTTGGCATAGATGCAGGCGAAATGTCAGGAGAGAATGCCTCTAGAACATGGCCATAAAGTCTGAAAAAACCTACAACAATTCCAGTGATTCCGGCCATGAAAGCCTTCAACAACACATTCACACCTCCCTCCAACCGACAAGAGTTCTTTGTCCCACCCTGGACATTATTCCATAGGTATATAAACCCCATTTTCCTAGTTTCCAGCAAACTTCACAAACTCTGAGGATGCCTGCCATAGATGCAGGTGAAATGTCAGGAGAGAATGCTTCTGGAACATGGCCAGACAGCCCGGAAAACCTACAACAACCCACATTATTTGCTTTGAACTTGATTATATGTGTCTAAAGGTAAAGGTAAAGGTTTTCCCCTGACATTAAGTCCAGTTGTGTCCAACTCTGGGGTGTGTTGCAAATAACTACCCGAATATCCCAGGATATTCAGAGATAAACACGGCATATGTGCAAAACCTTGTGCCACGAAGATAAAGGATTTGCAACTTGTAGTGAAAAGTTCCCACACTAAGTTTGTATTTTGGGTGACTATCTACACTGAGCCCCAGGTGGCGCAGTGGGTTAAACTGCTGAGCTGCTGAACTTGCTGACCGAAAGGTTGGCAGTTCAAATCCGGGGAGTGGGGTGAGCTCCTGCTGTTAAACCCAGCTTCTGCCAACCTAGCAGCTCAAAAGCATGCAAATGTGAGTAGATCAATAGGTACTGCTTCTACAGGAAGATTTATTTATTTATTATTTATTTACGACATTTCTATGCCGCCCTTCTCACGCCGAAGGGAACTCAGAGCAGCTTACAAGATATATATACATACAATATATTATATTATTAGCATAGTACAATATTAGTATTATATATTACTATATTGTACTATACAATTATATTGTCATATTATTAATAATATTGCATGTAATCTAAATAAAAATGTAATGTTCGTTTGTGGGATTAGCATAACTCAAAAACCACTGGACGAATTGGTGCCAAATTTGGCCACAAGACACCTACTCACCCAAGGAGTGACCGTCACTAAATAAAAAATCAAAAAACGATTTTGTCATTTGGGAGTTGTAGTTGCTGGGATTTAAGAGCATTCTGAACTCCACCAGTGATGGAATAAAGCAAACATGGCACACAGAACTCCCATGACCAACGAAAAGCACCAGAAGGGTTTGCTGGGCATTGACCTTGAGTTTGGGAGTTGTAGTTCATCTACACCCAGTTAGCACTGTGGACTCAAACAATGGCACAAATATTCCATGTGCCGAAATATGAACACAGATGGAGTCTGGGGGAAATAGACCTTGACATTTGGGAGTTATAGTTACCGGGATTTATAGTTCACCAACAATAAAAGAGCATTCTGAACCTCACCAACGACAGAATTGGGGCAAACTTCCCACACTGAAGCCCATGGCCAACAGAAAATACTTAAGGCCATCCAGTCCAACTCCCTTCATCAGGGCAAGAAAACGTAATCAAAGCCCTCCTGACAAAGAGCCATCCAGCCATAGATATAGATAGATAGATATAATTCACACAGAGAGAGATATAGTATCATAGATGTGAAAGGGACCCCTAAAGAAGGAGAATTATATGTTGCATGTTCCCGAGTAGGCAAACCAGACACTCTCCACATCAACACTGACAAAAAACAGCAAGAAACACTGTTTACCCACAAGAAAAAAGACACTACATCTATTAGAAAACAACACTTTCTCATTACTTTATTTTCCAGATCACCAGACTGGGCCACAGCAACGCCTGGCAGGGGACGGTTAGTCTATATAAATAAAAATGTAATGTTCTGTTGTGGGATTAACATAACTCAAAAACCACTGGACGAATTGACAACAAAACACCTCTCAGGCCAAAGAGTGACCATCACTCTTAAAAATACTGAAAAATACAGCAGAAGAGGCTTAAAAAACAAAAAACAAAAATACATTACAGCGTATGCATAAAACCACGTATGTACACAATCACACATATATACATATATACAGAAATATATACACACATATGTGCACACACAAAACACAAACACAGAAAGGGAGAAGGAAGGAAGGAGAGAAGGAAAGAAAGAAAGGTAGAGAAGGAAGGAGAGAAGGAAATAAAAAAGTGAAAGAGGGAAGGAAGGAGAGAAGGAACTAAAGAGAGAAAGGGATGGAGGGAAGGAAAGAGGGAAGGAAGGATGGAACCAAAGAGCAAAGGAAGCAAGAAAAGAAACAGGTAAAGAAGGAAGAAAGAAGGGGAAAAAAAGAGGGAAGGAAGGAAGGAAAGAGGGAAGGAAGGATGGAACCAAAGAGCAAAGGAAGGGGAGGAAAGAAACAGAAGGAAGAAAGAAGAAGGGAAAGAAAAGGAACGAAGGAAAGAGGAAGAGAAGGAAGGAGAGAAAGGGGGAGGGAAGGTTGGCCACAGCAACACGTGGCTGGTACAGCTAGTATAAAATATATAAGTATAATATATTACTATAATTACTATTATATTGTATTGTATTACATTATACACACACACACACAATGTATTATATTACAGTCATGCTGGCCACATGACCTTGGAGGTGTCTACGGACAACGCAAACTCTTCATCTTAAAAGTTGAGTTGAGCACCACCCCGCAGAGTCGGACACGCCTAGACTTAATGTCAAGGGGAAACCTTTACCTACACTGACTATTTAATGCAGACCATAAACTCCTACAAAAGAGCTGTTAATGGGCCTCATTGCTCCATGGTTTCTGCAGTCTCCATCTAGGTCTCGGACTGGTTCCTGTGTTATCATGTGCACAGTGAAACCACTTTCTTCTACGCCAGTTTGAAATGGCAATGAATGGTCAGTGTCGATGGGGGCCTAGAATCCTTTCTCTGAAGGATATAATGTCTGGGTCGAGAAACTGGGCAGTGTCTGCTGAATGGCAGAGACGAACTCATGTGAGATGACACGTTGTCTTTTGTGCCTTCTTTGTTTCTTGCAGAGACTCCCAATGTGCAAGTGTATTCCCGCTACCCTGCAGTGAAGGGGAAGGAGAACACTGTCCATTGCTATGTGGAGAATTTTCATCCTCCCAAAATCAATATCACTCTTCTGAAGGATGGTGCCCCGATGACGGACGTGAAGCAGTCTGACCTTTCCTTTAAGCCGGACTGGACCTTTGAGCGCCTGGTCCATGCTCAAGTCACTCCTGATGGGTATACGGAGTATGCCTGCAAAGTGGAGCACATCACCCTGCCCACTCCAAAGATCGTCAAATGGGGTGAGTCCTTGGTGCCTTTATTTCTTTATTTATTTGTATACCGCCTTTCGGCGATTCAAGGCGGTTTACAGGCAACAAATAATATAATTAATATCAAAATGCACATAAAAACATTAAATACATTATAAAACCACAACAGAAATAATAACAGACAGGAGACAGGTGTTTTTAAAGTCTCTTCCTCAGTCCCCTTCCTCCTCTTAGCTGGCTGGGGGGGGGGGGGGACAGTAGGATTTCCTCCTTCTCCTGAGGTGGCAGGCAGATGTAGTAAGCAACAGCCAGGAGACAGGTGTTTTTAAAGTCTCTTCCTCAGTCCCCTTCCTCCTCTTAGCTGGCTTGGGAGGGGGGGAGAGTAGCAGCAGGATTTCTTCCTTCTCCTCCTGAGGTGGCAGGCAGATGTAGTAAGCAACAGCCAGGAGACAGGTGTTTTTAAAGTCTCTTCCTCAGTCCCTTCTTCCTCTTAGCTGGGGTGGGGGGAGAGTAGCAGCAAGGTTTCCTCCTTCTTCTCCTGAGGTGGCAGGCAGATGTAGTAAGCAACAGCCAGGAGACAGGTGTTTTTAAAGTCTCTTCCTCAGTCCCCTTCCTCCTCTTAGCTGGCTTGGGAGGGGGAGAGTAGCAGCAGGATTTCCTCCTTCTCCTCCTGAGGTGGCAGGCAGATGTAGTAAGCAACAGCCAGGAGACATGTGCTTTTAATGTCTCTTCCTCAGTCCCCTTCCTCCTCTTAGCTGGCTTGGGAGGGGGACAGTAGCAGCAAGATTTCCTCCTTCTCCTCCCGAGGTGGCAGGCAGATGTAGTATTGTTGCTGGGGGGAGGGGCTCCCAGCCGTTGACCCAGGAGAAGTGGTGGAAATCTGACTTCCTGGTTCCCCCTCTTTACTCTGGCTTCAAAGTGTCAGTTGGTGCTGGGGGGGGGGGGGGAGTATAATGCCAAGTTTTTAATTTTGTTTGTGGTTTTTCTATTATTATAACTATATTCTCAATTTGCTTCTGACGCAATAAATAAATGAAAATGTTATTTATCAGACACAAAGACGTGAAAGAGAAAGTAGAGCTCACAAATAAATGCTCAAGTGACAACAAGTTTTGTCGGAAAGCTGCGTAACCACTTCCTGTTATTGAAGACATGAACAATTAAGCCGTTGGGGTCTATTTCTAGGTAGACGGTTGGACTCTGGAGAAACGGTCATAATTTTGTTGGTTGCAAATATTTAGGCACTGCATTCTAAGCTTTTAGTTAGATAATTTCATCAGCTGTGTGTACTAATACTGTTCTCTTCTACAGAGCAAGACTACTAAGGAAATGATCCAAGAAGTAAGGTAAGGATTCTGGATAAAAGTTCTAAGTTGATGTGAATTGAATGAATGTACGGAAGGAGAACGATTTTTACTTTCTTGCCTTCAAAAAAGAGACAGGATTGGTAACAAAATCACATGGGTTATTTTTGTGTGTTTCCTGGCCACCTTTAAACAGACATGATATTAAAAGGGGACACTTACTTTGATGGGATCTGTGAACTCACTCTTCCATGCAAAGTGTATTGCAGAGTCATAGATCCCTGTTTTGTACAAAGCAACAAGTTGTCAATAAGAGCTCAGTATGAAGAAAATTAACTTGGTATATCAACAAAGAGTAAACATTAAGAGATTATTGGAAAATGGAAATCTCCATAACCTTTTTGGAGATTTTATGGTCTTTGGAAAGTCATGACCTTGTTGGAAATCACAACCTTTTGAAAAATAATGTCATAACCTTTTGGGAAAATGCCATTCATGCAAGGCAATTAGGTTTCTCGGTTGTTAAACTGATGTACCTAGTTATGTCTTTGAACTGTTAGGGACAAATATACGCCAATGCACAACATATGTTGCTGTTGTTAATTCATTCAGTCGCTTCCGACTCTTTGTGACTTCATGGACCAGCCCACGCCAGAGCTCCCTGTCGGCCGTCACCACCCCCAGCTCCTTCAGAGTCAAGCCAGTCACTTCAAGGATGCCATCCATCCATCTTCCTTTTTCCTTCCATTTTCCCCAGCATCATGATCTTCTCTAAGCTTTCCTTTCTTCTCATGATGGCACAACACACACATATATATTCAGCAGAGTTTCAGAAATGTTATTTTTAATTGGCCCAAAACATCTACTTTCCCTTAAAATATATATTATTATAAATAAGCAGACTTCTTTAAAAGTAGCATAGTTGGTTTACTCACAAACTTAATGTATTCAGTACACAGGTACTTTGCTTATCAGTCCAGTTACAGATAGGATTTGAAGTAGTTTCTCTGTGCAGGTAACACAGAATCAATAGTCCATAGTCCAAAACATCTCTCTGTTCTGAGAGTCTAATAGAGTTTCTGTCTAGCTTGTTTAAACAATTTCTACAAACATACACCTGTTTCTACTGAAGTCTCTAAGCATATTTCCTGCGGAAGTCTAAAGATTGCCCCAGGCACTGCCAGGGCATCAAATGCTAATCAAGGTGGTCAGTTGAAATATTCACACCAAGCTCCAGCAAACAAGAGTCCTTTGTCCCACCTTGCTCCCACCCTGGTCATTCCACAAATATATAAACCCTTTTTCCTAGTTCCAACAGACCTCAACTACCTCTGAGAATGCTTGCCATAGATGCAGGCGAAACATCAGGAGAGAATGCCTCTAGAACATGGCCATATAGCCCGAAAAAATCTACAACAACCCAGTGATTCCGGTCATGAAAGCCTTCGACAATACACTATAGTATACTGTTTCTAAAATGGAGTCTGAGTCCTGAACAAGCCCAGACTTGATCACATGATCTACAGCCCCTCCCACAACAAAGAGTTAAAGAAAAACTGCAAACCAATACACACATATACAATATAGTAAGCAATCTGAATAACTTGTGGAGGCTTGAGAAGGTTGCTATTTCCAACAGAGATTGAGATTATTTTTCCCACTTGAGAATTTTCTCAATATATACGATGTATCCATAGTTTTATTAGTACTGTACAAACTTTAAAAACAGCGATGTCCTCTGGTCATAATCTTACAAGAAGAGATTAAAAACAGGAAGTTGGTTTTCCTCTCACTATATTGTAAATCTGGAAGCCGAAGCAGAGAACGTGGCTTACCTAAGACCAGCCACCAATTGAGGCCCTTCCAGACAGCTGTATACAATCCACTGGGTTATATGGCAGTGTGGACTCAGATAACCCAGTTCGAAGCAGATATTGTGGATTATCTGCTTTGATATTCTGGGTTATATGGCTGAATGGAAGTGCCCTGAATTCATATCAGGTGAGATACAAATCAAGAACTTTTAGGTTGATAAGTAAGTCTTTCTCCTTATAGTAAAGGTAAAGGTATCCCCTTGACATTAAGTCTAGTCGTGTCCGACTCTGGAGGATGGTGCTCCTCTACATTTCTAAGTCAAAGAGCCGGCATTGTCCGTAGACACCTCCAAGCCGGCATGACTGCATGGAGTGCCTTTACCTTCTCGCTGGAGTGGTACCTATTGGTCTACTCACATTTGCATGTTTTCGAACTGCTAAATTGGCAGAAGCTGGAGCTAACAGTGGGAGCTCACCCTGCTCCCCAGATTTGAACCACTGCAAGTTCCGCAGCTCAGCGGTTTAACCCACTGCACCACAAAGGCCTCCTTTTCTCCCTATAGACTACAGCAATTCATGGAGTCCTGTTTACTCCTGAAAATGAAGTTTTGCATTTCTATAATATTTATTTCCGTCACAGTGTTGAGAGGTTAGGCTCAAAGAGTGATACTTAGTGCAGGGATGGGAAAACACCGGTATTCCAGATATTTTGGACTTCATTTCTCAGAATCTGTAACCAGGGAAAGATGGTGGGAAGGAAATACCTGAACTTCTGGAGGCCACTGTGCCGTCACATCCAGACACTGCAAAGTTAAAACTAAAATGTGCTTCTCTCTTTTATCTGGGTGAACCGCTGGGGGTCTTTCTTTGAAGCAATAACTCAATACTTTCAGCAACTGATGCCAGTCAAGATAGGAACATCAACAAAATGTTTATTTCCAAAGTCCTTGGCAGACTTGGCACAGCTTGATAAAGTTACAACACAGTCAATTTGGGAAACCATAGAGATGTTCTTTCTTTCCCTTTTCTTCAATTACTGAGGTAACTTTTCTCCAAATGGTAAAAAAAAATCCTGGGATCTTTCACCCTAACCCTGAGCTACTGTGGCTAGAAAGAACAGGTCTTCCCCTATCTAAGCTCAAGGTTAGCTTTGGAGATGAAGTAATGTTCAATAGTACTCAATAACTATTTCTATCTATTTCTCAATATCTTATCTATAACTCAATCAGCTTCTCTATCTCAATTGCTTTTCTTAATAACTCAATTTCTTTCTCTGTCTAAATAACCCAATAACTCAATTACTCAATTGCTATTCGATCTATCTATCTCAATTTCTCAATTGTACTCACAATGGCTTTTCAGAGCTACCTGTCTGACCAACAGCACATCTGAGGCTTTTTTCTCTACTGAAGGAGGCAGGGGAGATTCCAAAATGGAGATCTCAACCCCAGGAAAAAGGGCGGACTCCAAACCCAAAGAGATACGTTCTAAACCAATAACTGCAGAGGACCTGCAGCCTGGCTTTCCAGACACTGATACTGTTTAACTTCCAGGGTGCTGCTGGGTCTATAGCAACCCTGGGGAAATGCAAAGGAATGCTGTCCCATGCAGCTAAAAGGCAACGTAAACCATGCTCCTGGAAGACGGAACAGCAACGTTTCCTTCATCTATTAAGAACATCCCAATCATTGGATTCACTGTATAACACAGTCTGATCTTTTCAAAAGCTTGTTTTTTTCCTTTCCCAGGTTTGAAAAGCTTTGCTTTCAAGCACGCTGCCCACCCGTTCCTCCTTGCATCGACATGCTACTAATGTCTCCGCCTTTCCAGTCGATCCTCTATTAGACGACACTGAAGATTGCATTGAAACTTGCGCTATCATGGCTTGATTGTAACCTTCATATATTTAAAATTTGAGCTTTTTTTTAAAAAAAATGTGATTTTCTGTTCATTTGCCTAAATTGCTATCATGAAAGTTCGCTTCCTTTTCTGGCAGAAATATATAAGGAAAGAATTCAAGAGATATGTATTACAGATTGGTGACGGATTGTTTTTTGTTTGGTATATCTGAAAAGCAAAATGATTGGAATAACCTAATAAAGGACAATTACTAACCTTTTACTTGCAATGACTGGTGTCTTTGACCGATGGGTTCACTGCACAATCCTATACATCAGCGACAGAGGCCAGTTTTCATATTCATAGCAGGCTGTGACAGACTTTGTATTTCTAGGTGCAAAGATGACTGCAGACGCAGACTGCAGCCAGGAAATCAGGAGGCACTTCCTTCTTGGGAGGAGAGCAAGGACAATCTCGATAAAATAGTGAAGAGTAGAGATATCACACTGGCAACGAAGATCCACATAGTTTAAGCAATGGTATTCCCCATAGTCACCTACGGATGTGAGAGCTGGACCAGAAGGAAGGCTGAGCGAAGGAAGAGAGATGCTTTTGAACTGTGATGTTGGAGGAAAGTTCTGGGAGTTCCTTGGACCGCCAGAAGATCCAACCAGTCCATGCTTTTATCTATCTATATAAAAATGCTCCGTGCATAATGAGTACCTTAAAAACAAAAGAACCAATGAACGAAATCACATCAAATTTGGCAACAAAATGTCTCACAACACTAGGAGTGACCATCACTAAAAAAATACGACTTTGTCATTTGAGAGTTGTAGTTGCAGGGATTTATAGTTCGCCTCCAATCAAAGAGCATTCTGAACTCCATCAACGATGGAATTGAACCAAACTTGGCACACAGAACTCCCATGACCAACAGAAAATATTGGAAGGATTTGGTGAGCATTGACCTTGCATTTGGGAGTTGTAGTTCACCTACATCCAGAGAGCACTGTGGACTCAAACAATGATGGATCTGGACTAAACTTGGCACCAGAACTCAATACGCCCAAATATGAACACAGATGGAGTTTGGGGGAAATAGACGTTGACATTTGGGAGTTGTAGTCACTGGGATTCACAGTTCACCTACAATCGACGAGCATTCAGAACACCACGAACAACAGAATTGGGGCAAACTTCGTACACAGAACTCCCATGACCATCAGAAAATACTTAAGGCCATCCAATCCAACTCCCTTCATCAGGGCAAGAAAACGTAATCAAAGTCCTCCTGACAAAGAGACATCCAGATATAGATAGAGATAGATAGATAGACAGACAGACAGACAGACAGACAGACAGACAGACAGACAGACAGACAGACAGACAGACAGACAGACAGACAGACAGACAGACAGACAGACAGACAGATAGATAGATAGATAGATAGATAGATAGATAGATATATGAGAGATTCACACACACAGAGATATAGTATCATAGATTTGAAAGGGACCCTTAAAGAAGGACAATGATATGTTGCGTGTTCCAGAGTAGGCAAACCAGACAATCTCCACATCAACACTGACAAAGAAACAGCAAGAAATACTGTTTACCCACAAGCAGAAAGAAATTACATATATTAGAAACCAACACTTTCTCATTGCTTTATTTTCCAGATCAACAGACTGGGCTACAGCAACGCCTGGCAGGGGACAGGTAATCAAGAAATAAAGCCCGACTGCTCATTGGAGGGAAGGATAGTAGAGGCCAAGATGAAGTACTTTGGCCACATCATGAGAAGAAAGGAAAGCTTAGAGAAGACAATGACGCTGGGGAAAATGGAAGGAAAAAGGAAGAGGGGTGACCAAGGGCAAGATGGATGGATAGTATCCTTGAAGTGACTGACTTTACCTTGAAGGAGCTGGGGGTGGTGACGGCCGACAGGGAGCTCTGGCGTAGACCACGAAGTCACGAAGAGTTGGAAACGACTGAACAAATGAACAACAACAAGCAAGCTGCACTGCCCAGTTTGGACTAGAAGTCACTTTGAAGTGTGACCTTTGGGTTGTGTTTCCTTTTTCACCTGTTTGGGGCGGTAAATGTACAAACTAATTTTCATGCAGTTTACCATTCTGATCAAAAGAATATTCTGGATCTGGGGTTTTGGAGGGCATCAAAAGAGAGATAGGGTGCCCACATATACCCTTGGGTTGCCCAGAGTATGCAAATGCAAATGTGAGTAGATCAATAGGTACCACTTCAGCGGGAAGGTAATGGCTCCCCATACAGTCATGCTGACCGCATGACCTTGAAGGTGTCTACGGACAACGCCAGCTCTTCAACTTAGAAATGGAGATGAGCACCAACCCCCAGAGTGGGGCACGACTGGACTTAATATCAGGGGAAAACTTAGGTTTGAAGAAGCTGGGGCTAACAGCGGAAGCTTGCCCTGCTCCCCGGATTCAAACCACCACCCTTTCAGTCAGCAAGTTCAGCAGTTCAGTGGTTTAACTGCTGCACCACCAGAAGGACCCGCCTTCTAGTTACTTTTGCCCATATTGACTTCTGTTATCAGATTTATCCACTTCTCTTTCTTGGCTTCAGAGATGGAGGACAAAATGCTCGGTGCTACCTGAAGAGTTTGCTCACTAAATGAGTCTTCGTCGTGGAGCCTGCAATAGTCTTCCAACAAGGCAGCTGTATCAGGAGTCATGCCCTGAAGGTAGTCTTCTATATAAATAAAAATGTAATGTTCGTTTGTGGGACTAACATAATTCAAAAACCACTGGACAAATTGACACCAAATTCGGACACAATACACCTCTCAGGCCAATGAGTGACCATCACTCATAAAAATACTGGAAAACAGAGCAGAAGAGACTTTAAAAGCCAAAAAATACATTAAATTATTATTAATAATATTAATAGAAGAAGAAGAAGAAGAACGAAGAAGAAGAAGAAATCCAGTACTGCAAAGCTAGGCTACTGTTCCTGGGCATGCGCAGAGGGTCATAGAAATATAATAATAATAATAATAATAATAATAATAATAATAATAATAATAATAATAATAACAACAACAACAACAACAACATAGAATAATAATAGATAATAATATAAATAATACAATCATAAAATAATAATAAGAGAATCTATATAAATAAAAATGTAATGTTAGTTTGTGGGATTAACATAACTCACAAACCACCGGATAAATCGACACCAAATTTGGACACAATACACCTCTCAGGCCAGTGAGTGACCATCATTCATAAAAACACTGAAAAACACAGAGGAAGAGTCTTAAAAAGCCAAATAAAATACATTGCAACACATATGCAAAACCACATATATATACACAAACACACATATATACGCATATACACAAATATATATACACACACAGCAATGCGTGGTAGGGGACGGCTAGTAAAACTTCATTGGAGACGTATGGATGTCGCTGACACTGGCACAATTAGCCAAATATGAGTATCAGTTTCTGTGGGGGAAGAGGGTTGGCAAGGAGAATGGCTCAAGGTTGCTTCAGATATCATCTCCGTTACAGAGGGAAACCCATTCCTGGACTAGATGTTCCCTTGACCTGATCCAGCAAAGAAATTCACTTTGTGTTCTCCTTTGATCTCGGCAATTCCTGCTGCCCACTCAAGTTTGCTTTGCTCTTTTGGGAGAAACTCGCAGCTTGCATCTCACTAGCAATTCCACTTTCGCAACTGAGATCTAAAAATCTTATCAGTTCACTGCTGTGATGGTTTCACCATAGAATATATGCACCAGCTCCGGACAGCTTTGGGCAGCTCTCAGGGTACCACTAAGTTGGCAATGGAAGACGCAATACTAATACATAACCTGGTTTTAAATTATCCTCAGGCTCCAGATTGGTACAATGTTGGGGGTTATAAGAGCCCCCAGTGGTGCAGTGGGTTAAACTGCTGATTTGCTGAATTTTCTGACCAAAAGGTTGGTGGTTCGAATTTGGAGAGCGAGGTGAGCTCCTGTTGTTTGCTCCAGCTTCTGCCAACCTAGCAGTTCAAAACATGCAAATGTGAGTAGATCAATAGGTACCACTCCGGCGGGAAGGTAACGGCGCTCCATGCAGTCATGCGAGCCACATGACCTTGGAGGTGTCGCACCTCAGAGTAGAACCACCTTGCTTATGACACCAAAGAACATACCAGCAGTAGTCTTTGTAGTTTTATTAAAAGAAAAGATAAAAGGTTCAAAAAGCAAAAGTATATTTCAAAAGATCAATCCAAGGTAACGTAGGCAAATAAGATACATGAAGGCATAGGCAAGGCAAGGTCCCATGAGAACATGACAAAGTCCTGAAACATGCAGCACGAAAAGCTGCAAGGTAAATCCAAAGTCTCTTGGTTGAAGCGAGAAGTTGCTCTGACACTGAGGCACATTCAAACAGTCTGTTTAATACTCCTGGGCCAGCATGAAGGTGTTCCTATGGCCTCGGGCCTCTCTCGCCTCCCGGTGATCCTGACACTACTTTGCACTTTCAATTCCAAGCGATCAACTCTATCTAAACCACCGGCCCCATTGAGGTCAAATCCTTCGTTCGCTAGCTGAGAACGATCCTCCCTTCCTACGTCCTCCCTAATTCCTTCCTCAGGCACCTGGCTCTCACTCTCAGTAGTTTCACGTTCCCCAGTGTCAACCCTTGCTGTGGGAAACAACTGAACTTCTGCCCCCTGGTCCTGGTCTTCCTCGTCTAACACAGGGACATCCTTGCTTTGCATCTGACTCTGAATCTGAATCTCATCATCTCCATCAGAACATTGATACCATCACTCTGTGATTCCAGCTGAGTCACAACAGGAGGTGTCTACGGACAACGCCAGCTCTTCGGCTTAGAAATGGAGATGAGCACCACCAACCCCCAGAGTTGGACACGACTAGACTTAATGTCAGGGGAAAATCTTTACCTTTACCTGGGGATTATAAATTCAAGTACCTTTCATAGCCAAAATTAGGCTAAGCCCATTTACGTTGGAGGGTACCGATCAGAAGATTTTTTTTGCTCATGGCTCTTTCAGGCCATCCTGGACTCCTTCCCTCTCCACTTACAGGTAGGCATCCAAGGAGGAAAAGATCCCAAATTCCATGGCTCTCACTCCATGTGTTGAGAACAGAGGTCACCTAAGCTGTATCAGCAGAGACAATAGTAAGCTGTGACACAACTTCAAGTCCCAGGTGTGGAGGGCTGTGTGTTTCCACATTGCCTGTGTGCTTTGGAGATATCTAGAGTCAAATAGAGGGAGAAAACGTGGAGGCTGTGACAGACTTTGTATTTCTAAGCACGAAGATGACTGCAGATGCAGACTGAAGCCAGGAAATCAGAAGATGTTTCCTTCTTGGGAGGAGAGCAATGACCAATCTCGATAAAATAGTGAAGAGTAGAGACATCACACTGGCAACGAAGATCCGCATAGTTAAAGCAATGGTATTCCCCGTAGTTACCTATGGATTTGAGAGCTGGACCACAAGGATGGCTGAGCAAAGGAAGAGAGATGCTTTTGAACTGTGGTGTTGGAGGAAAATTCTGAGAGTGCCTTGGACCGCGAGAAGATCCAACCAGTCCATCCTCCAGGAAATAAAGCCAGACTGCTCACTGGAGGGAAGGATAGTAGAGGCAAAGATGAAGTCCTTTGGCCACATCATGAGAAGACAGGAAAGCTTAGAGAAGGGAATGATGCTGTGGAAAATGGAAGGAAAAAGGAAGACGGGCCTACCCAGGACAAGATGGAGGGATGGCATCCTTGAAGTGACTGGCTTGACTCTGACGGAGCTGGGGGAGGTGACGGCCGACAAGGAGCACTGGTCTGGGCTGGGCCAGGAGGTCACAAAGAGTTGGAAGCGACTGAACAAATAAACAACAACAACAGAGTCAATCAAATCTTATTACAAACTAGCCGTCCCCTGCCACACATTGCTGTGGCCCAGTCTGTGTATATGTGTTTTGTGTGTGTATATATGTGTATATATTTGTGTATATGTGTATATATGTGTGTATGTGTGTGCGTGTGCCTGCGAGACGTGGACTGTCTACAGATGTCACATGCAACTCCTGGAATGATTCCATCAGCGTTGCTCCAGAAAATCCTGTAAATCTCTTGGAAAGACAAGCAGACAAATGTCAGCGTGCTGGAAGAAGCAAAGACCACCAGCACTGAAGCTATGGTCCTCCGACATCAACTCCGCTGGACTGGCCACGTTGTCTGGTTGCCTGACCACCGTCTCCCAAAACAGCTCTACTCTTCAAGAACGGAAAATGGAATGTTGACGGGCAGGAAAAGAGATTGAAAGAAGGGCTCAAAGCTAACCTCAAAAACTCTGGCATAGTCACTGAGAACTGGGAAGCCCTGGCCCTTGAGCGCCCCAGCTGGAGGTCAGCTGTGACCAGCAGTGCTGCAGAATTTGAATAGGGAAGAATAGAGGGCGAAGGAGAGAAACATGCCAAGAGGAAGGTGCATCAAGCCAACCCTGACCGAGACCGCCTTTCACCTAGAAACCGATGCCCTCACTGCAGGAGAAGATGCAGATCAAGAATAGGACTCCACAGCCACCTACAGATCCACAGCATACTACACACTGACCCTGGAGGACCATCATCCTCAGACAACGAGGGATCGCCTAAGTAAGTAAGGAAATAAAGTGTATGTGTGGTTTTGCGCATGTGTTGTAATGTATTTTTATGGGATTTTTTGCTTTTTAGTCCCTTCTGCTGTGTTTTTCAGTGTTTTAATTAGTGATGGTCATTCATTGGCTTGAGATGTGAATTGAGGCCTCACTTCAAGATCTTTGTCATTCAGAGAAAGAGCGGAAAAGAATCATTGGAAGCCAGGTAGAACCTTCAGGAAAACAATTGGCCAGTGGCAGTTATGTCATAGGATTCTAAAGCTGCCTAATAGAAAGGCAGAGCTGGAAGGAGCAGCTTGGACAAGGTTAGCTCAAAAACAGAGGTGAATCTGTAAGAAATGGACTAGGGGGGGAAAAAGACCGTCTAGAAAAGGATAAGGACTTGCTTGGACAAGGCTAGCTCAAAAATAAAAGGTGAGTCAGTAAGAAATGAACGGGGAAATAAACAGGAACGCAAAAGAGGAGCACTCTCAGCCTTACTATGAAAATATTTAATAACTAGCTGTACCCATCATGCGTTGCTGTGGTCAATCTTCCCTCCCTCTTTCTCTCCTTCCTTCATTCCCTCTTTCCTTCCTTCCTTTTCTTCTTTCCTTCTCTCCTTCCTTCTCTACCTATTTCCTTCTCTCCTTCGCTTTGTTTCCATCCTTCCTTCTCTCTTTCCTTCTTTCCTTCCCTCCTCCTTTCTCTCCCCCTTTTCCTCTCCTTCCTTCTCTACCTATTTCCTTCTCTCCTTCCTTCTTTACCTCTTTTCTTCCTTCCTTTGTTTTGTTTCCATCCATCCTTCTCTCTTTCCTTCTTTCCTTCTCTATTCCTTCCCTTCTTTCCTTCCTTCGCTTTGTTTCCATCCTTCCTTCTCTTTCTCTCTTTCCTTCCTTTTTCTTCTTTTCTTCTCTCCTTCCGTCTCTACTTCTTTCTTTCCTTCCTTTGCTTTGTTTCCATCCTTCCTTCTCTTTCCCTCCTTCCTTTTTCTTCTTTCCTTCTCTCCTTCCTTCTTTACCTCTTTCCTTCCTTCACTTTTTCCATCCTTCCTTCTCTTTCCCTGTCTCCTTTCTTCCTTTTTCTTCTTTCCTTCTCTCCTTCCTTCTCTATCTCTTTCCTTCCTTCCTTCGCTTTGTTTCCATCCTTCCTTCTCTCTTCCCTTCTTTCCTTCCCTCCCTCTTTCGCTCCTTCTTTCCCTCTGTCCTTCTCTATCTCCCTTTCTTTCTTTCTTTCTTTCTTTCTTTCTTTCTTTCTTTCTTTCTTTCTTTCTCTCTCTCTTTCTTTCTCCCCTTTCTTCCTTCCCTCCCTCTTCCTTCTCTTTTTTTCTGCATTGTCATTTAGCTTTTTGTCATTTAGCTTGTTTTGATTTTTAAGTCCTTTCCGCTGCTGGTTTTCTTTGGGGAGGGAGGTTATGAGTGATGGTCACTCATTGGTTCGTTAGGTGTATAGTGTCCAAATTTCATGTCAATTCATCTAGTGGTTTTTGAGTTATGTTAATCCCACAAACAATCATTACATTTTTATTTATATAGATGTTGCTGAACTCTGTTTAAACCAAGAATAGCATCTCACTTATTTCTGATGGCAATAATTCTGGCTACACTTTTCTAATGTAATATTAATGCCAAATGCCCAGATAGATGGCTGACAATCTCTTTAATTCAAATCCAGGTCAGATACTTAATTGTCTGGGTTGTCTTTAGGCTCTTTCCCCCACACCATAGAACATGAGAATAGTACTTCTAGCATATCTCAGCCCCAAGCAATCATTACCTATCAATAGACAAATGGCAGTTCCCAATTTTCATGACTTATTTTGTAAGCTTACTTAATGTATTTTCTACCTTGCCATATAGATTATAGATAGCTGCTCTTTGTTTCTTACATGATTTAAAAAAAATTGCATGTGTTATTATTGTTCTGTATCACATCAAAATCTTCATATGGATTTGCAATTAAATACATAAACTGGGGAGAGGTAAGAAATAGTTTTAAGATAGTCCCATGTCCTCACATGGGAAGGTAGAGCTGACAGATGGGTGCTCACCCTGTCTCACAGATTCAAACCGCCGACCTTCAGACTAGCAGTTCAGCCAGCACAAGGGCTTAACTCATTGCGCAAACGTGGCTCCATATGTCAAACGACATACGGCAGCCATACTCCTGTCTACAATTTCTTTACATGAGTATCAATCATTATTACGAGGGTTGAATGAAAATTAATGCCTCCACCTTCATAACTCCTCAACAGATGGCAGTACTGGTATGCGGCAGGTATTGGTTTGTTCAGTAGACTCTCTACAGTTCCATTTTGACAGGAAGCCTTAGCATTGAACAGTTGTGTTGTTAAAGTGCGAAGTATGGAACCCTGCGCAGACGGTCGGTAAATATGACTTAAGCAATGTGTAGGCATTGAATTCTTGACAGTAGACGATGCCACCTCAACATCTTCAAACTTACTTGCCCAGTGACACACAATACTCACATCAACACAGTCACCATAAACAACTTGCATTCTCGGATGAATCTCCTGTGGGGTGACACCTACAATGACTGCACGTTGCTTAAGTTGCATTGACCGACCGTCTGCGCAGGGTTCCATACTTAGCACTTTAACAACACAACTGTTCAATGCTAAGGCTTCCCACCAAAATGGAACTGTAGAGGAGAGTCTACTGAACAAGCCAGTACCTGCCGCATAGCAGAACTGCCATCTGTTGAGGAATTACGAAGGTGGAGCCATTACTTTTCTGCTAAGGCTTCCTGCCAAAATGGAACTGTAGAGGAGAGTCTACTGAACAAGCCAGTACCTGCTGCATAGCAGTACTGCCATCTGTTGAGGAGTTACGAAGGTGGAGGCATTACTTTTCATTCAACCCTCGTATATTTCAAAGTTATGAAAAACACTTCTACATTGACATAAAGATTGAACTTTCATTCCACTCCTTTTTTTCCCTTGACAGAGCAGCAACTTTAAGCATTTTCTTTCTGAGACCATGTCCACCTCTACCAGCAAAAACCCTTCCACGTCCTCCTTTGTTTCAATCCACGAAAGACCAATCTTCCAGGGTCCTTCCGATACGTCATGGGAGCTGCATGCGGATGATTTCACCAAGGAATTGTCCTGCGGTGTGTGTCTAGAACTGTTCAAGAACCCGGTTATCCTGTCCTGTGGCCATAACTTCTGTAGGGATTGCCTAGAAGACTTATGGAAGAAAAAGGGCATCTTCTGTCCACAATGCCACGCGAGTGTCCCCGATCGAAAGTACATCTCGAACACCGCCCTGGAGAAGATGGCGGATAGGATTAAGACCTACCACGTGGGGTGCCTGCAACAGAAGTGCATCGAACACAGCGAGCCGATGACTCTCTACTGGAAGACGCAAGAAAAACTCGCCTGCTTCACCTGCCGGGAAACTCTGCTACCCAAAGAGCAATGCACACAGTTCCTTCTCATTCCAGATGCTGTACAGATCTTTACGGTAACTCTCATGCCATCACCAGTCTATATAAATAAAAATGTAATGTTCGTTTGTGGAATTAACATAACTCAAAGACCACTGAACGAATTACTGCCATATTTGGCCACAAGACACCTACTCACCCAAGGAGTGACCATCACCAAAAAAATTGGGTTGTTGTAGGTTTTTTCGGGCTATATGGCCATGTTTTAGAGGCATTCTCTCCTGACGTTTCACCTGCATCTACCTCAGAGGTAGTGAGGACTGTTGGAACGAGGAAAATTGGTTTATATGTCGGTGGAATGACCAGGGTGGGACAAAGGACTCTTGTCTGTTGGAGCTAGGTGTGAATGTTTCAACTGACCACCTTGATTAGCTTTTGATGGCCTGGCAGTGCCTGGAGCAATCTTTTGTTGAGAGGTGATTAGATGAGCCTGATTGTTTTCCCTCTGCTGTTTCGCTGTTTTAATTTTAGAGTTTTTTAATACTGGTAGCCAGATTTTGTTAAGGAGGAAACCATGAAAATGAACAAAATCTGGCTACCGGTATTAAAAAAATCACTGAGAAGGCCCTGTCTCTCGTCCTTGCCAAACGCGCCTGTGATGGTGGTGGGACCGAGAGCAGGGCCTCCCCAGAAGATCTTAATTTCTGTGGTGTTTCATAGGGGGAGATGCATTCGGATAGGTAAATGGCCGGGGCCATTTAGGGCTTTATAGGCCAAAGCCAGCACTTTGAATTGTGCCCAGTAGCAAACTGGCAGCCAGTGGAGCTGGTGTAACATGGGAGTTGTGTGCTCCCTGTACACCGCCCCAGTTATTAGCCTGGCTGCCTCTCGCTGGACTATTTGAAGCTTCCGAGCAGTCTTCAAAGGCAACCACATGTAGAGGGCGTTGCAGTAATCTAACCTAGATGTGACAAGAGCATGGACCACCGTGGCCAAGTATGAATTTCCAAGGTATATAAGCAGTATAGATAGATAGAATAATGGAATTATTATTATTATTATTATTATTAATGTATCCTAGGCCAAAAAAACACCAGGAAAGCATCCACCTGATAAAGATTCTCTAGAATACCTATCTATCTATCTATCTATCTATCTATCTATCTATCTATCTATCTATCAGCAGTATAGATAGATAGATAGATAGATAGATAGAGAGAAAATGTAATAGAATTATTATTATTATTATTATTATTATTATTAATAATAATAATAATAATAATAATAATAATAATAATAATAATATTTTATTTATACCATGCCACCATCTTCCATAGGGACTTGGTACAGCTTATATATAGCACACATGATGCCACACCACACATAAAATACAGTATATCAACACTGAAAACATTAAAAATACAATAACATATTTAAAACCAAACATATAAAATTGACAGAAGTTAAATATAGAATTATTCATTGAATGTCCAAATTGAAAATTTTGATGTCACTATTTTACTTAGGTGTGATGACTTACCTATTCTATAACATTCTTTGTGACTATTTACCCGCAGGAAAAGTTGCTCATGATGAGAATTCAGCTCAGATCCATCTTGGTGAAGTTGGAGGTGTTGAAGAATGCCCAGGAAGAAAAGATCAGTAACCACAAAGTGAGTATCATTGATTCAGTAGATCTCTACTTGAATATCTTACTGTTGAGTATTTTAGGTGATGGAAAATTGTGCTTTGTACTTCTGAAGCAAAGGAACACACTGGGGACATTATCACCTGAAGCTGTCAGATGTTGGCTCCCTAGATTAAAAAAAAAACCAACTTACCACCACATGACATTACCCTAAACCAGTGATTCCCACCCTTTAGTCCTCCAGGTGTTTTGGACTTCAGCTCCCACGATTCCTAACAGCTGGTATGCTGGCTGGGATTTCTGAGAGTTGAAGTCCAAAACATCCGAGGGACCAAATGTTGGCCTAAACCCACTGAAAGCCAATCAAGGTGTGTTGAGTAAACAAAAATTGTATTTCCCCATTTTCGGCTCCTGAATTATTATTCAGAAAACTTTAGAAAGCAATTTCTGCCATGCAGTATCATGAATGAAATGCAAAGATACAGAATGGGGAACACGTGGCTCAAAAGCAGTATGTGTGAAAAAGATCTTGGAGTCCTCGTGGACAACAAGTTAAACATGAGCCAACAATGTGATGCAGTGGCAAAAAAAAGCCAACTGGATTTTGGCCTGCACCAATAGGAGCATAGCGTCTAGATCTAGGGAAGTCATGATACCCCTCTATTCTGCCTTGGTTAGACCACACCTGGAATCACACTGTGTCCAGTTCTGGGCACCCCAATTGAAGAGAGATATTGACAAGCTGGAATGTGTCCAGAGGAGGGCGACTGAAATGATCAAGGGTCTGGAGAATAAGCCCCATGAGGAGCGGCTTAAAGAGCTGGGCATGTTTAGCCTGAAGAAGAGAAGACTGAGAGGAGACATGATAGCCATGGATCAAGATGTGAGGGGAAGTCATAGGGAGGAGGGAGCAAGTTTGTTTTCTGCTGCTTTGGAGACTAGGACACAATGGAACAATGGCTTCACACTACAGGAGAGGAAGGAGATTCCACCTGAACATGAGGAAGACTGTGAGAGCTGTTCAGCAGTGGAACTCTCTGTCCCGGAGTATGGTGGAGGCTCCTTCTTTGGAGGCTTTTAAACAGAGGCTGGATGGCCATCTGTCAGAGGTGCTTTGAATGCAATTTTCTTGCTTCTTGGCAGAATGGGGTTGGACTGGATGGCCCACGAGGTCTTTTCCAACTCTAGGATTCCATGATTCTATGAATCCACTTCAGTGGATTTTGTGGATTTGATAATTTATGGATTTGATTAATATGTGCTCTATAGGAATCATTAGGTCCTCCGGTGCAATTCTACAGTCAACTTCCAACAGAGGTTGACGATAGCGTTGCATGGGAAGACCTAGAAATTCCTAACGAGAACACTTCCTAAATATTTGGAGGTCTTCCAGTGGCCAAAGTTGACAATAGAGCTGCTGTAGAGTATTCAGAGGATGTTTTATTTGCACTTGTTCAGCTTTTATGAGGTCTCTGCCCACTTAACTCCAGCAAATGTGGAAGGCCCATTGTAGTATCTATCACCAGTGTCCTGCTTGCGTTATCTAATTACTTTTCTTATTTCCAGGAGAACAAATTGCAGCTCCAGTACCATATCTCCTTGGAATTCCTAAAATTGCACCAATTTCTTCATAGCAAGGAAAAGGAGTTAATCAACCAGTTAAAGGAAGAGAGTGAAATCCTGCTTCAGGAGATGGAAGCGAATATTAACAGACTCCAAGACCGAACCCAGAGTGCTAAGGATACTCTGGTTTGCATTCAGGCCCGGCTGTACCAGCAGAATTCGGCTAGCTTCTTGAAAGTAAGAATTCGAAATGCAGTCTCGCTCTGGATTGATCCCAGAGTGTCACAGACACTAGACTGGCCACTTTCTTTCACTTGGTGTTAGAAAACACCTCACATTAAAAAAGAGAGTTAACTGAGACCATATATATGATCTATGAATGCATATATAATTTCAGCATAGTCCTAGTGATATTGTACAACTATTTATTTTAAAAGGCAATTTTCACACATTTTTTCCTTTTTTTTCTCTGACAGGGAATCAAGGTTTTTATAGAAAGGTAAGTACTGGTTAATAAGAGGGTCTTCTCAGGTTGCATCTACACTGCAGAATTAATGCAGTTTGACATCTTTTAACTGCTTTGGTTCCAGTCTATGGAAACCATTCTTTTTGACATGAATATTTCAACAGAATGGCCTCAAGATTATTTATTTTCCATAGAAGGCTTTTTTTCTTTTTAAGAGAGAAAGAGAGAAGGTAAGTTGTAAATTGGTAATAGCAAGTTAATATTTTGTCATTTGCAAAGTATGGTATGCATATGGTATGAGGAAATCAAGGGGTGGTTCATAGTAGGTGAGCAAAATTATTCTTCCTATTCATCCCATATGAAGAAAATGTGGGATGACTATGAATGACTGGTGCATGGAAGAACGGGAAACTCCAATCAGCACTCAGAATGAATTCCTGGATGTCTTTTGCACCAGAGTTTCACTGGTGGATCTTGAGATTCTGGTGAAAAATAAAACAGATATAACAAAAGCAGGTCTATGTATTGTCGAAGGCTTTCGTGGCTGGAATCACTGGGTTGTTGTAGGTTTTTCGGGCTATATGGCCATGTTCTAGAGGCATTTTGTCCTGATGTTTTGCCTGCATCTGTCGCAAGCATCCTCAGAGGTTGTGAGGTCTGTTGGAGCTAGGAAAATTGGGTTTATATATCTGTGGAATGACCAGGGTGGGACAAAGAACTCTTATATGTTGGAGCTAGATGTGAAGGTTTCACTTGGACACCTTGATTAGCATTTGATGGCGTGGCAGTTGTTTGGTGTGGCTTGTTAGTGCTTGAGGGAATCTTTTGTTGAGAGGTGATTAGCTGTCCCTGATTGTTTCCTCTCTCGAGTTTGCCTGTGTTTGAGTGTTGGTTTGCTGTTATAATTTTAGAGTGTTTTAAATACTGGTAGCCAGATTTTGTTCATTTTCATGGTTTCCTCCTTTCTGTTGAAATTGTCCACATGCTTGTGTATTTCAATGGGTTCTCTGTGCAGTCTGACATGGTGGTTGTGAGAGTGGTCCAGCATTTCTGTGTTCTCAAATAATATGCTGTGTCCAGGCTGGTTCATCGGGTGCTCTGCTATGGCTGACTTCTCTGGTTGAAGTAGTCTGCAGTGCCTTTCATGTTCCATGATTCGCGTTTGGGCAATGCTGCGTTTGGTGGTCCCTATGTAGACTTGTCCACAGCTGCATGGTATCTGGTAGACTCCTGCAGAAGTGAGAGGGTCCCTCTTGTCCTTTGCTGAACGTAGCATTTTTTGGATTTTCTTGGTGGGTCTGTAGACAGTTTGTATGTTGTGTTTCCTCATCAGCTTCCCTCTGCGGTCAGTGGTTCCCTTGATGTATGGCAAGAACACTTTTCCTCTGGGTGGATCTTTGTCTTGACTCTTGTGGCTTGTTCTCGGTCTTGCAGCTCTTCTGATGTCTGTGGTGGAGTCTCCATTGGCCCGCAAAGCCCAGTTGAGGTGGTTCAGTTCAAGTTGGAGGAAGTGGGGTTCGCAGATTCTTTTTGCATGGTCTGCCAGGGTTTAAATGGTGCTTCTTTTTTGACTTGGGTGATGGTTGGAGTTTTTATGTAGGTATCTATCTGTGTGTGTAGGTTTTCTGTAAACTGTGCGACCCAATTGTTGATCTGGTTTGCGGATGACTAGGACATCTAGAAAAGGCAGTTTTCCTTCTTTTTCTTTTCCCATGGTGAATTGGATATTTGGGTGCAGGTCTGCGCAGTACTGGAATATATGAATAATACTTGTTTCTAGAACATTTTTAGGTGCCATCACTTTCTGCTAACATCAGTGTGTATTAATGTTCTCTGGCAGGATGGAGCAGAGAACTGAAAATTCAGCTCTTGGTGAACTGGTGACTGGTACTCTCAGCAATGGTGTATTCAAGAGCCCCGTGCATTATGCTGTGTGGAAGGAGATGAAATCAATTCTTTACCCAGGTATAACTGTGCTCACCCAGTTTAGGTTATCCACCTTTACACCAAAGTAAAGTTTCTTTAATAGGTAGGCTCTAACAACGACAATCAAAAATGCACCTTCTTCTTCTGTCTCCTTAATGAGATGAAACCGTGTCCATTGGACCATTAGCCTCAAGTTCATTTAGCCGCAGCTGACAAAATACATTCTTTCTGGGCATTTTCTAAGCTACTGCAGCACAGCACAATGGTATTCTTAGCCCAGAAGGCCTTAATTTAAATTCAGCACTTTATTATCTCCAGTTTAGCATATCCATATTGGGGGAGGCGTTCCTTGTGGATAAGAGGGCCATAAACTAACCCCTCATACCTGCCCATTTAGCCTAACAGAAGGGAGTTTCCAAAATGAAACTATTTCTTGCAGTAATTGGGGGAAAAAGTAATAACAACCATAGGCTAGTAATTAAATTTAAGAACAACTGTAGGCACAAGAATCAGAACTTAAACTAGCAATCCATAATATCAGACTGCAAATAGCAATGCATACTTCTAGACTGCAAAACATGAAAATGTCACTAAGCATTAAAAGGGATGGTTGGAAGAAATCTCTCATTCAGTGTCAATAGGACAAATAGACTGGGGCAATTTGGGGAGGAGGGGATGAGGCTGATTCCATAATATCATCATTATATAATTATGCAGTTGAAAATGTTGTTTTCAAATGAAATGACCCGAAAAAACTGGCTAGTGTGATAACTACCTAAGCTCCTTCTACACTGTCCTTATATCCCACGATCTGACGCCAGGTTATCTGCTTTGAACTGGATTATTTTCACACTTTCAGACAGCTATATAACTCAGAATATCAAGGCTGTTAGGAATTATGGGAGTTGAAGTCCAAAATACCTGGAGGGCCGAAGTTTGCCTATGCCTGTGTTATATCATGGCCTTGTCTGCTATGTTTTTGGTTGCCTTAAGGTACCTTCTACACTGCTTTGAACTGGATTATATGGCAGTGTAGACTCAGGCCCCTTCTACACTGCCATGTAATCCAGATAATCAAGATGGATAATTCACATTATCTCCATTGATCTGGATTATATGAGTCTACACTGCCATGTAATCCAGATCAACGTAGATAATCTGGATTTGATATGGCAGTGTAGATGAGGCTTCATATAATCCAGTTCATAGCAGATAATGTGATTTGATAATCTGAATTATATGGCAGTGGCGATCCAGCCTAAGGGTCCTTCCACACAGCCCTATATCCCAGAATATCAGGGCAGAAAATCCCACATTATTTGAGTGTGGACTCAGATAACTGTAAGTACAATGTAAATACACAAATGTCCTGTTGCTATAAACTTCAGCAAAAGTATCAATTCAATTAATCATGAGAATACTCAATTAATCTGTATAGTACACAAGCATAGGGAACAAATGCGATGAGACTATTTACAATGGTGTAACAAACATAATATTCATGTTTTTTAAATAATTAGTGGGATCTTCCAAAAGCCGTGTGGACAAACTTTAACATATCCAAAATAGTCCCATGTGAGTTCAAGATGAGATAAAAAGTCTTGGGAATACTACAAGGATTTCCAGGTATTTATTGTTTCAGGAGGAGTATCCCTTCTTCGGGTTTCTTTCAAGGTCTCTTCAGTTGCTTGAAATAAAATCTTCTGAGGCTTTATAAACTAAACCTGAAGAGGACAAAATAATAGATATGCTAACCAGCACCCAGTTGCAATGTAATACATAAAATACAATTTAACAAGATAACATACTCACGTCCACTATTTTATTTATTTATTTATTTCCTATATTTATACCCCGCCCTTCTCCCCCCCGAAGCGGGACTCAGGGTGGCCTAACAAAAGCATCATACGATGAAAACAACTACAGTACAATCAAAATATTAAAAATTAAAACCATTATTAAAACAATTAAGACACATCCATTAAAATCGAAATCCAAAAATCAATCTGGGTCAGTTCAATGCCATAAGTTGTGTGATCTTCTTCCACTTGCTGCTAACTGATCAAACATTTGGTTCCATAACCAGGTCTTGATTTTCCTTCTAAAAGACAAGAGAGAGGTGGCCAATCTGATATCTCTAGGGAGGGCATTCCATAGATGGCGGGCCACTGCTGACAAGGCCCTGTCTTTCATCCCCATCAACCGTGTTTGTGATAGTGGTGGGAGCGAGAGCATGGCCTCTCCTGAAGATCTTTAACTTCGTGATGGTTTGTGGCAGGAGATACATTTGGACAGGTAGTCTGGGCCAGAATCGTTTAGGGCAGTGGTTCTCAATCTGCGGTCCCCAGATGTTTTTGGCCTACAACTCCCAGAAATCCTAGCCAGTTTACCAGCTGTTAGGATTTCTGGGAGTTGAAGGCCAAAAACATCTGGGGACCCCAGGTTGAGAACTATTGGTTTAGGGCTTTAAAGGTTAAAACCAGCACTTTGAATTGTGCTCAGAAGCTGATCGGTAGCCAGTGGAGTTGGCGTAATAAAAGAGTTGTATGTTCCCTGTGCGTCACTCCAGTGAGCAACCTGGCTGCCGAGCATTGGACTAGTTGAAGCTTCTGGGTAGTCTTCAAAGGCAGCCCCACGTAGAGTGCGCTGCAGTAGTCTATTCGGGATGTAACAAGATGTAACTAGAGGAAATGGACTCAGATAACCCAGTTCAAAGCAGATATTGTGGGATTTTCTGCCTTGATCTTCTAGGATATAGGGCTGTGTGGGAGGGCCCTCGTTTATCTAACTCCACACTGCCATATATTTCAGTTCAATGCTGAAAATTTGGGATTTTATTCAGCTGTGTGGAAGGGGCCTGAGAGCTTTCTATGCACAATCATTCTGTTCTTCCCTCTCGACCAGACATTACTTTCCTGACTCTGGACCCCAAAACAGCGCATCCAAACCTGATTCTCTCCGAAAACTTGACCTGCGTCAGCCACGGCGACACCAAGAAGATGGTCCCCGACACCCCAGAGAGATTTGACTGCAGCGTTTCTGTCCTGGGATCGGAAGGGTTCACCGCTGGGAAGCATTACTGGGAGGTGGAGGTGAAGGACAAGACAAAATGGACCTTGGGGGTGGTCAAAGAGAGCATTAACCGCAAAGGGAACTACCCCCTGTCACCCAAGGAGGGTCACTGGCTCATCAAGCTGAGGAATAGGAATGACTTCAAGGCGGTAGATGTCCAGCCCAAGACCCTGACCCTGGATAGTATTCCCACTAGAATCGGGGTCCTCGTGGATTACGAAGGCGGCCAGGTGTCCTTTTACGACACCAACCAAATGGCCCACATCTACACCTTCATGGACACCTTCACTGAGAAACTTTACCCCTATTTTTGTCCGTGTTTGAACGATGCTGGGGAAAACAGCCAGCCACTGAGAATTATTGGCTATTCTATGTAGGAATAAAGGAATAAAGGTCCATCTGCAAAGCAGAACTCTTGTGGCCTATGAGTTACTTTATAGACAGTTTACGGTGCCAGGGTGAATTTGGACCTCTTTTAGGACCTTACTTCAAGTTTGAGACCCATTCCAATGCCTGCCTTAGTTGCTATCCTTAACCTTTCAGATTTTAATACAATTTTGCCCTGTCTGAAAAAGTCTTGCCATAACTTAGATCCATAATTTAGATTATAGTTCCTAGTCAAGCAGGAAAGAGATAGGTTTCAGGGAAACTGTCTGCAATTAAAATATGTACAATCCATTCTGCCTGCAATTAATATATCTACGGTCTGTAATTATGATACCTACAGTCCATTCTTTAAACAACAACAAAGATAAAAAATAAAATAATTAAACTTGTGTAGATTCATTTTGCAAAGCTAATTTAGAACTGTTGACATGTATATTTATTATAAAATATATAACATAGAACATGGACACTTTGCTTTTTTATTTTTGGATGACAGCCCTCCAAATTCCAAGGAAACATTTAGGAATGTTTACTGGAGATTTAGCTGTAATCCAACAAAGCGACTTTTCCTTAAGACTCCAAATTCCGCAGTAGCTTTATGGTGGGGAACGTTTAGTTAAGATATAAACTAATTAAAAAATAATAAGCCAAAAGGATAAGATGGGAAACTCTTAAGGATGCTGGAATTTGGGGAAAGTCACAACTCTGAGCAAAGAAGTAACACCAAATAAAGACTGTAGCGTGTCCTTTTGTATTGTTTAGATGCAATCTAATAAACAAATCAACTAAATTCTGCACTGTGTCGGTGGATTCTTGAATCGGCATCACAAAGGCAAACACTGATGCTTAAAGGCTATTCTTGTATAAGTTATTCAAGTTTTACGTCCAGTTAAAAAATTCACTGAGACTGTGCTTTACTTACCCGTATACTGGGCGTATAAGACGACCTCCCACTTTTCCAGTTAAAATATAGAGTTTGGGATATACTCACCATATAAGACTACCCCTCTTCCAACACACAGCAAATAAAAAATTTAAAAGCATCAGACTTGATTTCAATATGGTAATTTTCCTATTACTGTCCCTCCTTCTCTGCCTCTGAGATCTCGTACCTGCGCACCTGCACCGCTTCACTGCAGTCTTCAGGAGCGAGATCTGAGAGGCAGAGGAGGAGGTATGGTAATAGGATACAAGGGCGGGTCAGACAGGTAAAAGAGTTGTGTTTTTCTGGGCCCAGAGCCACTCTATCTCTTTTTTCCATACCTCGGGCGCCCCGGATGCCTGCAGCTTGCTCCGTCCTTCACTTACACCTTCCTGGTGAGGCGCCCCTTCACCTCACCATCGGGACCTCATTAAGTCCACAAATCCTGATGAATGGATTTTCTTCTACCATACTTGTACAGCGTCGCCCTTAATGCTTTCATACAGTCGCTGCATACGGCAGGGATGTGGCCACTGCCATTTTTGCCAAAGGTTCTCCAATCCGGATTGGACATTTCAGCACCTGCTCTATAAGACGACTCTTGTCGTATAAGACTACTCCTCCATATAAGACGACTCCCATGCATAAGGCTACTCCAGCATATAAGATGACCCTGTGTATAAGACTACTCCCGTGTATAAGATGACCCCTGACTTTTGAGAAGATTTTCTTGGGTTAAAAAGTAGTCTTATACGTCAGAATATACAGTAATTTAGAATAGCGTTTCTCAACCTTCACTTCACTTCACTTCACTTCACTTTATTTCTTAATTAGTCACTCTCCACCAAGGTGCTCCGAGCGACTTACAGTCTAAAATAGCATTTACACAATATAAAAACATTCAACATAAAAACATTCAACAGTGACTATTTGGCAAATTAGATCTGATTACTTAAATGCACAACCAAACAGCCAAGTCTTGAGTGCCTTTACAAAAGGTCGCAACTCCGACATTGCTCTAATGTATGGAGGCAATGAGTTCCACAGAATTGGAGCATAGGTCGAAAAAGCTCTAGGCCTTGTAGCTTCCAGGTGTACCTCCCTAGGGCCCGGTACGTATAAGAGATTTTCCTGGGTGGATCGGGGTGACCACGGATGGAGAAAAGGAATCAAAAGATCGCAACTCCAACATTGCTCTAATGTATGGAGGCAATGAGTTCCACAGAATTGGAGCATAAGTCGAAAAAGCTCTACGCCTTGTAGCTTTCAGGTGTACCTCCCTAGGGCCCGGTATATATAGGAGATTTTCCTGGGTGGATCGAGGTGACCACTGATGGAGAAAAGGAATGAGGCGGTCCCTAAGATATAAAGGTCCTTGGCCATTTTGTGCTCTAAAAGGGGACCCCCGGGGGGGGGGGGGTTGCAATGAGGTTTCAGAGGGGGTTATTTATTATTTACGACATTTATATGCCACCCTTCTCACCCCGAAGGGGACTCAGAGCGGCTTACAAGAGATATATACATACAATATATTAAATTATTAGCACAATACAATATCAGTATTATATATTACTATATTGTACTACACCATTATATTGTAACATTATTAGTAATATTACATGTAATATTAAATATATAACTATAATATTGTAGTATTATTATTAGTAGTATTATATTGTATTACATTATAATATTAGAAATATATTTTTCTGATGGTGTTAGGAACTACTTTGGCAGAGAAGGCTGAAGATCTCTCCGCCTGTTCTTCTCTTCCTTTTTGGAAACAGACAGTGAATCCTCCCATGAGACATGATAGCCATGTATAAGTATGTGAGGGGAAGTTATAGGGAGGAGGGAGCAAGCTTCCTTTCTGCTTCCCTGGAGACTAGGACGTGAAACAATGACTTCAAACTACAAGAAAGGAGATTCCATCTGAACATGAGGAAGAACTTCCTGACTGTGAGAGCTGTTCAGCAGTGGAACTCTCTGCCCCGGAGTATGGTGGAGGCTCCTTCTTTGGAAGCTTTTAAACAAAGGCTGGATGGCCACCTATCAGGGGTGCTTTGAAGGCAATTTTTCTGCTTCTTGGCAGAATGGGGTTGGACAGGATGGCCCATGAGGTCTCTTCCATCTCTAGGATTCTATGATTCTAAGGCATGGGGGTTTTGTGTAGGAAGTTTGGCCCAATTCTATTGTTGGTGAACTTCAGAATGCACTTTGATTGAAGGTGAATCATCAACCACAACTCCCAAATGTCCAGGTCTATTTTCCCCAAACTCTACCAGTGTTCACATTTGGGTATATTGAGTATCTGTGCCAAGTTTGGTCCAGATCCATCACTGTTTGAGTCCACAGTATTCTGGATGTAGGTGAACTACAATTCCCAAACTCAAGGTCTATGCCCACCAAAGCCTTCCAGTATTTTGTGTTGGTCATTCAAGTTCTGTGTGCCAAGTTTGGATCAATTCCATCATTGGTGAAGTTCAGAATGCTCTTTGATTGTAGGTGAACTATAAGTCCCAGCAACCACAACTCCGAAATGTCAAGGTCTATTTTCCCCAAACTCCACCAGTGTTCACATTTGGGCATATTAATTATTTGTCCTGAGTTAAGTCCAGATCCATCATTGTTTGAGTCCACGGTGCTCTCTGGATGTAGGTGAACTACAACTCCCAAACTCAAGGTCAATGCCCACCAAACTCTTCCAGTATTTTCTGTTGGCCATGGGAGTTCTGTGTGCCAAGTTTGGTTCAATTCCATCATTGGTGGAGTTCAGAATGCTCCTTGATTGTAGGTGAACTATAAATCCCAACAACTACAACTCCCAAATGACAAAATCCATCTCCCCTCTTTCTCCTCTTAGTTAGGAATTGTGGAAGTTGCAGTCCAAAACACCTGGAGGGCCAGAGTTTGCCCATGCCTGGACTAGATCAAAATGGCCAAGCTCTCCATTGGTATTCGGGGAGGAAATAATGAAAAATTTGTAGAAAATGGAGTCTTGCCTTTGGATATCTAGAAAGGAAGACTTGATAAAGTAGGGAAGATTTCCCACTATGACCCATTGACATGAGGCAATTTGTGAAATTAATTTGTTTTAAATCTAGAGTGATCAAACTCGAACAATGCCGCTGCCCAAAAGGACTCACTGACAGGAAAATGGCTTCCCTCGGGCAGCCATTTTCTTTCAGGCTTTGGGCCTGCTTTGTTCGCGACCATTTTGGGATGGATTTAAATCTTGGACAATCCTGATAAGTGAAAATGATCGAAATATTTTGAATTTGAGACTGGTTAAAACTGGAAAGGGCCGTTGTCCCTTTAGTTGTGGTGCAGAAGAGGACATTTTAAAAGAAAACCCAAGTTGTAGGAACTCTCTTTTCCACACAGCCGCCAAAAGCACAGAAGTCGTGTGTTTGCATGTGAGAGAAAAAGAGGGTCCTAAATGCGAAAACCGCACAATGTGGGGAGATGACAGGAGACGCACTCCTTCTTCCTCCTCTTCCTGGCCCTGATTTGGTCTCATTCCCTCAACAAGAAAAGGCAGGAAAGGATCGCTTTCCCCCCTCAGAGCAGGATGTTCAATGGCGGCCGGGCCTGGTTCTCTCAAAGCGTCAGCAAAGAGCTCTGCAGACTTTGGGGTGAATAAAGGGGGGAAAGAGGCATTGCGAGGAGGAAACTGAGGGAAGTGGGGTCATATCCATGGCAATGAAGAATGGAGGCAACTTTCTAAGGCCAGAAGAGACTCATTCTCCTTCCTTCCCCTTCCTCCCTTCTTCCTTCCTTCCTTCCTTCTCCCCCCCCTTTCCCCTTCTTTCTTTTCTCGTTCCTTCCTCTTTCTTTCTTGCTTCCTCCCTTCTTTTTTCCTTCCTTCCTTCCTTCCCTCCTTCCTTCCCCCTCTCTTCCCTTCCTTCCTTCCTTCCTTCCTTCCTTCCTTCCTTCCTTCCTTCCTTCCTTCCTTCCTTCCTCCTTCTTCCCTCCCCTTTCCCCTTCCTTCTTTCTTTTCTTCTTTCTTCCTCTTTCTTTCTTGCTTCCTCCCTTCTTCCTCCCTCCCTCCCTTCCTTCTTCCCTCCCCTTTCCCCTTCCTTCTTTCCTTCTTTCTTTTCTCCTTCCTTCCTCTTTCTTTCTTGCTTCTTCCCTTCTTCCTTCCTTCCTTCCTTCCTTCCTTCCTTCCTTCCTTCCTTCCTTCTTCCCTTTCCCCTTCCTTCTTTCTTTTCACATTCCTTCCTCTTTCTTTCTTGCTTCCTCCCTTCTTCCTTCCTTCCCTCTTTTTCCTTCTTCCTCTTCCTCCCCTTTTCCCTTTTCTTCTTTCCTTCTTTCTTTCCTTCCTTCCTCTTTCCTTTCTCTTCTTCCTTCCTTCTTTCTTTCCTTCCTTCCCTTCTTTTCTTTCTTTCCTCCTCTTTTTCCTTCCCTCCTTCTTTTCCTCCTCCCTCTCTTCCTCCTTTCTACCTTCCTTCTTCCACTTTCTTCTCTCCTCCTTCTTCCCCCTCTCTCCTCCCGTCTTCCTTCCTTTCTCTTCCTTCCTTTCCTCCCTCCCTCCTCCCTTCCTTCCTTCCTTCCTTCCTCCCTCCCTTCCCCCCCCCCCTCCCTCCCTTCCCCTCTTCCTTCCTTCCTCCCTTCCTTCCTTCCCTTCCTTCCTTCCTTCCCTCCTTCCTTTCCTTCCTTCCTTTCCTCTTTCCTCCCTCCTCTTTCTTCTCCCTCCCTCCTCTTTTCCTTCCTTTCCTCTCCTCCCTCCCCCTTCTTCCCTTCCTTCTTTCCTCTCCCTTTCTCTCATCCTCCTTCCTTTTCCTCTTTCTTCTCACCCTACTACTTATCCCTGTCTCCCTTTTTCTCTCCCTCCCACCTTTTTCCTTCTTCTCCCTCCCTCCCTTTCTCCCTCCGCCCTCCTTCTGCTCTCCTCTTCCTCCCTCCCTCTTTCCTCCCTCCTTCCTCTCCCTTCTTTCTTCCCACTCCCTTCCCATCTTCCTTCCTTCCTTCCTTCCTTCCTTCCTTCCTTCCTTCCTTCCTTCCTTCCTTCCTTCCTATGCCTGGTCCAGACAATATACTTGCAAATACTGATAATGAATAACTATAAGACTGAAATCACTGTTATGGATAAAAAGATTTGTAATCCTCACTCTCTTTTAAAGGAAAGCATAACCCTGAAAGCAAGGGACATGTTTCTGCAAATCCATCATTTTAGAATCAAGGTATTCCAAAGAACCTCCTGATTATATCCCTGTGATGCTTTTCTGCAGTTGCTGAAGGAGGAGTCATTACAAACCAGGATACTGCTGACTATCTGTTCAGCAGTGATGCCTCCCATCCTGATACAAAAAGGTATCCTTTGTCATTGACCATTTCACATAATCTTTATTAATACCATTCATGATCTCTCTCTTTGGTGATCCCTTGTAGTCTGAGGATGATGGTCCTCCTCCTCCTCCTCCTTAATTGATCCCTTGTAGCCCGAGGATGATGGTCCTCCAAGTGTAGTGTTGGCAGTGGGTCTGTGGGTGGCTGTGGAGACCTATTCCTGATCCGTATGTTTTCCCATAGTGAGGACATCAGTTTCCAGGTGGAAGGCGGTCCCGGTCAGGGTTGTCTTAATGCGCCTTCCACTTGGCACGTTTCTCCCTTTTGCCCTCCATTCGTGCCTCTTTGAATTCTGCAGCACTGCTGGTCACAGCTGAACTCCAGTTTGAGTGCTCGAGGGCCAGGGTTTCCCAGTTCTTAAGGTGTAAGCCACAGTTTTTAAGGTTGGCTTTCAATCTCTTTTTCTGTCCACCAACATTATGTTTCCCGATCTTGAGTTCGGAGTATAGTAACTACTTTGAGAGATGGTGATCGGGCATTCAGACAATGTGGCCAGTCCAGCAGGGTGAGGAGAGGCTGATAGTAGTAATAATAATTGCTATAATTAGCAATAATTATTGTGTGTGAATGGCTGGATAGTAGGGCTGGGCAACCACGGAAAAATTTGTTTCTAAAATCGATTTGTTTTTTGGGGTTTTTTGCGTTTCGATTTTTAAAAGAATTCCGAATTTTTTCTTTTAAAAAGTTCGATATTTATGAAATTTCGTAAATTACAAAACAATACAAAACAATTACGAAACAATTACGAATCGATTCGTTAATGGCGGACGCGACCGCGCAATATGCTAAAAAACCTCCAAATGGGACAGGGGGAACTTCTGAAGCTTCCCTCTCCCTCTGTTGTTGACTGTTGGTGTGATATTTATATATTTTTTTCACTGATTAAACAAACAACAACTATAAAACTTGCCCCAGACATGCGGAAATAATAACGAAACGATTTCAAAACGATAACGAAACGAATACAAAACTAATTCGAAACAATTCCGAAACGAATTTAAAAATTCGTTTCGTTTTTTAGTTGCTCCTGAATGGTTCGTTATCGCTTCGTTATTAAAAAACGAATTTTTAACGAATTACGAAATTACGAAACGAAACCGCCCAGCCCTACTGGATAGCCCTTTGTCTGGAAGGCTTTGATTATGTTTTTTTGCCCTGGTGAAGGGAGTTGGACTGGATGGCCTTAAGGCAGCATTTCTCAACCTGGGAAGTCAAGACCGGGGGGGGGGGGGGGGGGGCCGGGGGGGGGGGGGGGGGCTTGAGGGGCTTCAGCCCCCCCCCCCGAAATTCTCATGGTGGTTCGCGAAAAGGCCTTACTGGTGCATTATTTAAACTGTTATGTTTATTCATATCATGATCTGATCACCATATTCAATATATCCCATATGCATGGGGGTATTGGGGTAATGATACAAAAGGTTTGCTAGGGTAGACCCTCTTTCACTCAGACTCAGCCCCCCCCCCCGAAACTCCCCCCCCCAGAAACTCAGCCCCCCCAAAAACTCCCCTGAAAAAAATTTAGCCCCCCCCCCTGAAATGAAATCCTGGCTACGGGCCTGGGGGGGATCACCAGGGGGGTGTCAGAAGACCACCAGAAAACACAGTATTTTCTGCTGGTCATGGGGGTTCTGTGTGGGATGTTTGGCCCAATTCCATCATTGGTGGAATGCTCTTTTATTGTAGGTGAACTATACATCCTAGTAACTACAACTCCTAAATGTCAAGGTCTACTTCCCCCAAATTCCATCTGTGTTCACATTTGGGCATATTGAGTATTCCTGCCAAGTTTGGTCCAGATCCATCATTGTTTGAGTACACAGTGTTCTCTGGATGGAGGTGAACTGCAATTCCAAAACTCAAGGTCAATGCCCACCAAACCCTTTCAGTATTTTCTGTTGGTCATGGGAGTTCTGTGTACCAAGTTTGGTTCAATTCCATTGTTGGTGGAGTTCAGAATGCTCTTTGGTTATAGGTGAACTATAAATCCCAGCAACTACAACTCCCAAATGACAAAATAATAATAATAATAATAATAATAATAATAATAATCCTTTATTTACACCCCGCTAACATCTCCCGAAGGACTCGGTGCAGCTTACAAGAGGCCGAGGCCCAACACATCAATAAAACAACAGCATAACAAATACAACAATAAATAAACTCATAAACTCATAAAAACAAGCAATAAACATTAAAACAATAGCAATAAACATTAGACAATAACACCACGACGCATTTAAAACTAAGGCCGGGCCAAATGTAATGATTAAAAATTTAAAATGCTGGACATGACAGGTGAAATAGATAGGTTTTTGGAGATAGGTGCGGTGTGCAGACAATCTTAAATCTCTAGTAAAGTGCATTTGGGACATGATGCTTGGAGTTTCCTATTCTGGGAAGGCACACTGGAACAACCACGTCTTCAAGCTCTTCCTAAAGACTGCTAACATTGGGGCTTGTCTGATGTCCTTGGGGAGAGAGTTCCAGAGTCGAGGGGCCACCATGGAGAAGGCCCTGTCCCTCGTCCCCACCAATCGCGCTTGCGACGCAAGTGGGATCATGAGCAGGGCCTCTCCAGATGATCAGAGAGATTGTGTGGGTTCGTATACGGAGATGCAGTCACGCATCTCCGTATACTCATAATTTTTTAGTGATGGTCACTCCTTGTGTTGTGAGATGTTTTGTTGTCAAATTTGGTGTGATTTCGTTCATTGGTTCTTTTGTTTTTAAGGTACTCATTATGCACAGAGTATTTATATATATATAGATTGTATATAATAAGACTTGCGCATCCACAGATTTTTGTATCTATAGAGGATCCTAGTAGAGATATTGAGGGCCCACTGTGCTAGGATGGGAAGCGACTAAGAAATGCAAAGGTACTGTAGACTATATTTCAAAGGAAGACAATGGCAAACCAGTGATGGACATTCCTTGTCTAAAAAGACACTATGAAGTTAATGGGTGACTCCAAGGTCCATATATTGCCACACAGTTGTTCTTTTTCTCCATACAGAGCTGCCCGTCCACTGGATTGACCTAGTTCACCTTCTCAAATGAGAGTGCCAATAATGAAAACATTTGTGCTTAGCTGTTTAGTATTTACTTTGATAAATCCCCATCTTTCTCTAGAATACACCAGAGCGTAGATTATCTCGAAGACAGTATTACGGTTTTTCATTCTGGTTATCTTACCGCTTGTGCCAACTCTGATATGTGGAACACGGTACCATTGGGACATTTCCTTCTCCCACCAGCCTGCTTGCAACAAGGTATGCGTGTATGTCTATGGAGTGCTCCATAGCACCCTTCCCTTGTCATTTTAATGCTAAGTTGTCAAAAATGTGCAAGTTTAATATGTTTGCAAATATTTTTCAAGACTCATGCCATTCAATGTAATTAATTGGAAGTTCATTTAGAAATACTGTGAGGGATAATCATTTCACATTTTAGGATAAACATACTGCATCACCCCCATCTTGCACACACACTTGTTTTGCATTCACTGCAGAAATAAGAGAGAAAATTGGAAGCTTTATATGGGAACAAATACCCAATTCGCAGAAGCCACAGGTAAGAAATGAATCTTGTTTGTACTTTAACTTTTGTTATTTTCCATATTAATTTTGATTTGTTTTTTTCTCTGTTCTGTTACTTTTAATATTTAAAGATTTCTGTGCATTTTAGCGAGTTAAAGGGTCTTGACAAAGTTAATTTTGAATAATTTGTTCCATAGGTCCTTTAATGACATCTTAAATCAGCGTCTCTCAACCTGGGGGTCGGGACCCCAGGGGAGGGGGGGTTGCAAGGGGGTGTTAGAGGGGTCGTCAAAGACCATTTCTGACCTCAAGAACGGAAAACAGAATGTTGGTGGACAGGAAAAAGAGATTTAAAGATGGGCTCAAAGCTGACCTTAAAAACTCTGGCATAGACACTGAGAACTGGGAAGCCCCGGCCCTTGAGCACTCTAGCTGGAGGTCAGCTGTGACCAGCAGTGCTGCAGAATTTGAAGAGGCACGAATGGAGGGCGAAAAAGAGAAACGTGCCAAGAGGAAGGCGCGTCAAGCCAACCCTGACCGAGACTGCCTTCCACCTGGAAACCAATGCCCTCACTGCGAGAGAACATGCAGGTCAAGAATAGGGCTCCACAGCGGAGGCATACCATAGGAGGGAAATCCCAAGAAGTAGATGGCTCAGTTATAAACAACTACTGGTAAAGACTAATAACGAATGGTGTCTGAGGCCTATGGAAGAACTTAAACAAGAGGATAAAGAAATAAGCTGGTTCCATTATTTACAAATAAAAGAATGCTTTAAAATAGATCGAAAAGCAGGATTTAATGAAAAGGACATGTGCTGGGACATCATAATGAAAAAGGAAAAAAAGTTGATCAAAATGCTATACCAAAAACTATTGGAATGGAATAATGAGAAAGAACTTATAAAGGAAAACATGATAAGGTGGGCTAGAGACATTGGGCACTCCATATTATTCAAGGACTGGAAGCAGGTTTGGAAGACATGGTTAAGATATACGAAAGCCATAAACGTAGTTGAGAATTGGCATAAAGTATTTTATAGGTGGCATCTGACACCAATACAGCTTTCTAAATTTAACAAAATTTATGATGGAACTTGCTGGAAATGCAAAAAGGAGACTGGAACTTATTATCACCAATTCTGGGAATGTAAGAAAGTTCAAAAATTTTGGCAGTTGGTTCACAAACAGGCCCAAAACATAATTCAAACAAAATTTGATATGAAGCCCAAATATTACCTATTGAACATAATGGATTTAGACTTAAAGAAAAATGAAGAAAAGATTTTCCTCTACATATCGTCAGCGGCAAGAATTCTAATAGCACAAAAATGGAAAAATAAAGAAACCCCATCCAATGAAGATTGGATTAAAAAGATAATAGAGTTAGGGATTTGGACAAGCTTTTGCAAATATTAGAAGAAAAGAGCAAAGAAAAACAAATGAATTGGAAACATTTTGGAGAATACATAAGAAGACAAACTAAGTTGGACATTTAGGATGCTACATATAAGACCGAATATAGACTAAAACAATTACAAGAAGAATTATTAAAACTATTGGCTATTTTCCTGCAGACTGAACGGGAGTCAAATACCTTTCTTCCCCTTTTTCCATATCCCTAGTACCTACCCCCTGACCCTCCCTGATTCTTTCTCCAACCCACCACTGCCCCTCGTCCCACCCTCCTCTCCCCACTACACAAAACCTGCTCTAATTTTTCCCATCTTTTCTATCTAGAGTTTTGTTCCCCCTCTTTCACTGTATATGTCAAAAAGAATCAAAAATTATTCAAAAAAAAAAAAAAAAGAATAGGGCTCCACAGCCACCTACGGACCCACCAGAACACTGATCCTGGAAGACTATCCTACTCGGCCAACGAGGGATCACCTAAGAAGAGAGCAAAGACCATCAGAAAACACAGTATTTTCTGTTGGTTGTGGGGGTTCTATGGGGGAAGTTTGGCCCAATTCTATGGTTTGTGGAGTTCAGGATGTTCTCTGATTGTAGGTGAACTATAAATCCCAGCAACTACAACTGTCAAGGTCTATTTTCCTGAAACTCTGCCAGTGTTCACATTTGGTCATATTGAGGATTCATGCCAAGTTTGGTCCTGATCCATCATTGTTTGAGTCCACAGTGTTCTCTGGATGTAGGTGAACTACAACTCTAAAACTCAAGATCAATGCCCACCAAACGCTTCCAGTATTTTCTGTTGGGAGTTCTGTATGCCAAGTTTGGTTCGATTCTATAGTTGGTGGAGTCAAGAATGCTCTTTGATTGTAGGTGAACTATAAATCCCAGCAACTACAACTCCCAAATGACAAAATCAACCCCTCAAACCCACCAGTATTCAAATGTGGGCATATTGGATATTTGTGCCAAATTTGGTCCAATGAATGAAAATACATCCTTCGTATCAGCTATTTACATTACAATTTATAACAGTAGCAAAATTATAGATATGAAATAGCAACAAAATATTTTTATGGTTGAGGGTGACCACAACATGAGGAACTATATTAAGGGGTCATGGCATTAGGAAAGTTGAGAGCCACTGTTTTAAATGTAGTACTTTAAAGAGGAAATATTTTGCATAAATAGTATGAAACATGAACCACTAAAATTATATAGCAGAAATCATTAGCTTGATATGTTCTTCCTTTTTCTTTTCTTCCTGCATTTCTGGTTTGTTTTGCTTCTTTGTGTCCCTCCTTCTCTTCCCCTCCTTCACTGAATCCTACATAAAGAAACATCTTTATTCTGTTTTAGATTAACTGCTCCTTGCTACTTAATAAAACTTTTGGCTGGTTCATTTATTTATTCATTGTGTCAGAAGCGAATTGAGGATACAGTTATAATGTATTTAAAAACACAAAGTTAAAATACTTGGCATTATACTAAATGTCCTTCGACCAGAAGCTGACCACTTGGAGTGCCTCTGGCGTTGCTATAAGAAGGTCCTCCATTGTGCATGTGGCAGGGCTCAGACTGCATTGTAGCAAATGGTGTGTGGTTTGCTCTCCTGCACGCTCACATGTCGTGGAGTCCACTTTGTGGCACCATTTCTGAAGATTAGCTCTGCATCTCGTGGTCCCAGAGCGCAGTCTGTTCAGCAGCTTCCAAGTAGCCCAGTCTTCAGTGTGTCCAGGGGGGAGTTTCTCATCCGGTATCTGCCATGGATTGAGCTTCCAGGTTTTAGGCTGCCACTTTTGGACTTTCACTTGCTGATGTGTTCCTGCGAGTACCTCTGTAGATGTTAGGAGGATATTTCTTGATTTAAGGCGTTGGCATGCTGGCTGATATCAAAACAGAGGGTGGGCTGGAGATGTTACTGCCTTGGTCCTTTCATTATTGGCTGCTACTTCCTGATGGATGTCAGGTGGTGCAATACTGGCTAAACCATGGGTCCTCAAACTAAGGCCCGGGGACCGAATGCTGCCCTCCACATCATTTACCTGGCCCTCGCTTAGGGTCAGCCTAAGTCTGTAATGACTTGAAAGCACACAACAACAACAACAACAAAACAATCCTATCTCATCAGCCAAAAGCAGGCCCACACTTCCCACTGAAATACTAATAAATTTATATTTTTAAAATTTTCTTCATTTTAATTATTGTAGTGTTTTTAAGTGTTTTTGCACTACAAATAAGATATGTGCAGTGTGCATAGGAATTCATTCATTTTTTTTCCAAATTATAATCCGGCCCTCCAACACTTTGAGGGACTGTGACCTGGCCCTCTGTTTAAAAAGTTAGAGGACCCCTGGGCCTAATAGTATAATTTCTCCAGTGGTGTAGGGCATAGACATCCTGTGATAATGCAGCATGTCAGAGAGCCACATCTATTGTTTTAACATGGTGAAATGTATTCCATACTGGGCGTGTGTACTCAATAGCAAAGCACAATGGCAGATGTCTTCACTGTGTCTGGTTGTGATCCCCAGGTTGTGCCAGTCAGCTTTCGTACAATGTTATTTCTAGCACCCACTTTTTGCTGGTCCATGACAGCTGAAGACTGAGTATTTTTTGGCACTAGGTAAAAATATGGTCACTATCTTCTAGTTACTTAGCTCACTGAGCTAAAATCCGATGTTATTGACACATATCTTAATCGTTCATTTGTTGCCTATGAAATATTTTTAAAAGTGACTTCATCACTTTTGTAAAAATACAGTGAAATTTAAACTTATGCACAGATTCCACAGGGCAGTCAACCCGTTGAAGTCACAGAAATCAGGGAGGAAGCGACCCCAAAGAGCAAGACACCACTGGAAAAAAGGTTCATGTTTTTTTTAAATCTATTATGATTGTATAATTCAGCAATGCCCTGCTTACAGTGATCATACAGACTGACCAAAGTCAGTCACACCAGCACATTCTCAACTAACCATTTACATTTATTTATTTTATTATCAGTTGTTTAATTTGTATGATGCTTTTCTACTGGCATGGGACTAAAAGCATCTTACAACAATTTAAAACAATGCTCATCTAAAAATCTTACTGTATAATGGTTAAAAGACCAAAACAAAACAAAACAAAAAATTCTATTGAAAATTTGTTGTTGAAGGTTTTCATGGCTGGAATCACTGGGTTGCTGTGAGTGTTCCAGGCTGTATGGCCATGTTTCAGAAGCATTTTTTCCTGACATTTCACTCACATCTATGGCAGGCATCCTCAGAGGTTGGGAGATCTGTTGGAAACTAGGCAAGCAAGGTTTATATATCTGTGGAATATCCAGGGTGGGAGAAAGAACTCTTGCCTGTTTGGCCAGCTTGATTAGCATTTAATAGCTCTGCAGCTTCAAAGCCTGGCTGCTTCCTGCCTGGGGAATCCTTTGTTGGGAGGTGTTAGCTGGCCCTGATTGTTTCTTGCTTGGAATTCCCCAGTTTTCTGACAGTTATTCTTTATTTTCTGTCCTGATATTGGAGTTTTTTAAAATTCTGGTAACAAGATTTTGTTCATTTACATAGTTCCCTCCTTTCTGCTTCTCTTGTGTAGTCTGACATGGTGGTTGTTGGAGTGGTCCAGCATTTCTGTATTCTCAAATAATATGCTGTGTCCAGGTTGGTTCATCAGGTGCTCTGCTATGGCTGACTTCTCTGGTTGAAGTAGTCTGCAGTGCTGTTTATGTTCCTTGATTCGTGTATGGGCATTGCTGCGTTTGGTGGTTCTTATGTAGACTTGTCCACAGCTGCATAGCATACGGTAGACTCCTGCAGAATTGAGAGGATCCTACACATAGAATCCATTGAAATCCAAAAGCATGTGGACAATTTCAACAGAAAGGAGTGAGAGCAGGGGAGGCCCTGCTCTCATTCCCGTCAACAGCACAGATGTGCCTAGTGGGGACGAGAGACGGGGCCTTCTCAGCTGTGGCCCCCTGCCTATGGAAAACACTCCTGGCTTTTAGAAAAAAATTAAAATCATGGTTTTGGGACCAGGCCTTCAAACATTTCGGAAAGACAATGACTGGAACAGCGATTTGATGGATGAGAATGTTTTATTGTTTTAATGATTGTTTTATTGCTCATTGATGTATTTTTAAAATTTGATTTATGTCTAATTGTAGTGTATAATTGTAATTGTACTGGCATTGGATTTTTGCCATTACTTATGTGTAAACCACTTTGAGTCCCCCTTGGGGTGAGAAAAGCGGTATACAAATACTGTAAATAAATAAACAATAAATAAATAATAAATAACCTTGAAAATGAACAAAATCTGGCTACCAGTTTTTTTAAAAAAAACCTATAAAATCAGGATAGTAAATAAAAAGCAACACCTAGAAAACAAGAGAATTCCAGACAGGAAACATTCAGGGCCAGCTAACACCTCCCAACAAAGGATCCCCCACCAGCCAGGCTTTGAAGATGCGAGGTCATTAAATGCTTATCAAGGTGGCCAATTGCAAGATTCACACCTGCTTCAAGCAGACGAGTTCTTTCTCCCACAATGGACATTATTCCACAGATATATAAACCCTACTTGCCTAGTTTCCAAGAGACCTCACAACCTCTGAGGATGCATAGATGCAGGTGAAACGTCAGGAGAGAATGCTTCTGGAACATGGCCATACAACCTGGAAAACTCATAGCAACCCATCAATTGAAAATAGTAAAAACAATCTGAAAGCATGCTTAAAACATTTCCTTTTTATAGTTACATGAGAAACATTCATGCTCCTGAGACGCTAGAAACAGGCAAACGGAGTTACATTCCACTTGGAGACTATCCAGCAAGTAATATGGTGACAGGTAAGAAGAGGATGTCTTTTGAGGAATTATTTCTTCGGGTGGAAATAATATACCTCTAGAGGTCTGAGACTGGATATACGTCAGGGCCAATATCCTTTATGTTTATTTAGATGCCCCGAACTAATAAAAATACTGGTGATTTCCCCCTTTTAGCTTACCCTTCTTTTTTCATAGGAGTTTCTACCTATGATTTTAACATGTGATATTTATACAATTTACATACAATTTCACAGGTTATCCTTCTGCTAAAGACATGAAGAAATACCTTGGGGAAATACGTGATTTCACTCCTGGATCTTCGGGTTATTTGGCATACTGGATTCCAAATGATACAAATGATCTATCTGTTGCAAAAGCAAAAGTTAAAAGAAAATAAACTTCGTAAACGACATCTAGATTTTTATGTTCAGCTGGTTTCTTGTTGTATGTTGTGTCTGCATTGTCTGTTTTTGATAAGGCCAACTGGCTAATCAATAAAAATTATTGTTGTTGTATGTTCAGCTGGTTTCAGTGGACTCATAAAGTGTGACTGTGGCCCCTAGATGGAGCTAGAGCTAAACTAAACTAAATTAAAACCATTTAAAAGTATGATGCGCACAAGCAGAGTGGCAACTATGGTAGGTGTAACCTCAGGAACGAAAAATATTTACTAATCTTCATGGCGTCACACGCTTGTGTAATGTTGTCTGTCAGTGTGATGAAGTACTCAGAAGAGTCCCATTCCAAAACCTAATCTCAGTTCAAAACAATGTGGAATTTTTATCGAATTTAGTGATGTAGTAAATACAAATAATTGGACAACAAATTCTAAAAGGCTTTTTGCATATTTATTTTATTTATTTATTTGGTACATTTCTATACCACCCCTCTCTGCCTTCCGGCAACTGGAAGCGGTTTACAAGGCAAGAATTCAATGCCACCAAGGACACAATTACAATATACAATATAAATACATATGGATCTATTTATCCACAGATGTATATATTATTTAAATAAAGGCAATGAAAAACCACAAGTCTGTCACATGCTACTTGATTGTGTTTTGCGGCCTCTGATTGCACACTTTTAAGATTTTTTTTATCTATGTAAGTGTGCCTATGTGGTTTTATAAAATAGAGTTACAAGCTGGGTAGATGCAGGGAACACCGTGGATGTAGCATATCTAGATTTCACCGAGGCATTCAGCAAGGTCCCCCTCGACCTTCTGGCAAGGAAACTAGTCCAATGTGGGCAAGGCAAAACTACGGTTAGGTGGCTCTGTAATTGGCTAAGAGAATTAACTCAGAGGGTGATTCTCCCCAATGCTTCCTCCTCTTCATCCTGGAAAGAAGTGATGAGTGGAGTGCCACCAGAAGGGTTCCCTCCTGGGCCTGGTCCTGCTCAGGATCTTCATTCATGACTGAGATGAAGGGTTAGAAGGCAGGATCACCAAGTTTGCAGACGGGACAAAATTGGGAGGGAGAGTCTACACTCCAGAAGATAGGAGCGGAATTCAAAATGATATTCACAGATTAGAGAGATGATGGGCCAAAACTAACAAAATGAAGTTCAACAGAGACAAATGCAAGAGACTCCACTTAGGAAGAAAAAAAGGAAATGCAAAGAGACAGAATGGGGGACGATGCCTGGCTCGAGAGCAGGACGTGTGAAAAAGATCTTGGAGCCCTCGTGAACAAGTTAAACATGAGTCAACAATGTCATGTGGCAGCAAAAAAAAGTCAATGGGGTATTAGCCTGCATCAATAGGAGTCTAGTGTCCAGATCAAGGGAAGTCCAGCTACCCCTCTATTCTGCCTTGGTCAGGCCACACCTGGAATCATACTGTGTCCAATTCTGGGCACCACAATTGAAGGGAGATGTTGACAAACTGGAATGTGTCCAAGGGAGGGCGACTAAAAGGATCAAGGGTCTACAGAATAAGCCCTATGAGGAATGGCTTAAAGAGTTGGGCATGTTTAGCCTGCAAAAGAGAAGGCTGAGAGAAGACATGATGAGGGCCATGTATCAATATGTGAGGGGAAGTCATAGGAAGGAGGGAGCAAGCTTGTTTTCTGCTGCCCTGGAGATTAGGATGCAATGGAACAATGGCTTCAAACTACAGGAAAGGAGATTCCATCTGAACATTAGGAAGAACTTCCTGACTGTGAGAGCCGTTCAGCAGTGGAACTCTCTGCCCCGGAGTGTGGTGGAGGCTCCTTCTTTGGAGGTTTTTAAAGAGAGGATGGATGGCCATCTGCCAGGGGTGCATGAAGGTGATTTTCCTGCTTCCTGGCAGGGGGTTGGAATGGATGGCCCATGAGGTCTCTTCCAACTCTATGATTCTATGATTCTGTGTGTCTTTGTGCACAATTCTGAGTAAATGCAAACATGAAGACTCTACTTGATTAATAGATTGAAATGGGTGGTTAGAAAAGCTTGCCCCCTAGTGACTGAAAATGGTGCTGCATGCTTTAAACATATGGATTTTTTTCATGCCAAGAGCAACTTGAGAAACTGCGAGTTGCTTCTGGTATGCGAGAATTGGCCGTCTGCAAGGATGTTGGTCAGGGGACGCCCAGATGTTTTGATGCTTTACCATCCTTGTGGGAGGCTTCTCTCATGTCCCCACATGGGGAGCTGGAGCTGACAGAGGGAGCTCATCTGCGCTTTCCCTGGATTCGAACCTCTGACCTGTCGGTCTTCAGTCCTGCCGGCACAGGAGTTTAACGCATTGTGCCAGTGGGGGATGTTTGTCTGTGAATTTAAATTAGCTAAAGCATTTTGCAAACCAATTCACTTTCCCCAGCACATGCATACTTGTTATTATCCATGCCAAATTTCAGGTTTTTCTGTTTCAAGGTCTTGAATCCAGCAGCTTGAATGACAGAGAGGCAAACACCCCATTTTATTATTAATCATTTACCTTCACTCTGCCCGGCCACAGAAGAGGTGTTGAGCAACCTCAGAACTGTGTCCAATAATAGAAGGAAATGGACAACCGCAAAAAGGTGGGAATTTTTCAACAAACACAAATGGTGACATGAAGAGGGAAGTGAACAAGATAGAAATCTTTATGACACAAGAATTGGTTGACTTGGCAATTCTGCCCCACATTACAAAATCATACTTTAAAAAAAATATGAATACAATATGCAAATAATAATAATAATAGACAAAGACAATGTTCATTATTAAAATTAAATGTTATGCCAAGTACAGATGGTTAGAGTAATCCTTTCCTGGAGAGGTTGACATTAATGAGGGGGACAGAATATTTGATCCAGTGCAAATCATGTCAGTCTAAAAGACTGGTGAGAGTTCTGAGCCAATGTTATGGTTCCAGATCCTTCAGGATCCATTCCTGTCCCAATACCTTATTTTACCTGTTTTGTGTGTTTCTCCCATGCCAGACATAAAGCCCTCGTTCCCATAAATAGTATTGAGAAAAAGGAAACAGAGACTAGCAGTTATCACATATAGTACATTGTTACCAGATCTTATAAATACTTTTGGTAGAGGAAGTAGATGGACACCATGTTAAGTAATTTTATTAATCATTCTAAAAAAAAAGAAAAGAATTCACAGTCAATTTTTAAATTTTTGGTTACCCAAATTTCATCCAAAATTTTGAAGGGCACAATACTCAAAGTTATCTCTGGTAATTCTTTCTAATTTCCCCCAAAATATATGTATGGAAGTGGGATGATAACAATACTCATATTGCTGGAAAAAAATAGCTTAAATCAAAAAATATTACTGAAATATTTCTGAATAATAATGAATATATAGATTGCTGTGAGTTTTTCCAGACTGTATAGCCATGCTCCAGAAGCATTCTCTTCTAATGTTTCACCCACATCTATGGCAGGCATCCTCAGCGATTGTGAGGTCTGTTGGAAACTAGGCAAGTGAAGTTTATATATCTGTAGAATATCCAGGGTGGGAGAAAGAACTCTTGTCTGCTTGAGGCAAGTGTGAATATTGCAATTGGCCACCTTAACTAGCACTGAATAGGCTTGTCACGTCAAGGCCTGGCTGTTTCCTGCTTGGAGGAATCCTTTGTTGGGAGGTATTAGCTGGCCCTGATTGTTTCCTGTCTGGAATCCCCCCCCCCTTTTTTTAGTATTGCTCTTTATTTACTATTCTAATTTTAGATTTGTTTATACTGATAGCCAGATTTTGTTAATTATCATGGTTTCCTCCTTTCTGTTGAGATTGTCGACACGTTTGTGGATTTCAATAGCTTCTCTGTATAGTCTGACATGATGGTTGTTAGAGTGGTCTAACATTTCTATGATCTCAAATAATATGCTGTGTTCAGGTTGGACACTGAGTTCTTTCTCCCTCTCTGGACATTCCGCAGATATATAAACCCCACTTGCCTAGTTTCCAACAGACCTCACAACCTCTGAGGGCATCTTCCATAGACGTGGCATCTGCCATAGATGTGCGCAAAACATCAGAAGAGAATGCTTCTGGAACATGGCCATAAAGGTCATACAGAAAACTCACAGCAACCCAGTGATTCTGACCATGAAAGCTTTCAACAACACACACACACACACACACACACACATATATATTTAAAAAGAAATATTAATCACTAGCCGTTCCCTGCCACACGCTGCTGTGGCCCAGTTTGTGTATATGTGTTTTGTGTGTGTGTGTGTGTGTGTGTGTATATATATATATATATATATTTGTATATATGCATATATTTGTGTGTTTGTTTGTATATGTGGTTTTGCACATGTGTTGTAATGTATTTTTTGTTTTTTGGCTTTTTAAATCTTGCCTGCTGTGTTTTTCAGTGTTTTTATGAGTGAAGATCACTCGTTGGCCTGAGAGGTGTCTTCTGTCCAAATTTGGTGTCAATTTGTCTAGTGGTTTTTGAGTTATGTTAATCCCACAAACGAATATTACATTTTTATTTATATAGACTAGCTGTACCCGCCAGGTGTTGCTGTGGCCAACCTTCTCTCCCTCTTTCTCTCCTCCTTTCTTTCTCTCCTTCCTTCCTTTTCTTCCTTTCCCTCTCTCTCTCCTTCCTTCCTTCCTTCTCTTCTTCTTCCCTTCCTTCCCCCCATTTCTTTTCCTTCCTCTTTCCCCCCTTTCTTCCTTCTCAACCTATTCTTGGACTGCAACTCCCAGGAGTCCTCCTGATCAATCTACCTACTTATCTATCTCTACCTAATCTATCTATCCGGAGGATTGCTGGGAGTTGCAGTCCAGGAATAGGAAATTGGAAATATGCAGGGATTGGGATGCAGCTTGCAGCTTGGAAGCAGTGCATATGCATCATTCTCCTCTCCTAAAGGGCCTGGGAGCAGTAGTCAGGAAGAAAGTGTGGATATGCTATTGTTGGGGTTCTGCCTGTGTGTGAATCTGAACCTGATTCTCTGATTGTATTTCCTGATGCCAGTGT